GCAATGGCCACCGTGCGCTACATTGCTTGCAGGGGGCGGGCAAGCGGGAGCAGCCCGAAAAGTGCCCTAACAGCTCCTTACCAGCGGCCACCACCACCAGCTCACGTTCCTTGGTGGAGAGCACTGCATTATGCACATCCGTCTGCTGCTCTGATGCGAGGTGAGCCAAGGTAGGGGTTTGACTTGACCGCTTCCTCGGGCGTCCGTCCACAAACAAGTCTGTCGTCCTCCGGCCTCCATCCGCCCTGGCTCCTCTTCCCTCGGGTCGGTCCAGAGGCCAGCCTGCACCGCTTGCTCGAATATACCAGCCATATCCAGGCCCAGGGATCAGATTACCGTCACGACCACGACACCATCCCGCTGGGGTCTTTTGCTAGGTTATTTGCTGGACACCAGAACGTGGTTTAGTCTCGGCCCGTCAAGGTGACCCAATAAACCCAACCTACAAAATTATTCGACCTGGGCCGTCATTTGCGACGGGGAGGGGCACATCTATCCAGGCGGAGGCTAACCTGCCTGCATCCTAGAGCGTACTAGTTATGTACAGCTGTGCTGCATGTACATATCGATGTGCTCCATTTCCGTTAGCAGGTTGCTGGTCCACCCTCGCTGAACTAACGATCCCTGCCTCACACCCAACCCCTGCCATGCACCTCTCCAAGACCCCCATTGCTTGCTGTGTCCTCCCTGTCGATGGGTACCCATGGCCGGAGCTCGTCGAGCAAGGCACTCACTGGTTTGTGACGTTTCTCAGAATGGAGAGAGCTGTTGTCCCTACAGCTCGTGTGATATGGCGCTGGATGAGATTGCGTGGGGACCGTCCCTCACCTACATGAACGGCCGGCCAGCCTGCCTCGCTAGCTTGCCGCTCGAGTATTGCTTTAATGACTGGGTACCCTCGTGTGCATCCTTTCCCGTGATACAATAAACAACGACCTCCGCCGCCTTCCACAGCTTATCCTTGACCGATCTCCCTCCTCCTCATCCAATCCTCTGCCTCTTCGATTCCCCATCTCGTCACTCCCACGACCTAACCAGGACTCCTAGTTGGCAGGGCCATCTGTGACGTCCGTTTTTCGACCGGGTTCCCTGACATCGTCTGAACCTTCCCTCGTGCTTGTGTCTTCTGTACAAAAGTACTCTTTCTTCTATTTGTCCCCTTCTTCTCGACCTGTTGCCGGTATTACTTCTACTATTATTTCTGTTCCCTTTCTTCTCTTCGTTTCCTGTTCCGGTCACATCCTGACAGTGTCGAGGCGCAGTCTTCACCCAGGCCTCGGCAATACTCATCCTCTCTCCCCATTGGAGGCTTCGGGTCATATCCAGCTGCTGCGTCTTTGCTGTCCATTTCCCATCGGGCGTTAGCTGTCGGCCTCACACAGCACGCACCGTCTACCTGTTCGAGTTCCTGATCGTGTTTCTTGTTGCCAGCAAAAAAAACGCTTCTTCCCGGGAGATTTGGGCGACCAGGCATCACCGAACTAACTGGGCGCATTTGGACGGAGCATATATCCCATCCGGTGAGACCGCTGCTGCCTTCGACCGTGGCGCCCACTTGGCCAACCACTCATTGAGCAAGACCTATCTTGCAAAGCATGATTGGTCACCCTAACTGCAGACTATTGCACATCGTCCAGCACCTTCCATTCACCTCGCACCTCCTCGTGCTGTGCAGCTTTCGTCCCTAGCATCCTCCTCAAGCTAGGACTTACCCCTCCCACCACAGCCATTTCTCGTCACTGAGGCCCTCGGATCATCGAGCTCTGACTGACTTCCACGCGGTGAGAAGCGAAGAGGTTGACCAGGAAGCGACTGGCTTGACCTACGAAGAGACTCTACGTCTGCCCCCAACTCCTGTCCTCGATTCACCAAGAAGTAGCGGGCTGTTTGGGTATCCACTCCCAGCGAGTCCCGGGTTATCGACATCATCCTGGCGCTCACAACGACCAGCCTGTTGCAACAGGCAGCGCCCGTCCAGGACAGTCCTGCCTCTCTCCTGACTGAATATACGGCCACGACGAGCCCCAACTCCCCGCGGACGCCGCTAACTCCTACCTATTCTTCAAAGACCTCGCCGAAGAGGCTCAGTTTTGGGCAGAGCGCGCCGCAGAATCCCAGCACGGGTCAAGACAATCGATGTAGTAGGCCCTGGGGCCAAGAAATCAGCGGGGATCATAACTCAATGTCGCAGAGGAGTCCTGCGACGCCCCATGGTTCCGGTTACCAGACTCCTGGGACGTCGATTCGGGAGACGTCGACAAGTAACCCAAATGCGCCGCACCAGCCTGACAGTGGCATTGGCGCTCCGAAGTACAGCAGCGGGTTCCATGCTGCCGAAGACTTGAGACAACAACAAGTCCCACCAAGACTTCTGGGTGTCCATAATATACTGAACCCATCGGAGCCTCAGTCGAGAGCTCATGAGGGCAGACCTTCTGGAGACAGAATCAGTGTCTTCACAGGCCATCCAGATCATGCGGCTGCTGGTTCTACTTCACACCCAAACACTCCTATCGGGCCTGGGGCACCGCTGCCCCCTTCGATGCTGCAAGAACGAAACTCGCCAGCCGCGCCTTATTCCCACTCAACGGATAATCGACCGGCTCCCGGCCCCAAAGGCCCGGGTCTGAAGAGTATTGGGATGGGGGGATTCCCGCCAAGGGAAACGGATCCAAGAGCGCATGGTCTAGCTTCCAGCATTTCTCCTACGAAGCGTCGCCGAGAGGATGATGGCCCAGAAGAATACAGACCGCATGTTTCAAACCGGAGTCACCCATCAAGTGTTCCGCATACACCAAATCTGCCTGCTGCCGCCGCCATTTCTCGGTCATATTCGCAACCAATGGCTCAACCACAGGGAGGACCTCACCAGTCTCCTTCCGGAGACGCCCTGGACGCTCCATCGAGAGACGCGCACGGCTATCACCAACCTCCTCCCGCCCATGCTCATTTTCAGCCAGGTCACTATGGAGGACGGTCATTCTCCGCTTCAGCTGTCACTGGTCCACCCCTTGACGAGCCTAACTGGCCCGAATCCATGCGTCGAACTAGTCTTGGGGCGCAGATAATGGCAGGTGAGGGCCAGCAAGCATTCATATCTCTTCCTGGTAGCGACGCCCCGATTCCAATCCACGTAGATTACTCGCAAGCATCGAAGAAGGCAGACGAGAAGAGACAACGGAACGCAAAGGCCTCGACTCGCCACCGCCGAAAGAGAAAGGCGATCCAGGAAGAGAACGCCAGGCAGCTTCAAGACCTCAAAGAGAGCAGGGAAGACATGGAGCTGAAGATCGAAGAGTTGACAGCCCAGAGAGACTTTTACAGAAGGGAACGAAACCGCTTGCGTGAGGTCGTCGCTCGAACACCCTCGATCGCTGAACACGCTGCATCGGCACCCAGCCCCACGTTAACGCCGGCACGGGTGGGATCGTACAGCCCTCGCCACAGTGCCCGAAACATGAGAGAATACAGCAGTGAAGCCTCGTCTAATGAACGGCCAACCCGGCGCCAAAGGATGGATGACGGCTCTGAAACCTCTCTGGCATCGCTTGTTGGTGCCCCTGGAACCCCCCTTGGGCAGGTCCCGAATCTCGGCCCAGGATTTGGTGCTCCATCTCGACCGCATTCGGCGGCATCGTCATCGGCAGGCGGAGGAGAGCGACTGCCGCCTTTGCGAACACACATCGATGGCCCACCCCCGATGCTCCATGGCCAGCCTGGGCAACCTCATGAACAGGACCCCAGAACTGGCCAGTGGATCCCCATACAACCCCGCCACATTGAAACTGGTTGGGCAACAGGTGGCCGTAAGCTGAGCGACGGCCCGCCTCGGTAGTGGAGACAACCGAGAACAAGCTCTCCAAGAGGAAGTCTGGGAGTGTTGGTCACTCCTTGTACCCTCATTATACGTTCGTTACATACGACGATGCCACTTGACGGCATGGTCTATACCCACTTTCCTCTCGTCTTAATCCTTTTAATCATCTTTTCCTTTTACCTCACTCTTTAGCACTGCGGTTTATTTTCCTCTGATTTTCTCGGCGCAACTGGAAGAAACATCTCTATCGGGCAACCGAGCATTCGATCTTATCTATCCTTTTATTCACCCATTTCAGGTCTTCAAAGCGGCATCAATCTAGTTGATTTACAGTTTATGAAGGGAGCTGTTGTTGGCGATATATAGTTCCTTGGTGTGGTGGCGTCCTGGTCCAAAGGCTTCGTCTTCATCGTATGAAACATTGAAGGCTACCCCAGACGACCTCAGCGGCCATTGCCCCTTGGATGCGGGACATAATCATGAAGAGCAGGCCAATAGAGTCGGGATGGAACATGAACAGGCAACGAAGATGGAGATTTTCAAGGCGTGCTGGCCCCAATATTTGTTAAAAGCGTTGGGTGGTTTCTATCCTTATACATGTTTTCTTTTTGAGCATTTTGTCACGCAGACAAGGGGCGTCTGCCGGGTCGAGCGAGTGGAGGTCGTTGGATATACCTTTGTGTTCGTATCGGCTGTAAGGGTGCCGTGGATTATGGAGATACCAGATTGGAACAGAACTGTTATTGGGAGATTGCAGGGCAACTCTACGTTGGAAGCGAATATTGTTTGTTTTTATGGTCGGAGTCTGGTTTTCCCTCGAACAAGTGCAGATTGGCGAAGAACTTTCAAGCGAAGAGTTGGGATCAGGATGGGGGCCAATGGCCAAAAAGTATATAACCGAATCTTCAATGTAATCAAACCTAGTAATAATTATTTATCCTTCGTCTATCGATGAACGCCATGTGCTTATAGCTCTGAACAGAGAGCTTGGGCATTGTCTGCAATTACGAAGCCCTCATCGTCAGCAGGTTGCCTTTTGTATGGAATGGTAGATGATGTCGGTCGGCGAAATGGGCCATGTTGTCCCAATTTTCGCCATCAACACCGTGCCTTTGCACCATTCATATCGAGATTAAGGATCAGGGCATCCAGAGTACCTCTAGCGATGACTCGATGGATATCAATGAGGTGAGCCCATTCAAGCAAACTTTTCAACATAAGTCAGGGCTGCCTATGACAACATCGCGCCAACACCTCCAGCCCTCAGCGATCAAAACGACCGATTGTCGGAATGCGAGGGATTCGCCACTTGCAAGGTTTTGGGCGTGGGCATGGATCGAATCAAAATTGTTCTGCGCATCATGTTGTCACGCGTGAGCTGCATGGGAGGATTGATTGAGCTCATTGTCATGCTCCTCTACTCTGCCACCTCGCTGAACACCTTTGACCGCCTCTCCCGAGGCATAGCAGACGAAATTCGAGGTAGGGGCGACAAAGGCAGGTCAGAAAGCCTTCATTCTTCGTCGATTTCCATCGCACCGCATCGCCATTGGAATTGCATGGGCCATTCCGCCCGTTCCGTTTGAGACGCAACCTGGTGCTGAAGATGAGCGCCCGGCGATTGGAGGCCCTGCCATTTCCTCACGCGGCATTTTATCGATGAGGGCGCGCATGATGGCCTGATTACTGATGTTGGAAGTCGCGATTTTGGCCACCGCGGCGATGAGGAGAGCCGTGATTTCCCTAGCAAGCCTCCCTCTTCACCAAGGCGACTTCAGAGTCCACGCGCTTCATCCGCTTCAAGTCTGCCGCAACGCGGGATCACCTTACGATTCGTCTGGCGCATTTATCCTTCATTGAGTCTACTGGCGAGATGCGTATCTTCCAGCGCCGTCGCAGTAGCACTTCATGGAAGGAGATCACCTACTAAAGCGCTGTCAGAAAGACAGGCACCGCAAAACCGCGCTGCTTGTTTCGCCCGGATCAATATCAGCGACGGAAGGATAATCCAGCCTATCAGAAAGGCAAGAATTACCGAAAAGCACTTTGGATATGGGGTAAGGCGTAGTTATTGGCTCTGCTTGGGTTTGGGATTGGCTCTCAAGCTTCATGTTGTGAGCGGCCCCATCTAGTGATCGCACTCATCGCAGCAACAAGTTCTCCAATGGCAGAGCACAGATAGAGAGGCTGCGGCAATCAATTTGGTGGCGGCCAAACATTTGGGGCGATGGCAACGATGGTGAGGATTACCCAGCGCTCAACATACTTGGTCTGAGCCAGGACATCTTGCGGGGAAGTGGAAGCGACAAAATCACAAGGACGCGAGTTATGTGAAGTATTTCAAGGGATCCATTTCATGTTGCAGTACTGATTTTTTAGATGCTCCGAAAGGCAGCTCCTGCGGCTTTGGATTATTTTCAAGGCTGCATATGCGGTACGAAAATGGCTCAAGTCCCTATTAATCGGCTGACATGCATACAAGATGGACGCTCTTGAGCCGTTTGTCAAAGGATCGGGACCTTTTGGCAATAGCTTGTTCACCATAAAAGCCCACCCTTTGTCAACCTCGCATATGTAGCATGCGGCTGAGATGGGACCGCCGTGGCTGAGCGGAACCTGGTCTTGAGTCTGCCATGATTCTGTCGCTTCTGGTTAGTATGGGAGCGCCGTAAGCGCCAGTAGTAAGTGAGAGAGCGCCAGAATGTCGTCCAGAATGCGTTTCGGGTATGGCAGACTGGGCCTGCAGTGATTTACACAGGGCTGGGCGTCTTGATACTTCATTGTCATGATCTGCCCATTTCGTTCGACCTTCTCTATTGCTCTCTAAGCGTTGTCTTTGTTTCTTTTCTCTCTCCGCCAATCCCTTCAATTCGTACCATTTTATTTTATAATTTGTATATATTCTGCCCTTTGACCGCAATTGACTTCTAGATGAAGGTCAACGACATCTTCCTCGCCCTGTCCGGCCTGGCGAGTTTATTAGCTCTGCCAAAGGGCACTGCCGGTCACGAATTGGCTACGGCCGACCAAGAAAATACTGTCGGTGGCCGCCATCTATCACATAGAGCCATCGACGCCCAAGACTTGAGACCCCGGATGCCGACTAAACGTGCGGGTGTAAAGCGACCTCCGGCACCAAAGAAGGCGGTACCGGCAAAGGCCGCTCCCAAGAAGGCTGCTCCAGCGAAGGTCACGCCCAAGAACACTGCACCGAAGAAGGCCGCTCCAGCAAAGGCTGCTTCTAAGAAGGCAGCCCCCCAAAAGGCCGCACCGAAGAAAGCTCCGCCCAAAAAAACCGCTCCAGCAAAGGTCACGCCCAAGAAAACTGCACCAAAGAAGGCTGTACAGGCGAAGGCTGCTTCTAAGAAGACTGCACCGAATAAGGCCGCACCGAAGAAAGCTGCACCCCAGAAGGCGGCATCAAAGAAAGCATCGCACAAGAAGGCCACACCTAAGAAGACGGCACCTAAGAAGGCTACTCACCCAAAAAAGGCTGCAGGCAGCAAGAAGGCCGGTGCTAAGAAGCCTTCTAGTACTAAGAAGACTCCTCCCAAGGCCGGGGGTAACAAGAAAAGCCCCGCCAAGGCTGGAGCGAAGAAGGCTTCTGGTGCTAAGAAACCTCCTTCCAAGACGGGGGGAAACAAGAAGACTGGATCTAAGAAGAATCCTGCCAAGGTTGGAGTGAAGAAGGCTGCTGGGGCCAAGAAAGCCGCTGGCGGCAAGAAAGTTGCTGAAGCCAAGAAGTCCATTGGCAGCAAGAAGACCGGTGGTCTCAAGAAATCTGGAAACAACAAGAAGGTTGCTGGCAACAAGAAGGTTGCTGGCAACAAGAAGGCAGCCGGCAGCAAGAAAGCTACTGGTAGCAAGCAGACTCCTGCCAAGGGCGGAGTCAAGAAGGTCACTGGTAGTAAGAAGACTCCTTCTAAGGCCGGGGCCAAGAAAGCCACTGGCCATAAGAAGGTTGTTAGTAAGAAGACTAGCAACAAGAATACCGGAAGCAAGAGCGCCGCTGCTCGCAAGGTCTTAGGTAACAAGAAGGCTTCTAGCAGCAAGAAGACTGGCAACAAGAATGCTTCCGGGGGCAACAAAGTTGCTGGCAATAAGAAAGCCCCTGGTAGCAAAAAGGCCGGCGGTGTCAAGAAGCCTGGAAACAACAAGAAGGCAGGGAGTGCTAAAAAGACCGCCAACAAGAATGCAGCTGCTCGCAAGAAGGGCATAGGGAACAAGAAAGCCTCTGCCAAGACTAAAGCTGCTGGCAACAAAAAAGCTACCGGCAGCAAGACGACTTCTGCCAAGGCCGGAGCTAAGAAAGTCACTAGCAACAAGAAGGCTGGCAACAAAAATACAGTTGCTCGCAAGAAGACGGGCAACAAGAAGACGGCTGGTAACAAGAATAATGGTGCCAAGAAAGCTGGTGGCAGCAAGGCTATCAAGACATCCTCGGCTCCCACTTCCACCAATTCCAAGGAGAAGACGTCTGCTAAGACTGGTGGTGAGGCGAAGAGCTGCTCCCTGCGAAGGCGCAATGGCTCAGACGCTGAATCGTCAGATTGCGGTGGCAAAAGAGGCGGAAACAGTGGTAAGAGGAAGGCGTCTGGGAGTGAGAGCCCCGAGAGCAGCCATAAGAGGCCGAAGACCGAGGAGAAACCCACGCAAGAGCAGAAACCTACCACGAATCCTGCCCGCGAAGAAAGGCCCGACCCTGCACTCAACGCCATTGACTTGAGCCGATCTGAGTACAAGGACCAAGTAGGCAGTGAAGGCCCGTTCAACCGATTGAATAAGCAATGGAAGCAGTGGAGTGTCGATCCTACGGGTAAGGGGAAAGAGACGTATGGGGAGAAGCCCATTATGCAGTACCAAACATCAGTGACGGACCAAGGTGGATTTTTCAACACCAAATGGGTTGAGACAAAGGACCGAAACCTTCCGGAAGGCACAAACCGACGGAACATGATAAAAGATGGCTGGAAAAAGGCCGGCGGCTCACTTGATAAGCTCAAGGCCTTGGGCGACAGCAACATCATCAATAAAGAAGTAAAGCAGTCGATGTATAAGGCAATCGATGCACAGGGCAAAAACTACGAAGGAGCTGTATCAGCCACATTTAGGCCTGGTAGAAAAGGATGGGATGAGATTAATAACAACCCCTTCCTCGGCGGTTACAATAAGATGCTCAAGGAGAGTAAGGATGAGTTCGGAAATGCAAAGATTAAGTCTGTCACGGCGACCATTGGCAAGGTGACCAGTGGGATCGATGGAGATGCCCCTCATCATCTTTTGACCATGCTGGATCGCCCGGAGACTGACGCCTGAAGGAAGATAAGGTAATGTGGTTTTGTGGGGGGTTATATATACAGTATATAATGCTTAGGATAATTCTGGAAGGGTATACCACTATCTCTCATTCATTATCGTCATTAAATCCTAAATCCCAAGGCTTTCGCTCTATCATTGTGATATGTTATCCTTTAATCAAACGCAGCATGATGCCCCAAACCCTTGTTTGTGCCTATGTTAAAGCAAGCCCCATTTCCATAACCCCTTTACCAACAATGCAGCTATTCTTCTTCTGATTCCACTCCTGCTTCGAGCGCTATAAACAATGCTGCAGCCTCTGGGTCATGTTCATATTCTAAATGAGGCGGCACCGCAAAAATATATTCGTAGTCATAGCTCTCTTGAGCAGTTGCACACCGATGCAGGACAGCGCCTTTTTCAACACCCTGCTGCTCAAGTATCCTGACCATGCAATCAAGTTGGTGAAACCGAGCCACGGCCATGGCCCAGTTTCCAGTCTCAAGTGTGTCGAGCCTTGCGCCGTGACGCCGCAAAAGGTTGAACATCTCCATGTCCTCCTTGAACACAGCCACGACGATTGGGGGTGGCAAGCCTTCGTTGACTCGCGCACCAGCCTCGATCAGCATCTTGGCAATGGGGAGGGAAGATTCACGTGCGGCCTTCATAAGTGCCGTGTTACAAAGCGGGAACCGATTTGGGTCAGCGCCATGTGCGAGAAGGATCCTGACAACCTCGGGGTTACTGCTGCGGATGCCCCACGAAAGAGGCTTAAAGTGCGAATCGTCCGCTTCACATTGTCCGTCGGCTGAAGCGCCAAGGCCGAGAAAGTAGTTCATCTTGTCCACAAACCCAAGGCCTGCTGATCGGGTCAGCCGCGAATCCAGGTCACCAAAGCCCTTCTTATCGAAGACTTTGCTGTCCGGCGAAAACATGCCCGCGCCTCGTTTATAGTTCTCGACAATCGGCGTTTTGGCGATGGCCCTCTCCAGGCAGTCAAACCCAGGCCCCGAGAGCTCTCTCTTCTCACCTGCTTCCAGATCCAGGGACGGCCCGCAATCGAGAGCGAAGTCGAAGGCATTCGCATGGCCACAAAAAGAGGCTCGGTTGAGGATGTGGCGCTGAAGATTTGATGGCATGATGGATCCCGGCGGGTCATAATGACGGTTAGATGAGAGCAAAAGTCGGATCATGGGCACGTCACCAGCAAGAGCCGCGGCATCAAAAGCAGAGCCAAAGATATCGCTCTTCACATCGACCGTATCTCCCCAATCACAGAATTCAGCACCCTGCGCGACCAGCGCCTGGATATAAGCCTCGTCGCCCAAGTAGACAGCCGCGACGCGATCATCTGCGGCCAGAGATGCGGCCGAACATTCGGTCGGGCGTGACCTGCGCCGGGCTTTGAATAGTTTATCCACCAAAGAAGAATCCTTCAGAGAGAGGATGCAGAGAGATTTCAGGCGTGCGTGTGCAGACTCCTTCCCCGCATCTCCGACTCTTTCTGACACAACCTCGGCCGCACGCCAGATGCGACCGATGAGTGATGTCGGCTCCTTTGCCATTGACGCCTGAAATGCGAGATATTCGGCAATGAAGTTGTCCTCGGGCTGTGGTAAATACCGATCCACATAATTGACGGCTTCACTCCTATTCTTGTGTCCATCTAAAAGGCAAAGGCGGAAGATGGCGTCGTCGATGAAGCGTTTGAATTGGTGGCTAACAACACGGCGTCTCATCACACGTTTTACTTCAGCAGAGCTGGCGAATTCATCAAAGATGCGCGTCACTAGCTCCGGCGGGAGACTCAAGATATTCATCGTCATTATGTCGATTTGTTTCCTTGCTGCTAGTAAGTCGTTGGACCCGAGGAGAACGACAATGTTGCGAGGGATGGCTCAGCTTCATGCGTTGATGAGGATCGTTGGCTTTGGTCCAAAAAATAGCCATGTGCTGAGTCATCATCGATGCTGTTCAATTCTCAGTTGCTGCCTACCCTGTATGACGCCCATTTCAAAGTGCCTCCTTCACTTCACGGCCTGATTACCTTAGGCAAAGCTGGAAAAGAGAAGTTCGACCTTCCTTGATCTCACTAGCCGCGATCTAGATGAATACTCAACAGCCACAGCCTTGAGCAAGTAAGTTAGACCCCTCCTCGATCCTATCCCACACGGCCCTCGTGCATACGATCAAGAGCCATAGCCTCGGGTTGTTTTGAGCAATATAATCAGATTCTGTTTGCTGTGATGATAGTAAATGCGATAATGAGCTGCTCCCTATGATAACCGCCAGCATCAACGGTCTTTCTAGATTGGTACCCTAACTTGTGACTGCCGAGCGAATTGACTGCTTATTTACGTTGTCTCTATTCAATTTAAGTTAGCTGTGGCCTCAAGAGGCGCTGTGACGGGCGTTTCAAATGCTTCCTTCGTGAGAGATTTGCCGTAAGTAAGAGATATCCTAAGTTCAGGTCACGCGTGATTTATATAAATCTAGTAGATACTAACTGTGATTGTTTTCTCACTGCCCTAGCAAGGGAAGCTCAATTATTTCTCGCGACCCTAGCAATGGGAGGGAAATATAGCTCTATACTTAATTATTTTCTTACCGCCTTAGTAAGGGTAGTAAAATCTAAAATAAGATTTAGTACATCTCTAAGTCTATATAAAGACCTAATACTTATATGTTCCCATATCCTCTTCCTTCTTCTTTAGTATCACAATTAATATTATCTACTCTATTTGTTCCTATATTCACCCTTGGGGTTTACACGCATAAGAAGATGACACAGGCCACTTTTAAGTTTTCAGGCGTCAAAGTTAACAATGATATCAAGAAGAGAATCGAAGCATTAGTGAGGAGAGATGTTACCGAAGACGGGCTAAAGGAGTATCCTTACTGCTTCATTGTGTATGCCTCTCACACGACTGCTTATAGAGGTAGAACTGACCATGGCTCTCCTAGGTTTCTTCCAGCCCATAAGTTCGAGTACCGCTGTTACAAAACCACAAAGAAGCAACCGGATGAGAGAGCTCCTAGAGGCACGGGCAGATATGGAAGCCCCTAGGCGACGGTGTAGATGCATCATTGGGAGGTCATGGCACCAGCGGCGACTGCGCTTGGGCACATCGCACCTTTTTGATTTATATTCTTAAATACATATAATCGAGTTCTCCTACCTCATGCTAATTCTGTCTAGCGGTCCTTGTATATATTGATTCCCAAAAAGGCTCTGCCTGGGTGATGCCGAATTTTGGAGAAAGAATAAACCCTAAGCGACGGTGTAAATGTGTTATAGTGAGAGAGACAAGTGGGTGACATAAGAGATGAGGCGCTAAATCAGTACTTCAAGCGTCCAGAACAATAGAGGCTCTGTGTTTGATCTGCACAACTTGAAAGTCCTTCTCCGCACAACAGGCCAAGTCGGCAATTGCTATGGGGATGGTGTGAGTGGGCAGAGAGATGCTTTTCAGGTAACCTCGTTGAAGCATTGTTCCTTGATCAAGACAAGCCTAATTTCGAGAACGAACCACGGATAAACTAGATCCAGAGCATGAACCGACATGCGCAACACATCAACGATCACATACGTCTCTTACAAAAGAGCAGGTTATCTGAAATCATAGCAATGCTATATCTTGTCTGAGTAAAAGAAGTACAATCAATTTATCTTTTGTGGCGGTCGTATTGTCTCGCGTTCATGTGCATCACTATCACCTTGGCAATCGAATATTCTTATTTACTACATAGAAACGGTGATACTCATAACTTTCCGTTGGACAGTCAAGTTTATCAAGGTCTCCAATGCCCCCGCTTCGTGATCGACTACAAAACTAGCTGTTGTATGACAACTTTGGGAGGACAGGCTACAGGAGCGAAGCCAAGGGCTCGTAATTGAACTATGGAGAGAACCTAACCCATCGATGCGAGGAATAGTGGCAGTGTAATATGGAAAGGTATAATATCGTTTCCCTCTGCCTATCATATGTCTATATATACAATCAATAGACTGATCATATAATTATGATGATTGAGAGCTGGATCACCTTGTTTCTGCCGAACATAGCCATTAACCCTAATTTAGCCAGAATATTTTATGAAGTGGGTGCTCGGTTAAAGATTAGGGTCGAGAGTGGTATACTTGGACTTACGCAGGAACTGATACCTAGTTGTTAGTATTGGATCCTCTCGTAATACACACCTAAATGCTCTGACATAGGTACGTAGTTGTCACATGGCCCAATGAGGTTTCCGGGTTTGTCTGCAACACTCCCTCGCTCAGGTACGCCCCTAGCACCCCAAAGCGTTATTTTGGAACCAAGCCGATTCCAATATCCATACAAGACATCCTCGAGCGCAATATCCGAGGGCCTTTTTATTGGGTGTGTCAATTCTCGCCATAGATAGGCTACATCCTCCGCATGAACAGGTTTGTGCTTAAGGCTTGCTGGTGAGCCTTTCAGACTTCGTCAGCCCCAGAAGTTCTCATGATAGTGTTGAGGTAATCTATGCGAAGGATGGTTGAAAAGTAAACCCATTCGGCCATGAAATCGTAGTACGCAGCCACAAGGACGTTGCCATCATCCGTGAGACAATCGCGCTGTTGCTCGACATCGCTGAAGCCTTTGCTCGCTTCAATGAAGAGATGTTCAATGCTTTGCAGAGACCCATAATGTTTCGCTGCTGTCCAAACAGGGAAGAGACCATCTGAGCCGCTGGGCGATTTCTTGGGCCATACCTGTTGGTTGGACCGGAGGTTCTTTTGAGGGAGATGCTCCATAAATGCTGCTTAACTGCGTTGTTTGCTATTGCTATTTTTAAATTTAGGCAACAATATCAACCATTCCTGACCTGTTTCCCTAGAATCCGAAAAAAACCATTCAATGCTTGAATACTTTTATTTTCTTCTTCTTGATACTTGACGTCTACAATTGCGTGAGCGACTAAAGTTTGTTTCAATCTTGATACTTCGCATGAGGCCATGGCACAATCAACAAAAGCACATAGGCACACCGCTCCTTTTCAATTTTACCGCCTCGCTGTCGAAATCCAGATCAACATATTTGAATACACATCATTGATTTCTCCTACCTCGCGCTATACGTGGAATACCAAAGACGGATTCGATCTTGACCCGCTCGACGAACCGCAAGAAGACTGGCACTCGCCTGGACCGCTGTTTCTCGTGAATAAGTCCTTCTATGAGAAGGCGAGGGAAATTTTTTGGAAAAATAATGTCGTCGAACTATACCTAGACAGCTCCGAAATGTTTAAGCCTTGGAAGCCGGGAGCGCCGTCGGTATATCCTACCCGATATGCGGCCACCCAGTTTTTCACTGAGAGAATTGCCCCGACAACACTGCCCTACCTCACCCGCCTTGAATTTGGCTCCTTGGCCCTCGTGCAAGATGAGGTGCGAGAAAAAGCGAGGATAGAATGGCTTGAAACCTTCAAACTCTTGAGGGATATGGGGCTGCGTAATTTGTCGCATGTGCATATGTCATGTAGGTGGTATGACGATGATGAACCTCGTTGGGAAACAGTGCAGCGCGCTACAGCAGAGGAAGTATCCGAGCTTCTTAAAAGGTTCATAAGAGACCACATGTGGCCTTTTTGGGAGTCTGGACGGCCGGCCGAGATCGCGGAAGCGCTGGCTTTTGAGGTGCGGTGCTCATCGGTGCAGTTTAGATACAGGGTTCATAGACGGGGGCGCGAAGTGCCTGCCTTTCTACAGACAAGAAAGAGTTGGGGCTCCCCAAAGAAAGCAAATGCAAATATGGGAAACGAAGAGATGGCGATTGCTGAGGATGATCAGATTGACCGTTGGCAGGAAGAGCTTTGGTTGGTGAGGCTAACTGAGTGTTAAATGCTGCCAGCCTACGTCCTTGTTTCTAAATAAAAACGAGGAAGAAGAAGAAAAGAGGAAGAAAGTCGAGGACCTAGAGATCTATGTCCAAATTCACCGATAATGTCGGCGGGCTGCCTGCCGCGGCGAGGGAGATCGTGCACAGCGCAGCGTTTTCTCCCCTCCCGGCTGGCGTCGCTCCAAACTTTACGATCCTGGAGAATTAAACTAGATAGATACGATAGTCGTGACGGCCAGTTTTGCTCTATCGTGGGTAGTCATCCTGCGGCGAGCGTATGCGAGATTGCTGGCGATAAAGCAAGTGACACTCGCAAATGGTACTTCGAGAAGTTTGCGCGCATATGTCATCCTGCCCCTGAAACTCTTCAGGTCTTTTAATCCGCAAATTTGAAGCCCCTACCATGTATCCCAATCAGAGTACGTGGGGAATCGTGGTGGTTAGCTGCTGATACATTGCCTAAGGGGCTTTTCGTAGCCTACGATTGGGGCATGTACGGGATGATTGTCTGGTACGGGGTTCTGGTTAGATATGTAGTTTGGAAGGCTTTGACCTCTCTGGGCATGTTCTGGTATTTATTTAAACTACTTTGCGCCACTGAGATGGCTGCAAGAATGTATACCTAGGGATGAACTTTCACGAATCCTGCCTGATGTGACTCGAGATGGGTGTGCTCCTCGAGCGGATGGCCATCTCGGTGCCTAAAGGCATAAATAACGCCTTTTAGTGGACTTGATACATAACGTATTGGGTCAAAATTACCTTCTACGTCGCCATCAATGTCAACAAGGATCTGTCATGCATGCCCTAAACCTAAAGTTTGACAAAACTCTGGCTGGGGACAAGTGCATCAACAAGAAGGCGCTCGTCGCGAGGCTTATACCTAGAGCCACTATGATGCCTAATCCCTTGTTGAGCTCCAGCTTTGACTTCGGGCTTGCTTCATGTAGCTACTTCTACGCAGCCTGTCTAGATGCTAGCCGAAGTCACAACATGTGATAAGTATAAATTACCTATGTACCTACCTGAAAAGCGACGTAACTTTATTTCAGGTCAGGTCCCTGCCTAGGTACCTATAAAATACATGTCTGGGTCCCTCTACTTTTTCTGTTCTCTCCTTTCTCCCAAGTGTAGTATCTGTTCTTTTCTCACTTGACCTATGATGAGCACTCAGCACCTCATCCAACAGTACTTACTTCCTTCCCAGAAGGTTGTATGTATCTGGTAATGGTGTAATTGTGAACTGAGGTCCTTCCGTGGTGACTCTTTTCAATATCCGCAAGTATGAATACGTTTCAGTAGGAGTCTATCAGTGTGGAGCAAGTTATACGTACGTGGGAATGCTTTAAGGCAAGTATAGAAGCTGGTTTCGGTGATTGCATTGACATTGCAACACCGGAGGCCCGATGGAACATAACGCGTACGTAGGTGGTCGTGGCGTTTTGGTTTCTGTGTGAAGAGGTAGATAGAAATCAACATCAAGTAGATCCTATTGCCTAGAAATTACTCAATGATGTGTTATTATTATTATTATTATTTTAACCATCGTCTATCAATATCGTGGCCTGTATTGGAAAGTTGGTATTAAAACACCTTTTTAGTAAGTCTTTTTTATTCTAACGCCCACTTGCTTGATTAGCAAAGTTGGCTTGCTCAAGGGATATACCTACGACAGTCATTTACACAGCATCAATTATGAGGGCATCGGACTTAGCTTTACAAGGAACGTATCAACAGCCTCTCTCTTACCAATTCTACGAAAAACTTAGATCTGATGGCCTGGTAGGACTCTGACTTCGGCTGTCTGCTCTTCCCGTGGGAGAAAATAGACTCCGGTACTGGTTAGTTGACATATCACACGCAAGGTGTGGCCTCGCTATCGAGCACGGCTAGCTTCCGTGCGAGGGTTTGGTCGAGGAAGGTGCTCTTGGACAAGATCGCCAGCGCGAACCGGCAAAAGACACGGGAAAGGGCCTCTTTACGCCGGACAGCAGCTGCAGCTCCAGATTATGGTATTTTATTTCGAATTCATCCGACGGGCTCTTCCAAAGCACGTCGATCACCCACTTGCCCGCCTTGGGCATAGTAACGAATTGGTGATCGTCCCGCAGCTTATGAAGGTCACGTCGAAGGAGGATCTCATTCTCGACGCAGTGTATATCGGCGGAGAGCTCTGGATTAGCGGTGTAGGCGATGTTGCGTTGCCACCACTCGTTTTGTGCCTGGGGGATCGTGTGCGATTTCGTTCGTTGGGGATTAGGGAAGCAGCAACTCGGCATGTCTGGTCTCGGGTTCCTACGTCGTCTGTTGTAGTTGGTTCAATGAGGGGGGAGTCGGCGGCCCATGAGTCGGGCAGGGTGGTTAGGCAGCGGAAGTTGTCGAAGGACGGAATGATGGGGTACTGCTCGTCTGTGGCGCATTTTGGTGCGGTCCACTAGGGAAATCGAGAAGAGGCAGACCATCCTGGATCCGAAAATAGTACCTCTGGCTGGCATGTATATCATCTCTTCCCTAGTCGATCGCCTCTCCGTCTGTGGTTGTGATGAGATTCCATCTCAGCGGGGTTTGGCGAGTATGGCACAGGCGATACGTGCTGTCGTGGTGGATCCCACCGTTGTCGACTGTGGGAAAGACGAAGAGGATATTATCCCCGTCGGGGTATCCTGGGTGTAGAAAGAACGTCTGCTAGGAACAATTGGTGCTATACGGAGATCGACGCGGTTTGAGGCATAGTGAGGCGTGAGGCCATGGCGATTGCTGGACGGTGTCATATGTTAAAGATGACGCAAATTTTGGCCGCGACTTGGTTGGGTTGGGGGAGGACGCGTGAGCACGTGACATCAATAAATGTATGCTCTGTGCCAATCAGCAGCACAGCAACCGAGACATTGAATTTGGACCCTCAAGCATCACACTGCTTTGCCTTTTTTCGATCTGCGAAACCCATTGTCCGATTGTTAGGTCTAATAAATTCTCTGTTCATATCGTTTTATAGGTACTGTTATGTTGTTTTGATCATCGTAGAGGTTGATCTGCTCATTACCACCCTTTAATCCGCTATCAAGCAGGTATTACCTCCATTCTTCCAAGTATGGAGGCGCAAATGCGGCAATGAAGCAACAGAGGCCATGGTGGATCAACGGAGCTTGAATCTTATCAAGGATATTTCTGTTAGCAAAAATATCTATGAAGGATCAAGTGCTGGATACTGCCTCTCAAGTGTCCATCGTTGTGAACATTGAAGCTGGGTGACAGGTGGTTGTCTGTATTAATCATCTATATCGTGTCCCTGGGCGCCGCCAGATTGCGTAAATGTCCAGAATCTTCCAGACGTCTAATTCTCAATTTTGCTCTTCACCCACTTCTCCAACCCGCCGACAGCAATGATCTCCTGCACGTTTGGCGGGAGTTCTCCAACAGGCTCGCTCCAGGTCGTCCCGTCCGCCTCCGTGACGTTGACCTTGCTTCTGCGGACATCCCACTCTAGCGTCCACCCGGTCCGTCTCGTGAGAACCTTTGCATCTGCCGACTCGCCAAACGCCTCTCGGAGCCGGGAAACAAGTTTCGGTACTTCGAGAAGCATGAGGGCGTTGTTGATGCTGTTCCGCGCGTAGGTTGCGCTGAAGGAGCCACCTACCACCAGGTTGATACCCTTGGCCAGGATCGACGTGGCAGCCTACAAGAATGTTTAGCTAAGTCAGGTCATCAATCGGACATTAGAGAAAGATAACGGACCTGTTCTCGTGATGAGCCACAGCCAAAGCTGTACCCTGTGACGAGGATATCCCCGGACTTTGCGATGGTGTTGAAAGCGGTGTCGTAATTGCTCATGCAAACCTCCGCCATCTCCTCCGGAGACACGTCGTCCCGGTACTGTTTCTTGTTAGCCACCAGCATCGTAAACTCTGCGAGTAATCCTTACTGTGTATTTCCCGGGATAGACTCCATCCGTCGAGATGTTGTCAGCGCCGCAGAAGGTGATCTGCCCAGTGATTTTCTCGGGGAAGCCGGGTAGGATGTCCGTCAGCTGCTCCTTTTTATCCGACTCTGCTCCATCGGCCTGACCGGCAGCCCCAGCCTCAATAATGCCATCCAGCTTGCCGATCAGCGACTCGAGCGTTTCATCTACGCTCTTCTCTGCGAAGGGCTCACCTTCCGAGTGCTCGACGCCGGCCCAGTCTGCGGGCTGTGTGTCCACGGGGCCAGTGATGAAGCCAGCGAGAGCCGAGGAGGTCACGACGGCGGGGCTGGCCAGATAAGCCTTTGCATCACGAGATCCCATGCGTCCCTAGCCCTGAGTGTCAGTACGTGGTCAAGTCAATCAATTGTGTCAAGTTGCGTCGACGAACCTTGAAGTTACGGTTTGATGCGGAAATGCCGGTCATTCCAGGCTCGAGTAATCCAGGTCCCAGGCCGATACAAGGACCGCATCCAGAAGGGAGAGGTCGCGCACCCGCGTCAAGCAGGACCTGCCAGTCTCCCTGCTCCTCAGCCGCCCGCTGCTCCCGTAGCGACGCTGCTGCCATGTAGAATTCCACGCTGTCCGGAACTTTGGGAACGACTCCTCCGTTGGCTGCAGTCTTCTCTCTGATGACGTTCGCCGCGGCCTGGAGATCCGAGCTTCGGGAGTTGGTGCAAGAGACGAGATAGGCGCGCTGGATGGCAATATCTTGTGCCTTCAACTCGGCCAATGGCGTGGCCACCTTGACTGAATCTGGACCGGCTACATAGCTTGGGACCGTGTCGAGGTTGAGCGTCAAGTGCTTCGCGTACTTGGCATCCTTGTCAGCGCGTAGAGGGTTCTCAAAGAGTTGGTCGATTCGCTGGTGATTGATCCGAGATGCTGGGGAAGATGCTGAGCCCTGTTGACCTGTACTGGACTCGTACATCGCGTACTCTGTCGCCTTGGCCCGGAGCCAACTCTGTAACATGTCATCTATCGGGAATATCCCTGAGAGCGCACCCCATTCCGTGGTCATGTTGGCTAAACACCGTGTCAACGATCCATGTCCTCACCCAGTAAGTATATGCGTGGCACCAACGTACAGATTGTCAAGCGGTCGTCAACGGAAAGGCTCCTCATCGTCTCCTCTGAGCCAGTGAACTCGATGGCATGGTTTAGAACCTCGTCATTGTTGAATAATCCGCACAGCGCCACGATTACATCCTTGCCTTGGACTCCTGGTTGGAGGCGACCTTGAAAGTGAACTTTGGCCACCGGCGGAATATTCCACCATGTCTGCGTAGTCGTCCACAAGCTCGCGCCGTCTGTGCGTACCACGGGGGTTCGGTGAGGGTGTTAATACTCAATTATTTGAGGTGAGGATTGTTATGACTTGATCGTTTGGAGTTCTACTCACCCAAGAACGCCCAAGGCGCCATAGACCTGGCCATTCGTCAGCTCAGCACAAAAAGTGGGTCCATCATGTGTCTTACATTTGAATGGGAGTCGGAGGCGACGACAAGAGTACCTGGCCAAGCGTAGCCTTCCTCGATCATGATCTGTTTAAAAAATTAGGCATTGGGTTTCAATCATAAAAGAAAACGCCGTGCCGTCGAAACCCCTTACCTGGTGTCCAATACCCTTGCCTGCAGGGTGGAAATCGACGCCGTGCTTCTTTGCGAACTCTTCAATGTTTTTATACTTTCTAAATTATAGGTTAGTTCACATCTTTATCCCTTTAAATCTTTCGTATCACTGACCGGAGGTTGGTTTCTGATTTGTTAGAGATGTCGTGGTCCAATGTCATAACAATTTGGCTTGGGTCTTTGATCTGTGTGGCGCCGATGGAGAGGAATTTGGTCGCCACAGGCCAGGTGCTGGATGTAATCAGTGCTGCGTTCATTTATGTTGGCAAGGACGTAGAACCAACTTATCATGGGTCATGCACTTGTGTGGCCTTGAGCTATCCGTCAGCAAATGCGAACCGTAACGTAAACGCTTGTTGCATGTGTAATTTACCGTATGGTGACATAGTCTCCAGACTTGACAAATTTTCCTTCTGCGAGCCCTACACTATGTGCCTGTACAATCTTCTCCGTCAATGTCTGAGGGACTGTGGGCGAGGCCTCGAGGGAACTCAAGACGGAGGCAAAGGCGGGATCATTGAGCTGGGAGTGAAACCCCTGAATCTCAGCCTGCGAGTTACGCGACTTGGAGATGTGCCGGACTCCTGAGGGGAGAGTAGGTATCCGGCGCGTGAGGCCTGCTGCCCGAAGCGACTGCTGCCGTACCGTGGCCTGGCCAAGATGTCAGTGCTGATCCAGGCGACAGGCGAATTGAGAGGAGAGAGGGCACATACGATAGCCACGCTACTGGTCAGCAGCCTCTTGGAATATTGAGACGCCAACATGATGGGGTAATTGAACGGCTCGCGATATCATGCACACTCGAGCCTTAGGAAAAGGGGCTGGTTTTATCGCAGTACGTCACGTCACTCAGCTTCCTACAAGGAAATCTCTAAACAGGACTTTTCCCTTGATCCTTTACTCATGTGTCCGATGTCGCACAAAATCGATTCCCGAGGCTAAAGCTGGGGAAAATTTTACAGGTCCATGGCTTACTAAGATAGACTGACCCACTTCTTGGAGACTTGTAGCCAATCACTGAGCGCATATATCAAATGGCGAATCCAACCGTAGCTCCAACAAATGACGCCAGCGATGTACTCCTCGACAACTCTCATCGACGCCTAGGCAGGATCTGTTCTATTCAAAAACGCTAAGTATCTCTCTAATAGAGCTTTCGAGACTTTTAATGGACTCTGTGCTTCGCCAAACCCATATGATCCTGCCATCTGGCCGAAGAAGCACAGCATCCACCCCATTCCACTGCTCATCAAAAGTAGCGATGCCATCTGCCACTCCGAATCGCTTGATCCAGTGACTCCAAGGACTAGTCGCCTTCTCCAGCCTTTCTTCAATGGCCGCGCTTCTATTAATAAGAATAAAAGAGCTCACATCCATAGCCCCAAGAAGCTTATCAAACCCACCCCCAATCTCGAGATGTGTTACTCTACGGCCCAGCAAAGGCTCCCCCGTCTCTTCTCTTCCGGGAAAAGGATCTCCAAATCCAGTCAACCTCTGAGCCAACAACCTATTGACATTGGGGAAAGCAATAATTTCGTACACCACATCGGCGAGGGCACGCTGACGCACATTTTCAGGCGCGTACAACCCAGTTTGCGCCAGGGTGCCATTGATGATAGCGCGGAGCGCAAGGCTTCTCTCTGTGTTGTAACTGTCCAACAAGGAATCGGCCTTCTCTGGCTTGACTCGCCCATTAATGACAGCGGCGAGCTTCCACGCCAAGTTCGCAGCGTCAGCTAAGCCGGTAGTAATGCCTTGACCTCCCGCGGGGAAGAATTGATGGGCCGCGTCTCCTGCGACAAACACTCGGCCGATGCGGTAGTTGCTAACCAGCCGAGTCGCGTTCCCGTATCGCGAGAACCAGAGAGGAGAGTGCATCCCAAAGTCCTTTCCAGTTGCTGAGACGGCATGGGCTTTCACTTCATCCAAGGTCGGAGCGCTCTCATGCGCTGACTTCATACGATCAAGCCTGACGCCCGTGACGCGGTAGTAGTTCTCGTAGCCAAGAGGTTGCATTAAGAAACATCCAGATTCATTGTTCACAGATAAGGGTTCCTCAGGAGGATCAGTAGCGAGCACATCGCCCAACCAACCGCTGAGATCCCGATCAGAACCGGGAAAGTCAAACCCGGCCTTTTCGCGAACAATGCTCTTGGTTCCGTCACAACCTAGAAGCCAAGATGCTGCATAAATCACCGGCGCCAACCCTTCAGACTGGCAAGTAACAGTGACACCGGACTGATCCTGGGTGAGATCCACAACATTGTATCCGAGTAAGAAATGTACGCCCTTCTCTTTGCAGGCTTCGATCAAGAGCTCTTCCGTTTTCTTCTGAGGTATCATGAGCGAGTGAGGATATTTCGTACCCAGGACATCTTTTGAGAACTGGAGCCTTGTAGCTGAAGACCCGTAGTGAACAGAATGGATCGGCTTTCCAGCGTCGATGAACAACTGGGCTATTCCGCGCGTCGCAAACGTCTCGACACTGCCAGCCGCCATGGCCGCTGCTCGGGAGCGGATATCTCGCTGGACGTTTCGTTCTATGACTGTAACATCTAGCCCAGCCGAACGAAGCTCAAAGGCCAGCCACAGACCAGTTGGGCCAGCGCCCACAATGATAACATCTCGAGTCATGTTGATATGAGAGAAAGATGGGGTTTAATAGAATGTACGATTTTTTTTGTTGTAAAAATACGACGATTGAGTTGTCGACTTACGCACCAACTTGTCCGGCCGACTCTTATCTATTTATATTGGACATTAGCTCTCGCAACTCGGCAACTACACGAACAACATCATTAAATGTCACTTAAACACGATAGGCACTCTACACAGAGATGGAATCTATGCATACCTACGGTACTACAGCTTGGACGTCTGATTGGCTTGATTTGGCGTTACCTCCATCGGGCTTCCCGGCTCTCTCGGGCTTCCCGGTTCTCTCGCACCTACACACCGTCCATTGCATCCTACCTCAATATGGGCTTCCGGTGCCTGCTGAACATTCAGATCTTCATGCGCCCGTCCCCGAGAAAACCGAAAGCACCGTGACCTTAACTTCACTTAGCCGGGTTCTATAATTGGATATTTAAGACTCGCGATATGCAATCTTAGCATTCTTTAACATGCATCAAGGTATAACTACAAACATCTGCATAAATTCACTGACAAAGATATCATGGCGAATAAAATCAGTTTACAGAGGATCACTTTTGCTGGCTTCGAGCATATCTCGGATAATTTCAACATCGCAGCTGGCATCATCGTCCCAGCTGGAAGGAGAACACTGGCCACTTGCGGACATTCGGGGATGAATGGCGAAGGCGAAGTTGAAGCAACGCTCCTAAGGCAGATGGAGGTGACATTCGAGGCAAGTTTCAATGAAGAAAACGCCAAATAAAAATTATTAACCGCAAGGCAGAACATTGAGAAGTCCATCTTGGCTGCTCACCCTTCGTTTACTAAAGAGGAGGCTTGGCAATCAGTCTATCAGGTCACTACGTACCATAAAGGAGGGCTGACCCAAGTAGCTATTGAGATTATGTTTGATGTTGCGAAGCGCGCAATGGGAGATCACGCACCGGCTTGGACAGCGGTTGGAGTAGACGACCTCGCATTCGGGAGTGTAGAGATGAGCATTCTGGCTTCTCTACCTTAGGGAGAGGCTTTATTATCCCCCAATATGGAAGCTTGGGGGACTAGAAGAGTTCATTTAGGTGAAATCGCCAACTCTCAATGTGTTTTCAAACGGAATAAATATTTACGATAAATCTTGTTGCATTTGCGCAATGAAACTGATGTCGGGAGCTCTGCTCGGCTTTGAAGATCTGCTAATTTAACGATCGCCAGACATGTGACTCAATGAATCGTGTCATATTTCTTCGCTACCTCCTCTATTCAACATGGAAGGACAGTCAACTTGGGTAATATCGACATCATGCAGCCAGCCCATGTCAAAGTTCATGAGCGAGGAGTCACTCAAGTCGGCGCTACCAACAAGATCCCACGTGAGGGGTAGTGTGCTTCCTCCAATGCTGCCAGGGGCCAGCAGACGAGCATCCAAGGCCTCTTGTCTCAGCACATTGAAGGAGGACCAAATGTTCGACTGAGATCCCTGGAAGCAGTCGAGCGTCGTCGAGCTGAAACACTTCTCAATGGTCTCCCAGGCCTTCCCCTCCAACTGTCGCCCCGGGCAGATGCGTAGTTCCGAGAGGGCAAAAGACATGGCGTGCCACTGGATGTGGTTGTTCTTGACGAACCACCGCCAATGGCGCAAGTCATCATCACGATCCATCATGTGTTCAAGGTCGAGCAAATCGATTGACGACTGGAATATCTTGTCTCTGTCCAAGGTGGATGAGTAATTCCATACGCCCTTCGTGATATCATCATAGGACGAAAAGCAACTCAGAAGCCGAAGCTTGTCCACGGCAAGAGGGGTCAACATGCTGAGGAGTCGGGCGATTGGAGTCGAGAGGTGCCGGCACTGTCGCAGGTAGCTGTGGTCTAGGGAGACAAATAGCTTGTCCAACGCTGCCTGTTGATCCTCGGCTATCGACGGCGCCTTGCCGGGAAGTAAGTGCTTCATCTGTAGTCCCGCGATCGCCAGCCAGGTTTCGAATCTCATTAAGGAGAAAGTCATCTCTGTACTGCCTTGTCGGTCATGGATGTCAGTAGATGCCGGCCCAAATTCGTCGTCGTCGATGTTGGCTGGCATTCTTGTATCAAAGCTTAGCTGCGAGATGGTTACTTCGGACCGAGCATCTTCAGACACACGCCAGTCAAGGAGACACAGCTGCCACCAGAGTCGACGCCGCATCTCAGCCTCAAAGGGGGTGAGCTTTTCCAAAGATCTCTCGTCGTGCAGTTTCATTCTTCGCGCGGTTCGGACAGCGAGAGCCGTCAATGCTGCTATGTTACCGGCTTCTGTTCGCGGCAAGCACGTCTGATACGACTATTCAGCTGCAGGGCCTAGAAGGTATAATTTGCATGCTCAGCTTACCAAGAATATTACAAAGGCTTGAAGGACAGTGAAGTTGGTAGTCTGCAGAATCTGTACTTTCATGAATCCTCGTTCGGCACTTTCCTTAAACGACATGGCGAGGCTACTAATGTCGAGGGCTAGCTCTGTTCTGGCCTGTATAGCTGGTAAAGACACGATGCCGGCATAGCAGATGGATAGCAACAGAGTGTGGACATCTTCGTCCACTTGGCGTTGTCGTGATGCCAGATCGTTCAAAGCCAGTTCAACACTGGGTTTGTGCACAACTTTCATGAGAGGATCAACATTTCGTACATATGTTGCCCATAATTGACGGATCTGGGGCAAGCTGGGATTTGCCAAAGGGACCTGACCATGATGCCCCATTGAAGGAAAAATGATGCTCTGAAACGACGACAGTATGGGTGATGCATATGCCAGCGCTGGTGCAAAGTTTGTCATTGGGAACTCGCCGGCTGCCTCCTGCTAAACAATCATTAGCATGTTTAGGACAAGTTCCTTCATGCAACTTGGGTTATAGTCGTCGACGAAAATGTTTCCGCTTAGGAGCCTGTGCTATGTTCTTATGCAAGGATAGAATAGCTGCATGAGAAACTAGCACGTTGGCTAAACGTACTGAGTCTAAAGTGTGACCACGAGCGTCTGAGGCCCGTTGCGTCTGCTTGCGATTTCGCCGTATAGGCCCATCCGGGTATACGCAGGGCATGGAAGCTCTTGCGCAATTTGAACAAGTCAAAGCTCGGTCGCATTTCAGCTTGCGCTGCCGGCAAGCAACGCATGACCTGGATTTCAGAATGGGTATCATTCCGCTTGACCGAGAACACAATATCGGCCATCAGTAGGTCCAAAAATGAGAGCTGCAACTAGTAGTCCGGTCGAGCCGAGTTGAAATTTATCCTCTCGGAGGTAAAGTCATCACGTGTATATGGTACCATCAAAGTGGGTATATTCCGGCAAGGGATGATTTGCTACAGAGAAAAGATCTAGGTATAGAAACCCCCGGAGTTAACCGGGCGCAGTGTCTATTTCTCTCTGTGGTCGCCGACAATTCCCCTCTCCCTTTCCAACTTGATCTATTGTAAACGCTCCTAAAGTCTCTCAAATTCCCCAGGCAACTCCTCTCTTTCACCCCACGCCGATACACGTCGAGAAAAAGGCTCTGGGAACTGCATATCCCACCCGTGTATTGCCTCCCTTGTGATAATTGCTCCTGCCCTATCCTCAGGCTATACCTAGCCTTATTCAGTCCGCCTATGCCTTAATATATCAGCTGTCGTCTCTATTATAGATATATTTTCTTTTTTTGTTCCGGTGATAGAGAGGGATCAAATCTTTAACTACCATATATAGACCAAAGTATATTAGATGATTTATAGAAACACAAAGGAAAGCTGTAGATTCAACTATTATTTAAAGCTTAGCGTTAGCATATACAAGCTCTTGACCATGCGAAACGTAGACTGAACTTAGACACATAATACTGCAGCAACTATTTCTCTCCGTAACTTAACTTGTGCGGCATCCAGGGCATTGGTAAATCAAGAAGAGGGTGTATTATCGACCGTCGAGTGAATGCGCCAACTGATCTTGAATCAGTCAAACTAATAGAGACAGTGGCGATGATAACATATCTCTATGTCCTCGGGTGAACTGGGTACATAGTAGTTCCCACTGGGTAGCCCGTAGTCAAGTTCTTCAGTTCGAGATACATTACCGCTTTACGGAAATGCTCAGTTGATTCCCAGACTACGATGTTAATAAAAAAGTTGCCTTGTGGGCCAATAGACTGATGAAGTTACTCTAATCTCATGCCATATTGTGCTTTCATATGGTTTCCGTCTCGCTCCCAATTTTCAAGAAATAATTTTGCGTTAGGGTGGGACAAAGACGAAAGTGTTCAGTAAGGTGACTTAGGCTGGCTTCATAGTATGCTTGACTGGTAAACAGCATTAAAGTCTCTGGGAATTCCTAAGCGGTCAACCCTTCGCTCATATTCATTGCCTAATCGTTCGAATTAGAAGGCGAGAAGAAACGGTTAAAAAAAGATCTTGGTTTGCTTGGGCCGTTCTTGAATGGTTGTTTGAAGAGAAGGCCGACATAAGAATGGAATCTAGCCCCGTTATGTACTTAAGGCTCAAACATCCTGGTGAGGTGAATATCTAATCACGAGAGTCTCGGCTTACTCGGAAGGAAAGGCGTTTACATCTTCTTCGTACCTATTCGTAGGTTCACTACGTCTTTGGCTCAGCAGTTAGGGAGGAGGCAATATATACAACTCTGGCCGCTAATGTACGGCAAAAAGGTGCCACCGCATGATGAAATGTTAGAATTAGTAATTCGTTTGTTATCATTTGCTACTACCCACTTCATGAATGGTTCATGTTTGTATCTTAGTTAATGGCAAGAGCAGCAACAATCGTATCCAAAGCACAAGACTGAGTGCTCGCATCGGCGGTGGCGTAGGGACCACCCCAATAAGCGCCATTAAAGCATCCGCCGTTCTGGATGGCTAAATCATTGTTCCAAATGGACTGGGCATTTCTCTCGATAAATGTCTTCCAAGAGGCGGTGGGACGCTGGTTATAGAGATCTCGGAGACCACGGGTGAAGACACCCTTGAACTGCTCACCATCACCAGAGCAGTTCTTGTTCTTGTCGCAGTCGTCGACAAGGATGCCGTTGGAGTCGACGAGGGTGCTTATGGCAGCATTGGCGATGAGGGACGCTTGGTCAAGGTAGGAGCTGTCACCCGTAGCCTTGTAAAGCTTGGCGAGGGCACTGAGGATAACGCCCTGGTTGTAGGTATAGGTGGGGTGGCCGTTGTTCTTGCAATTAGAGTCAAGGCCGTCATTGATGAGATTCTGAGAGTTGATCATGCCGGTTCCCTTGAACCAGTTCCACTGGGTAATAGCGGCGTTAACGTATTTCTGCTTGACATCATTGCCAACGTTATTGGCAATGGCGGCGGAGAGGTGAAGGTATAACTCTATGCGATTTGTTAGATTGGCATCTGAGAGATACGGGAATGGAATTGATAAAATTTACCGTTGGCAATAGCGTTGACATAGGTACGGGCCTTATCCCACCAGATGCCGCCGCAAGGGGTAGTACCGAGGGCAGCGGTCATGTCGTCCCAGATGTAGATGGCCTCATTGAGGTATTCAATCCTGCCAGTAAGCTCCCAAGAGGCGATGAAGCCAAGAGCCCACCAAGCCTCATCGTCATAAAATGAGTTTATGAAACCAACGTCTCCCTGGCGACGGAGGAGGGCGGAGCGGCCAGCAAGTTTGTTACGGGGAATGTAGACCTTTTCGTAGACTGACATGTCGCTAGATTGTTTGGCACTAGCAAAAGGCTTGTTCTTGGGGGCATTGGTGTAGATCTGGTTGATTACAGGAGTAACCTGGCTGCCAACACCAGAGTCGAGCTTGCCGAAGAGAGCGAGGGTGGTCAGCATATTCCCTCCCTGCCACCAGTACGGGTTGTTGCTGTTATCATAGAAGAGACCCGTGTTAGAGTTGAACCACCGGAGCAACTGGTCCCTACGAGTATATAACTGTTAGGATGGACAAGTCTCAATGTTAGTCTAAGTTGTTGTGATGTGAGAAATACTTGTTGCACCCAGCGTTCTGGTTATAAGAAGAGGCATCAGCCTGGACGAGGGTAGCGCCAGCGGCAATGGCGGCCGTCAAGAAATAAGCGTACATCATCAGGAATATATATACAGATATGTCCTATAAGTCAAAACAAAATACTTATGGGGATCTAGATAGGAGAGAGCAGGAGGCTGACAGAACTTGTTCTTTATACATGACGACTTGTAGTAGATATAGTAGACTAGAGGCCTATGATGTAGTATCAGCGAGCGGCCTGCGGCACACTCAAGTTCCCAAAGATCCTTAGTAGAATTGTGAGGAAAAACCCAAAGTGCCATCAAAGCCTCATGTTGGGCTGTGATGTGCCCATTGTGGAAGTTGATTTACCAAGCCCAAGTCGTGACATTGCAAGTCTTGGGCTTACTAGTCTAGAAACAAGGCACTGCATTGGGAAGGTGTGGCTGTGGAGAGAGAGGAGGTAGCATCGCATGGGTGCTGTACAGCGTGGCAGGCGATCAGTGATGAGAACTTGGTGCTAGACAGTGGCAGATTAGGCTGTAGGCTGTAAGTAATCATCACGCGCCGTTGCCACACGCCGTCAGCATGCGCCGTCATCATGCGCCATGTTCTATAAGTAGGGTCGTGTTGGCTCCTCAAAAGGGCTATCCGAAAGTCACGCATCTTATTGACAAATTACAGGAAGAGTTAGCATTTCACGTCATAACCAGAATCAAGAGACGTGGCATTATATCTCTGTAGTATTAGCCTGACACGTCCTCGACATGATTTCCAACTTGGGAATTTGTTTCAATTTTATATGAGTGCCTAGTTCTAGTTGGTCTTCTTTTCCCCCCTTCAAAGCAAATAACCTTGCCTCTCTTGTATTAGGCGACCACTGTTCTTACGGCGCTAGTTTATGTCATCAAGGATCGTTAATTTTGTTTGCAGGACTACGCCGTCGGGATTCAGACAAACGGGGACAAGAGGTGGCCCCCAATGGTGTATACTGTAGGCAGCCCCGGTGACAACACAGCCCCTCATTCATCAGATTGATGATGAACTCGAAAATTGAGTCCGAGACGGCTCACAGAAGACCAACTGTGCCACCTACATCTGTTCAAGTTGGTTCCGCTAAAGACTCATGAAGACGTTTTCATGTAGTTAAGACGCCCCTGAGAACGAGTTAGAGCATATTGATCTAACAACCAAGTCAACATGTTTGTACTCCGGAAATAAAGTGTAGCCAATCGTGGTAGCGTCTTTGAATACATAGTCTCCTCAGTATATCTTTCTGGCGGAAATACGCTTCGGAAAATTGATTCAAATTCACACCGTGCAGTGCTTTCGAAGTCTTCTAACTAAGAGAGAGCATACTTTAACAAAGGGTTGTCAGAAGGCCCCTTTCCCAGAGTATAATCTTCCAATGCCTCCATCAGAAGGCTGGCAGCTTCCGTTTCAACAAGGCCCATCTCCCCACCCGATAAAGCTCTCAAGTGAACGGAGCACTCATTTAGAGATCCAGGCCCAAGTGCCTGCTTCACCCTTTCTCGCAAGATGTCTATTGCACGTATCCAGCTCCCGCTGCCCAGATGAACATGGTCCAATGTAATTTTGTTAATGCTTGTTCCCAGACCTTGAAAAAGCCCTTCCACATGAGTCTGGGCTATGGGTAGATTGGAAAATTTGATCCTTTTGATGCGAGGCCAATATGCTCTTCCGAGTATTCCCTCCAAAATCCCCCATTCTCCAGTCTCAATAGACAGAGACGTATTAACGCCCAGATATACTTTTGCATCAATAGAGACCTCTTCGAGGTTCTGATGGGCTATCAACGCGGAGAAGTAGGCCTCGAAATGAGCCCTCTGTTCTTCTGAGGGAAATCTCAACCCGTGTCGAAGGGAGAAAGGAAGTTTGGGCATGTAGAATATCTTGAGCTGCTGGAATGCCGCATTAAGCAACCCCCAGTCACGATCCGGTAAGCCTTCCATAAAGCGAAGATGATGGGCCGTGGGCGGGCAGCCTAATGTGAAGGCACCTATGACTCCACCGGCCTGGTGGATGGCAACCGGGAGATCGTGGATGATTCTGATTGCCTGGCGCTGATATCCATCGTTGTCGGCGTCTCCTCCGTGATCCCAGCTTACACCGGATGCCAAGTACTTGGACAACATTGATTCAGACCCTTCATTAGATCGAGACTTGTTCTTCGCCCTGTCGGGGTATCTTTGCTCGCTTGCGATCACTTCGAGAGCTACTGGGCGTGATGCAAGGGAAGCCAAGCGAGCAACGGAGCTAACAAACGACTTGTCCATGAGCAGTCGCACCTGCTCCTCGTACGCGCGCGAGAACTCATCATAGCATTCTCGAACAAGTACCTTATATCTGGCAACATGCTCCATGTCTGATGGATCCGGGCCCGATTCAGTGACAGAGTCCATCATCTGCCTCATGACGAACCTGACTTCTCTTGATCCGTCGATCGCCTGGCGAATGACTTCATTCGCTTCCTGGAAATGTCTCGCCCGCTCCACGTTACCAGCCTCCTCGGCCTTTTTTCGTCTGAACGCGTTTTGCGCAAGAAGTGAGGACAGCCTCCGGCGGTTCATGTTCAGACTGTCATGGTTGTAACCCAACCATCTATTCAAGTCCCTTACAAGCTCTGCTGGATAGTATTCGAGGCTCACCCGGATAGCTCGAACACCAGAGGCTATCAAGGGGTTCGAGCAAACTGCCTGTACATGGTCGAGGGATTTCTGACTGAGCGAGAGCCGTACGACGGGGTAGAGTAACGGGCTCGACAGGCTGTTGAAGAGACGGGAGACAAGCCGCAGGGACTGTACGGTCTGAATGTCAGATCGAGAGAACGGGGCGATAAAGTCTTCTCCAGCAGTTTGGCCCGGGGATGCTGAGTACCGGAACTGATTGATTATCATCAACAGGAGCTCTGTTGACAGATCCGTCAATTGGATGTCTCTCGTTTCCCCGCGGGAAAGAAACGCCGCCCTCGACCTCAGCGCTTCGCGCCGTCGGTCGATGCACGCGGCCGCATCTCTCCATCTACGTTCTGAGGTGGACGAAGAATCTGGACTCAGTAACGGAGAAGGCTGACGCGCCTGGGTTTCCTGAATCGCCTCAAAACATTGGAGATGCCGAACCACGACCCGGTCGAGGATATCGATGCGACCAAGTTCCCCATAGACCGAAGCGAGATCTGTGTAAGAATCAGCATCATGCCAGTCTTCTGGAGAAATGCCAAAGGCGCCAGGATCAGCAGATGGAGCTTCCATTTTCTCATCTGCGTCTTCACGATGACTAAGTTGATGAAGAGAGGATGGTACGATCTATTACCCCGCATAGCCCCTGGGCATATTTATAGGCTGTAAGCATTGCCTTGTTGCGGACCATGCGGACCATGCGAACCACGCGAACCACGCGAACCACGGACCGCTTCGAGCACGCTTGCGCCAACTTTTACCATATCCAGATGACTGTGGACATTCCCTGATACATTTGTCTAGTCAAGCTTGCAGTCAACGTTCACAGCAGTGGTCATAGTCATCTTTTATGATTCAGGTAACGGCCGCCTGTTTCATTGCATTTCACTCGGCCACACAGGTTCAGAGTTCAACCCTACTATGCAAACGCACTATAATATCCCGCCAAAGAGTCGACTACGCCCATTTCGCATCGTCGGTATTATAGCCCATGGATCATACTGGCCTGTTGAAGAGTTCGGATTCAAGAGTAATAAGTAAATTGGATTGTAGTGATGTATTTACATTTTCTCGTTTGGCTAGGGTGCCGACACCTTTATTGGCTGGACACTCACCAGCCATCCACTCAAGTCGATTATATAAAGGTAGCAAAGGCTCAGAAGATAAACACGCTATGAAATGATACAAAAGACAGAATCCGTCAAGGAGAGCATACAGTCTACACACTAAGATAGTCGATAGACAACGTCCTTGCTAAAGTACCTGGTGATATCGTTGTCGTTGCCGCAGTGCTCGCAACGATGCAGGACCTTGGCGCCAGAGTGTCCCGGGCCGTAGTGATCTGCTCCGGCTGGCTTTGGAGCCGGGGCAGCGCCGATGCCGTCGGAGCTACTTCCCACGGAGTTGCTCTGCTCTCGCTCCTTGATGTGTTCCTGCGCAAACTTGGGGTTGGCGGTTGGGAAAGCAGCCCCGTTCGCATGGTTGTTGTATTCCATGGTAGGAGAACCAAAGGTACCGCGGGCGTTGGTTGGTGAGGTGGGAGTTTGCTTCACCGCATAGCTGTCGTCGTAATGATTGGTAGCAGAGCCAACTGGATAAGTTAGGCCGTTAGCAGCGTGACCATTCGTGCGGCTAGCGCTGCGATATGGTAATTCGGTGGGAGCATAGTCTCCATATTCACTTGGCTGGTTCAGCTCAGTGGCGGCCATGCTAATAGCTCGGTTTTCATCATCAGTCATGTGTGGCTGGCCGCGATTGACAGTTGCGATGATTGGAGTTTCAAAGGTGTCATCATCATCGTATCCGCGGGCACCGGCTTGGCCGCGGCGAGCAGAGTAATCGCCATTGCTAGCGATGCCATTACGCTCGAGGTGTTGTCCGTTGGTTCCCACATCATCTCGCTGCGGATTGGTCTTGCCGACGTCGCCCCAGTAGGGGTACTTTTGCGGCTTGGTGCTGCCGGCTGAGAACGGTGCGTTCTTGCTGTAGCCATTGGGGGCGGTCCTTGAGTCTGGACTGGGGATGGCCAACTCTTCATCTTCAATCTGGCCAGCTGCTATCCCATTAAGGATGTTTTGGTGGGCTTCTGAGTCTGGGCTGACAGCGGAATATGTATACTCGCCGGCCTCATCACCTTCAGTCGTTCGATGAAGGTCCTTGACCGAAGACGGGCGTTGTTTGGTGGAGGCCGTCTCAGTAGTAGTCTCCCAAGTCCTGGTTCTAGTGCCGTTGTTTACAGTGGCACTGCGAGGGATATCGGCAACGGAATCTGGGTAAGCACCTGGTGGCTTTCGAGGCGGCTGAGTGCTGTGACGATGGCTCTTGTCGCCACTCAGCGCTCCCTTGATCTTGGTTCCCAGACCCATTTTGTGTGTTATTTTGTGTGTAAATGCGTGTGTGTTTCTACCGTTGTAGGTATTGAAGGTATAATTGACAATGCTAGTAAGTCTATGCAAGGAACGGCACGACAAGCAAGTCTGTATTTATGCCGCATGGAGCAAGCATCTACTGATTGCATCATACCCTACCTACGTAAGGATGCCAATTATTTTCTTGAACCCTCCCTTGTGTGATGCTGGAGGTGACATCAGAAGCATGGATCCTGAAGCCAGGATTGTCAGTCGAGCCAATCAGCGGCTCGGAATCTTGGTGGATCGGCACTGAACCCTTCAATTTAGTCTCATCCAAGATCCCGGTAACAGGGATGAAATGACGTCAATCCCCTTTAGCTACACCATTTCTTGGCAACTACCCTACGGCATGGACCAGAACTTGGGTGACGACAAGCGATATCAGATTTCTCAGGGTATATCTGAGAAATGGGTCTTATCGTATTAAAAAACAGTGAAAAGAGCGCAGTGGTTCCAATATTAGAAGTGCATGTTCTCTTCCTAACACAATGCAAGGGGTGAGAGACTGATAACGCAGTTCCACCCCTTAACTGGCGGCGAGTTGCCCATAGGTGTCAAGCACTTTAGGGAATGGAATGCCTCAGTGAGCACTTCACGGCAACTGTTTGATGCCTAATCAATTAATTGGTTACTTTTGGACAATCTTCGTTTAATGGCCGAAAATATGTTGACATAAGACACCCATCTCTACTTCAACAGCCACTGGCCAAGAATTGACTCTTCACCAAGGGGACAGCAACTTCTATCATCAGTGAAGATAAATTACACCTCTACCCGCTCCCCTTCAAGGATAGGAATACAACGTTTATCAATTGAGGCAGAATGGAAATTTACTATAGGGAATCCTCTGCAAGTCACATCTCACGATACTGTAAGTATAAGAGGGCTGTAATTAACCTAAAACTTAACTACCAACCTTAGACCAAGACAGAGGGTGAGTGACTGCACAATTCAGTACCTTTCCAAGCTCTAACACTCTGATCAACCTACTCGATTGTAATCTTGGAGTCTAGCAGGCCGCAGAATATCCTCTTTGATTCCTCCCAAGACGCTGGAGAGATGATCCACCTACCACAACGTAGGTAGGCCCCACTGTCAAGCTTGGTTAAGGCAATCCCATAGACTTGGGGCCACCTCTCTCTAATCAACGCCGTGATGATTGGGAAAAGATAAATATCTTCCTTTGTATCCTGCTTAGTATCAAAGCGGATAGACCCTGGGAGCCTGTCATGAGATTCCGGCACCGTGGCAACATCGGCGCCCGTACCAGGGTCTATCAACCCGTCAATACCCATTTCTGTCTCATAGTACGGCTCATTGGGGTAGTTGAGGTTCGGAGATGACTTTCCAATGAGAAGTTTCCCTTTGAGAGTAAGGTTGCCGGCGATGACTAGCCCTGCCTCATTTGTCTTGGAGACCACGTCCACAAGCTCACAGAGGCTCTGAGTAGTGAATGACCCGCTTAGACCCTCTTCGTAGTTGATGGGACCGTCTATTGCAGCCCAGCTCCACGAAGGGGCACGATACCGTGGCGGCCGATTTCCATTACCACAGGTGTACCAGACTAGGGCTGTAGGCAAAGTCTCTTTCCACATACCAGCAAGATATGTGTCATCGCATCCGTGCTCCTTCAAGTGAGGTTTCATCCTCATAGCAGCACTCTCTATGCAATCGAGCCTCTCATCCGGGCCTGCCACGGTGCATTTGGTATATTCAGGCAAAAGCTGGAACCAACGACTCAGTATATCTTTTTTGGGATCACCAAGAGGATAAGAAAACGGACGAGCGTGAATAAGCGGCTTCCAAGCGGGTCGAGGTGGTGCCCGGATCGGTTTGCCAGCCGCATATTTCTCACTGATCACAATCGGTGTCTCCCCTTCTATATTTGTGTACCCTCCGGGCCCGTATAGGATACCACCAGGGTTTACCTCGTCGCAAAGAGCACCATGGCATTCCCAGGAGATAAGGGAGGTTCCAAAATGGATCATCCGTGGTGTCAACAGACGTTCCCGGAAACCTTTTGCAGTCTGGACCAATGGCTCATCCTTGAATTGCGCCATCTCTGGCCTGTGAAACTTCAACAAGGTTGTATTTCCCTCAGCGTCAAGAGGAAATTCAAACGCAGTAGGTATAATAAGATGCGGCTCCCTTTTAGCAAACAGCCCGGAAGAGGGAAGAGTAGACCTTGTAGCGCCAATTCCACAGAAGCTGTTAGACAAGATATCCTGTAGCTCAGTGTTGCTAAGTGGTGGTTCGTCTTGAGGAGTACAAAGATGGTCGATCCAAAGATGATGGACACCCAATCGTTTGGTCACAGCAAAAGCATCCCTATAGGTCAGGGGCAACGTGGAGAGAGATTGGGGGCGAGAGAATTGCCTCATGCTCGATGTTGTTAGCCGGAGACTCTCATCAGCATTGTAGCAGTGGCTGAGTGCGCAGTAGCGGACACCACTAGACTGGGTAGAAAGCTGGCCAGCGGGAATCAAACAGAATGATTCGCCAAGGTCATCCAATTCGAGCAGATAGCTTGGCAAAAAATCAGTGGTTTGGTTGCAGCGCCTATGGGTCTGGATGCATGTACCCATCCAGCTCTGAATCAAGCTCCAGGCTTTGGCATCTCCGGTTGATGGGCTAATTTCAAGGTTGCAGTCATGGGGGGAGCCTTGAAAACTGTTAGCAACATGATGTGAATAAGATGTCGGATACAACATACCGTCGAACATTTTCATCGGCTGGTTGAAACGAGCCTTGGGTGTGTATATACACATGACCGGGTATGCATTTAGGAGGCCAACAGCGAACAAGGAATAAAACCCTAGCTCAGCTATTGCAGCTTCTTGATCGATCTCCATACCATTATGTCTGGACTGGCAACACATAACACATCCATCGGCAACAGATTGTAGATAGGACTCTAGAGTTGGATGGTGGCCGAACAAAAAGTGCGTTGGGTGCTGGTCATGCACGTGCGACGGAGGCGCCTGATGAAAGCGCTCATCTTCCTTGAGTTTTTCATCGAATTCGATTTCCCTGCATACCCGCTTAGCCTTGGAGGGGTCCCAAATGCCCTGGAGACCTTCGCGGCAGATATTGCAGAGCATTGCGACCGAGCTGCTTGGTGTACACTTGGTAGGAACAGCACTTGGCCTTCAGAGTGTGGGATCAACGATCATTTAGCAGGGCGGCGTGTTAGGGTCAACTGATGAATCGATAGGCAGCCGAAGGCGCTGGAGTATTAGGCAAAATGGATTGCGCGATTTAATATGACGAACAGAACGGTTAAAAGTGTTTTAATTGGGCTGATCGCTGTTAAATGTATGCATGTTGGTCCTCCCTTTGCACTTCATATTGCAGGCTACAGGCAGCTAACGGAATGCCCCTACCGGTCAGCTTCACCACAAATGGACAACTGCTACTAATTGGAATCAATATACGGCGCATCTAAGGTTAGCTGCTCATGTAGGTTGCTATTTTCAATGCTGGTCACTTTTGTAGCTCGGGGTGAAGGGATTTAATCAACGGATCGCTTTCATCAAGGGTCAATCTAGAGGTCTGGCATCTGCTTAAACTTGACCACACTGGAGGTCTCAGCTGGCGTTGTTAGTGATTTGAATCTTTGAAGGTGGTCAAAAATTACATCGCCTATCCCCTTCTCTAACGCCAGCTATGGTGCCAACATAAAGGCTCTGATGTAAAAGCATCTGTAGCAAAGCTGATACTGACCCGGGCGGAGGAGAGTGCCATGCGACTTGATCCCCTCGATGGTGAATGGTCATCGCACAAAAGAAAGGTGGTCTTTACACCTGTAAACGGTGAAATCGAGTGTTTCATTTTCTGGCAGCGCAATGTGTCAGTTGCACTCTACACTTGTATGTAGCAAGGTGGGCGCATCTTCAAATTACTACCTAATGATATCTGTACAATAAGAAATGCCCTGCTACCAACCTGTCCCTCATGGGGAGATGCGAAAAAGCACAGAAATAGCAGTGTAGAAATTGGTCTCATAACGGGAACCCATCCAACCTGTAAAGTCGTCAAATGACACAGCCTCCACGCTCTGCAACTTAACGTAAGCTGCCTTTAGCTTACCCAGCAAAACACGATAGTAAGAGTCTTCGCGGGATCGATCGAGGATTGGTATGAGGAGGTCAAGGAGCGAAATAAGCGTTCCAGCTGGGACGTTGAGATTAGACAGCTCTGGGGGAGGGGGAGGAGATAACATCAGAGCTGTCGGGACCAATTCATGAGGTCCCAGCTGCCAGGTAAGAAAGTTCATCACTGGCTGAACTGAATATAGGACATCAAGTATATCGTGGTGCTGGCGTGACAATTCAGTGGCTTCTTCTTCAGGTACTGGGCTAGAAAACTCGTCTATTACTTTGGTCGTGGCGAGGGCTCGAAATATGTACTCGAGTGCACATAGATCAGACCGCTCTGGCTCATCAGGTGTAACCTTGATGGGCCAATCCATATGGCAGTGCCCTCCGCTAAGGAAAGCTATGGAACGAGCAAAGGATGAAAATGTGAGGCTGATTGGTGGGCATGTTGATGTTGTGTTGAAGGGCCATTGTGCTAAGTAGATGGCCAGTGTCCAAAAGGAGTCTGCGCATTTCCTGAAGAGGTGTACATGATTCTCATCGTGGGGAATTCGCGTCATCAAGAAAGACTCAAATGATTGCCGGTCCCAGCCTATGTATAAATTGTCAGCCAAGCGTGTCATTCGTGAGTAGGGACAAGATATGCGTACGGTTATCAGAATTAGCGTGAGTAGCGAAAATCTTCTTCCACGCCCGCCGTTCTGCCTTTTCGAACACACCTCCTATACCAGGTTTCCCGTGAAGTACATATTCCGTGTATTCTCTAAGTATTGACTCTATAGAAAGATCAGTTCTAGCACGGTGAATAGTGGTCAGGAGTTGATGGGAAAGAACATAGAAAGAGAGCGATACTCACCGCGGGTGACGTTGGCTAGCCATTGCTTTCGATTCTCATGAAATACTGGGCTCCGATTACCAGAAAAGGTACGGAACCGGAGTTTGTTCCAGAGCAAGTCTAAGGCCCGGGACGGAGAGGGGAAGTTCATAGCTCAAAGTAGGTATCGAGATTGTCCGTGGCAGAGATGCTGATGATACCATACACAGCTGTGACTCGCCGTATGGGGATTCGACGGACATGGAAAAGAGCTGGAGGACACTCCTCGCCAACAGTGTGGCGTGATGGTGGAAAATTGGGTTCCCCCTGATTATTACTAATGGCCCCCAAATTCATCATTCATGTATATGAATTGATTGGTGCGTGCCGGTGTAGGAAATTCAAACAGTTAACAGTGTGCCAGCCAACACAAGGTTGCGATGACTCCCAATCATCGCCGTTACCTCGCTCCATACTTTTCTCCTTCCAAGTGGAGTTACTCAAGGATATAGTGCCACTTTACTCTTCGTCATCATAATTGGCTGGATCTCTAATAGGAGACTCAATATCACTTGCTATTTGGGTATTATTTCTGGCTATAGTACCCTCACGAATGTTGGATCCTGGGATCCCAGTTGACAGGGCACTAACATCTTTGTTACCTCTGAAGCAGGAAGCAGTTGAGCCCTGGTGGTGCATAGAGATATCTCAAGAAGGTTGCCACTCTATTATCATAAAACTCCCCAGAATATGCAACTTGACTTTGTGACTTTTGACGAGCACATTAGAGACAGACTGTTCTGGAGATGTGATTCTAACGACCAAGCCTTAACATATTGTCAGTCTAATACCCGGGACCCTAACGGACTCGGTGTCTAAAGAAATATCGCTAAGGATTCCAAGCTCCTCATTCGCATTTACTTGTGAACGACTGCTTTCGATAAGTTACCTGTCTATGTGGGTAGCAACAGTGTAGAGCCGGCAACTAGTATGAACCGTGGGTTAGAAAGGAGCAGGCCAAGCGAGGAGTAGCCTCGCTATTAGACTAGACAATCTCGATTTGAGAAAGTGGCACATCATCAAATGCATGCAAGGCCTCATCTAGAGTCTTCGTCTACACTCTGAAGCTACCCTGGCGGACATACCTGCCATCGCCAAGCCGAGAGATGATAATACCTAGCAACATGTGTTGCTGAAACGACCCGTTGTCTTCCGTTTCGGCCTTCAATGGCAGAAGCAAGGCCTCCTCTGCCATGCTTTGCAGCACATCAAACCTGGCAGAGCAATCCTTGTGCATGGGAAGCAGGACTGGGCCGTTTTCCTGGCGGAAGCCGGTGTCACGCTGCGCATCGCCAAGGCTTAGAATCCACATCCATCCGTCCGCTTTAGTTTTGTCAGGGAAGAAGGCAAGTTTCCCGTGGAGGAGCTTTCCGTTAAGGGTGATGCTGGCCGAGATAATTGTTCTCGAGCCATCATGCGAAGTGCTGGCGCTCTCCACCAGCTCGTATATACAACCCGTTCTCCAGCTGTCTTTAGCTCGCACAAGAAGCACCTCGCCATCCACAGATGCCCAACTCCAGGAGGGTGCAGAGAGAGCAGCTGGTGGTTCTTGCGTAGCCTTCTGAGTCAGCCACAAGAGAGCCGCGGGGAACGACACCCTCCACAAGCCTGCAAGGTACGTGGTGTCCTCACAGCCGTGCTCGACCAGCAGCTGTTTCACCTCCATAGCCAGTTCTCAAGCAGGGGCAATCTCTCCGACAAACTAGGGCCTAGCATCCAAAGCTGCGTCACGAAGTTTGCCCAGCGGTCCAGTATCTGGTCGATGGGATCCTCGAATTAATGCGTGGAATACTCAAGGAGCGGCTTCCATAGCTTGACGACTGGCATGCTGCCACTGGGTCTTAGTTCACCCTCCCTCGCAACGATATGGGGACCATGCTCTGCCAATGTTGTAGTGCCAAGCTCGTCGTGGTGAGCAGCGTGACACTCTCAGAATAACATCTGATTGCCAAAGTACACCATCCGGGGTACTAAGGCGGTCACGCAACGCTTGCACGCTCATTGAAATCGGCTCGTATCGTATCGAAACGGTCGCGGTTTTTCTGTGGTGATGTCTCTGAACAGCACATGGGGGGGGGGGAGCATCTGCTCTGGGCTGGAAGAGGAAGATGTCGGGTGTCATAGGACCTCGATCGAAGCTTGTAAAAAGGCCGGAGGATGAGGAAGTCGTGCTTGTGTCACCGATGCCACAGAAACCGTTGGGTAAGATGTCACGCCTTAGCACCTTATCCTGATGTGATTGCTGATCAGCTTGGCTGTTCTGGACAACGCACAGACGCTCGATCCAGATGTGCGAGAGTCCGAGTCGGACAACCACCGCACAAACATCGCGGTAAGATTGAGGCAGAGCAGACAGGGGATGTTGAGGTGAGAAGTGTCTCGAGTAGCTTTTGGGATTCTCTTGTAATCTGGACCATAGCAGTGGGTGAACGAGGCATAGCGACTGCCCGAAGCCAATTGGGTAGTAGCCACCACCCGGAAAGACTTGGCAGCGTCATCCAGCTCGACAATCCGGGGCGGAGGCATCACCAGTCGATCCGCTGAGCGCGAGCGTCAGGCTACCGACTGGGCCTGCGTCTAGCGTTAGCAGAAGACAGAAGGATGAATATGACAGAAGGATGACTGTTACACATAAAGACACGTTAAGGGAGCCCTGCTGCTCTGTAAGCACATATAGCCTGCACGATTCGACTTGGACACCGAGGACAGAAAAGTATCCAGGTTGGTTGTATTCGGGGAGACGAAAATATTCAGACTGAGGGATTCCGACTCCTCTACGATAACGGCTGCCTTGATATGCTTGCAAATTGTGCACCCGTCGAAAATAGCCCGCGATAGAGACTCGGATGTGCCATGGTGTCCAAAGACGTAGTTCTCTGGATGGTCAGGGGCTGGGTTCTTATCATCGGGGGTCACTTCCCACTCACGGTGCATCAGCCTCGGGCTAGAGGGATCCTCTAGCATATGTTACTTCGACAGACCTATCTCCCGCGTGCTGCCGATGTTGCTCATAGTCTAAGCCACAACCTCGCGGGTCCTATTACTGGTAGTTGAGGAAGAGATGGCGAGATGGAGGCTGGGACTGATGATGGATTCCACACCGGCGATCTGTGTCCCGCTTGTCCTCCGTCGAGACGAGCGATCGCTGCGGCCTTGAAGATTCCGTCTTCTACCACGACGAGCAATTGCTGCAGCCCTGACCGACCTGTCCTCCGTCGAGACAAGCAATTGCTGTGAGCCTGGCTGGGCTCTCTTCTATTCTGACGAGCGAGCAGACCCATTTGTCCGAGGAATAGCCGTAGCCGTAAATCTGACCAATAAAAAGCTAGAAGCTGCAGACCGGCTGGAGCTAAAAGTTCTGGCTTTTGATTGGTCTAGACCCGTTGAGATTTCAACGGTTTCAATTGGCCAATGATACTTTACCAGTCAACCGTTAGATACCAGCCGAAGCGATTTTGGCCCCACAGCAGTATTGTGACTACCTCCCTACCCACCATCGAATTCCATCAACCTCTTCCGACAGCCAACGACAAAGTCAATTGGATCAAAGCAGCCCCCGGAACCATGTCTTCCACTCTCTGCCGCGGACTGACAACTACGTACCGTGGCGAAGCGATTCTCGCAAACCGTGCCCTAGACCTCCCGACTCCCGAGCTCTCATCAATAGCAACTTCGATCAATTCCGAAATCCGGTGACCTGCCGATACTCATCTACAGCCAAGAATGCTAGGTACTAGGGCAATTGTTAGGCAGATGCTACCGTCTATCGGCTCTGTGAGTCTCACTAGAATCTTGCAGTTCTCATCACGGCTCCTCGAAACGAGTGAAGAGCTTTACCGAACCACCATGTGCCAACACGATCACTGACATATATATGGCAGGAATGAGAAGCCTAGTAGTACCTTAACCTTTCGCCTCTACTCAGGCAATTTGTGTTCTGAAAGTAGGTTATGCTATCCTGTGAGTAATTGCTGTTAGCATGAAATTTTGCGCCCTATTCTTGTATTGATTACATGATGTTTGTCCTTTAGATCCGAGCACCTCGACGAAATCAGGCCGCAGCTAGCTCTTCTTTACGAATTAGGGCTCCTACTGATACTCGTACACGGGGCCGGTCCTCAACTCAGTTCTTGGTGAGCTGCGAACGTAGCCCTTGCAGTTTCGGAGGGCATACGTATTACGGATGCGAAGGCTCTCGCCATTGCCCGCAAACTGTTCCTGGAGGAAAGCCTCAAGCTTGCCGATAAGCTTGATCAGCTCGGAGTCAGTACTAGATCTACCAAGGGCATCTTTATGGAAGACTATCTCGACAAGGAGAAATAGGGCTACGTTGGCAAATACAATCTGTGAACACTGCTGCAATCGGCCGGGTCGCCTTTCTCCTGCTCTCTGTTCTATCACTACTTGCTAGCTAGTCTACAGAACATAGTCTTCAAGCCAGTTATGTACCTGTCTAGTGTCTCTAGCAGAGACTAAAGGATGGATAGGTGCTCAATGTCAACGCAGAATTCCCGGATCTCAGCAGCCTGGTCAAGGGAGCTCTTCTCAACAGCCATAAAGGCCTTGATGCAAAGGCTAGGGTTGACTGCCTTCTGGAGCTTCTCGGATTGAATCCATTCACTGCTTATTATGACGAGAGTTTGTCGGAGTACGCTATCATTCTCCTAACTTCTACAGATAAGCCCATGGCTACTATAGCTTGTCTTAGTATTACTGAATTTGGGTGATTGAGTGAACTAGCTGAGAATATCTTCTCAGCCGTGAAAAAAGATAACCCCCTTTGATATTGGAAGGTGTCGGAAGAGGATGAGGGTTTCGTCTGGTTCTTTGAGAAGGCCGATGGGAGCTTTAGGCACAACGGGAGTGTCCTCTTATATTATGGCTCAGACTATGACGCATATGCCCTGATTTCGTTTTCGTGGACTTTGCCTCCCATGAATACGCTACGAGGGACGAATTAACATCAAGTCTCACTTTCGCTGTGCTCTTTAATTCACGAGAGAAGACTTGGCAATGAAATGGCTTCTTGACAACCACATGTGTGTTGCAAGGAGCATGAACCTCGCGTTGGACGGAGTTCGATGGCATTCCTATGGTATGGGTGCCGCAGGAGGATTTGGTTTGTTTATCGGACATGGTTTTGCAAAGGTAGCGAGCGTGGATCGAGAAGGGCAATGGTTGGATGGCCTTCAGCGGCGCGTTGTTCGAGCCGGATTCGTCACATGGGGAGCGAACGAGTGCGGTATACGATGCCCCCGAAAGTATAAATGACCGGCTACTTCGGCGCAAGTTCTCTATCTATGACGATGGTCTTGGTTCCTATGCTCGATGCCGACCTTTCCTCCTCGTCACCCTCAACGTAGCTCTGACGGCTTAGCCATTGCTTTTGGCCACTATTCAGTAGCAGTGTGATAGTGTAATGAGCATGTTGAAGAGCTCATCGACGCATTGGCTCGCACCACGTCGCCCCTAGAGAATGAGCCACTGCACCGGCATGGATTCACAGCAGTCCTGATGAGTCTGAGGTACCTGCCTCCCCATTTTCCGATACTTGTTTCAACCCCTTCCGGCAAACTCAGCCCTTATTCGCTCGGAACCTTGGCTGCGGCTAGCACCATGGGGCTTTGTGGTCAGACGAAAATAGGCGAGCCCCTGAGTTCGCGGACCACTAGCTTCACGTTATTATGCACATGAATTGTGTTGCTGATGCTCGGAGTAGGCGCCACTTCATTTGTGCTACTATTGTGCTAAGCAGCAACCCTCACCCTTTTAGGATCCCAGCTCCAAACAATGGCCGCTCATGACAAAACCACGCCATCGAAAGCGACGGCAAGCTGACGAAGCTTCTAGCACGACCTTCCCGTGAATGGTTGGAAGAGACTGCCCACTGACAAGTCCTCACACTATAAGTAATCCGCATATGAATGCTGAAGGAATGAGCCGGAGGCTCAATTAGCTTACCGTAACCCTACGTCTACCCTGAAACGTCAATACCTAGGAAGTCTCTCTTCCTGTACCGTGATTGTGGATACTCACCCATTACCTAGCTGAAGGAGCATTGACCAGCTATCAAGTGCTATTTAAGCTGCACGATCTGCCTTAGCCCTGCTTAAGCTAGGGCCGCTGCGTGTGAGTGGGGGCATCCCACCATGCGTACCCTTTTTGATTGTGTCGAGCAACGCTATGAAGTCGTTTACGACTTGTCTTTGTAGCCTTGAGCCTTGCTGGATATTTATAGTTTGCCCCTTTCTTCACCTCATGGCGAACAAAGGAGTCCCCGAGATCACTTCACATAGGAGTGGCATCACAACCAAAATTTCTCCCAAAATAACCATACCTAAACCTAGCAAAACACCAGAAACCCCTTGCTCCGCTAAACGGATGTTCATTGGTTGCGCAAAGCCACAGGGGAGAATTAATCATCAGGCACCATATGGATGGATCCCTATGTGGAGGTGATCTAGAACCAGCCGTGACCAGGCAAGCCAGGCTAGGGCTAGCAGCCGGGCATCCGCCTTGTTTGTCTGGATGCTTACTCCAGTGTGAGTGGACCCAACGGTCCATTTCTGGCTCTTAGAATGTCGATCAACTGGCCTTTGTCCCACGGCTTGGATGCTCAGCCATATAACCATTGGCTCGTATCGCATCGCATCGCACCGCACCTAGAGACTAAGCTACTGAACCAACAAGCATACACGGCACGCTGCCGCCTGCAATTCCGAAACGCCCGTCCTAACGTGACTTTGGACTCCCAATATCCTAGAAGTTTTTCTTAAATAGCTCCCAGCCAGCCATGGTTCCTCATTGCCAGACCACACAACCGAAAGGGAGATCAGATATCAAGAAGCAGGAGCATCCTGAAGAACACTCACCTCAAGGAGATTCTCCTTCTATCGGTTGCAAGCGGCAGCACCCTGAAGAGCCCCCACCTCAAGACAATTCTCCTTCGATTAGTTGCAAGAGACAACGCGGGGATCTTGCTCGATTTGCGAGACACGGAGGACCAGACTTACGTGATCTCAGAGGATATCCTCACCCGGCAATAAGTCATCAACTTGCCGGCAACATGGGCACCCCCTCGCAACGCCGAGGTCTCAATGCCACAGAACTATTGAGTCTCCCAGACCCAGCTACCACACGGACCAGCAAATCGTCAAGCCCTTATGTCCTCGCATTCCAGGGACACTTGGCTGAACATCAAATTCACGCATTAGACGCCGAAACGGACGCCTCACAAGAGCCAGAGTTGGCGGAGATCATAGCAGCTCTAAATAAACCGAGGCCGTCACTCTCACATTCCTTGCTGTCCCCTGCCGACTTCAAGTTGTTTACAAAGTACGATTCGGCCGCCCAAGACGAATCTGATGTACTGGCAAATGTGATCCCGGCCATAATCGGCCAAAAGGCTGCCGATCCTCTCCCCGCCAGGGAAACACTCTTCAATAACCTGAAGCCGCTTACAGACGGAACAATCGTATCTCCCAAGCCCGATATCTACTTCGGTGCTGGCCCTGGAGACCTTCACAAATCGATCCGCGATGAGCTCACCCAACAAATCATACCGTCAAAGAATACGAACAAACCTTTGGCTCCCAATTTCTTCATAGAGGTCAAAGGTCCAGAGGGAAGCCAAGGTGTAGTGACACGGCAAGCCTGTTACTATGGTGCGATTGGATGTCGGGCCATACACAGCCTACAAAACTACAACCAAGAGCAGCCCGTGTACGACGGAAAGCCTTACGCATTCAGCACCACTTACCAAAGTGGTGGTTCGTTAAAGCTTTTCGCCCACCACGTCACGGCGCCCACAACCACAGAGGGACTTCCAGAATACCATATGACCAAAGTCTACGGATGGGATGTCACTGCGAATTTGGAAAACCTACGCACTGGGATCACTGGATTCAGGAACGCCAGAGACTTGGCAAAGCAATACCGTGATCGCTTCATCCAGGAAGCAAACGATCGACGGTCCCAGGCACTTGGGCATGGTCTGTCGGCCGCGCATGGCTCGGGAGATCCTACATCATGCATTCTGTTGCAGGACGCTCATGATGGCCAACTTCAGCAACATGTTGATGAAGGCGAGGGGACGAGCCAAGATCCCGTGCTCCCCGGCGACGCCGCCTCACTGAGTCTCACCCCGTGTTCTCCTTCTAGTCCCAGCCCACCCCCTCATCCTTCTAAGCGCCGAAAGTCCAAAGCTTAGGATGGTGCTAAAAGTAATAGCGAGACTGAGGGTAGGTAATCATGGCTCGATGTTTCTGCTGGCAAGGAACACCTACGTGTAGTTTAGTAGACATGATAGAAAATGAAGTTGCGAAAGGAAAGCGAAATGTATTGAGCTAAAAGAGGTCAGAATTATATCCATGTATTTATTTCCCAAGCAGATCCAGAAGGATGCAAGCAACGAGGACTTATCCAGTTGGCTTGCTCAAGAATAAAGTACCATTGTCTTCTTCGCCATCATCACTCTCATCACATGCTTTGTTATTCCCACTCTTAAATTCATAATTATTGATCCAACACTCAGCTTCATTTCAATCTTGCCCCCATCGCCTAGATCCATCTCAAACACAAGGCTCAATATCGCCGGACGATGTGCGCATGGTCTCTGGCTGCAGTACGCTTGCGGATGTCGGATTCTGGGATCTTGGCTAAGTAGACACTAGCATCCTTGTGATCCTTGGATGAAGACGAGCTATTATTTGTTACGAATGTAACATCCTTGGTTGGATGCTACCACATCACCGCAAACCTCCCTAGCTCCGGACCAGCTCCGCGTTCCTTGGCGGGCTCATAGAAAGTCATCGTAGGCGTCCAGAAGCAAGAGATGCCGATGATGAAGTGATGGCCAACGGAATCTCTGGTCATAACAGGGAATACTTAGGCCCTGTCACTTCTTTTGGAGAGTATACGCAGTCACCAATTAGCGCCAACAGTCTCCTTCTTGCCCCGTATTTATGTATTCATAAATAGTCGATACAGCCCCCAGGTGGGATTAATTTTCTTTATCAAAGCCAAATAACGCATTCATCACCAACAAGTATGTGTATCTGAACTTGCATTAACCCTCACAACAACTCATAAATTTATGCAGACTACATCATGACATCATACAATCCAGACGTAGTGGGGAATATAAATCCAGAAGATATTCCAGACCTTGGCTCTGATGATGAACCATGTGTTGATGATGTTGAGCCGCCGACCGAGGAGGAGATGCAACTATGGTGGTCAGCAAGGTACGATAGCAGCCTTGTTAGAGCCTATTAAAGAGCCTCTCACTGCGCCTTGGGGTCTATCAGTCAGCAGCAAAGATTTAGAGAAGCTCAATGCTGGGTTTCGAACACGTTCTATGGATGATAAGTGGGATCTGCTGGTCGAGGACCCTGATGAACAAGGCAATATTTCTCTACACATTCTTCGAAACTGGGCATACACTGAATACTTTATACTTCATATTGTGAGTAATGAAGATGGTGGGGGTGCAGTGATTCAAGATATTACCTGGGAAGGGAATAATGATGGGTTTCGATGTGAGGCAGAGCAAGCTCAGAAAGAAGCTGTGATATTGTGCAGACTCTTCCTCGAATGCGAGTTTAAGACGATCCCTCAATACCCTTCCTCGGCTATATGGAGCCCTGAAGGTTACAAGAAGCTAGAGGCGCAATAGGATCACTCTACCGAGGGGTGCACTCACTCTACCAAGGGCGTGCACATCAAGCCGGACCTTAAAGCGTAGTACTAAGCTTGGGGTAGATTAGCGAGACGGGTAGAATATCTACACGGATTATGTCCATTGCTTCATTATCCTCTGACCTAAATCAATCTCTCGTACTCTGCCCCAACCTATTCTGGACAAGCCGCTCCGTAGCCAAAAACCACCTTGAGGGAGATTCCATATCTTCATTGGTGGAGTTAGGGTACCTGACCTGTTCATGGAACACGTCCGCCCATTGATTGATTCCGGACCATTGGAGGATATGGCCGCCGAGCGCGAGTGTCTGCTCTTCCCGAAGCCGGAACACGCCGTGGATTGTTCCGGAGGGAAAATAGACGGTCTGGCCGGGTTTCAAAATCCAATAACGCCATCTCTGATCGTCGTTATAGTGTTCTATATCCTTCATCCACTCTCTTCGCTGATCCCCGGTTGGGCGCGACATCCAAACAAAACCGAAACTGCCCTGTTGAACAGTTATCCACGTCGCAAGGCCATGGCTATCCATATGCGGTGCCGTGCAATGTCCCCCTTCAGACAAAAGTGCCCAGTGCTCGATGTCCTTCCACTCCGACCAATCATCCCTAGAAACCTGTGCCCTTTCAGCACTGTGACCATTCAGTACTTGATCCCGTATCCGGCCGAGAAGCTGGCAGTTTCTTCCGGTCAAAAAGGATGGAAGGGTGGAAGGCATTGGGCAGCTGCAGTCAAGGACATTCCATGGGTCATCCTCATTGTTTAACGAGAGAAATCGATTTCGGACTTGTCCCAGGTTGCGTACCTCACAGGAGCATCCATCAGCCTCCAGGGATGGAATCTGAACCGAGACAGTTTTGTCGTCATCCCCAATCCATTCAAAAAACTCAGCAATGGCTTTCTCTCGATTGTCCCATTCGAATATCTGCTGCCCCTCCGTTATAAGTGGGACATCGGGTGCATTGGAGTCGAGGAATTTCTTGGCTCGGACTCCACTCATCAGATGGAGGTCCAACGCGCCGCAGTTTGCATCTGTGTTGGGGTGTTTGCAGTTCTTCAAGATGGGGAGCAGACATGCTGCGGTTCGAGCACCACGGCTTCCGGTCGCGTCTTTGGCCCTCTGGGACACCTCGCTGACAGCTTGGGCGAGATACACCTGATCAGAGGCAGAGTCGCAGTGAGGCAACGCGTCAGGGCAGAAGCCACGAGGACCGATGACTGTCTGGTCGCAAAGCCGCTTGTGTGTCTTGCCAACGTCCAGCGGAACCGATGTTGCACGTCGCTTGTCCGGAGCCACTGACACCTCCTCCAGCGAGCTATATTTATCAAGCTCCCCGGCAAGCTGACTGATTCGTTCCAAAACCAAGTCAAGAGTATCCGAACTCGATTCGATCCCTTTTGGTTGATGATTTCGACTCTCGACATTCGGGGTCTTGGTCTTGGTGGTGCGGCTGGTCCTTCGTAACGTCGTTTCCGCCGACTCGTACACGGCCTGCTTATCGGCTGCAATGCGGTTTGATCTTCGGAACTCTGTCTGGACTGTTTTTTCGTGGGGAACTTGGGTCGCGGGCTCCGTAATGCAGGTTGGAGAGTCGTGGACTGCACTCTGCATACATTTAACTTGCCCATTACTGGGTAGATTGGTGGGTGCCGAGCTTGCGTCCGGACTATCATTGCTATTGCTTATGGTGGTGACACAAGCACGGGAGATTCCGGGCTGGACTGGCCCCTCACTTTGACTGGTAGGTACGCTACTCGCGATTTTCGTGGACTCCACGATGCTAGAGGGCTGATCTGTCGTGTGGAGAGCCTTCGACACCTCGACTGTAGATTGCCCGGGGACAATAAGACCGTAAAGATCGAAGACATAACCGTTTGGTAGCTCGCTTGGTTTCAAATTTGAAAAGGGGAGCTCGATTTTCTCGTGATCGTTCAACTTCACATAGGAAGCATCTGAGGTCCATGATTTTGCATTGGTAAGATCGATGCGCTCAATGGCGTGCTTGAAGTTGCGCCTATCAAGCTGGATACGTCGACGGATGAGCTGCTGTAGTCGGGGCAGGGCCTCTGTCTGGAAGTCCCGATGGACCTTGGCCACACGGGCGAGCCACATGGCAAAACTAGCCCCACGACCTTCAATATAATGTTGAACGATGTCCTCGCCCCAGTAGCTCGCCGCCTTCTTAAGCTCCTTGGCGCATAGCGTCTGATTATCGGCGCCTTCGTTTGCGGCTGTAGCGAATTCCTTCCACTCCGGACCGTGCTCAGTGACGCCGTACTGAATCCATCTGACAAAAACCGACTTGTAGAACGCAAATTCAACCTTCAAGTCGTGCTTCTGAGCCAATAGCTCGTCGCGTTTCTCTTGGCACAGCCTCTGCCTCGTCGGCGCATTCTCGCAGGAGTGTAGATCGTCAAGGAATTGTTTTGCATGCTCCCTCCTGGCGTCACTGAATAGAAAGAGGCTGGGATCCGCTTCTGTTCCATTCACATTGGTTATACCAGAATACATTGAACGCTGTCATATCACCCTCGCGGGTCAAAGAGGATTCGAACACGGTGAGGCCACCAGATTCAATAGAGCGGAATCGTGCATGGTAGTGAGGGGGGAGGGGAGCTCATTACATAGTATTAATGGGTAGTACAAAAGTCGATGGTAGCTACGTGACGATGCTGCTGGATGCCTTTTCTGCATAACTATGAGCCAAATCCATATGCACGTATTCTGGCTCCCTCTATCTCAGCAAACGTCTTACCGGCTTGCGGCCACATTATTGATCGCATTCATCATCACGGCAAATAGGATCTGACTTACCTGCCTGTGCCCGCTCGTAGGTGGCTGTTGATTGCATTCACCTAGATCGCGTTCAGCAGGATCAAGAAAGAGTCTAACTTACCTACTCAAGACCGCTCCAGGCCGCAACTGTTGATCGTATTCGCAAGAATCAGCCTGTATAAGATCAGACTTACCTGCATGAGGCAGCTTGAAGCTGCAGCAATTGATCGCGTTCATGAAATGCAGGGCAAATGGGATCAAGGAAGGCTCTGACCTAGCTGCTTGAGGTAGTAAAGATATGGAATTTTCAAGCCTCTCTACATTACAACTCTTTATCTACACGCATGCACAAAGGATAGGATAAATGCTCTTTCTATAGCTGTAAGGCTAGGTATACCTAAGCATAGTATATACACTGTTTCTATACTGTATATCCATTTGGCTAGCCAACATTAAACATGCTGCCCAAAACAGCCCCGTCTAAGGTGGGTATTCCTGAATAGGCAAGCATCATTTTGGTCACCTGCCCCATCAGGGGGATAGTCTACCAAAAGGGAAGGTATACTTTATAACCCCGAACAATCTATAAAGATATGTATACAGGTATTTAATGTGGTTGATTGTGGATGATGAGCGTCCCCCCTTAGGGCCCATGGCTAAGTTATATACTTGGCAAGCCCTTCTTAGAGTTTTTGGAGATGCTGTTGCCTTGCTGTGGCGGATCATATATACTCTGCTAAAATCTTTGACAAAACAAAAGCCAGCTAAAAAATCTTAACTCTCTCTCTTGCAGAAGAAGTGGGGCATCGGGGGGTAGAACTCCAGCGTTGAACTTCAACACAATATCAAACAAATTAATCAACAATATTCATAATATCAAGCTAAATACTGTAGAATAATTATTATTAGTTTTTTCATTGTTGTGCTTATTATCATTTCCCACGACAATAAGGTCCTTGACTTAGATGTATGGCCAGCGCTTTGGTGCGCTATATTTTTTGTCACTCGCTTGGGTACCTTGGCGATAATCACGCAATTCATCCATTAAATGTGGAAATGGACTAGCCTGGACTGTCTCAAATTCCATCTGTTTTCGTTTCTTTGTTTTCCCCTTTGGTCGTACAAACCTCAAACGATGTCCTACGATCTAGAGCGCATCAATGCGCTCATTGCCCATACAAAACACATAACAGAGCATCTGGTTCGTTTGCGATCAACGCTCGAGCCTACCACGCCCGTTTCCACATCGCAACGTGAGCTAACTTCTACCTTTGAAGACCTGGCGGCTGTGGCTCGCGACGTTTTGCGATTATCCGATGACCCCTCCAACGTCACCCTGTCGAGGTACGGCGAGCCCGACGCCGCGCGAAATCCGCCTCCAGACTTGGCTCCTTCGACTCCAGCATCAAGCATCGTGTCCGACACTTCTACGTCTCGAAAAAAATTCGAGCCTCTGACACAGACAGTACGGGCTGTCGGTGTGCCACCATCGCCAATCACCCCTCCATCACCCATTCATACCGGCATTGCCGGCCTAGGGACTGATCCCACTCAACCGCATGCCTTGGTACCAAGGAAACGGTTACCTTCGTCGGCTGGTGCTAGCTGCGATGACGCTGAATTAGAACGAGATGTCTTAGCGCGACGCCGAAAACACGAAGCATCATTTGGCAAGGAGGATCATACTCTGAGCAGAGCAACATCGCCGGGACAGAGCTCGGGAGATCTGCGAAAACTCGTCTACAACATCAAGAATCGCGACAAGCTGTCTCGCATTCCCACCTTCATCGACACAGATCCCCCGTCCACCATCATGCTGCGCCGAGTCGCCGCGGTGCAAGGCGGCCCAGCCATCAGACAGTTCTGCTCCCTCATCCATACAAGACGATCGCGCGAAACGGAGATGGGTCTCTTGAAAGTCGACAGCACCGGCATCGAGCGGGCCCTAGAGCTTACAAAGCGACTTCGAGTATTGACGGGACGGACGACATTCGGCGCCTTCTTAACGCGCCTGGTCCAATACCACATTGCCGAGGCCGTCGACGATACCAAGGCAGGGCGACTGCGAGCCGACGGGGCCGAGATCAAGAAAGCGATGAACAAGTTCGGATGGAAGGAGGCGGAGCGACCGCGGTTCTTCCAGTACCTGCGACAAGGCAGGTCGTGGCGCTCAATCTGTAGAAAGCATGTCGGGCTGCTGAGCTTGATACCCCTCAAAGCAGAAGCGCCCTATGGCGTGTCGGCAAGCGACTACCTCAGCATGAAGGGAAGCGAGCTAGACACTTTCGCGCAGATGATCGACGACCCGTTTGTCGCGGGCATCGCCACGGCCGCAGCGGCGTTCCAAGACATGGTTCTGGGCACGAGGCACGATGCCGTGTTTGTGTGGGAGAAGAGCCAGCCTCAGCTGCATACGTGGGAAGGCTACATGACCGAGGCCACCCTACTTGACATGGTACAGCCTCACCCGAGCTACGAGGACTGCTTCTACGACGAGAGAGACTTTGTAGACGCTCTCAAGCCGCCATCCTGGCCAGGGGACTGGGCCTGGCCCATGGATCCGCTCGGAATCCCTCTGTCTCACAAGCAATGTGATCTCTGTGTCGACGCCAGCGGCTGCTGCTGTCGCCGCACGAAAGTGAATGCAGCACGCAAGCCGCAAATCAAGTCATTCGGGAAGCAGGGCATAGGGCTCCAAGCTCTCGCCACGCATGAGGGCGAGTTGGCCTACCGCAAGGGCGACATCATCGGGCAGCTTACGGGGCGGCTCGTGCCCAGAGACTCCCACCCGTACAACTCTCTGTGGATCGTGGAGATGCGGCGGTTCGATCTCGAGGGCGACCCCATCGTCTGCCAGATCGATGTCGGGGGGCCCGCCAGTACCTTTCGCAACCTGAACCATTCGTGCCGCTCGTCGGCGAGGTTCATACCGCGCAGAGCATCGGGGAGATGGATCATGGCTGTCGAAGCCACGAGGGACGTGAGGCATGGTGAGCAAATTACCATCAATTTTGGTAAAGCATTCTTGCGCAATCAGGGTATACGGTGTGACTGCGAGGTTTGCCATGTACCTACATGATATTATACAAAGTGAATGTAGTCAACGAACACAATGAATATCTGTATATGTCGGCCTTTAGTCCTTCATCTTAGCGTGCTAGTCAACCGGGCATGTTCGGATAAGTAATGTTCAGTCCGATTTAGACTGATTTAATTTAACTGCCGGAGGGCATTATGTTTATTTATTAAATGTACTGAAGCGTTTCAAAGAAGAGAAAATGCCGAGAGAACCTTTGTTTTATGCTTTTGTGATGATACGAATGTATACAAGAGATTGACTCTTTCCACATTGCAAGCCCAAATTTCACAGAAATTTTTTTAGGCGACCATTAAGTGAAGCCTTTTTTAAATTATTGATCATCTCGGTAGGTTGTGACTGTCAAGTTATTTCTCGTAGTACCTAGGTAGGTAGTGAAATCAACTGCAATCAGTATAGGGTATCCGATATTGGCAAACGGCTGTGGTGGGTCGGTCGGTGCACGGACCATTATTGCAAAAGCGCAATTGTGGCCCGTGCACCACGCTTACACCTTAGTCCAACGTCAGCTCTTAGGTTTCACAACAGACAATTAGGCCAGGTCTCAGCAATCGCAGGTCAACAATACAGAAATTGTTTGCCTTAAACAGAAATAGATAGCCTAGCTACATAGTGATCGCGAGTCATAATAAAAGACAAGTAGGTCGGGTCTATAGTTGAGGTATTGCTTGTCATGACGAGAGACAGGCTGGCCAGCTTCACAGACTGGCTAGCTGACTGCAATCCTAGGATTTGATTAGCTGGCGAGTATTGAGGTAAAGCTTCAAACGATTTCGTAATTCTGATGGCTTCATGATCAAAAGGCTTACTCTACATTCATCGTTTTTTTATTCATTATATTAGCTAGAATTATTCTCACAATGGAGGCATCCGTAATGATTGTTTTACTGAATCAAATTAAAGCCCCTACTTAACCTGCTACAGTAAGAAGAGGAATGAACGTTAATTAGCCTAATTGTCGCCAATGAAAACCTGGCTTAACTGTCAAAAAACCATAAATAACCGAGTAACCGTCTCGCAGACATCAGCAAATTCTGCCAAGCATACGTCACAAGTATTGGGCTTGAACCTGTAGAATCTAATGGATGGTAGTATCGGGACCATTTATTACCGGGAATACTTAGCCACGAGAAAAATCGCGCATGGACTAGGAAGACTTGGACTCTGTCTAGGCAAGATGTCTAGTGAATTTCTTTACCGCTTCTCCTGACGCCTACGCCTTTCTTCAAATAGGAGGCGAGAATCGATGAGACTAGACGTATCGCCAAGGTAGCAAAATTCTTGGATTTAGAGCAGAAAGCCTTCTCAAGTGGACTATGAGCACGGCACAATCAAGGCCGAAGCATCCAGGGCGATTGCGACATCAGTTGAGGGGGTGATTGCCAAATTAGTCCCACCCGGAGCCAGTCGGATGTCATGAGCTGAAAGTGGGAACGGAGTTTTGTCTTCGAGACCGTGGTGCAATTTTTCAGGGTCAAGCCCGTCCCCACGTCCAACAGATTTTTGCAGCCTAGTAAAGTCGTGGCGGGAGCACGCTTCCCATGGCCCTTTATGACTGGGTATGGTACGGGTCGATGAACACGAAGATGCAGAGGCAAAAGAATTTTGTGTATTTAATAAAAGGGCAAAAATGATAGTCTAAGTCCCATTGTATAGCTTCTTCCAATCGTCTTCCTCCATGATCTGCTCCTCCATTTGCTCAAGGAATTTGATTTGTTCCCTAATAAACGCCCTCGTCTCCTTGACATTAAAGGGTGCCTTGGTAGGAACGCTCTGATCGACTCGTTCCCTCCGAGCTCTGAAGCGGTCTTCCAGCATCCCAAACCGGTACTGCGCATACTCATTGTAAAGCTCGTCAATGTTGGAAATGGGCCGGACGAGCTTTAGATTGGTGTCATCGCGCACCTCCGAGGATCGCGCCCGGAACGCAGTGACCATGCTGACTCTCTCAGTGCCGCCCAGAGCCCGTAGCGCCTGGTGGTCGATGTAGCGTCCTTGAAGCACAACGGCGTAGCCCTATACGATGAAAGATGTCAAGCTAATATCACTATGAAATGTGTCAATGGCGTACTTACCCTTTGAGGTCCACGGACCTTGATCACGTTGCCATCGGCCGTCCTCAAGGCTGTTTCCCCTCCCACCATGCCGGTGCAGTCAGAGAGCATGGTGACGCAGACGAACGCGTAGCTATCGTTGTGCCAGCTGACAATGGCATCGTTCTCATCCTCGGCTCTCGGCTTCTCACTTTTCGTTTGCTGCGCTGGCTTGCCAACTTGGTCTTCTGGAAGAGGTGACAAGTCTGGGACGCTCGGCCCCGAGACGTTGATGTGGGCAATATCGTAGTCAAATACTGGCACTACGTCGAGACCGGCCAGGTCGGAGATGATACGCAGCGTTTCTGGAGACTTCCAGGCATTGTAGATGAATGGTGCATGACTTTGTATATCACGGTCAGTCTCGGCAGGTGGGATTGTGTCAAATAAAGGAGGTAGTTACTCTCGAGCATATCCTCGCAGCTGGCACTCAGCATATTTGCTGGAGAAGCGGTGGTCTGTCCAGATGTTCCGGTTGGTGAACAACTCTCTCCGCATCTCATCGATGGCATCGTCGGAAAAGAGGCGAAATGGTTCGGAAACTCCAAACGGTGAGATACCTTGACTGTCTGGGTAGCCTAGGTCTCGCAAAGACCAAACCTTTGAAGGTGGGCTGTAGATCAAGTGCTTCGAGGGGGTGAAGGCCGGGTTGGGAGAGACGTCGTTTTTTGACAGCTTCGTGGGAACAACTGCTGAGACCTGGGGCGAGAGGGCCAGCGAGAGAGTCATTGTGGTAACTTGCTATGCTTGGAATTGGTGCTTCTCCTGTCGTTACTCGATGCCTGAAAAAGAATAGTCTATGCAAACAAAGTGTAAAGAGAAGAAGCCCAACGGATGAGACTGGCCTACTATTTCGAGATTGCCTGGCATGATTTACTCGTCCAAAAGGACCCTTGTACGACCCATTAATGTACGGCATCCAACTCCGAAGCTCGGGTTTCCAGGTGACATCGTGACTGATACGACGTATTCTCCGGTTTAATTTTGCCCACGGCTACAACAGCTCTAGCTCGGAACTTGCAATCCCGACACAGAATTGCGACATCAGATCCCGGACCACTGTTTCCATGTGGTGGCTCTGCTTGTTGCTGATGTTAGAATACTTCTTGCGGCATTACCGAAACCACACTATTATTCCTAGCGCAGAAGAAGCTGGGATTTGCCTGCTTTAGGGCAGGTTTGCATCATCCTTAGAGGTGATTGAGTGGTAAAATTTGGCCCACAAGAGCAATCCTTTTCTGGCTCAGCCATCCGACAGGGAATTCTCAAAAGGCGTAGAGGTCTGATCTGGTCTTATAAAGAGAGCAACGGCCCTGCTTCTACCTTGAGCCTATCATACTCTCTAGCCCTTCTTTCTATCTCGCCGTCCCCCCGCCTTTAATAATACAATACCTTCTTAGAACCATAAGCTACTATGGGTGCAGAGGCTTCCTCTCAGCCGTGGCCGAGCACACTCAAGCGTTGGTATCGAGGCACTCTCTATCAGGCCATTGTCCTGGGTATCGTCAGCTTCAGTCAACAAGGGATATGGACTGCTCTCGCTAGTAAGTGGAGCCCGCCATATCGTTTCAACGTAGTGACTGACATCTCCCAGGTATGGGGGCCGGTGGACTGGCCAGTCCTTATTTCGTCAACGCCGCCAACGTGATCACCTACGTGATCATGATCGTCTTCAGCCCTATCTTCGCCGTGCTCGGCAACCGCTTCAGCCTCAAATGGATTCTCGTATTTGGTACGGTAGGATACCTCCCGTACTTTGGCGCATTGTACTGCAACAGCGTGTACGGCACGCAGTGGTTCCTCCTCTTTGGGGCGGTGACGTGCGGTTTCTCAGCCGCCGCGCTCTGGACTTCGGAAGCGGCCATCGCCGTCGCGTATCCGGAGGACAACCGGCGGGGGCTGTACATTAGTCTTTGGATGGCCATCGGGCTGTTTGGCACGGTCATTGGCAGCTCCATCCAGCTGGCGCTCAACATACATGACTCTGAGCAGGGCAGTATTTCGACGAGCACCTACCTCGCCATGATTGGCCTATCGTGCATAGGATTGCCTCTCGCCCTGACCATCTCTCCTCCACACAAACTGATCCGGACCGATGGCACGCAGCCGACATTTAGCTCTGGGCTCACCCGCATACCTCTGAAGCAGGGCTTCATCGGCCTATGGAAGGCCCTCAAGTCTCGACATATCCTCCTCCTCATGCCCATCTTCATCACTGTCCGCTGGAGCTACACCTACCAGGGCAACTACCTCGCCCTCTACTTCACCGTCCGTGGCCGAGCCCTCGCCGGCTTCGTCCAGACAATCTGCGGCATCATCGCCACCGTCGGCTGGGGCCGCCTGCTGGACGCGCAGACCCTCTTCAAAAACAAACGGATCTTATGCAATATGGGCTGGTACAGCATGCTGCTCGTGTTTGTCGTGCAGTGGATCTTCAACTTCTACATGCAAGCAGAGCTCCAGTCGAGGTCGCCCCCTCCGGTACTCGACATATACTCGCGGGACTACGCTAAGGCAATCGTAGCATATTGTCTCTTCAGGTAAGTCCAAGCTAGCCGATCGATGTGGTATAAGTGTATGCTAAAGGAAAGGGTAGTATCGCCGGAAACGCTTCCGTCGTCTGGACGTACTGGATCCTGGCTCTCTACAACAGCAATGTCGACACGCTCTCTTACACAAGCGGCATCCTGAGATCGGCAGAGAGTATAGGATTTGCTTGCGCATACGGCATTGGATCTCGAGACCACGTGTCACTAATGACGAACCTGGCCGTCTCATTTGCCGTTTTTGTCGCAAGTGTTCCCTTCACTTGTTATGTTGCATGGAAGGGTGAAGCTCTGGAGCAGGAGAAGGACGCGGCTGGGGAACAAGATTCCGTAGATGGCACTTGGGAGACAGCTGACCAGTCTGTCAACAAGGTCTCTTAGGCCGTTTCTGTGAGCTCTTAATGAGAACAGGGTGTCAAGTTTGTCTGGGTTATATCGTGGGGCATTAGTAGTTTGGAGGTATTATCATTGTCACTATCCTCATCACCTAAATTCTCGTCTTATAGGAGCGCTGCTTCAAGAGCCCACCAACTGCTAGACAAGAGCGTAAGAACGACACGATAGGCGAGGCTTACTTCAACGTGATATTAGGGCTCCCTAACACCTCCGTGAGGTACTCTACCAATCAAGGGAGCATTTATTGAGGCAGTGTTGATCAATGCAGCCCTAATTGAGTCTGCGTGCTATAACAATGAAGCAATCTTCTACATTAAGGAATATTTTGACCTCCATTTGCCCCTTTTTATTGGTCCGTTCAAGGTCTATTCAAGCGGGATGAAGGTATCGCCTTCAGGTCAACCCTCGCTGCAATGCTCGTAGCACGTGTTGATGGCCCTCCACCATCGCGCAATCGACAATACTCCAACCCAAGTCGTTGGTCGCCTTGGCGTCAGCACCCTCATCGATGAGCTGCGTCAGGATGTTATCATGCCCGTTCAGCGCGGCTGTTATCAAAGGCCGCGTGCCATCGGCCGTCCGAGCCTCGATGTTCGCACCACAGTCGATCAGAAGTTTGACAATGTCACTAGAGCCGCGATTGGACGCCCAGTGCCAATGACCTTGATAAAGGCTGTACAATTAGACTCGTAACCTTTCTTGGTTCTTCAATCAATCAAGCTACTCATCTCTCATACACCTATTTCAACAGTATCAACTGCTGGAAGCTTCAGCAAGTGTTTTCCGGCACTCGCCTTGCCAAGTGCAGACTCGCCAGTGACTGCTATCATGCTCTTTTGCGCACGATAGGCCGGCCCCAATTCGACCAGGCACCATGATCGCGCCAGAGGCAACTTCCGGCGCACACCAGCATCTAAAAGTGTGCTGAAGTTGTTTCCTGCTGTTCGATATATAGGAACATTCCTTGAGTCGAGATCAGCTTCTTCAATCACTTCGTGGCTGATGGCGAGTATCAACGACCCGCATCTCTCAACCACAGAGTGGAAGTCCAGGTCGATCGGGCTACCTGGCCATTGACAAACTGCAAAGACATCGACCCAGACGCGCCGATCCCCATCTGAGCAACCGTATGAGGCCGCGCCGACAAGAGCTCCCCATTTCGCGGCCCACGCGTGCGAGATGAACGCGCCAGGAGGACCGCACTCTGCGGGGTGGTCTCTCTCAAGAATTTCGAAATAGCGCTCACGGCGCTTGGTTGTGGCTGGTATCACAATGTCGCGGACAACCCGCCACGTTGGCCAGTCCCAGCATTTGAATCATTGCGTGAAGTTGTTGAGGAGGCGTACTGTTAGTCCCCTGCGGAAAAGCTCAAACTGCGGACCTTTCATCGCCCCATCCTCCTCCTCGATGATCGAGAGGATCATCGTCTCCGCCTCAGTCCTGGCAGGGGACATTTGGGCTGGGTCACCACAGCGGTTACACACCCAAGCAGACAGAGCATCTGCTTTGCGGGATACCACAGTGCTTCCGCAGCCGGGTTTTGTGCATAGCTTGCTGTTCTCATTCGCGGTCGCGATGAGCTTCCCTAGCGTAGTCTTTTTGGGACAGATGATTGACTTCTTGACCTTGATGCTCGTGTCGGAGGAGACGTAGATGCTGGTCTTGGAGCCCATCGCTATGGAAACATACTCTACCCCGCCTTTTATACAGCTGACCATGGCTTGACTGTCAAGAAAAGACAACTTCAGCTCTCCACATGAACTCTGCCTTCGGGCTCGCTTCTATTATTAGCTACTGAGCCGAGCGGGTGTAATGCTACCCAAGGCGAGAGATGCGGTGACTGGCTATTAGGACAGGAGTCCATCGAGGCGGAGCAGACAGCAAAACGGCCGCCTCACACCATCAACAAACCATGAGAGAGCTTTAGTTGGCATTGGATACGAGTACGCGTCACCTATGAACGCGCTGCTACACCGGCAGCATGCAAAAGGCATAATGTGATGACTGTAGTATCAGGGGCACTGAAATGAGAGGTAGGCTAATAGCGACACAGCTTTACCTAGTCAAACGTGTAAGCCCAGGGGTTTTTCAGGCCAAGTGACACATGGCCCCAGCAGTAACGGTTATCAAGAAAAATAAATTACTTAACATCCAGCCGATCAGGTAAAAACTTGGATATGAAATTGATTTAGAGGATATATTGATATTAGAAAAAATACATAATTTTATAAATTATATAAGTATTTAATTCAATTTTTTTAAAAAAAATATATATGTATCTACAGTCTATATCAGATGACGAACTCACGTGATCTTTCTAGCAGTGCAGCTACCTTTAATTAGGGTGGTAGATTGCTGACTTGGCTGACAGACACCTACATCACCAAGCACGCAATTCGCACCTTGGACCTCTCAGCAGACCCTATGCTGGTTAGTCCATGTACAGCTTTATCTAAGCTTGTCTTTTGGCCATTGCAAGCTTGTACGAATGGATTTTAATTCCCAAAGATTTTGATCAATCAGCTTCAATATGCTGTGTGCTATTTGTGTCAATTTCGATATACGAGAATTGCTGCTGAAAGCTGTAGCTCAGCCGCCCCAAACGTTCAATGATCCTCAATCAAATCAGACGTTCGAATGTTTCCGTCCGGCGATGCCTTATTTCTTCAAGCACCAACCCAATCTTTTCTCTCTTCGGTTGTCGGCCAGTAGCTGCGAACTTTGCAGTTGCATCTGGAACTCTCATATCAAGAATGTACACCCAAACCAGTTGGATGATGAGGAATTGGGCAAGGGTAGAAATGCAGAACAGATATTCATAGGGTCTGCAAACTGGGATGCTACACTCAACGGTCTGCCTCATATCACTGTTGTTCAAAATGGACACGCTCAGGGGGGGCGTGCCTCCAGGTTGATCCAAATGCGTACTCTCGGCACTTTTGAGGTTTGTGCGCTCAGAGGTAAGCCGCACAAACGCGCGACGAAACAGTCGGCAATTAATGAAACTTAGGTCACGAGCCATCTCGCAACGGGAACTTGCTTGCACGCTCGGTATATCGCGATTCTGGGTCCGATGAATGCCTACGGTTGACAGTCGAGTTACTCGGAAATTGTTTAAACACGCATGGATCCTGCTGTGCCAACTATCCTGTTTTATCGCAACTACCAACAAGAGTTATCGACACGGCCGGAGCGAACCCGAGGCTCATCGACAGTGGCGGAAGAAAGGACAAGTTTGCTGCGCTTTCGTATTGCTGGGGCGGCGACGGGAATTTTAAACTTACCAGAGCAACAGAACAGTCATTTCGTGACGGCCGACCGCTCAGTGAATTTCCAGCTACTTTACGCGATGCAATTACAATCTCCAAGGCTCTGGATATTCGATTCATTTGGATTGATGCCTTGTGCATTATTCAAGACTGCGATCAAGACTGGGCACATGAGGCCAGTAGAATGCGTGAGGTCTACAGGGGAGCGGTGGTCACGATAGCAGCAGCATGTGCTTCCAAAGCTTCCGAAGGCATCTTTCGAGAACGAGAACAGTCGGACCAACCCAGGTGCTGGCTTGACTGGATAGATGGGGCCCCATCCACGTCAAAGGTTTTCCTACGGCCGGGGTCTGAGCTGTGGGACGAAAGAATGCACCAAAGCGTCCTAAACACAAGAGGCTGGGTCCTACAAGAGACACTCTTAGCACCTCGAACGCTGTGGTTCGGCCACCAACAACTGTGTTTTGAGTGCCCAAGGGGTAGCATTGATGAAGGCGGCCGCTTCCTGAGGGTCACAGAGATGTATCGTAGCAAGGAGTACATGCAAACACTGCGTATGCGAATTCTCCCCACGTGGAAGAGACGACTTCTTCCCCTTCTTCGACATCTCAACCTTCCTACGACATCGATGTTCCTCTGGCCGTCTCTGACGGACATTATAAAAGCAAGAGATTGGGAGACCATTCGCCATAGAGCTATCCCTGCGAGGCCGCTCACTCTCCAGGGTGTGTTCCGACACCCAGGTGATCCTGCTATGCTATCACATTTCGACTATTGGGTTCACATCATCGGGAACTACTCCAGTCGCAATCTTACAAAGCCCACCGATGTTCTTCCTGCGTTGTCGGGCATTGCGAGCGAGTTTCATCGGGCTACAGGCGACACCTACGTCGCGGGACTCTGGAAAATGGACATAATACGAGGTCTCGGCTGGGTATGCATCCTCTCATCCCTTTACAACATCTAACATTTCTATAAAACTCTCTAAATTGTTTCAATAAGTGAAATTTAAGTTAACATTTAACAAAAACAGACAAGAGGCGGACTCAGAAGAAAGGCGGCGGGTGGGTGGACTGAACCAGAACCAACGCTACCCGAACATTACCTTGGTCCATCATGGAGCTGGATGAGCATTCTCGGTAAAAGGGTCGATTTCATGATCACGGACCATTTTGATCATGTTGACCCATTAGCAAAGGTTATCAACATTGAAATCCAACCTGCTACAAATGACCCTTTTGGCGCTTTAAAGGCAGCTAGCATCACTCTCCAGGCTCCAGTACTAACCTTAGAGTCCGAAAATATCACTACTGCTCCTCCAACATCACGATATCCGAAGCTAATGGCAAGACTATACAGTATTTTCAAATACCAAGGCCCTAGCGAATTTGGGCAAAAGCACCAAGGTTACCCTGGGCAAAGGTTTATCCTTCTGTATCTGCTCAAGACTCGAGATGCGCTGCGCGATAGAGTGCGTACATGTTTCTTATTACTTGAAAGTGTTGAAGGTGAACAAAGTTGGAGACGAATAGGGTCACTCTATTTCACAATTAAAGATGACGCAGTTAAAGATGTGGCTGTCAAAGAGCTCCCAGTTTTCGAGGAGATTAAGAACAATATAACTCAGCAGGTTATAAAGATTATTTAAATAGCAGTATTATTAAGTATATAGCTAATAGAATAAAAGTAATCTTAGTCTATAACTATATAGTATATTAATTATATACTTTTTAATCTATAAATTAAATAATCAGGAAATTCTATACTGTTCTAATTACTATAAAATATTTTTCTTATTTTTTTTTGACTATAAATAAGGGTCTGGTTGATCCCAAGATCAGGAACACGTGATCTGATCGCACAATCTTTTTAAGAACACAATTAGCGGTCCATACCCGAACCTTCAACGCCACAAGGAAAAGTCAGAATATCACACTTTCAGTACGATAAAATATATTTATTAAAGATTCATATTCAGATAATTAACTAATTTATAATATTATAATATTGTATCAATTATATTATCAGTACTCACCCCTAAAAACTGCTGTATAGGCTAGATCATGGACGCCGTGGAGCTAAAATCCTGAGACACGGATTTTGCCTCTTGCAACCTCATCTGAAGAGAAAGCCGAGCTACTTTTCTTAGGTGACAAGGGCTTTTCCCACGCCCTCTCTTGTTCAATCCTTCATCGGGGAGATTACATAGAGTCTTCGTCGGTTCCATCGATTTCGCCTGGGCAACGTCCCCTTACCCCGCAATGGCGGGTGAGCCGCAAAAGGAGCAGGCAAAACGGAGTGCGTACGATCAACAACGGTCAGTTTGACTCGACTGACAATGCATTTAGATCACAAGGTTAAAGGCAAGGCTCGGGCGAAAGAGGCGAATGATCCCGACGAATTCCGCCTTGCTCTGTGGCCGACTGATACCCTTGACAAAGAGCTGGCCGGGGAGGGAGACCAGAACCAGAGCCCAGAAACCCAAAGCCAACCCGTTTCTCCAGAAGTGAGGCAGAGCGGCGTGGCAGAGACGAGCAAGAGTGGCGCACCTTCCGTCAAACTTAGCATGAACTTGAATATTGAGATGGAACTGAAAGCTAAAATCAAGGGCAGGGTCGAATTGTCCATTCTGTTAGTTGTGCCGTTGATTCAATTCAGCAATCTAAAATCTTCGCTAATATAGTGCCAGGGGTGGAAAGAAATGATAAAAAAATGATGCGTCAGCCATCGTCATCTCGATGCTTGCCTTGCCTTCATATCGCCCAAACTGGGAGAAAACAAAGCGACCTTCTATTGAAGCATATACGGGGAACATGGCAATGGAAATAAGACCCAAAATAATATAATGACCTCTTTATATCTTGCAGAAAGAAAGGTGTTCGATTTATGGAAGGTTTTCCTAAAAGAGAGAAGGAAAAGTATAATAGATAAAGACTATGAAATTTGATTAGTAGCGACTTGTCCCCTCCTATATTCCTTACATCCTTAGTTTATCAATTGCTAAGCCGCACTGTCAATACTTTGTGCCTCACACATCTTAGTGTATATCCCTCCTTGAGAAATAAGCTCATTATGAGTCCCGGCTTCAGCAATCTTGCCCCCGTAAAACACAAAAATACGGTCTGCTCTCCTCACAGTAGACAAACGATGCGCCACGGCGACAGTAACGTGCTTGCCAGAATCAACGGCATCCATGAGAGCTGACTGAACAATCCGCTCTGATTCAGTGTCAAGGGCACTCGTAGCTTCGTCCAGCAGAAGGACATGAGGGTTCCGGATCAGAGCTCGTGCTATAGCGATACGTTGCCGCTGACCGCCAGAGAGCTGGATACCGCTCGTGCCGCATGGTGTATCTAGACCTTCTGGGAGCGAGCTTACAAAGTCCCATGCGTCGGCAGCTTTGAGGGCGCGCTCAAGTGCTGCGACATCTGCAGACGGCAGTCCCGTGTATGGTTCCGTTTTGTTGAGGTCAAAGTCCACTCCCATGGACACATTGGCGCGGATAGTGGTTGGGAAAAGTGTAGGTTCCTGCTGGACCAAGGCAACCTTGTTCCTATAAACCCAAGGGTTGAGGTCTTTTAGGTTATTCTGCTTGTCAACAATGATCCGGCCGCTGCTAGGGTCATAGAAGCGTTCCAGCAACGCTATCATTGTGCTCTTCCCGCAGCCTAAATCGTGAGTCAGTCCCTGATGTCGAATCTATGTGTATGTCGCGTACCTGATGCGCCAACAAAGGCAACAAATTGTCCGGGCATAATTTTCAAAGAGATGCCTTTTAAAACTTGATTCTCTGGGGCCAGAGGGTAAGAAAACTTGACATTCTCAAAGTCGTACTCGCTGCAACTGGAGAGTGAACCCCTGTCTCGACTTTCGTGTGATGAGCTTATCGTCGGCTGCAAGCTTGATATCCAGAAATAATAATTTGCCGCATGATTAGCTTTGGGGAAGTCTATTATAATGAAAAATTATCAGTAACAACCCAGCGATCTGGTCTCAAAGGTATAACATACTGCCTATGAAGCTGAAAAACTGCCCTGCAGATTGGGCCGAGAAGTATAAACCCATGAATGACACCATAAATTGGTAGAACGTCAGTTCACCCCGTGATAAGAGGGTTGAGCCCCACCTAGTTGTTGCGTATAAGTGTGTGAATACTCTAAACAGTACCGTCTTACTCACCAGAAACCTAGAGCAAGTACAAAGTACTCTATAGATTGCGTTAATGAAAACCACACCATCATTTGGCACAATGGGTTTGTTGAGCTTGAGATAGCAGCATCTTGCTCTACCGCGTATTTTTCCAAAACTTTCTCTTCGATAGCAAGAGATGAGACGGTCCTGATGGCCATCACAGCCTCAGAAGCAACAGATGCGCTCTGAGAGGACCGCTTGTCGACAATACTGTCCATCTTAGTTTCGACCAGATAGCGAACCCAGCCAGCAAGAATCATTGGTGGCAATCCGGCAAAGACACCAACAAGACCAAGCTTCCACGAGACAGAGATGGATAGGATTGAGGAGGCGAAAATGTTGATAGCAGCTATGACAATGACAGCAATGTTGAATCCCATCAGTTCCATGATCGAGTGCGGGTAGGATGAAAGGCGGCTATTCATTGCACCAATAGTATTTTCCGGGCGATCAAAAAAACTTAGATCTTGTCGCAGAACTCCATTGAATATAGCATTGCGGAAACGCTGGTAGAGGCTCTGTTGACTTGTTAGTGGGGTTGTGACTTTGGTGTCGCTTTGTTGCCAGTCTTACCTGAGAAATCACGTTGGTGGACACTCCCAGGATGAAGTTGATGCAAAGACTGCCAATAGCCATTACGAAGAACATGAGTGAGATGAAGTTCCCTTTCTCAACCATATTGGGGGAACTGAAGACATCAGTGACCTTCGCTATCAATAGAGACTGGCCAGGATAAACAGCGGCTGTGTTTTGTTTCTAGTGATTAGCAATGGGTAGTTCTCAAGTCGACGAGGGAATTCAAAACGTACCGCCCACAGTACAGGTGACAAGAGAGACAAGATACCACCAGCGCAGGTCCCAAGATGTGTGGACAAGCCTCGCAATAGTTTGTATCAAGGTACCCTGTTCAAAAGCGGAAAAGTTTTCTTTAGCTTGCAAGGAAGAAAGACGGTCGGCTTCTGCTGTATTGTATCTTGCCAGCGACTGGGCCTTTTCGACTTGATCTTCTTGATCATTTTCATCCTTCTTGGCCTCATGCTCGGCATGATCATGAGCAGCTACCGACAGGTCCTGAACCTTGACTAGCCGCGCGTAGGTGCTCTGATTTGCAACTAGTTCATTGTGTTTCCCCTGCTCAATAATCTGACCTCGGGAAAGAACAACAATATTATCAGCGTTGCAGATCGTCTTCAGCTTATGAGCAATGGCAATAGTCGTTCTGTTCTCAGATGCGCGTTCAAGGGCCTGTTGTACAATTTCCTCAGCTTGAGGATCCAGAGCACTAGTGGCTTCATCGAGGAGCAGAATCTTAGGACGTGATACAATGCTTCTAGCAATTGCAACACGCTGCTTTTGACCACCGGATAAGAGACCTCCCCTCTCGCCAATTTGAGTATCATATCCGTGCGGTAGGTTCTGAATGAACTCATCTATGAAAGCTGTGACTGCAGCCTCCTTGACAAGTTTGAGTTGCACTTCTTTTGAGGAGAACTCCCATTCCGTACCAACTAGCCCATAGGATATGTTTTCAAAAATAGTCCCATTGAACAGAACGGGCTCCTGGACAAGTGTTAGGAGAACGTAAATTTATTGGCTTGACTAGATAGATGTTCTTACCTGCTGGACTAATCGAACATTTGTTCTAAGCCACGTGACATCGAGTTCCTTGACATCGACTCCATCCAGTGTTATACTACCCATGGTAGGGTTATACCACCTCTCGATGAGGCCGATAGCGGTACTCTTACCCGAACCGCTCGAGCCCTATTGAGAAATATCAGTGTTTGCTGATTTGATCTAAATCTGAAGTAACTTACCACGAGAGCTGTAATTTTCCCCGCGGGAATAACAAGAGAGAAGTCCTCCATCACTGGGTTATCAGGCCTGGCTGGGTATGCAAAATGGACATTTTTGAATTCGATTGCGCCTGTGACCTGTTCAGGCCTGATACCAGACTTTGAAAAAGGGTTGATCTCGGATTCACGGTCGATTAAGGCGAAAAGCTCGTTCGCAGCCGAGATTGCGCGAGTAAATGAGATCAGATGCGGGGCCAACGAGTTCATGGTTGCAGCAGCGATGATAACCGAGAATAGAACGCTAGTCGAAGTTATGCGTTAGCATGAATCGCTGTGTGGTTTAAACTGTTATAAGAAGACTTACGTGAAGACAGTGCCTATGCTTTCTACCTCTCCCTTTGATATCATGGCGATCCCCTGCCAGAAGGCAAGGCCCATACCAGAGTAAATGACAAAGTTCTGGCTACCAAACAGAATGCCATATATCCAACTCTTCATCCGGGCGATCTCGAAAGACTTTTGTGTGTAGGAAGAATACTCGCGTAATAAACGGGGACGAAGGTTGAACGCGTGAATCGTCTTGATGCTACTAAGTATGCTCTCAGAGTATGTGTCGGCCAGGGCATTGTTTTTTAGTATCTTGACATCTATTCTCGAGTCTGCCCAAGCAGCCGCGCCAATGATACCCAAGATCGTGGGAATGATGCAGATGAGGATCAGTGTTAGCTTCCATTGGCTGACGAAGGCAATTATAAAGGCGGCAATGAACGTAGCTAGAGCCTGGAAAACCTGGCCTAACTTCTCGGCGATTCCAGATTGGATGAGCTTCCCATTAGCCGACAGTCGCGCCGATATCGAGCCTCCATGGTCGTGATCGAAGAAGCTGATATCCTGTGATAGAGCTGCCCGGAGGTATCGACAGCGAATGTTGCGAACGATTCTATAGGCAGTCTGTGTCATCAACGTCGAGTACATGTAAGTTAAGCAGAGCCTCGCGATCCCAATATAAACAAAGTAAAGCCTACAACAGATTATTCCCATAAGAATCAAATACTGAGCTGTTTAAGCGATATTGCCAACAAGACTCACGAGTATTTTTGAACACCAGCCATGTAATCAGAGCCTAAGCCCTGGATGTCCGGCCCTGAAGCAGTTGTGAGAAGATTGATGAAGTTACCGAGGACGATATTGACCAGTGCCATAGCAACACCGGATGCAATAGCTGCAGCAATGCCAATAGTCTCAAAGAAGTAGTCGACAGGTTCGCCGAAGGTAAAGATTCTCTATCCATCGCGAGATTAATCAGTGAGCGGCTAATCTTGTAATACGAGGCCCAACCCAGAGGAACTTACAAAAAATCCTCCGTGTTCTATGGTCTCAGACTCATTGTCGTTTTCTTTTGCTTTTTCTTGGGAGGACCAGCCTTGAGGGATGGGATCCTTCTCCATTGCAGCTGCTGTAGATATTGTTTCGGCAGAGCCACTTGGTCGGCAAATGGTATAGCCAAAGGTGAGATGGGCAATATCTGCTAAATGAACGGCGAAGTTGGAGAAGTCAACACCGAAATAAAATAGCAAGGGACTCACAATAAGCGATGGTGATAGAGAAAACAAGAACAGGAACAAGGCTATGAGTCTTTGAGACGATTGAAGACGAGGAAGGGTCTCGGATTAAAAGAAAGAAAACTTTTTAGACGAAATTGACAAAAGTTAATCACACAATTTCTTGCCAGGGGATGCGTAAAGGCTAGGCGTGATAACGGAGGGCGGACGCCATCCAGCATCCGATCTGTCCGCTAATAACGGGCACCATGGTAACAGTGCCTGTTTAGACGACCTTAAAAATCTTATCTAGAAGATATTAGGTGCTAGAATACTCAGCTAGGCTGAAAGATTTCTTAATACATTCCTCGCTCTATGTGCCTCACTCTCTTTATCTTTCCCACCTTGGGAGCAGTGGTTTGAAGGTAGCATCTTCTTCCACAGCCTTGTCGCCCTTGATCATAGCTCATGTAGAGACCTCGTTCGACCCGCACTGGCATCATTTGCTAATCCTAGTGGTTCCTTGCTTGCCCGACCTCTCGATCCGTGCCACTTATTTCGGTGGATACCTTCGGAGGTCGGAGTCAAATTCTCGCCCCGAGCGTCCGCGCCTGTCTTACCCCCTACCCATTCATCAAAGTCTTTCGGAAGCGTGTTCGACTGGTCAACCGGGTTTTCCTCCATCTTCATCCTGCTGGCAAGCCCAGCCGCATCTTCCCGTCTCACCAAGCCCCTATTCTACCGCTTTGGCCTCATGGAGACTGACTCGAACCCCCCATCCGAGGCCGATCATGACTCAGTAGATTTGGCGTCCACCCCCCAGAAGGGCTTGGATGATATGACATCTCCGCCCAAGCTGCGTCAGAAGCTAGCTGTAGGTTGACTTGGTGCTGGTCGCCCCCCTTGTGTATCATATCTGATTTCGATCTGGCTACATGTAGTGTGATCAGTGCCGCGGTCGAAAGGTCGGCTGCGATCGGCAAGAGCCTTGCTCAAGATGTATTCGGATGCGTGTCCATTGTCAATACACTGCACAGCTACGTCCTCGTCCTAAACGACCCCGCAAGGTCCCTGCAAATCCATAGTGCGTGTTGAGATAGATCTTTCACTATGTTTCGTACTTACACTGCCGCACAGCGAGGCCCAATTCGACGAACTCTCTCGAAAGCTAGATAGAATCTGCAAGCTCCTCGAGGACAAATTGCAACCCAACTCAGCGGAAGGCTTTTCTGAGTCTCACGTGCCCCCCACTCACTCAACAGCCTCATTGCCAGCATCAGTGCCCAGCACAATGATGCAGATGCAATCTCCGATGGCACCCACTGAGGCTTCGGAGCCGGAGTACGAGGGGCATTCAGCGCTCTCTACTCACACGGCCTTTGCTAGCAACTTGCTCAAGAATATTGCAGGCCAAGATGCAATGTTATGGCACAGTAACACACCGAGTGGCACGAGCTCCACCGATGCTATTTCTCAGGTCCCTGGCATTGCGAACTTGCCAATGCCCTCGGCTGATATGGCCTTCCGCATATTGCGGATCCTGAAAGGTGCGCTTCCTAGCTTAGCCATAGAAATGTCATCTACCATACTAACAAATCGCCAGAGGACCCACGAATGCAGCTACCTTGGATGATGGAGTTTGAATCCATTGACCAATTCCAGGAATATATATTTAGAGTGTACTCCTCCAGCCATCCTACCGCCGCGGAGCAAATCATTCTCCTCGCCGCATGGGTTTCGACGATGCCTGCTTGTGCTTTAGTCGTTGTTGATGCTACACAAAAGGCTGAAATCGAGGCCCAAGTCGTCACTTGTCGTGATAGCCTCGACGTAGCTTTATCGAGACTGCCTTTGCAATTTCCCTCGACTTTTGAAAACATTCTGGCCTTAACCATGGCGGTGAGTCCCAGAGCTGAAGTCGGGTGTTCCACGTTCTTACTAGCCGTGTAGGGCACACACTACGTCTACAGATCACGAATTAAACTCGCATGGATCATGAACTGCGCTGCGGCACGAATGGCCCAGGCATTGGGGCTCCACAAGGCCTGTCTACAGGATCCTGAGACCAACATAGCCACTCGCAGAAAAGCGCGGCTATTTGCCATAATCTTTTCAGCTGACAAGGCACTCTCTTTGCGTCTTGGGCGAGCATCTGTGATCCGCGACGAGGAAATTCCAGTAAACCTTAGAATGCTGCTGCGTGGAGTAAACACCGCCCCTTCCCCAATTCCATACCAGTGGCTCGCGTTCTCCCACACGCAAGGCTTAGTATACGATCAGCTCTATAGCCCTAGGGCCATGCAGCAAACTCCAGAAGTAAAGCAGTCCGTAGCCAAAGCTCTGCTGGAATCCGTCGAAACATTGATGTCAGAGCGAAATGAGGTCAATGTAAGTCCCGGGGCTTTGTCTACTCGTGCTGTGTCATTTCGCTCACATGTGCTCATCACCTCTCAGGAAGACTTCGAGAGAAAGGCTCGTGTTGCATTCGGGGATGACTTGGCAGATCTTTACAAAGGAGCAAATCACGTCTCGCAGTTAGCACTCATATGCTTGATCTACCATGGCGTCGCACCTTGGGCACACAGGTCGCCTTTTTACGAAGAGGGTATCCCATTAGCTCGAGAAGCTTTGGTAGAGCACCAACATTGGTTTAGCTTGCTTTCAGACTATGGGAATATTCATACTGAGATTTACCTCCGCTGGTGAGTATTATCAAAGGCGCTGCAAATGACTTGGCGGAAAACAATCGATCTGACTTCCATTCTAGGGCCCTATTCACCTCGCCTTTCATCCCTTTCATTATTCTTTTACGCGATGTCGTTCAGACTAGTGAACCATCCGACCTCAAGCTCCTCGGCGCACTCATTGAGTCGATCGAGACTATGCGTGAATCCTTCCCAGACATCTCCAAGCAGCTAGATTTATTCAAGCCACTCTACGAGATTGCTAGCAATTTCATCGAGGCTAAAACTACTGATATTTCTGACATGTGTGATTTTAGCACCTTTCTACAGGAGTGTAATTCGGGTACCTCTTTCGGCCCAGCTCTACTATCAACCATGGCTCGCCCTAGCGCATCATCTCAAGTCACGCCTCAGGGTGAGCAAGCATGCTGCCCTGGAAGCTCTATACTCGATGCTTGGTGGGAGATTGATCACGCTCAGTGTGACCCTTCTGGGTTTGAATTGAGTTAACTCGAAGTATATGGACATGCCTTCTGGCGGAGAATCCTTGGATGGACATGAGCTGTCAATCGTTATGAAGAACAAAATGCGCATCTAACCACAAAGGTGACGCCAGTAATAGGGATTGGAAGGGATAGGCGGATCAGAAAAATCAAACATTGCGTCCATCACTATCTTGAATTCTATCTAAGCTATTACATATACGACACTCTTATGTAGTAAGAAGATACAAAGAAAATCACGACGATTCAAATAACACATCCTCCGCATTGCCTATTTAGCAGCTATACTCCATAATGAACGTAGGCAATCCACGGCGGAGGGCTCGACTGGCCCCAGTTATCTTCCAATGGCATCATGTCTCTCCCCTCTCTCGCATCATCTCCTCTCTCTTGGAGATTCAAGTTTGAGATCCCCTCTTCAGCGGAAAGTATCATCGCAGCCCTTCTATCTAGACTACGGTTCGAATACTCGGCCAGCCACTCGTCCCGTAGCCTCTTTGTCGCCTTGTGCAGTCGTCGGCTAACCGATTTATCTGTCATACTTTCATCACGAATGACTTGATATGTCAATCGAGCTATGTCCATGCAAGTCTCGTCTTGCACTTCCCAAAGTGTACCGATAACGTGGCGGAATCCCAGAACTTGAAATGCACTAATCAGGTGAATGCTTTCATCTAGAAACTTTTCCTCTCGCACTCGGCCTGTACCGCAGGCGGATAGGTAGGCAAGAAAATGCGCGCCTTGATCCATATTCAGCTCAAACAGCTCTGCTACTGATAGAGGGCTGTTTTTGTCTTCTAGGCAGAGATGACTCTTCGATGGGTCAACATAGTCCGTGTACCCGTGTCCTGCAAATTGAAAAATGTTGCAATTGCTCAGGCGGGACTTGATGTCTTCCTTGTACCCCCGTACTTGAGCAGCATTGACCGATGTGCGCTTGAAAGTCTTTTCAATTTCACACACTTCGTTGGCAGCATAGGGCAGTGTGCTATGTCCGGGAGTGTTGCTCATGGCCACGAGTAGAGCCTCCACTGGTGTTGATACAACTGGGGCTTGGAGGCGAGAAGTTACGAGCGTCTGGACACTTGTACCGTATGAAGAGACTACTCGGTCCATGACTGTGTCGTGACCACCAGATTCATGCCTACCTGATGCATGAAAGGGGAATTTGCTCATGACGCCTGTAGGGATCCATGTCACATGAGGCCAGTGATCGTTATCCGGTGGCTGAGTGAATCCCAATGCATCCATGATAGTTGTATCCCAGAGCCAGGTAAGGCACTGTTGACTCCATATTTTCTCGCCGCTTAGTGCCCAATACCTGATTGCATCATATTCGATATCTTTGAGGTGTAATACTTTGAGGTGGCTCTGGGTAATGATAAATATGTCACACCCTTCAAGGCACTGGACACTCAGGTTCAGCACAACGATGGGGCCTGACTTCGCTGCTTCCAGAATATCACTCCGACGAGGTACGTTGAGAAAATAGTCCAATTCAGGAATACCCAATATGTCATTTACAAGGTCGTCGACATATACTTCTCCGCGATGTTTATCTTTGTCCGTGCTTTGAACATGATCGGGCTTCGCTTCGCCTGGGAGTGTAGATTCCAGCCCATGGCAGATTTGATCCATGAGTTTCATATGAGCATTTGATGACGTCTTTCCTAATTCGGAGTTGCTTTCTTCCACGTCCATGGAATGTAAGTTACGGCCTTTGATAGACGACAAGACCATCCCGCGTCCTCTAGACAGCGTAGCTAAGGCCAACCATCCCATTCCAAGGTGGGACACTTCGCGATGGGCTTGAGCCTGCTCCCTCTCATAACCCATCATGGCAGCCGCAGTATCACTAGCAAGCCCAAGTATCTGACTTGCCCAATGCTGTTTGTCCTTCAAAGTGAATAGTTGCGCCTGAAACTCTTGAACAAGAAGAATTCCCAGCATTCCTGCCGTAACTCTGCTATCATATGCAAGCCCAGTGTTGACCAAATGTGTTGCAGCCTCTATACGCGTCCACTGAGCTCCAGGTATGACGAGGCATCTTATGTAGCTTACAGAAGCGTTTGCCCAAGTTTGACCGAAAGGTTTCTGCCAGTCAATGGCATGTGAAGCCCTGACAAGTTTGCATAGGAATAGGTGACCAAGTACCAGCCATAGAGAACTCTTGAGCGAATGAGCATCAGGCAGGTTCTTCATTGCATTGAGACTGATCGCAACTATATCATCGATCTCAGGGCCGGGACTTTTGTCCTCAATTCCATTATAAGTTTGCATGCTGTACTTCTCAAGCATAGCTTTAATGTAGGACAACAAGTAATTGCATTTTCTGATTTCGTTTCCCTCAAAGTATTGCAAGGCCTGATGAGCATATTCCACTGCTTCCTCTACGTTGTGATAGGATCCATACAACTGTGATTGGGAGAGGAGCAATTTGGATAGCAATGCAAAGCATGACAATTTGCCTGAATCGTCAGGTCGTAGCTCTTCAATGGATCTTTTTGCAAATTTAATTGCGTTCTCAAGATCTAGAGAGGAATCGGTCCTTTCATACTTGTGATGTATAGTTTTAGCCATGCTTAGAAACACATCTGATCTAGGTGCGTCATCATTCGATGCGAGCAGCTGTTCGCCGAGAGAGATGGATTCATTGAGATCGGCGAGTGCCCCTTTCGAAGTGTACCTGTGGCCTAATAAGATTGAACGGTTGAATAAGGCATCATGCCACAGCCAATGGCCCTCTGAGACGATGGAGAGAGCCTGTTCGTTGAATTGGATAGCATCATCAAGACTTTCCGTGTCGTTTGTTTCGAGGTAGAGATCGCTGAGGACCTCCGATATTTGCACAAGATACTTAGGATAGTCGGCATGTTCTTGGTCCGTAATATTGAGAGCCTTGAGAATCGCCTGATGAGCTATCTGCGCAAGGGAGATTACGCCGGTACGTTGAAAGCATTTTAATGTATAGAATGAGAGCCAGTATAACCAATCCGGGTAATCGAAATCGTCTTGTGGAACGAGCTTGCAAGCGGCTAGGCAGATTTCCATGGCCTTTTCTATGTCCTCGATTGATTGCCGTACAGAAAATCTGTCAAGATTTTCTTTCACCAACTGATCGATACGGAACACACCAACAGATTCAAGGCCCATGTCACTGCGCTTCTTTCGGAGTCGCAAAGACTCATCTCGGTGTAATTCGGATTCCGATCTAATGAAACTCTCGTCATATAGGTCAATGAGTACTCTAAAGGCTGCTTCCTGTTCATCTTCGGACGTGCCTTGTGCTTCGCTTAATAAGCTCCTGGCTTTCTCAAAGTCGCTCTGCTCGCCACTTCGGAAATATTTGTATTCGAACATGATTCCGAGATGAAGAGTAAGTCTGGGGAAAATCGTTGAATAGGCATCTCGATGGTCGATGACCTGCTGGAGGTACTTCATAAATTCGTGTAGAAGGGTCACATCTTCAGTGCGAACAAGCCTTCGTCCTAGGTATATAGAGTGTGCAAAAACGAGCCAGAGTCTCGTAATCTCGTCTTCTGGTGGCACTCGAAGTACAATTTGCCACCAAGAGAGACATTCCTCCAAAGTCGAATTCTTTCTGTCATGCGTTATACGATATTTGTCAATGAGTGCGTTGGTTCGCTGATAGGATCTGAGGATTGGATCTGGGTCAGAGCCATCTTCGCCCACATAGTTCGAGATTAAATCGGCAAGTTGTAGTATCTGATCGAGCTCATTTACTTCCATGTCGCGAATTGATTTCATGGAGACTTGGTCGGCAAGCTCGTCGATTTGGTTTACTAAATTTTGCAGTGGTAGGCATTCCGCCGGCGATTTCGTACATTTGGCTTCTGCCATTGTTGGATCTGCCGCTGCTAGGATGCCCTTGAATACTTTGTTGATTAATCGATAGAGTCGAGGACTGAGTTGGCAAGTTCGGGCAGATATAGTCACCCAGTCAGCACAAGAGTCAGGTGATTTGCTGCACTTTCGTCATCAGTCCAGCCTTTTCTCCTGCATCGCTGCCTAAGCTGACTGACATTAGTAGCCTGATATGAAATATACGGTCTCGAACCAGATAGAGGTGGCTCTTGTACACCGAGCTTGTTATTCTCCCAAATCCCCCCAGAATTCTCTCAAGTCATCCGCTCTCCATCTCGTGCTCCACCCCGATTCGCGCTCGATTTTATCCAATAGCTCCAGAATAGCCTTGTGCTCCGCGGGATGGCTCATGCAGCGGCCTGCAATCCATATCGGCTGCAAAGCATTCGTCCACGCGCCGTGGTGGTCGTTGGAAATGCTGATCCCACAGACTTGTCTCGCGTGCCAGAGGATGCTACGAGCCTTTGTCGAACATCTTGCAGCAGCGCCTATCGCTACAGAACTCGAAGAGGTTCCCAGCGATGAAAGGCGTAGTCCCGCGGGCCTGTTCTGCAGCATTAAAAGCGACGCGGTGTGGTAGAGTTGGTTTCCGGATATCGCTGCTGGATTCGAGAACAGCACTGTTGGAAAAGGGGACTTCTCGCTCGAGGGCAGAGTGACGATCGAATGCAAAGCCGCAGGCCGCAAATCGTGCCATTCGGCAATATATCCCCAGAGTTTCATCCACAATTCGAGCCTCCCTCCAGCATCCAACGCCGTGGTCTCCAGAAAGTCTAAAACCAAGGCGACAAGATACACGGCGAAGTTGGCCCAATTATGAAAATCCGTCATCTTTGTCTTGAAGAGCTCTACATCAGCATCAACACCCGATCCGGGTGCCCATTGGGAAATTGGGATGAGGGTCTTCACGGACGATATCAGACCACCACAGACGTCCATACGTGCAAAACACCAAAATAACGCGCCTTCCACGCCGCTAGAAAATCCACTGATGCCAACAGCCGATAAAAGACAGGCGCACCCATCCAAATGGCGCCTCCATGCTTTGGGCGAGCAGGAAACCATTTCGAGAACACAAAGGATAACGCAGCTAGCGATGACGGCTGTAGTACGAGATGGCAGATGAGGGAGCAATAGATGGATAGCCTGTTGGTATAGTAGCAAACTTCGGTCGTGAGGTAATGTCGTTTCTTTCAATTCGATCTGCCTTGCTGAAAGAGCGAGAACAGAGTACTGTAGGAAGGAGTTGGAGGGCGCCATAGTGGGGATGACATGTTTGAAATGTTGGTCATTGTCAAATTTGTCAAGCCAAGGGGCAATCTCATCAAACCAGTTTCTCCATAAGAGAACCTCCTCCTCTCTGCTTAGAATTTGATCTCTAGATATCACCGTCTGTTCGGCTGTGCTCAGGTCGTCGACAATATCATCCACTTCCTCACTGATAACATCTAACTCTTCCAACGTTGGGAGCGGACTGGGTGGGCGAGTTGGATCATTGGACCTCACTTCCTGGATCAGATGGCTTCTCAGAGTCGAATGAAGTTCGTGGTACGCGGTGCCAGGCAGGAAGATGCCATCGTCATCCAGCTGCAAATCGGAGTACTCGCTGATGTCCAGCGGCCAGAGTCCGAAGGAAGAAGAGGCAATATTTGACTGCTCATCACACCTTGGATCTGTCCTAGAGCCACCTTGACTGAGATATATTAGGTTTGCGACAGCACTCTCGGTCTGTCTGAGCGATGAGGGCGACGAAGTGTCCACCCATTCGGAATAACCTCCAAGGAGCGTGTGTTCCACAGAGGAGGGTGAAATTATCGCATCTTCATCCATTAAGGAAGTCCCGTCTGCTTTTCGCGTATGGGTATAGCCGGTGCTACCCCGATCTCCATGACAGCTAACTCCTACAACGCCGTCATCGTCGCCGCCGTAGTTGAAGTCATCATCCATCAGCGGCGGCGAGGCTGAGTCGTAATCGCGAATAACATCCTCGGTGACATCCAAAATTTCGAAACAACTGTTCTGCCTCTTTGCCCTCAGTTTCCGCATGCTAGGATGTTCATCGCTGATACCCTTGGCATTCTCGGTAAGGAACTTGAGTTGGACTCCCCAGACACAACTCTCCTCCCTCCGGCGGCATGTACCACAAACCGGACGGCGCTCATCACATTTGCGCTTCTTTCGACGACAGTTCAGACACCCTGTACGCGTCCTCGTGTGTTTTGTATGTGGTTTATGCATAGCTACCAAAGCGGGCTGCATGGAAATTTGAGGCAGGTGGAAGCGGAGGTGGACGTGATGATGGATGTTTGTTATGCGTAGGGGAAATTTCTGGGGTCTATTTCCCCAGTTTTACATTTTGCTGCCCATTCCAAGTCTGGGGAATCACCTTACCCTAGAGCCATCTTGCTCATACCACAGAGCGAACTCGTTCGAGGCAGAGAACACATAAAAAAGGTAGGTAAGCCATTTGCAGTTTCTGAAACTCGACTTAAGTATGTTTGTGGCTGCTTATCTAGCTTATCCACATCCGTAATTTTAACAGGTCGCTCATGATTCGAAGAAGCGGCTTCAATATGGGCAGAGTACGACATTAGATAAGACTGCATGCAATCGCTTTCAGCTTCTCAACAACGGTATCAGAATCAACTTCCTACAGTTAGCTGAGCTCATAGCCGCTAAATTCATTTTCTACTTCTGAAACAACACTTCTCGGCTTCAATCCACCTCCCTGTACGTACGCAGTCATCAAATTAGCATGAAAAGTTGAAGGCAGCTCCAAGCGCTGCCAAAGACCCACCAACAGACTTGAGACATTTCAATTTGGTTGGTTGAAAGACCCCTGAACTCCACTTGGCTGTTTTGACCGCCGCATCCGACTGCCTTTCCCAGAAATGCCGCTTTGTTTTGCAAAAACTTCCGAGGTTATGGCCCAGTTTGCGCTTCCACATACCTCCATACCGTCTTGTCCATTCCCTACGGAACCATGACCTTGCACTGAAGCCTTTTCCGGAGAGCCTGGCGCTCCCCAGGTGGAGTCCCCATGTTCCTGGGGTAGGGTTATGTAGCAGTTGATGGGGACCCTGATCCTAGTCATGACATCCTGAGCCTCAGCCTTTCGGCCGTAGTGTCCCGAATGACGCATTTTGGCAGCGAAAATGGCCGCATTCTTGGGTAATAGCATGGTAGGCCTTTGGCGAACCATGGCGATCAACTAAACCTCGTAAGAGTCTCATCCGGGTATATATATTCGGCTGCTGTACTTATCCTGTTTTGCCCTGCTTCGGGCCTAGATTGCTATATTCTTTCATCAATTCCCAACATCATTTGGCAACTACGTAGGCGTGTCTCTGATAGCTACAGTGCGTGGGACTGTGCTATTGCCTCTGGGACCTCTCGTCACTTTGGGGGACTCTTTGAATAGGCCACAAATGCGAAGATGACCATCCTTGTTGGTCGAGCACTCAATTGGGCTATTACAGCCACTGCCGGCTCAGGATTCCTCCTGTTTGGCTACGATCAAGGCGTTATGTCTGGGTTGTTGACGGGCCAAGCCTTCACCTCAACCTTTCCCGAGATCGACACCGACAACGGTGGCAGCGCCTCGCTGCAGGGCACCGTCGTCGCCATTTACGAGATTGGCTGCTTTTTTGGCGCCTTATTCTGCCTCGTGGCCGGAGAGAGGCTGGGGCGACGCTGGTCCATCATGCTTGGCTGCATCGTGCTAGCTATCGGGGCGACTCTTCAGGCGACTGCGTTTTCGATCCCCCATATGATTGTCGGCCGCATTGTCGCTGGTCTTGGCAATGGCATGAATACGTCTACAATTCGTAAGTTGGTTCTTTCGATTTCCATTAAAGATGTTATGGACCGCCGAGCAATAAGCAGGGAACTAATATATTTTGCAAATTTAGCCGTGTGGCATTCCGAGCTTTCTAAGCCCAAGAATCGCGGGAAAGGTCTTGCAATTGAGCTCGCGGTCAACATTTTTGGTGTGGCTCTGTCGTACTGGGTCGATTACGGCATGTCATTTGTTATGAACGACTCTCAGTTCCGGTTCCCTCTAGCATTCCAAATATTCTTCGCTATCCTCACGTTCTTCGGCATTCTTATCCTTCCCGAGTCGCCGCGATGGCTCATCGCCCACGACCGTTTCGAAGAGGCCAGGCACGTTCTCTGGGCAGTACAGGACGATGCCAAGCAGCGTACTGAGGACGACCCCATTGTGAACCGCATGTTGTCCGAGATCCAGGTGACCGTCAGGGAGGAGCGAGAGGCCGCCAGCACTGGCAGTTTCAAGGCCATGTTCAAGAATGGCGAGCAGAAGTTCTTGTACCGCACCATGTTGGGTATTGGAGGCCAATTCTGTCAACAGCTCTCTGGTATCAACCTTATCACATACGTGAGTATACTGTCCCCACCACATATATCTCATCTCACTACTTGGTCGAAACCTCGCTAATCAGCTCCTCAACTCCTCTAATAGTATGCTCCTGTGATTTTCCAAAAGTCCGTGGGCATGTCTCATAACTTGTCCCTTCTGCTGGCTGGGTTCAATGGGATTGCATATTTCTTCTCATCACTCATCCCCATCTGGGTTATTGACCGCCTAGGTCGACGCAAACTCATGCTTTTCGCAGCTGCAGGACAATGTGCATGTATGGCGATCCTGGCCGGCACAGTCTCAGATGGAAGCAAGGCTGCAGGTATCGTTGCTGTCATCATGCTGTTTCTATTCAACTTCTTCTTTGCTGTCGGACTCCTGGCAATTCCCTGGCTCTGTAAGTTCCCTTATCCCTCCCTTCCCCTGACACAATCATATGAGAACTCATTTAACATTACTAGTGCCTGCCGAATACGCGCCGCTCGCTATCCGCACACGGGCAGCGGCATTGGCCACTGCGTCCAACTGGATTTTCACGTTTCTTGTCGTTGAGATCACGCCGGTATCGATTGATAGCATTGGATGGCGCACGTACGTCTACTTTGCTGTCTTCAACTTCTGCTTCATCCCCATGATCTACTTCTTCTACCCTGAGACGCAGTGGCTCAGTCTGGAGCAGATTGACAAGCTGTTTACTGGACCCAAGGTTCTCCTCAAGTGGGACAACAGCATGGGTGTTCCTGGAGAGCTGGAGAATCGGGAGAAGGAGGACGCTGCTGGTGAGACTGGTCGGCTTGAGAACGTGGGTGAGAAAACGCTCTCATAATCTTTATACGGCAGTGGGTTTGGTGGATATAGTTGTAAAATAGCCTGGCAAATCGTGGATGGGTAAACTTTCATCATCTGTGATATTATAGATGCCGTGTTTAGAACCACTAAATGGCGTAGGGGATCAGACCTGTTTTCTCCATTGCTCACTCTTTGACGCCTCCATGACCTGCTAGCCGGAAATACAGTAACAGCAACATCGAATCATCTACCTCGTTGTGTCACACCTAGTAGTAGTCTCAGTGAGAAGTCGCGGAAATTGATATCAGCAGTGGACAAGGTTCGCTATTCAATCCCAAAATTTGTATCTCCCAATATCGTGTTTACATATAACTTAGTACATTATGCAGAGGCACAGTGTCCTCCGTCAACCCTCAGGTCCGCGCCATGCACAAATGAGGCACCCTCTGAGAGAAGAAATACAGCGGGCGCCTTGAAGTCCTCGGGAACACCCAGTCGGCCAAGAAGCGCTCCGGCCATCCATATCTTTTCCACCTCGGGATTCTCAACGAGCAGTTGATCCGTCATCGCCGTCCGAATATACTGCCGATGGGAATCTTTAGTAAACCATGACCATCCAGCGGAACTTGGCGCAATTAAATCAGAGTCGACTTACACCAGGAGACAAGGTGTTTACACGGATGCCGTATTGGCCCCATTCCTGAGCAACAGAGCGGCACATCTGCTGGACCGCAGCCTTGCTTGAGTTGTATGCAGTGCAGCTGAGACCCTACACGATGCGAAAATACCTGTCAGAGAGAGATACGTCTAGAATGTGGTGTCATGCTCGTTCTGAACTTACTCGGTTCGCGATATTACCAGACATGCTGGAAATGATAACAATACTGCCTGGCCGGCGGCTCTCCTTGAGCGCCCTGGCGGTGTACTTGCAGGTGTTGAAGACTCCAGTCACGTTGACCCGCAGGATTCTGTCAAAATCGGCAGCAGGATATTCCAAAGCGGGGAGCTGCTGCTGGATGCCTGCGCAGGCGATGCAACCCCAGAAGAGTGAGCCCCGCGCATCCCCAGCAGCGGCGACGGCCTTGATCACCTCAGCGACCTCTTGTTCGTTGGTCACATCGCATTTGTGGTATGTGACATGGAGGCCGTTGGCGATGGCGAGTTTCTGGAGACTCGCCCACTCGCTTGCGGCAGGGGCATCGAGAATGTCGAGGCATGCCACGCTACCGCCGGCCTCGACTACCGCGAGAGCGAGGGTGAGGCCCAGGCCACGGCCACCACCGGTGATGACAACAGTCTTACTTGCAAGTGAAAAGAGAGCAGGAGTGGTGGTTGCTCTGGCTGAGGCAGGGGCAGCCTCAGGGGCCGGGTCGTTGGGGAGAACGTCGATGTCGGCGACCACTGCTGGGGCCATGGCGAATGAATCTGGCCGAGGACGAGGAGAAAGGATCTAAAGCAATAAGAGAAACGATGGGGTAGAGGAAAGAATTCTAAGTAACGTCCGGTTGATGTTTGTTGAGGGAAGTCTAAAGATGTTATCGATGATGCATATCCTTAGATTTGGGAGAACGCGGCCCCCGGATGGATATGCTCATTTTTCAGCCTGCATTCCTGCAACAGGTCACCTGAGCTGAGAAATATCACCAAACTTTGCATTATCTCGGGGTAATAAAAGAGTATTTGATAGGATGTGACAGGGGGAATTGGAAGCGACTAGATACATGCATCCGGGAGATTCTGCCGACAAAGTGAAAAGAGCAGGTGGAAGCGCAACGAGAGCATGGGAGGAAGCCAATGGCAAAGTACTTCCGAGCTTTCTCTTAGAACTCAAAACAAATTCACTGATGCACTGGTGACCCAACCAGCACTGTCCACATGCGTGGTTGGTAACTGCAACGAGTCAGCTGGGTACGTTGTGGAGTTGTGGAGTCCGCTTGGGATTTCCCTCTACAGCAATGCCTCCCCCTTCATGCCCAACAATTATACCTAAGGCCAATAAACTTGGCTTAGACTAATGGATGAGTAAACAGCTCCATATATTAATACTGAGACAAGTTATAGGTCGAGAGAAAAAGGTCTATTGCTGTCTTCAAAGTCAGTCTTAGAAACTAAGAAAACGGTAGCCTTGGCAGGTCGACCCAAACGGATATCAACTCGGACGTTCTGTCTTCGTGGATGAGAGAGCTACAAGGGGCATCACCCCCCAAGCCCTATGAAAGAGTAAAGAAACCAGTAAAGAAAATACAAACCATAGTGAAATAAGTTTTGCGTTTCAGTTTGAGCCATCAAACCATTTCGCTCTCACCAAGGGGGCAGTATCAGCAGCTGTGGTTGCGCTACCAAAATTCTGGCTAGTACTAATGAGAAAGGCCCGAGAAGAAAGCAGGTAGCAGCATCTTGTGCGGCAAGAAGTGGCGAGCCATTTTCATGACTGCGCATTCAGTAGCCGGTGCTTACTTTCCCTCCGCTTTATTTATGTTCTTTCTGGGACTTCCATTGTGTACAGCTCTAATCTATTTCTGAAGATATCACGTGAAAGTGAGACTCTGAGGCATTGCTGGTTGCCATCTCCAGCCTTGTAATTTAGAGCTTGAAGTTGGGATGAAACCAGGGCTGTCAAGAAGCTGCGCGAATTGTAGCAAGTCAAAGCAGGAGCGATAAAGTTTAGGTGAAACTGAAGCACCGACTCGCGACAATAACTGCATCGTGATAGGCCATGGGGCAGAAGGCTGGTTTTGATATCATCTATTTTGATGATCGTCGAGTGTTTGACACCTTTCCTTATTGAGGAGCACAAAATTGTTGAAATGTTCCTTTTGGATGACCAGAGTTTTGAGAAGCATGATACGTAGTATTCAGTGACGAAAGTGACTGACGGCTTTCCCTTGAGTATGCCGCTTACACGACGTTATTACCAATTGTGGCATCCAGCAGTCACGATAACTGACGAAGTATGAGTACCCTGGCGGGATTGATTGGTCTCCTCGATCCTAACCATGTAGAAGATCCGCGGACTACGGTTGGCCACAAAAATGTGTCATGTCTGGCATCCAAACATTGTGGGAACATGAAGCTAAGTAAGCGGAAGAGGATATTGTTCCTATATTGGGATATTGGGCGCTGCCCTGGGATTGTTACAACGACCTCGGGCAATAGGAAAGCTGCAATCACCGGTAGCGGCACTACGTGGTGTGTAGGCTTGTGCTTGTTGGGAATACGACCTTCCCCATCAAGGACGCATCACTCCATTTAGGGCGACAGATCGTAAAATAATCGTGGTGGCAGGGCTGGATCATACCCTGACTCAATTGAAGGTCCGAATAGTACGGCAAGAAACAGACCACCCTTGGTCGCATGGCAAAGAGAAATCCTCCCAAGTTAAGCCAACTTGTGCGGCAGGGTGGCCTAACGTGGTTTCTGATTTGTAGTAATCTCTTAGTCTGATGGGGTTCGGGTTTCAACACCTTCCGTAACCGATGACAACGAGCTCCTGTCTCCGTGGTTCGAAGGCAAAGCGCTAAAAATCAGATGCCTATACTAAAAAGGTAACCGTTGCATACGCATAAGGCGCATAAAGAGAGGAGGAATGTAAGCCATCTGACACACTGCAGGTTGCAACGTGTGTTTCGATAATGCCCTTGCGATAATGGACGGTCTACTACGAAAATACGTTTGACGAATACCTGGGGTTCAGCCCTAGACAATGTTTAGAAATGAAGAGCGTTCTGAAGCCGGGTGCTAATTTCTGTCGAGAGGCCTTCTTTGTATATACCTTTACAGAAGGAGGGGACGTTGAGCAGAGCACTCATTGGCCAAGGAACGAACACAAGCAATGACCAGAACTAGGGCTATCCCATCACCTGATCCACCGTCCGTCCCATCTGACCCCGCGTTTCAAGTCTGACGATTTGCCAAAACCCGGTACGTTATGGCCTATCGACTAGCGCCCTCCGAGCGGAATCTGCAGGTGGCAATGGCATTAGAGGGGATCCCTAATAAATGCGGCTTGGCGGCTCGGTAGTTGCATAGAATATCAGTTTTCTTTCGGGCCGAGACTGCAGGGATACATCTCAAGGGGTCTGGTGTCTTTTGTTTGGTGGGTTTGTCTGGCAATATGCACATGCTTAGATCGGTTGATGATATAAATGAGAGCCAACCTTTCATGATCTCAACTAGTTTCGCTAGCCAGTGACAGCCCCAACAAAAGTCAGATCACATACCTGCAACACTGGAAAACTTTTGGCTGAATTTGTTACAATGTTGTTCAAGACTGCGTTCCTGGGGCTTATTGCCACAGCGAACTTTGTTCATGGCGCTGCCATTGGGCATGCTGCAGAGCAGACTTCCCTTGAGACGCGTGCCGCAGCTGCAGATCGGCTAGTGTTTTGCCATTTCATGGTTGGATCCTCCATCAGCAAGCCCTTTACAAGTCTTGCAAGCCACTAGCTAACTACTTCATGCTATAGATTGGTATCGTGGGGAACCGCAACAGCGCTTCACAATACGACGATGATATGCGTCGTGCAAAGGCTGCAGGTATTGATGCGTTTGCCCTCAATATTGGGGTTGACGGATATACCGACGCGCAGCTAGACCTGGCCTACAAGTCAGCAGCTGACAATGACATGAAGGTGTTCATCTCTTTTGATTTCAACTGGTTCAAAACTGGAGAAGCTGCTACTGTCGGCCAGAAGATTGCCAAATACGCAAGTCAGCCAGCTCAGCTAAAAGTAGATAATCGAGTCTTTGCGTCCTCCTTTGCTGGAGATGGACTTGACGTCGCTGCTATGAAGAGTGCTGCCGGCGTTGATGTGTTTTTCGTTCCCAATTTCCACCCTGAACAAACAGCCAATCCTGACAGCATTGATGGAGGCTTCAACTGGATGGTATGTCTCCCTTTGTCCACATAAGCTAACAGCATTGAATTAACACAAATCCTAGGCATGGCCTAATGATGGGAACAACAAAGCCCCAAAGCCCGGAAGCTCAATCAGCGTTGAAGATGGTGACAACAAGTATCTCAGCTGGCTTGGCACCAAGCCCTACATGGCTCGTAAGTACTAACGTGGATCATTTGAACAACGCAAGTAACAAGTTGTAGCTATTTCTCCCTGGTTTTTCACTCATTTTGGACCTGTAAGTCGCGAGATATCATCATTAAAGTCCGGCCAGTCTCTAAAATCGAGATATAGGAAGTCTCCTTCAGCAAAAACTGGGTCTTTCCAGGTGGTGCCTTGATTTTTGACCGCTGGAAGCAAATTTTGGACAAAGGCTTTCCTTTAGTTGAGATGATCACTTGGAACGACTACGGCGAGTCTCATCACTTCGGTCCTCTCAGCTCGCCGCATTATGATGATGGCAACTCCAAGTGGACCAACGATCTGTAAGCTGGACTGTTCCCAGATAAAGCCCACCGCCTAACTAATTCTTTACCCAGGCCACACAATGGATGGCTCGAGCTTTCGAAGCCCTTTATCGCTGCCTATAAAGCAAAGGAGAAGACCGTAGACAAGTATATCACCGGTGATCAAATCGTCTACTGGTATCGCCGAACCTTGAAAGGTCTAGACTGCGATGCTACCGATACTACTGCCGGTAGGCCAGCCAACAATGATAGTGGCAACTACTTCATGGGTCGCCCTGACGGGTGGGAGTCAATGGATGATGTGGTTTATGTTGCCACATTGCTCAAAGAGGCCGGCACGCTTACCGTCAACTCTGGTGGTCAAGCGGTCGAGAAAGATGTCCCCGCCGGGGCCAACTTGATTCAAGTTCCCGCTGCTGTCGGTTCGCAAACGTTCAGTCTGTCTCGAAACGGCAAAGTTGTTCTCGAGGATAAGTCCCTGATGGACATCTCTAACATCTGTCCCTGTGGCTTGTACAACTTCAACCCCTATGTAGGTACTGTTCCTGCTGGTGAGAGCGATCCTCTCCAGCCTGATGGTCTTGCTTCTCTCACCATCGGCCTTCACGTATCTACCTGTGAGGCCAAACCATCTCTTGGTACAAACCCCCCGATTTCAACTACAGGAGGCCCACCCCCTTCGAGTACAGGAAGCTCTCCACCTCCATCTACCACGGCCGGTCCTACATCCACGGGTGGCACAGTTCCATCTCAAACCTCGTCACTACCTGGACCTACAAGCACAGGCTCAAACCGTAAGTCTCTATGTCTCATAATCTACCCTTCAAAAGGCCAATCAGCTAGTTAATACGCACTACAGAGCCCTGCAATGGCGGCACCAATGCTGATGGTGAGTCGGGCAACTATTCCGGTCTGTGCAGTTTTGCCTGCAGCTATGGATATTGCCCTCCCGGTCCGTGCAAGTGCACTTCAAATGGAACACCTGGAAACCCTCCTTCGGGAGACGGAAGGAACGGTTGTCCCGCGGATGGACTGGGTGATGGATACAAAGGGCTGTGCAGCTTCACTTGTAGTCACGGCTACTGCCCTGACACTGCGTGCAAGTACTGTTGATAACGCCCTAGGTGGCCTCAACCATATGCGACAGAAGCATTCTGGCTAGGAAATTCCGAAATGAACACCGCTTATGATTTGCCTCTATCATTAAGAAAAGCAATCCATGCCTTTTGTGATCGCTTGCCTGTGCATCATCAAAATTTCACTATTCGGCTCTCCGTTGATTCTACTAATCTACCAGTTCCAGGTCGAGTACGAATGAGAATATGCCGTTATTCTCTAGGAGCACTGGACGGGGCTGTTCTGACAGCTGTAGACCTTGGTGCCTCCAGTAATCACAACATTAGACCAAGTCCAGCCGGAGCAAGAGCCGCTACCACAGACCACGACGACATTGTATCCTCCAGAAGCAACACCTCCCCCTCCAGTGATGTTCTCCACCGTCAGGCCAGTAATAGGCACGCCGGTTGTGGGATCGCCTTTGAGATCCCCTCCGTTATAATTCTGCTCGATAAGAACACCATATCTGCAATCCACATAAATTAAATTCTGTTATCTCAAAAGAGTGGCAATTGAAGCTTTCTAGCGCGTTTTAACTTACTTCGTAATGTTTTTCAACGTGAGCCCCGAGTATGTGACACCCGTCACAGAACCTGTTGTGCCGGCGACAGTCTTAACTCGGATGGCTGTTCGCGGGTCAGCTTGAGATCAGAGCCAAAAGGAAGCTTCGATTCTTTACCTTGAACAGAATTTTGAACGGTGCTATCTTTGAAGGTAACATTGGAAACAACATTGTTAGTACGCCCACCAACGCTGCCAATTGACAGACCATGTCCACCGGAACAGAGGCCGCCTGAAAAGATGATATTCTGCAGGGTCATCAAGTTAGAAATGTTCCGTATTCTTGATATAGTTGAAGGTCATTACTCACGCTTCCAGAGTTGACTGCCACACAATCATCCTGGTTGTGAACCTGAGCGCCAGTAATGGTAACCCCTGTACTATCGCCGATATCAAAAGCGTCTGTGTTCTTACCGCCGCCACTGTCACCAGCCGCATTGTCTATTATCATGTTGGCGATAGTCAGGCCATTCACACCGTTAATGCTAATTGCCTGGACAGGAGTATTGGTGATGTGAACGTTGTTGATGGCAGAGTTGGTGAGTTTGTGTGCGGCGAAGAACTTCGGCTTTGTCTTGCCACCGCTGCCACCCTTTCCATCCCACCAGCGAGCTCCATCGGGATTCAGCACTGCGCCAGAGGCTCCCTCCACGGTGATGCTATTTCCTTGAATCTGCAATAGAGGGCCAGCCCATTCGGAGTAGCCCCAAGTTGTAGTGCCCTGAAAAATGACCTGCAAATACCAGATGTCAGTTGAAAGACTGAATAATTGGTTGCTACAGATACTTACATGTGTACCATCGTTTAGGTTGCTTAGATCAAGAGTTGTTCCAGACGGAACAGCGACATTAGAGAGCACGATAGTGGCACAAGAGGCCTGCGACTTGCTTGCGCTAGCTGCCCCGGAGGATCCAGAGAAGGTGCAAGTAGTCGCTCGCTCTTCAAGGTTAGGAGCCTGGGTAACAGTTGGGGGCGCTGGGCTGGCGATAATGCCAGTAGCCGCAACGGCGAGCAGGTAAATAGCAGCGAATCTAGCCATTATGACTAGTAGACTGTAGAGAAAAGGCCGTGTCTGTGCTGAGACGATAGAATTGAAGTCTTTTACTTGCTATATATAGTTTTTCTTTCAACTGTACACTGATACGATTTCTGTTCCATTTAACCCTTGAAAGTTGTACCCTAACTCATTTTTTGGAAAGATCAGTTGAAACACATGCCGAACAGCCGGGTTCCGAAGCAATACAGGGCTTTTTTGGTATGAATGGAGTAATTCGTTCCATATACCCTTTTCAGTGTTTCTAAGTCAGAATGTCAGTTATAAAAGAATTGGATTAAGAGGCTGTATCATGTGCCGTCAGAGCCGAAAGACAGAGGGTAATTTCGAATATTGTGTTTTACCAATGTCATCAATGCATGCCGGCCGGACCGAGCGAAGTAATTTTGCCGCCAATTGACGACTCTCCAAACGCCCGCGGATTTCTTCCCTTCTATTTATTTTCCCGCCAGATAAAGAATATAGACATCCCCAAATTATGCCAGCCCGCACTATCTAACATCCATAATACATTCCACATTGCGCACAAATTATTGGATGACGGCATATTCTTCAAAAATGCCTTTTCGGCCACTGAGTAGCAAACGTTGTGACAAATCCTCGACGGTAGAGAAGATGGGAGATCCGGATCATACAGAAGGAATAAACGTTAGGTATCATATGGCTACATCCACTGCACGATGCTTGTTCTCCACTGCTCCAGGTCCTCTCTCACTCCAGTCTCGTGACGCGTTGTGCCTCTGATATGTTATATCCATGAGCGTGAATATTACATGAAGCAGCAATGAAATGATATGAAACGGGCTGAGCCTATTCCAAAGCGCGGTACTTTGATGTCGCTTAGACATGGTTAAATAGATATATACTGTGAAGAAGAAGCTAGGTTAAGAATAAGAGAAAATACGAACGTTGTTACCTTTAGCCCAGCCAACTTTAAGCCTAGTCTTTCGTGCGATCTCGATTCCCTCAGAATAGCCTGTCCTCAGAATGTTCATTTCATTCAGTCTCGTAGCGGGAGTTTTGTTTGCGTACATGAAGATATCAGAAAATGTCACGCCGCTCAGCTTGATCGAGCTGTTGAACCTCTAGGTGTAACCTTCACGGCTGCCATGTTTACGAGCACGGATATACTTAGCAACAACATCTGTAACAGGTCCTACTCCTCTTTTAGATGTACCATTGACGAAGAGTGCGATCCACGAGGCCACGCGTCCAATGTTACCATGCTGATCATCGACGTCGATATTGTCAAACGTGATACGGCTCGCTGTCGCCTAAACATACAGACGATGGATTCCTATCCCAACGCCAGCATTATACACAACACTATTTTTGAATGTCACATTGTCTTGGCTTTGCATGGCACCCTGTCCGATTTTGCATCCGTAGCAGTTGGTCCATACAGTCATCGAAGACAATAAAACCAGGTTTCCCCGTTGCAACATTCGTGTCTCTGTAACAAGCGTCCATCGGGCTACATGGGGTGTTCGGGGGAATCGTGGCCGCAGATAGCGTTGAATCATAAGCAATCATCGAGTGTTTCTTCAGGACATTTATTCACACAAAACAAAGCCCACATAACTCTGCATTGTTTGTGAAGAAGGTCAACGGAGGATCCGAGGAGTGTTGTACTATTAACATAAAGCTTTATCGACCGTGACATGGAAATATCTCGTATTGCTCGCTGTATCAATGACTTAACCTTGAAGAGGAAGCTGCTTTTTGCTAAGCTACCTTGACCTTTTGCTAGAGTTAAGGTATTGGTCAACCATGTCACATAGATATTAATTTCAACCATACCTTTCTGGCTTTCTACTTGTATTAAGCTCATTGTAAACGGGCAGAGGTAGCTAGATCGAGACAAAAATCATTTCTCCCAGATTTGTTACTTTCACCTTCTTTACCACCTCTGCCACCTCGGCTTCCGCTCGGCTTAGAGGGAGGCTAGTTTTCAGCTGATACAGTAAGTACACAGTGCGGTTGAGGCTAATCCCATTCACGATGCATACCATTGAGTACTGCGTAACAAAGTGAGCCGCTAGAGAGTTTGAACGGTGAGTCACACAGTGCGTACGACTGAGAGATGGAAGCTACATATACGGAGTACCAAAACCGAAATTAACCTCAGCTGCCTGAAATGGCGCTATGAATTCGTCCTCACTCAAACTTGAAGGTGCTTTAACATCAAGTCACCATCAAAAGACCGTGGGTAACTCTGTGGCCCTACAGAGCAGGAAATCGAAGCACAATGGCCACCATCCTAACCATTCCACCTGAGGTGGTGATGAATATCCTTGGACGCCTCGACCCCTTTAGCCTCGAGTCCGTGGCCAAAATGCTCAATTCGCGCCTGTACTACCCTGCTTCTCAGCTTCTTGCACCACGCAAAGGATGGATGGAAAACGCTCGGGCTATGTGCAAACTCTTCAATCCACGTGGCAGCCGCGGAGTGCTGCCATCCTATCAAGGGCACCTCCCTGTTCTGGCCGACCATCACCTAGTACGAGACGAGATCCCAAGGCGAGACTATCAAGGCCTAGGTCTGGATCAAGAAAGGGGCCCCTACGTGCGCAGCTCGCCTCCAGATTTCCAAAGCTGGCTAGCCCTTGACGGGACGTTTAGCTGGTTGCAGTCGCTGGAGAAGAAAATCGCCGACGAGATGGAGCCACACACTGGCCGCGAAGGGGACCAACCTGTTGCCACCAGAGCTCAGATTGAGCGCCTCGTTGCCAAGGCCAAAGAGCTCGGACTGAAGCTACCAGCAGGTTTCGAGGCATTCATGGCAGACGATCACTTGCATCATCGCATACCGAGCTATTCTGCTTGGTATTTCAACCTTTCGAAGTTGGTCAGGTGCCCGTCCTCCGTGGACAACGGGAACGGTGGCTACATTGTGCGCTTCTATTGGGACCAACAAGCCTGTGCTTTTGCCTACCTATATCTCAGTCAATCTGGGCATCATTGTATCTTGGTGTCAATGCTGGACTTGTACGAGGAAATGGAGCTGGATGAGGAGGAGATAGAGGATGGCCATGACGGAAATGGAGACGTAGACGAGGACGAAGTTTTTATGGTGGCTCTGACCTTTGAAGAATATTTGGCCATGGTATACTATGAAGAGCTTCTGGAATTCAGAGCCAAGCCATTCAAGGGTTTATGCGACTATGTTAAGCATACATATATAGCTTCAGCCAAGTAGAGGCAAACCATCCGTCAGAGTGAGCGAGAAGCCGTGCCTATTATTCATCTCCTAGGCTATAGGGATATGCGTTCTCATGTATTTATGCCAGTGATTAGTACTACTAGTAGTTTCAAACATTAGGCAATGTCCATTTCGGGAGTTGTGGTATTTTCTTTTTTCAAGAGTGTCTGTAGATTAGTTACTCCGGCAAAGAATTATAGAGACATTATGATATTTCATCTAATTTAAGATAGGTTTCATTCATCTCGCATCCACCCGATCCACAGAGCCCATTATCAAATACCTATGTTATAGTGGATGTAAACAACGACACAAATCACCCCTAAGCATCAGCGTTACAAAATCTCGCTATCAGGCTATAGACTCTAAATCTTGGTGGAATTCTTTTCAAAGAATGTAATGATCAACGGTTTCCGTACAATGTGTGAAAGCACCACAACATAGGTAAATTGCAAATGACAATCCTCAAAACAGGGGCTGGTGATAAGGGGACGGGTTGGAATGGGCTGGCCATCAACCCTACAGAGACGCTACAACCTCCCATTACCTTTGATGGGTCGTATGATTACCAATGCCAAACCGTAAAAGGGATAGGTTCTTTTTGTTGTTTTGAGGACATCAACAACTTAATTTTAAAAGTCTGTTTGTTCTGTGTTTGTCCTCTGGCCTTACGCGTCAGCATGGTTTCATAGGTCCGTGCACTCAACTCAATAAGGCTATGATAGAGAATCTGGTTCTAGGCTTCAAAATTTATATTCCGATTTCATGGAAGACCTTTTTTCCCTTTGGATTTATCTGGTCAGAGTAGAATGTCTGAGATGATGGGGGGTGGTACGAAGGTGTAGGGTAGGGAGTATCATCGTCGGCTGATATCAAGATCGATCCCCGCGCTTTTTGACATTTCGGGCAGGGAACACCGGTTCCTTCAGCATTAATCCGGCGGGTCCCGTCAGCGCTAATTTAGTACCTCCTCTTGTCCCACTCGGGGGCGGTTGACCGTTTTTGCCTCCAACACGAGTAACTCCACGTAATTTCATCACAACAACAGAGGGTATTGGATCGGGTCAATCAGCCTTGCTGACAGACCCGCCAAACATCTTCTAAGGTTTGCCATCATTGTAATGGAAAGGGAAAGGGTAAATAGCTGCCAGCGACCAATGCTTAAGGCCCAGACTCGATTGTAGACTTTGCTGCCTATGCTGATCGTATGCCAGAATAATAATTAATCCGCGACTATGGCCATTTTACTGGCATGTAGCTTGTTGGCTGGACCCCTGAAGCAAATTCCTCTGTTGCTTGCTTACCGACGGGGCTGAATCCATACCTCGTCCAATTGTATTCCTGCCTGGACTTTCCTCATCCCATCCTTGCATCCCACATGAGTCGTTTCTTGCCCTCTTGGGAAAGATGGCGCGGAGTAGGTGTGAAAAGACAGGTACGTGGTACTGGATGGCCTTTTCCGGACAGTACTCCCGCGCGGTTCGGTGGCTGTGAGCCGAATCCTGGCTTCGTTGTGCATACTTGCCAAAAATCAAACAGGCGTCGATTTGATTGACGCAGGTAAATAACGATAAGGCGGCATGGAGACATGGTTCGACCAAGGGTCGTGATCATGTACGAAAGCAGCAGGTACTGTGTCCAAGAGAAGGGGAAATACTCCGGCCCTGGACAACTGCCATCGTTTAGAATAGCAGGCATCTTATTAGGTGGCACATGTCGAAGCTTTGATTTTAAGCGAAATGAACGGCACAGCATATCTTGTCCCAGGCTGGGCACTGGAAAAGTTTTTTGGTGTTCCGGACAAGGTTGTGATATTGTTCACCACAGACCTCTAGAAGCATATGTTGTCCATTGACATTTTCATCAGGGATGAGATTGTATTTGATGAATTCTTAATTAGAACGCTATCTTGGCTTCTAATCTCACGTCTCTGACTAGTTCCACCGCCTTACGATAACTATCGTACCTTGATATACCTATAAAGACTTGATTTAAAGGCTCTCGACAAGCTGAACAGCCTGGTGGTCCTCAATTCCCGCCACAAAACGTGTAATTAGGACACGGAGAACCTCGATCGGCTGCATCTGGGTCGTGGCGAGAATCATGCCAAAACCAGCGAGCTGAGACTTCCTGAACTCGATCATGACATCCTCCTCGTTACGAGAGAGCTTGGGACCGCCATGCTTGTGCAACTCCTCAAAATAATGGTCAAGCAATTCATTTTCGTGGGCACGGCGAACTTCAATGTCCATGGCTGAGTTCATGAAATAGGCCACGTCATGGAAGCAGGAGCCGCCGCCGATCAATTGCCAGTCAATGAAAGCGGCAGTTCCCTCGGGGGAAATGGTGGTGTTGTGTACATGGCAATCACCATGGATCAGACTCCTGAACTTGGGGTTGCGCGCAGCGAAGTACTTCTTGATGAAGGCCTCGACACGGTCCTGCTTTTGCAGATGCTCGGGTAGTTGGGGACGCTCGGGGTCGAGGACGAACTCATTGTAATTAATTGCTGGAATCATCCCCAGAACTGATTGGTCATAATGGGGGCTGAGCCAAGAGTACTCTTCTTGACCCTGGCCCCAGGTAGTAGCATGGAGGATGGCGAGCTGACCAAGACCACTCTTCACCAGGTCTGGGCCCCATGGCTCTACGGTTGTGCCAAACTTCAGGTTCTTCTTGCGAAGATCCTCCATGATGGCAATGCCCTGGAGGTCGTTTTCTCCAGCCCACCAGCAGTGAACCAGGTCCATTTTGGCAACTTTAGGTGCAACGTCGTTGAAAAATAAAACTTCACGACGGAAGAGATTGGTGAGCAGCAGCCGGATCGATGGAGTTAATCCCGGGTTGAGGCCTCCCTTGACACAAATAAACTCGGGCTTCTCGACTGCTTCCTCAGAGTCCTCATAGGTGAGGGTGAAGAAGAGTTTGCTGGCGGTGCCGTGGATAGCATGTGTCAGCTCGGCAGTCTTGATCTTGAGGCCAAGCACCTCAGTGAGCCATGCCTTTGTGACATCGTCGGGGACAAGAGGGAGATTTTTCGTCGAAGCCATAGTGTCGGGAACGTTTATGCACGTCTTGTTTCGTTTAAGCATGCAGGAATGGTACCTCACAAAGTAGGATTGGGGGCAGGATCAGCTTCTTAAAGAAACCTCCAGGAATATCCTAGGCAAGCATTTCATTTCGGTTGAAGAGAAGCGGGTCAAGGCCTCCATCTAAGACGCCCACGAGTGTTGCATGTCCTGAATTCGATATCACCGTTCAGGGGGCATGATCATTACAATACATTAGTGCCACTGGCTGGGTTCAGCACGTCGTCTAAAATTGCATGGTATAGCTGCTAATGTGGGGAGCTTTTGCCCTCTCCTATCCAAAGTTCTTTGATGGATTTCTACCTGGACATCTGCCCGGACCTCTGTCCGGGCAAGACCGCAAGACATGGGCCGTGACCCATTCGCAAGGCAGAGAGAACTAGCAGGGCAGCGGCATGGATCATGGTGCCATCAGGGTGGTGAGACACAGAGCCGGAGGCCATGGTTCGCACGGACCGTGCCTGAGCGCGGGAAGTTCCCATTGGTCTTTTGATGGAGAATGCCTGCTGTGCTGTGGCGCTATACTGCTGTATCCGGAAAGATGTGTCGACGTTTTGCCAAAGTCATGGCACGACTGCCTCCGTTTCTTAACCCTTGGCCCTTGGAAAAACGAGGTACGCTTCCCATCTTGGCACCGTCTTCAGCCTAGCAAAGCCTTCCGAAGTTCTGAACGTCAACTGGCTTCAGGGAGACGGTCCACTTTCAAAGAGCATGACACACGCGCACGGGCCGGTTCAGGCATTCGGACGGTATGACTGCCCTTTCGTAAGGTTTATTAGTTTTCAACTCGCTGTCGACAGCAACTCCTTATTTTTGCCTGTTTGAATGGAAACGTGTATGAACGCTTCTCCGCCCCCACCCTCGAAGGCTAATAAAGTAAGACGTTGAAGCCTGTTGTAGTTCTTCTCCCGTTTCTACATCGTCGTCCACAATGTCGTCCGTCGAAATCGAGGTTCCAACCACCTGCAGTCCGCTACCATGGAAATCCAATGTGCTAGCGTTCATGGTCATCAACGGCGTCATCTCCGTCTTTATGGCTTTGTCTGTCGTCGGCCGGATATATGCCAGAATTACTGGAGCAGGGCTGGCTATTGACGATTGGTTTGCCATTTTCGCTGCTGTACGGATCCTGAAATACCCTGTGTATTTCCCCGAGACGCCAACTAACTGTTATAGCTTCTCAATATACCGTTGATGACTTTCCAGGGAACATGTACGTTGAGCCATGTTTGACCTAACTAACTTGTTAGACCATCTCGTTGCTAACGGCCGGGACAGTATCAACTTGTGGCTCGGGCTATCCTCTGAAAGACACCATGCACAATCTTTCCGTCATACTTCGAATCGCATTCGCCTATCAGATTACGATAATCGTCACGAATTTCGCTTTGAAGATGAGCGTCCTGTTCTTCTATACCCGAGTTTTCAAGGTCCGATCAGTCAAAATAGCGTCCTACTCTGCTATGATTCTGGTCGGAGTTTGGATGGTCACGTTCGTCTTTGCGGTGGTTTTCTCCTGCAAACCAGTCAAAGCGTCATGGGACTTGGCAGCGCAAGCAGCGGGGGCCACTTGTATTCAACAAACCAAGATGCTTGTGGCCATGATCTTCTCCAATGCCGTCATGGACCTGATGGTGATGGCCATTCCAATTCGAAGTAAGTCTGAATGGTAATTGTTGTTGGTAATGGATGTATAAGGGTGATCTAACTTTTCGACTCGTGTAGGCATCCTCCGCCTTCAGATGAGGCGGACAGACAAGCTTGGTGTCTTGGGTTGCATCCTGCTAGGTGCCATGTAAGTTGTTTACTTTGAACTCCTGAAGCTCCATACCAGTGGTTGATTTTACGATTCTAATTGCTTTGTTAACAACACGCAGTGCGACCGTTGCTTCATTCTTCCGAGGCGTATACGTTTCCACCGTCGACTTTTCCGATATTACCGGCACCATGGCTGCCAGCAGCTTTGTGTCGGTCCTCGAGACTCTTCTTGCTGTTCTGTGCATCTGCCTACCGACGATCCGGCCTCTATGGCGCCGCTACAGAGGAGACCCATCCAGCAGTGCTGGAACGATGAAATTGACGGGTGAAATGTCAGGCAGCCGCGGTCCAAGGGATGGGCAGATTAAAGTCACAAGGGATATGCATATCGATCACCAGAGGCGGGACCTTGAGCTCCAGGACATGGCAACTGGTGGAAGGGATCATGCCCTCTTTGACGAGTCAAGCTCGGAGAAGAATTTGACAACAACTGTCATAGGCAAGAAAAGCAAATGGTCTTCAAAATGAGCTGGGCTGCCTATTCTCAGGCCTCTCTTTTTCGTTTAAGCGAGCTGGACATTTGGAAGACGTGTGTGCGCGGTACAACAACTTATTAGTGACATTGCTAGCTGGTCCTAGGAATGGAAATGAAGGAGTAATATAAGGGTTTATAAATAGCAATATATATGTTCTACATAATTAAGAACCAAGGGTGCCAAAAGGGGCTTGACTAGTTATGAAAGAGGAATGATGAATCCATTCTTAGTGCCACTATATGTTAGCAGAGCTGAATTGCCTAAGCCCATCATCCGCGAGGCTGAGGAGGTAGCACCGAGCCTCGGAGCTACAATGGCATTCCACTCTCATCCCTTTCGCAACTCATCAAACCAACCCCTGAGAAACTCCCTAACTGGCTCCCCTCTCCCCACAACAATATCAGAGTCTCACTAAACAAAGTATTCATTAAAACTCTAGAAAGGGCTCACACAGCGCCTTCTAATTTCCGACCATTTTTTGCGCTAGGAGGCAAATGCAACACAAGGGCCAAGGAGCGGTTAGGTTTTTATAGCAGTGTAGGCACTGCTATCTAGGATAACTCAGCACGCTGTCGTTGCCACTCCTTTTCAGCATGCGCAACCCGACGTTTGACCGCCAGGTCCCAACGAGTCCCGAATATGGTGTCACTTATGCCAGGGCTTCCAAATCCATCCGAGAACGAGACATTGCCTCGCACGTGATGTTGGGCATGGGATCGATTGTCGAGGAACTTGCTCGCGATTGTAGAGAGTAAGCCCTGCTCGGAACCATCGCGGTCAGCCTTTCCACTTCCCCTCAGATTAACGGACAAGTCGTATCCTGAATGCTCATATAAGCCGCCGATGGCCCCGAGGCCGGCGACCAAGGAATGAAAAGCAGTGCCGGACCCTCCGCCCCCAACTAAAGCAAGCGGAATAAGGTACGGTAGAACAATCTCGAGGAAGAAGTCCGGCGCCGACATGTAGCACGCGCTGATTGCTTTAGTAGCCCCGGTCGAGTGGTGGACAGAGTGTCTCAGAGCTCGCATGAGGAACACGTTGGGTTGGTGCAGTAGAAACCTGTGCGTGATGTACTGGACAATATCGTGACCAATAGCCATGCCCACTAAAGACACCAGAACTTGGCCCCAGTGGTGTGCCTCGATCGCCGGGCCTGTGAAGCACAGGCCGGAGTACTCGGCGACGAGCATGCTAGGCAGGAGAATGAAGAACTGGTTGAACAGAACATGGCGCAGGTAATGTACGTATGGCTTCCGGTCCACCGCGCGGATCTTGAAGCATTTTCCCGTCCCCGTCTTGTCAAGCCATTCGAACAGGGCGCTGGTTCCGTGGAAGACAGCCTCTTGTGCGAGCCAGATATAGATGGAAATTGGGATACCGCCATTCGCCACAGCCAGGACCATGGGGTTTCTATTGGAGCTGGTATTGTTGCTCATCATATACTGGTCCTTGAGAGAGGAGATTCTAAAGGAGATGGTTGAAAAGTTCATGACTGGTCACTGGCTGATGATAGTAAGCGGCTCAAACAAAGATTATACACTGAATGCGAATAGCAGAACAACATAATAATGGCGTCGAATACCTTCCATATATATACCCTATTTGAAGGTCTTATCATTACAACTTGAAGTCAATTTGCGTTTATCTTCATGAATTTTCGATGAGTTCCGAGCCTTCCGCTTATTTTCTACGCAATCACGGCCGTATATGGGAGTCTTTTGCGATGGAGCAAAGTGGAGCGTACGCGTGAGGTATGATAAAAATAGATCGAGCTCATATTTCTACGTCAGAAAGTCAGGTCATAGAGTCAACATGAGCGGCCTATAATGGATTTAAGTATTCAAAGCCAAAACTAATTGTACATGCCGTCGGCCGACCGAAGGATTCCGGTAATGTTAGACAAGGGTACCCGGATCCCTAACATCCCTGAGTATCCCTCCAACCGGAGGACGTACGTCGAATGAGACTTCTGAATATCCAGCTGCTTACTTTAAAGTATTGAGTGTAAATATTACGCGCTTAAGGGGCAACATAGTACAGATTACTACGTCATGTCTCATTTCTCCAAGCAACCACTCGCTGTTCCAAACTCTAGCAACGAGATCCCAATGAATCTCCTAGTGAATCGAGGAACGAGGCGAAGAAAAAGTGTCAGTTGCATCTTCCATTTTATTTAAATGATATTACCCCTTAATAAGATAATTCCCATGCCTCTCGTCCTTCGGGTTTGATTATCACGGGTGTAAAACCAAACTTCAGGCGGCCGCTCCTTCTCAACCCTAGAATAGATACCACCCTAGATATGTAGTGTTGGACTACGACATGCAAAAGTCAGGCCATAGACGCTTTTCATCTCTTTATTTTAACGAATGGCTCGAGGCCGTCTTTCATCTGTTCAGTGGTGCCTACAGATAGCTCGGGGTTGTTTTAGTGTTAACATGGTACTCTATCTAGCAGTTCAACCTCCGGCCAGCCGGTACTATCTTGGAATAAAATTGCATATATACATATACATAGTCTGAGTTATTCTAGTTATTGCACTGAATTGCAGTGCATTGTATGGTCGGAGATTTGAATTTCACTTCGAACACCTTGGACCAATTTCTTCCTAGGCCAAAATGACGATGTCTCAGCATGGAATCATCGGCGCCTCTCTCGACATGGCGCGCTTCATTATGTTGTTCTGAGTGCTTGAGTGCAAGTAAGGTAGCTCCGACTCTGCCAACATCGGCGTGGTGGATCAAAGGGACTGGAACATTTGGCTGCAAGTAGGGATGAGATCTATGCGATCCTACTGACCTGTCTCCCGAAACTTCTTGAAAGCTTTTTACGACGGGCCCAAGATAAACATTCGTGAACCTATATACTTGGTCACAACGATATCCACTGAAGTCCTTTCAACTCTGGTTGTACGGACAGATTTCGATAGCGGATTGTTTTGTAGATGGTTGTACCCACACATTAACCCAATGACAGGTAGATAGAGACTTACCCGAAGGCCGCCTCGGGCTCCAGCACCGACGCTAAAAAACAACTGTGGATGCCGTGATCCAATGCCGGAGATCCCTATCAAGCATCACGAGCGAAGCGAGGACATCACTGAACTGTCTATCTTTAGAGTCCATTAACATTACGTCACACTTCCAAAAGACTCCGATAACGGGGTTTCTTCTTTTTGGAAACGCTCCACGGGTCTCTAGTATTAGCGTTGATCATAAGTCGGCACCCAACACCGACGCATGTTCAGACACTCTATCATCCATGGATGTTTTTACCTGTTCGAGGATATCTATATATCAATCTCAAACATATCTCGCCATGAAATACTGGTTATGGAATACCAGCCAATTCGATCATCCTGACCCCTTAAAGACTGATCAGAATGCAGAGCAGAGCGTTTCTCAGGCGCGGTAAGCGAATTTCTACAGGGGGTTTCAAGCGTCCAACGCTCCCAGTTGCCCGGTTCTCCACGATTGCTCCCCCGCCCTTTGAGAATGCTCCACCTGTAAGTTGTCTAATCGCTTTCCTAAAGCCGCTGACATGGTTGCTAACTCTCGTATCAAGAAACACTATGCCAAGGGCTCGCCAGAAAGGGATGAGCTAAGCAAGACTCTCCATCAAATGAAGGAATCCTTCCCGGCCAAGATTCCCATTACGGTCAGCGGAAAGATTGTACGTTAAAGTCAATCAAGATGTTAGTTCTAGAGAGTTTGGGCTAACGCAAAAGTATTAGATCAATTCGGACACAACTTCGAAGCAAATCAATCCCTCTAATCACGCCCAGGTCGTGGCTGAATATGCATCTGCTTCCACCGCGGACGTAAATGCCGCTATTGATGCGGCCCTCAAAGCCAAGCTGATATGGGAGGCCATGTCTTTCGATGATAGGGCGGCTATTTTCCTTAGGGCGGCTGAGTTGGTTTCCACCAAGTACCGGTCAGAGATGGTGGCTGCTGTAATGCTCGGCCAAAGCAAAAACATCTGGCAGGGCGAGATTGATGGCGCACTGGAGACAATTGACTTCATCAGACAGTATGTGGCCGAGGCGGGCAAGCTCTTTCAGCAACAGCCCAAAATTCATGACAAGACTTCCTGGAACAAGCTCGAATATCGGCCCCTGGAGGGATTTGTTTATGCCATTGCCCCGTTCAACTTCACCGGGCTCTTCTCAACCCTAGTTGCACCAGTCTCCCTTCTTGGCAATGTCGTGCTGTGGAAGCCTTCGGATTATGCTCTACATTCCAGCTGGCTGCTATATAAGATTATCCTCGAAGCGGGACTGCCCAAGGATGTCATCCAGTTCGTCCCAGGAAACCCTCAAGTTGTCACCGATGCCGTTCTAGCCAGGCCCGAGTTTGGAGCCCTGTCCTTTATTGGCTCAACGGAAGTTTACAGGGAACTGATTGGCAAGATCGGGCAGGCAACTGCCCAAGGACGTTACAACTCGTATCCACGCATCATAGGAGAGACGGGTGGCAAGAATTTCCATCTCGTTCACGGCTCGGCAGATGTCAAGAACGCCGTCCTCAATACTATCCGCGCTGGCTTTGAGTATCAGGGCCAGAAATGCTCTGCAGCATCTCGAGTGTATGTCGCAGAATCTGTATGGCCCCAGTTCAAAGAAATTCTTGTATCCGAATTGAGCAAAATCAAGACTGGATCTCCGGATGACTACCGCAATCTCGTCAACGCCGTCATCCATGAGCGAGCTTTTGACCGTCTCAATGATGTCATAACCGCGGCCAAGAGCGATCCCGAGCTTGAACTTGTTGCAGGGGGACAGGCTTCCAAAGCAGAAGGCTTCTATATTCATCCTACAGTCTACAGGTCTACGAACCCTGACCACGATATCATGCGCCGCGAGTTATTCGGCCCGCTCCTTGCCGTCTATGTGTATCCTGATGCTGAGTTTTCCAAGACTTTGGAGAGCATTGACAAGTCTCAGTTTGCCTTGACGGGATCCGTTTTCGTGACTGATCCGCTCGCTTCGAGGGAAGCTCAGGATAAGCTCATGCACGCGGCTGGAAATTTGTACTTGAACACCAAGTGCACCGGATCGGCGGTTGGCCAGCAGCCGTTTGGGGGAAGTCGACAGAGTGGATCGAATGACAAGTCTGGCACCGTTGCGTTCTTGACCAGATATGTCAGCGTCCGGACCGTTAAAGAGGCATTTGATACTCTGGATGATGTTCACTACCCTTCGAATGAAGCATGATTATGCTTTTAATAGATCAAGAGAGGTGTCTCGTGTGAATAGAAATCATTTATTTGCTAAGCCCGTCTTCCCGGCCAATACGTGATGTCCTAGACCGCAATTCTTAGCAAACCTGCGTAAGAGATCCTGCTTGTTCTGACTCAATTGATCAAAAAGTTTTGTTTGGCTGAATTTATTTGATTGAAATCAGGGATCTTATGCATGTTTGTGAAACTGAGTAATTCTCCGAGATCCTCACCTCTCATCGGCAGCTCTTTACATTTGACATGATCACAGTTCATGATCGATCAGTTCTATAGATGTCTTATAAAGACCCTGATATACGGTGTAATTGTCATAAGACTTCCGATTCGATCGTTCTCCTAACTGTGCATCTCATTGCAGAGCAATAACTTCAATCTCGATTCTGGCATCTAGCATAAGCCCTCTAACCTCAACCGAGGTTCGGACTGGTTTGTGAGGAAAGTGTTGGTAGTAGACCTCATTCACCTCTTTATCAAGGTCCCTCAAGCTTTTAAAATACAACTTGATCCTAATCAGCGTCATTTCTAGTAGAAACACTCCCATAGATGAAGTTGACCAACCTGGACTTTGATCACCTTGTTCAGACTTGAACCCGCAGCTTCCAGGACGGTTTGGACATTTCGACATGTCTGGTCCATTTGCTCTGCGACTGTTCCTCCCATCATTTTACCAGTCTCATCAGTAGCTATTTGTCCCGTAATGAAGACAAACCCGTTTGCCTTGACAGCATGGCTGTACGGCCCGGTAGCTACGCATTCATTATCCAAGTGTCAGTCAATTTACTCTGATCATGACATATTGCAGTGTGAAACGACTAACGGACGGGAAATTTCGGCGACAAGAAAGTTTCAAATTTGGCTTTCCGGGGTGCAAAACTCGAAAACAAGCGAGGGCTTTGAACAGACCGCTGGAAGTAGCGCCATGGTTTAATCAAGCCTGGGAGAGAAATTGCTAGCCGATCCATGCGTCTCGTCTTGCATGATTGTTTGGTAAGTAGCTGCATGGCAACTGTCTGATACAGTTTGGTATGGTATCTCTGTGAAAAAAAAAAAAGTGAAACATGCCCGAGACTATTTAGTTGGGCTATGGGATACGGGGCAGTGTCTCCCTACCATGCTAGATACCCTTGAAAGTATCATGGCTTACCGTAACGATACTTATCTCCGGTTCGTTCGTCTAGCTCCTACAAGTAAAGAGAATGGAGACCCTGGCTTAGCTTCGGTCCCCACGACCGAGTGTATGTACCATGCAGCAAATCAGCTGCCGACGACTATCTCCGCTACCGGAGTAGTAGCAGGTGATTAGCCTCCCCTGCTAAGACCTTTAATAATCTAATACCTTCTCCCATTTATAATACGCAGGCCTTAACACATGTTAGCAAAAGAATGGGGATTGTTCACATACACAGTTATCGGAAGCCATACTCATGTAGAACGTGATATTGGGATATGTTAGCAAAGGCGAGTCTCGTGAGATCTAGATTCGAGGGGTCGTTCTTTTTAGAGTTATTGATCAATTTTGCACTGTATGGACAACCTATTCTCTAACCACCGGTACAGCCTTTACTGCTCCCGCACCACCTGTTGATATGATAGAACCATCCAACGTGACAAGCAAGAATTTTACACCCAAGTCATTGATTGCCCAGTTCTGGACTTCAGGGTTGTTATAGATGCCACCCAGCCCAAAGATCTTGCTGTGTTTCTTGCAGGCCTTGCTAACGGCTGTACGAGTTGTGGATTTGTTGAAAACTTGATTCCAAAAGCTTTGCACACCTTATTTTACCCCTTGCTTTCTATGAGATTGTTGGGGTAAACCGCACTGGACAACTACCTGTGTGATATAAGCCGGTGCCGTTGGACACCTCACGAAATAGGGGAGGCTGAGGCGGCAATGCCGTGCAATGTTCTTAACGAAGAGGTCTTAAATCCCATTGCCCCCTTTGGCAAGAACTCAATCATATTAAGTATCAACTAAACTCAACAATGGAAGAGTCCAGACCCGACATCTCAACGCAATGACCAACTCAACCATAAGCAAGTAGGTAATTCCGACGTTTTTCAACAGGCGTAGCCTTAGTATCCACAATCTTCGGGGTTCGGATCTGCCCATTTCGGATCCGCATCAGCGTCGGCAATGGCCTCCGAAGGACAAACAGATTAAGCGGGGCTCTCGGAAACAGTTCAAACTGCAAGTCCGGGGTACCAATGGTGTTATGTCCTATTTACTATATAGCAATAGACGGTAACTATACTTAGTTTACGGGGGATAGTTCGCTGCTGCGCTCCGGCCCCCTTACTGCGCACTTAGTTTTATCAACTACATATCTTTCCCTTTTGCGTAGCCCGTTTGACAATGTTCAGGCCTACTGTAGCGCAGTCTTATTCACGGATAGTCGCCAAGGCGCCCAGTAATCGGGGAATCAGCTCAAGTAGCACACGACGACTTACCAACATGTTTTTCCAGGATGTCAAGCAAGGTCCACCAGACCCGATGTACCATCTCAAAGTAGCAGCAGACCAAGACACGAACATCAACAAGGTGGATCTCGGCGTCGGTGTATATCGCAATGAAAAAGGTCAATATCACGAACTCGGTGTTCTCAAAGCTGTGGGTCAAATAATATTAGGTCTAATACATACACTGACCTGTGTCAAAGGCCAAAGAGAAGTTGTTATCGGCGAATCCCGATCATGATGTGAGATGAACTACCTAATACGGTCAAAGTATTGACGCTGATTGAAACCAAACTTTTAGTACGAGATAACCACAGGATCTCCAGAATTCCTACAGAAGGCCAGCCAAGTAATCTTCGGAAAAGATTCGGAGTTCCTGAACAATGGACAGGTAGGGCTCTTCGTGAACTATTGATCGCTGCGCTATTGACACGTCATGACAGATTGCTTCCGTACAGACGATCTCGGGGACAGGAGCAATCCATATTGGTGCCCTCTTCCTTCGCAATTCTGTCCCAAATTTGAACAAGTCTATCTACGTAGGAACTCCAACTTGGGGGAATTATGTGCCCATGTTTAACTTGCTCGGATTGGAAGTACAAACATACAACTACTATGATAAGGAGACAGGAGAGGTCGAATTTGCCTCTTTACTTGCGGCCGTGAGGACTGCGCCAAAGGGGAGCACGTTTGTCCTCCAGGCATGTTGCAACAACCCAACCGCCTCAGAGCTGACAGAGCAGCAGTGGCGAACCCTTGCGGAGGAGATGACCTCCCGGGGACACTTGCCCTTCTTCGACATTGCTTACCAAGGCCTTGGCCGTGGCTTAGATGAGGACGCATATGGAGTGCGCCATTTTGCAAGCTTGGGCTCAGAGATGATTGTCGCTCAGTCCTTTGCCAAGAATTTAGGGCTTTATGGAGAAAGAGTTGGCGCGTTACATGTTGTGGCCTCAACCAAGGAAGCTGCGGCAGCTGTCAAGGATCAGCTTCGTTGCATGATTCGGTGGGAGTTTTCCTCTTCTCCTGCGTATGGGTCACGTTTGGTAGATCTCATTCTATCAGATCCGGAAAGCCAGGCCAAGTGGTAAGGACACTATATCCAGTCATATTCTCAATATTCGTTATTAACTTGGTCAAAGGCATGTTGAGCTACGAGAGATACGAGAAAGACTAGAACGCAATCGACAGAAGTTGTTTCATCAGCTGGCTAACGTCCACAAAGTATGATGAGCCCCCACATCATTACGGAATTTCACAATTAATCAGCATGAGCAGACACCCGGAAACTGGCACATAATCAAGCGTGGGCAGGGTTTATTCAGGTAAGTCAAGTCACCTCGAAAAGAAATCCTGGTGTGTATGATTTCTTACATCATTTAAACAGCCTATTGCCCCTGACACCTACCCAATGCGAAGCTCTGAAGCGGGATTATCATATATATGTTGCTCCGAATGGGCGGATGAACATTTCTGGGCTCCGTGAATCGAACATTAATTATGTAGCTCAGTCGATTGATACAGTAGTTCGTTCAAGTAGTTGAAGAATGAAGATGCAGGCTGGAATATAAAATTGATTATTGTCCAACATTGATCTTTCATCAAGGCGAATTAAGAATTCCACATCCACATTTGCTGGCTTACTTACACCTCGCTATCTGGTCATATTAAAGAAGGTTTTGGAGATCTAAGGATATCAATAGTCCATCATTATCTTCGGCGAAGTGAAGATCACTTCTCACAGGTCGACACGACGGTTAGGGATATCAAAAGTATGCTCCAACTACCCTTAATACAGCAAGCCAAGTCACCAGAAAGTTCATTTCAAACCCAACTACCAAGAGTCTCAAATAACAAACAGGCACTGAAATAATCTTTACTCGGGTCAAGAAGTATTTGCGTCAATGGGCTGATTTCATAAGCATCACTTATCTATAGGATACGTAAGCGAACTATGGAGGGATATCACGATGCCAACCAATTCCCGAATGTTTAATTATTCGATAAAATCTGTTTCACTGTTTTCTCTTGTACTCAGAAAAAATTGAACATCTCGGCATCTGGTTCCCTATCGAGTTGAAGTGCTAGATCAAGTAGATGACTGGGGTCCAAAGCTGTATCATCTAAATCAAAGACAGTACTCCACGAGCCCCCATTATCCCCCTGCTCAACATCAGTAGAATCACCAGGATACAGCATAGACGCCTCAATTTCTGGAGCCAATTCTACGTCCCGGCCCGGGCTGCCCTTGGCTTCAGCAAGGAGCTGGAGTAGATGATGGAGCTCTGCCTTTCTCAATCGTGCTGAGACGTTTCCGAGTCGAATAATGGCATCAAGGAGGTAGTTGACACTCGGGAGCCAGTTTTGGTCGGTGATATAATCCGGGCAGACTAGATCTATGATGCATAACAGAATAGCTGAAGAGAATAAAAATTCCAGGTCAAAGGGTAGGAATGATTCTAGCGAGGGTGAGTGGAGATTTGAATAAAATTGGCCCAGATATACACACCTATTAACTGTGATTTCTCTAGAGATGAAAGAGTTTTGAGTATGGTCATGGCTGAGGATGTTGAAGTCTTGAGCAAGTTGGATATAGATGTGGTCAAATGCAACTTCTGACGGTCCTGTGGTTCCGAATAAATATACCCCTTCAAAAGACACATGACAAATGGTCTAGTAGCATGGAGGATGCAGTGATGGTACATGAGGGTTATTGTGCAAACCATCCGGGAGGGACTGGAGTTCAAGGTCTTGGGAAGCAGTTTTTGATCTACTTGCTGCCCAATATCTGCGAGCTTATGTATGATATCTTTGGTGACGGTTAGGAGCGGCTTGTCGAGCTTCTCACTTGTGCTGTAGACAGCTATATGTAGTTGTTAGCGATAGATGTTGCTATGAGATTTTAGGGACAGCACGCATTTTGCTTACTAGACATAATCGTTGCTAGAACTCGAGATAATTGGATAGACAAGCTGAGCGCCGCCCCCATTGAGGTGTCATTGCTTTCCCAGGGCAAAGTCATGCCTACATCATCATCCCTAATAGAACTAGGAGCGCCTAGAAGTGAAGAAAATCGTCGATCAAGGACATAGAGAACCCACCACAACCTCTTGCATCGTTGAGATAATTCTGCTCCAAACGCTTCCTCTGGTATCTCTCTGTGAATCCCCTCTACTGTGGCTAAGCGCAGAGCCTGGCCGATCTGCGAGACAGTCAGATAGTGAAAATTAACGGCTCGAGTGCGGCCTGCTCACATATAGGAATGCGTTGACCCTCATATCAAGGCAGTGGAGGTACAAAGCTACCAGGCTGAGGACCTCTATAGAGAGGAGACCCTCTTCATGTAACTGGGGGAGATCAGGCAGCAACGCGAGTGCTCGAGCAGCCAAAGCAGTGCCAGCTGGAGCGTCGCCCCGAGAGGGTCGATTCAGAAAAGCCTCGCCAAAAGCAAGGATGAGAATATATTCTGCAAGCCACAAGCGATGGGATTGGGCTACTTCTTCAGGGTGCATCTCGAACTCGTGTAGGCGAGCAAGAAACCTCGGCTCGTCAATGATCATGGAGAAATACCCAAGATGAAACTTGACAGTATGGAACATGTAAAGTCCGTGATCGGTCTGGGGAAGACCACTCAAATCTGGTATTCCGTTTGGGGGTAAAGCAACCCATGTGAGCTTGAATGCTGAACCATCGACAGCAAACAGTTCGGAAGGGGTTGTCTGGTCTTGGGGGAGACGCTGCCCCAAAGTGGCGATGGCACGTTGGTAGAATGACCATGTCGATGTCGGTCCCATGTACCCTGTGCAATTCGTCAGTTTGGGCCGATAACAATCACCTCGCTACCTTCTTCTTGGAAATGACGTACTCATACGTCCCCATGGGTCTTTGATATAAGACCCATCTCTAACAAGCGGATTGGTAGTAAAGACGCTGTCAGGTCCAAAGTCATCCTTGTCAGAAGAGGGATATCCACCTTCGGGGGTTGTGGGCTGTGTCATTATGTGTGAGGCATCTTGCACGAACGTTAGCCATAATACGAACTAAGACTTGAGCCACTGGTAGTCACCTTCGCCATTGCAGTGATCAACAGTTGCTCGCGGTTCCGTGGCCAAGGCTCCCGCAGCCGGCAAAGGAGACCATGTGTTCCCTGTATGACTGAACTCCCGTCCTCGAATGGGCTCTGCTGAGGCGACATTGTGTGAAAGTGAAACGCTTGTTGACTCTACAGCTAATGCAAGTTGCCGTTCGATACTCAGAAGATATCTGACAAGAGCGATTGTCAGTGATTGTCTTGGACATGTTTGCAAAAATGATCCAAATAGGCACAAATAGGCATCCAATACCTCTCCGAGACTGAAACTTTGGGGTCATCTTCGAGAAAGACGCAGTTGTCATGTCGACGCTTGCATCTATCACAAGGAGATACTCCGGAGCACCGCACTTTAGCAGTCCTACATGGCTGACATCTAGTAAGGTTGTCAGCATGTCTCTCAGCCTGGATGATGACTTAGGACAGAAACTAACGCCCACAATGCTCTTTTTGGGACACGAGATCGTTTAGATGGAGGGTGATGCATTGTAATTCCATAACGGTGTGATTTGTCACTTTCTCTGTAGCAACTCATGCAAAGCCTTCTTAGGGCCTTCCCCGGACCGCCTCTTCGGATGCTCCTTCCGGACAATCACGTGGGAATCTCTCAACGGGATCCGCTTTGACCTTAACTTGCTATCAAAGGTGGGGAATGAGGATGCTCACACATATCAGGTCCCATGAAGTTGTGACTCTATCAACCACACGAACCCCCACCAGGTAGCCTGATGGGTCTCATTACGAGATTGTAATGACCGAATTGGGTCCAGCTCCCAGGGTGGCAAGATCCTCAAAACTTATCGTAAATGTATTCGCCCGCCTTATCATGCGTATCTCCAGTATCTCCAGGCAGGCCACGACGTCCAATCGGAAATGGGTCCCGAGATGAAGATGTGGGGTGACCTGGTTGATCCCCTAGACTGGGCGACAATTGCAAACGAAGTATTGACTTCTCCTCTTCCATGGAACGTTTTACCCCGTTGGTGTAGTCAAAGACAGATCATGTGGTGTTGAGATATGGTGGGATGCAGGTTCCGGCCTTCTAGACCGATGACGCGTCCTTCGATGGCAGCAGAAAGGGTGTTGGCAGCTGAGGAGGTTGCGAGCTCGGCAAACGAGCACCGGACTAGTGATATTTGTTCGAGATAAATCCAGTTGCCTAGATCTCTTTACGGAATATGAAAAAGTTGGGGAAAGATTGAAGCTCGAAGATCAACTAGTCCCAGGCCCTAAGCTGTGAGCAAGTCGGTTCTTATCTTCCCACAATGGCGTCTGCGCTTTTCCGACCCAAGAATCAAAGTCTTGGGAGGCATGTGCCTTTCAAGAGACGAATCATTCGATCGTCACCGTATAGCTCCATGAGCTCCGGTGTTTCGGAGAAAGCAGTGACCCCACGGCCTACAGGAAACATGACGCTAAGCAAGTCTGACACCCCTCTCTCTGTAATGCCTACTGGTATACTCCTGAGATCAGTTGTCATGACCTCAGTAATGTCGTCCCCTCTGCTCTTTCGGCCGTGCCTCGCCCTTCTGCGGAAACTCACTGAGTCCAAATCCCTCCTGTTCGATGAGTCGCGGAACCCGATCCTCAAAGCCCTCCTCCGCCACACTGTCTATGCTCATTTTAATGCCGGTATTAACAAGGAAGAAGTCATAAAGACGGTCAAGGAGCTGAAGAGAATAGGATTCAAGGGAGTTAATCTCGGCTACGGGAGAGAAATCGTCCTCGGCACGAACCATGGCCAGCAGAATACAGCGGCACAGGGACACAATGACTTGCAAATGGTTGAGGAGTGGAAGCAGGGAACTTTGCAAACCTTGGAGATGATTGGGCCCGGAGACTTCACAGCTATAAAGTGAGTATTCATACATTATCTATGCGTCAACTTACCACTAAAAACGGAACTAGATTCACAGGGGCTGGACCCATCGCCATGGAGGCGATGCTAAAGGGTCAGAACATGCCCGAGCCTATCAGCAATGCCATCAACGAGGTTTGCGAGAGTGCTGCCCGCCAGGGAGTGCGAATCTGGATTGATGCGGAGCAGCAAGCGATTCAACATACCATCGACAGCTGGACTATTGACTTAATGCGCAAATACAACCGCGACCGAGCACCGCTGGTATACAACACGATTCAGGGCTACTTGAAGGGTGCTAGGGATAATACCACCCGACACATTAAGCTGGCGGCCGCTGAGGGTTGGACTTTAGGTGTTAAGCTTGTTAGAGGAGCATACATTGAGCACGAGGATCGCAGCTTGATTCACGACACCAAGGAGGACACAGATCGGTCATACAATGACATTGCATCAGCCTTGATCGAGCGGCGACTGCCACAGCAGCCAGCGAGTGAGGCATCTGAGAACTACCCACAAGTTGCTTTATTCTTGGCATCACACAACAAAGACAGTGTCCGCAACGCCATGCGAATTTACCGTCAGCGGGTTGAATCAGGGCAGCCTACGATCATTTTGGAGACGGGCCAGTTGCAGGGCATGGCTGACGAGGTGAGTTATGAGCTACTACAGGCGGACCGGGAATGGTCAGCAGCCAACTCCGGTGCTGCTACAACAAAGCCGATTCCCATGGCTTACAAGAGTCTTGTCTGGGGCACCGTAGCTGAATGTATGCACTTTCTTCATAGAAGAGCTATCGAGAATCGAGGTGCTGCGACTAGAACGGAACGCATGGCTCAGGCACTAAGACAGGAACTGCGACGGAGGGTATTTGGTTAACGGTAGTTTGAGCATTGAATGTCAAATATTTTTACCTTGGTATTCAATATACCTAGAAACTCATACTTTAAGAATCCGTGGTTCTCATATTATCCACACGTATTTGTTCACTGAAAGCTTGTAGGACTTGAAGACAGATCGTCGTTCTAGTTTGCCATGACTAGCCAAACTACCAGTAGCCAAAATCTTTGTGCAAATTGCAGCCCCCTAGCTAAGACGCTCTAATATAGTCATATTAGGAGCAGTAACATAGGCTTTCGAACTCCGTAAATAGCTTACACCTCAAGCCCAAGCAAGTGAAGGAGGTGTCCCTCCCGTCGTGAGCTCGCGACTTCGAGCTGTGAAGCGAGTCATGTCCCTGCGGATCCCCCATGATCACGGTTTGATAATGACCAGGCCATTTAGTCAACCACACACGCGTTCTTATCTCAGACCCACTGGCAGTAATCTTGTGTGGAAACTATCGTCAACCGTCTAGTCTGGGGACCCCAGATTCTCGGGCCATCCGACCCGAGATAAGCACCTAGACCCCTGATGGAGTTCAGCTTTCATGCACTCGGATGATGACGAAGGCACGCCACTCAAGGGATCCAGTCTTGTCCAAATTCCATAAATTGGCTGAAGTCCCCCTCCAAGAAGTGAATGGAGCGCGTCGGCAAGGTCATTCTCTATTTATTCAGTCCTATCTAGACAATAAATCAACCCAACGGGCAACTTCCAGCCATGTCGAATGATGAAGAGCACAAGAGTCATAAAGAGATGGAGACTGGTGGCCCCGAAGCCTTGCGGAATGGTGAAATTGAACCCTACGATTTGAGGGCTGCCGAGCATGATGCTGTTTTCGGTGATATTCACGAAGATGGACCAAACTATCGTAATGTATGTTGCAGTCTTGCCCAGTTAGTGGTGCCTTTTATGTACTAACAGCATTATCCAAACTAAAGGTTGGATGGTTAGGCACCGCCGCCCTCATGGTCAAATCCCAGATCGGACTTGGCGTCCTCTCATTGCCGGCCGTATTTGATACCTTTGGCATGATCCCCGGTGTTATCCTTCTGCTGACAGTGGGGATCATTACCACCTGGTCTGACTATATTGTTGGTGTCTTCAAGCTACGTCATCGCGAGATCTACAGTGTTGCAGACGCAGGAGGAGTCATGTTTGGTCGCATTGGCAATGAATTCTATGGCGCTGCTTACATCATTTGTAAGTATATTGAGACTACTAAAAGCATTATACCTCTCCTACTAATACTCGTTCATAGTCTTCATCTTCGTGGGGGCCTCCGGCTTGCTCAGCGTCTCCATTTCTCTGAATGCTCTGTCCCATCATGCAATTTGTACCGCCATCTTTGTTGTTGTTGCGGCCATTATGGTCTTCATCCCCACCAGTATTCGTACTCTAGATCGCATCAGCTGGTTGGCCTGGGTTGGTTCTACATCGATTATTGTCGCAAGTACGTCCTATTCTGTAATCCGCAAGCACTCTGGCCCGTTCTTCACCTGACAAATCGCATAGTTCTCACCGTCACCATTGCTGTCGGATTGCAGGAACGGCCCTCGAGTGCACCGCAAGAGGGTGTCTGGCAATCCGACTACAAGCTCGTCGCCTCTCCGACCTTCAACGACGCCATCTCCGCCATGGGCTCCATTGTCTTTGCTTGGGCCGGCACCCCGACGTTCTTCCAAATCTCGTCGGAGATGCGCAATCCAGCCGATTTCAACAAGTCCCTCATTCTCTGCCAGTCCATCATCACTGTCATATACGTTGTCGTTGGCGTCGTAGTGTACTATTACTGCGGCTCGTACGTGGCTTCGCCAGCTCTTGGGTCCGCCGGCCCGACTGTGAAGAGGGTAGCATATGGGCTTGCTCTGCCTGGACTTTTGGCTTCTGCCATTCTCCTTCTTCATGTAAGAACGCCGCCGAGCCCTCTCTACTTTACGGGAAGTCATACTAACACAGGGGGGGAACAGCTGCCCGCGAAACAAGTATTTGTCCGCGCCCTCCGAGGGTCCAAGCATCTCACAAGCAACACCCCGATTCACTGGGCTACTTGGCTCGGATCAACATTTGCCACTGTATTGGCAGCGTACCTAGTTGCCAGCGGCATCCCCGTCTTTGGTCAGCTTGTCTCTCTGATTGGAGCTCTTTTGGGCACTTTGCTCTCATTCCAGACCATGGGGTTTATGTGGCTACACGACAACTGGTCCGAGGGTAAACAAAACCCAACGATGAAGTGGTGGCTTATGGTTGCGTGGAGCATCTTCGTTATTGTTTCTGGCAGCTTCTTGATGGTTGCTGGGACATATGGCTCGATCCAGAACATTGTCGATTCTTACAAAGTATCGGGCGGGTCGGCCGCATGGTCATGCGCCGATAATTCGAATTCGACTTAGAATAAGAGAGGGGGCCGATAGGTTGATGACGCGCTATCTACTGCTCGAGCATTTCAAGCGATGCAGGTAGACATATTATAACAATGACAATCAACCTGTAGGTATTTAGATTAAGCTCTTCCGCAAGTGAAAATATAACATTTACCGACAAGGTACATCATCAATCTGTCTGAAAAAGGAAATACTTCTAGGCGAGCCCTTCGAATATACCTCTTCCTTTAGCTAGTAATATACACAGCATAGCTTAAACAAGACCGAGACAAACCCTTCGATTTCTAAACCCAAGCCGAACGGTTCAGTAGCCCGACTTTCACTGAAGATGCACCCTCTAAACTCTCTATTGATTTTCAGCCCAGCGACTTCCTTGATATAATATATATCATTATGTGCTAGTCCGTCATTCTACTTATCCTGTCAATGAACCTCCATATTCTGCTTTCAATTGTATCTTCGCGTTATCCCATGCAAGTCTACGTATATCGGGTTTTGCCGCAAGAAAAGCTTGCAAAATGGATGCATGAGCATATTTCGCCACAGCAACAGTATCTGCAAAAGGACAGCGATCACATTAGCGAGAATGGCTAGTCAAAAGACAAAAGTCTCAAAGATTTAAATTGTTCAATGACTCTAGCTTCCTCTTTTCCACGGTTGATCCACATCGTCGAGCGCAGAAAAGATCTTTGGTAATTGAGTCATTATTAGAGGATCAAGTAGACACGGTGTCAACCCACTTGCAACATGGAGCAGCACGAGAGCACCCATACATTAGAAACGGTTCCTATCAAGAGCTTCATTACCCATTTTCTTCTTCCTTTTACCATCTCTAGCCCAGACTCCAGACCACTACACGGACAAACAAACTACGGCGATTCGGTCTAAATATAGGAACCATGCGATCATTACCAATTTTTCTTTTCCTTGCACACTTGTCTTCGGTAATAGCATCATGGAAACCTAAAGGTTCAATGAATGCCGAGATACTCAAAAATAAGATACCACAGTTCATAAAAGACCTTCATCATCCTTTCGCTATCAACAGTGGATTCGGAATCGATGCTCTCGACATTCCAGCCGAAGCCTTCTGCAATCCCGACTCATTAGAGCGGAGTTCCTCAGCGGAAATACCTAGCGATCTCTTCAAACGCATCAAAGTCTCAAATGAGTGGAAGGTCTGGTCCGAAGTTGATTCACAGCTATCGGAGATTTTAGACTGCCAGGAGGCCTTGAACACTGTTAAGGAATTCCAATTCCATATAAATATTAACGAAACTTCGCTTCCACCTAGCAGCACATTGGATCTTTTCGTTCAACTCTTTGATAAGACACGTCAGATGAAAACCTTGACTTGGGAAGGGACTATTTTGAAGTACGAGGGGCAGGAGCAGCTCCCTCCTTCACCGATAGAGCAACATTTCACTCTACACAATGTTCAGTTCCCGGGTGTGACGACAATGATCCTCGACCCAAACATGCACTTCCTCGTACACATGGCGCCTAATCTTCAATCGCTGAGTTCTCCTTCTGACCCCGACTGGGTCAGGTGGAGGCGCTGGGGTTTTCCTCATCCGTTAGGAAACCCAACTCTAGGTTTAGTCAAAGCAGCGTCAGGGGCTAGCAAATTACGGGAGTTTGATCTGGTAGCCCTTTGGACCAACGAGTTGACCAGCGAATTCCACCAAGGATTCCCAGTTCTAGAGACAATTCAACTACATGGTTCGCTAGATGGGTTTGGCCCTGATGGCTATGAATTTGGCGAAGTATTCAATGTAAGTGTCTCGCGTTGACAAGGAGTCACACGGTTTACATCTCATGCTGACGTATCCACGCATCTCAGGGAACGCTTGAGGACATTTCTCACCTGAAGGCCCTCACTAAAATTTCCCTTCCTTTTGATCAAAATCCACAACTAGGGCTTGAGTTCCCTGACTGTGAGTATTGCTCAGCCGTCGAGGCGAGAAAGCTTGCGCGATTTGAACTCACCCACTCTCTTGCTCTCTCAGAAACTGTGGCCAACATTGTGGTTGAAAGGTTGCCTAAACTTAAGAGGGTTTGCTTCCAAAGGTATGCTTGCACGGCTGTAGTCAGTGGCGAGAGACCGACCTGGCCTTGGACCGGCAAATTGAGAGAGTATGTCCTGGAGGCGTCTCCACGATTTCGTGGATATAACGAAAGCGGAATGTTCGAAGAAGAAGATCCCAATGGACCCGTTTTGGAGACCTGGGAGGAGGATCAGGTCTGGTTTTCGCAGGGGGGGAGAGGCGAGCGCAATAATGGCGCAGCTGATGAACTCTAGTCACTCGCTGTCTGATTTTCAGTCCGCTTGGGCAAAGCCGCATTTTGTGGAGGATATCTCTCAGGCCACATATTAGTTCTTTGCTCTCAAGACGCGACAGGAAAATATAGTACGCAGGTTGTGCACGCACTATGCAGACTATTGTTGCCATCTTCCTATGAGAGTAGGATCCAATTGAGTGTGAACTTCAGAATGTAGAAATTGCAACTACGATTAAAACTTGAAAGCTTAGCTACTCCACGTCCTGTACATTAAGATATATGAGTGACCATGCGAGGAGGTGGTCTTATGTCTACGGTTCTCTTTCACCCCTGGGTCCCCATCCAGGAAAGGGTGCTTTCATATGATAGAAGCTTTCAGCTAGGTCACCCCAAGTAATTATATATGATATGCATTATTGCGCCCTGGTTCAAGTCACGACTCCTTTCCTAAAGAAGTCTGCTGCTGACGAGATGAGGGCGGTAACAACTTAAGTCACAAAAACACAGCCTTCAACGACAGTCCTAAAACAGATATCAGCTGGTCGGGAGCCAGGAAGGCCTGCGGCGATACTGCAGAAGCCAATCAAGGGTTGGTTACTTTAGTAAAACAGGATGGTTAGTCTTCATTCAAGAATCACAAGGGTGTTGGTGCCTACATGTCGTTAGCTGAGATCTCAAAATCCAACATTCGCAAGCGTACTGCAGTTGGAAACGACGCGCAAATCGCCCAGCGATATCTGGTCTGGTATTAAAGATCGACCCAAGCAATGGGAGCGAGATTGACGTGAAGCTAAGTATTGGACAGATGAATATGAATTTGAAGGAGGGAATAATGAAGTATTTGACGAGAGTGATGATGGCGAAGATCATAGTGGCACTGTCAAATTTCTTGAGTAAGTCGACTTGAAACAGAAGAGGCGCGGAGCGAGGTAACGGCACTCTTTTAACTGTAATGCCAATTGAAGTCCTCACGGTTGCTCTTTGAATTGTCTAACGCTCCTTGGGTAATAATTAAATGGATATACTTCATACTTCTGACCTCGCCTAGCTATGATTTATACAATACACTCCAAGATATCTTGGTCAATTCCGCAGCTTGATGACCTATAATGTTTCGAATCTAACCTATTTCTCGCTCGCAAAAACATTGAAGCCTATTTACGTCTGTCTCATCTAGTCTTCCGGCTCCAGCTTGACTCTTGGACTCATTTGGTTCCTGCACCTGGCCACTCTGGCTTTCAGGTCCTCAACCAAACGGTCACGATACTGTTTGGCCAAGTCTCTGGCGTTCCTGAACGCAGCGACCCCACTGCGGAAACTGTCAATATCCCCAATAAGATTCCACGAGCCCACTAGAGTCATCTGGTACTCGGGTCGTCCCCCTGGGGTCTTAGGTGCCGCGATGTGGTGGGCGAAAATATTCAGGGTACCAGCCACATAAGTCGAGCTGAATGTGTAGGGTTTGCCATCGTATTGAGCCTGATCTTCCTTGTAATTTCGTAGGATATGCATAGCCCGAGATCCAATAGCACCAAGGCGGCAAGCTCGCCGCGTGATCTCGGCCTTGCTTACGTTTGGGCCCTTAACCTCTAGGAAGAAATTCGGCGCCATAGGATAGCTCGTATCTGTCGACGGTACGACATAGCCAGCGAGCTCATCGCGGATCGAGGGTCCAAGATCGCTTGGGTTAGCGCCGTAATAGATCTCCGGTTTGATAGCTTGGATCGTGCCCTTGGTGAGGGGCTTCAGATTATTAAAGAGTACTCCGTAGCCGGGGAGCTGATCGAGTTGCTGTTGGCCGATTAGGGTCGGGATCACAGATAACGATATAGAAGATTTATTCAAGTAGCCGGCCCTTATATTGTGCGCCTGGAAATTGCTGAAGCTAGCAGGGGAGAACATAGAATGCGCGAGTGAGGGCCTCCGCCTAGCCAGTGCAGTCATGACCTCCGCCCATTCATGCTCTTGTGAGGCGTCTGTTTGGGGGTGAGCTTGGTTACCAGTCCATTGTTCCTCGAAAGCGCGGCTATAGGGGCCTGTCGATTCGCTGGCCGTAGCCGTTACTGGCGCTGTGAGAGTCGTTGGATCAGTACCATTGGCACTCATGGCGCCTGCAGGCGGGTATTTTCGTTTAGCTTCACTTCTTGAATATCTGGAGGTGCGTTGTCGCTTCCGACGGATCGAATGAGAATCGTCTTGCGGCGAGGGCTCTTCATCGTGCTCTCGCTTGCAGCTGCGTGATCTCCCTTCCGGGGTCTGGCCAGGAGCAACCATTATTGGCAGCTGAAATCAAGAGACTTTTTTTGAAATCTGGGAGTTCACGCTCGCTTTGGTCCAAGCGCTTCAGGGTGTAAAAGGGCAGCCTGCCGTATATACAGACAAGTCGGTACAGTATCTTAATATCTAGGTGCAGTGCGATGTATTGAGATGCAAGCCAATAGTTATAGTAGTTGAACACAAGCTATGGTACAAAGGTCAGCTGATTGACATTCTAAGAGCCATTGATGGCCGTTGAACCCACTCACACTCGAGAAAGCATACAAACAAATTACGCTGGCTCTTTGTTGCGGATGTGAGCCCGAGGTGAAAGGCCGCCTATGTTTGCCATAAAATGTTAATAACAGTATATTTGCAGCCTAAAGAGTTCTAAATGAGATAAAATGTACAAAGCGCATGTATTTAATTATTCACTTCATTTAATGAACAGTTGTTAAGGGCAAAAGCTTGAGAAGCTTTGTGCAACAGAGCCTAATAAAGAACTGGAGGACAAATAGACTAAACAATCCAACGCAGGTACTCTCAAGTCTATGGCGAGTTTGATGGCGGATTAGTTGAAGGTAATTGAGTCGACCGACGCATACTGACCATTTGTTTACACAGCTAGTTTAGGATAAAGCATCGGTTTTGTAATTTTCTGTCTCGGCATGCAGTGAAATTGGTTCTGAAGAGCAGATGTGCCCCGTGTGATCTGACTTAGTGGCACAACAGAAACTAGTGTGACCATAGGATGGCCTTTGTGTGGTTCAGTGTTATGTCGCGAAACAGCATCTGGTGGTTCTGGGATGATCACAAACTCCTTGCCACTACATTTTCAATTCTTACGAGAACGACTAGCTAACTAAGTCACAGAGACAAATCGAGACATAAAAGGCAAGCGAGCTGCTGTTGCGCAATAATTATGGATAGACTTCAAAGCTGCCTTTTCATTTCTCCTCAGACCTTAAACATCGACTCACTCCTCCTCGTTCTCAACATGGTGTCTCCTTCTCAGCCTTTTGCTCGCAGGTCCTACGAGTGCGGTACTCCAAGACTCCTCATCCGGACGCCCACTTCCATGGACGAGGAAGTATATTACACCCTCTCTACAGACCAAAAGAATTATCCTTATGAGAAAGCGGAGACCGAACTGACACGCAAGACCATAACTGAATTCATCAAAAACGTGCCCAATTACTCTTCGGCTGGGGCTGCCGCCTTCTTTGTTATAGAGCTACGTGAAACCGGGGAGGTTATTGGGCTCTGCGGGTACAATGCATTCAATTCTCAGAAACCCACCGACTTTCTGAAGAAGCCGGAGGCAAGTTCTGAGCCGATGTCGCAGACTGATATAGGTATCACTATTGACCATAAGCACTGGAGAAAAGGCTATGGCGTCGAAGCTTTCTGTGGTTTGGTCGAGTTTGCTCACCGAGAACTTGACTGTAAGCTGTTTCGAGTCGAGACAGGTCTTATCAATGAACCCTGGGTGAGTCTGATGGAGAAGGTTGGTCTTTCTGCATTCAAGAAGTCCGATATGTCCATTGTTGAGGATGAAAAAGAGGTCTGGGATTGGCGCTTTGATGTCGCAGATTGGGCGAAAGCGAGGAGAGACATGGTAGAAACAGGCAAATGGCCTCTTGCTTCTGCATAGGAACCATCAATTCGTCCACCGTGGGTATATTCAGTCAGGTTATTGGCAATCGGGTAGTCAAGAAAGGCAATCTTCTAGAGAGTCGCACACACTTCCCATTAACAATCACAACGCAGCTAGGTTTCTATTTATATTTGATTAAATATTTGTTCGTAGTACTCATGAAGAACTTTCTCTGCCGTTGGACTAATCCTTATTCAACAATACATCTTGTTTTATCTACAAATAAGCTTAATTTTGGTTTCCAAATCAGAAACTTAGGGTTTTCTATTTTCACGGTAAAAGATTATTCCCCTTTTAAGCCTTGTCCGTAGAACATCCACATTACGTTTGAATGTTTAAATCCCAAGTCCATTTAGATGGTATGCATCAACAGTTAAATTCGCAATGTGGTGTTTTGCACATGAGAGATAATTTCCAGCTCCTAAACCTCGTCTCTAGTTTGAAGGCCCCTCCGATCTCATTCATCATCTTCAAGCTGTATCGATGACTTTATCTTGCCATTCTTCTCAGGACCATTCGCTTAACGGCATCAGCGACTTTGCTATAAGCAAAATTTCATCATGCTTATATTAAGTAACCCCCAACATTGACTGAATATTATGTAATAACCCTAAACCAGTGATATAAGCGACAACAATGAAACCTTTAGTGCAACACAACGTGGCATCCTGCGATCCACGAAACGGTCGTCTTCCGATTACCCTTCCATTACGCTGCATAAAAAAGCATCGTATCGATTATGTCAGTCTATAGATTTACAAGCAGCTGTGCGCTCGGGGCAGTAGTGTGCCAAATAGTGGCTCGCCCCCAAAGATCCAAATGACGGGGCGCAGTCGCTTATGCCGCTACTGATCGGGAGCACTAAGAGGGAATACGTAGGTATTTCTAACGCTGATAACCCTGATCTGCTTTATTACTCTCCATTTGCCGTCACCTAATTACCCCGCCTCATCGAAAAACAAGACAACGTCCAAACCCCTTCGAATATGTACAAGAATACTCGGTTTATGGGCGTAAGTGAAAACTACCCTCATCATGACCAGAGTCCGCTAATATTTATTAAATAGGAGGGCACTTGGCCTTACAAACCTGGTGGTTTTCACCCAGTGCACCTCGGCGATGTTCTTGACGGTCGGTACCAGATTTTCCGCAAGTTAGGTGCTGGGGGTCAATCCACCGTCTGGCTGGCTCGAGATAGCAGGTACATCTGATATATTCTCTACACCATCTTTAGCAATTACATACTGACTTTTTTTCATCCTACTAGTAAGCAGGAGAGGTCATATGTGGCCATTAAAGTCCATGAGGCACAAGGAGGCAAGCACCAAGAGAAAATCGACGAATACCTCCGGCAAGATCAGACGCCTCACCCAGGAGCATCTTATGTAGAGAGCTCGTTAGGCTCGTTTACTGTTACTGGACCTAATGGAACCCACTACTGCAAGGTGATGGAGCCTTATGGTGGCTCACTAACCCGTGTCCTTAATGCTGCCTTTGATCTCCGGGGGACGCTTAATGAGGGTGAATCCTGGACTTGGAAGGCACAGAAGGGTGACGGTTGGTCGACAGCTGCGGCTAAGAAGATATGCTGGCAAGTCCTATCTGGACTGAGCTACTTGCATAGTAGGGAGCTGGCCCATCGCGATATCCGACCCACGAATGTGTTTACCGCGTTGCAGTATGATCTCTCTTTATTATCTGAGAATGACATTCAGGAGTCTGTTTGGCCCGCTGATATTAAAGAGGAAGACGAAGACGAAGAGGAGGAAGAAGACGATGATGATGACGAAGATGACGATGAAGAAGATGATGAAGGAGACGATGAAGAAGATGATGAAGGAGACGATGAGAGTGACGATGATCTTCCATCTGATCCAGAAGAGCGACAAAGGCAAAAGGAAGAACGACGAAGGCAAGAAGAAATCGCCGATGAAGAGGGGAGGAGATTCATGAAAGAATACTATGAATATCAGGAGAAGGCCAAAGGATTCCGAGCGGCTATTGATGCCAAATGGGAGAGCTTTGGTCAAGGTGATCGGCAAGCTATCCCACACTCTACGGAATGGGATAAAGCAAATCTTACCGGTACTCGCGATGGTATTGAAGTACTTATCAGACAGGACGGCAAAGAGATTAAGCCTGGAGAGCTCCAGTATACTGTTAGGGGTACACCTCTACCTGGAACATTAAACCTGAATAAAGATTTCAGGGTTATCCTTGGGGATTTAGGATTTGCTCTCCCATTTAATGAGTGTAGCAAATCCTCGATTAAAACTGAGCAAGTTTATCGCCCGCCAGAGGATTTACTTAGCTTGGAACCTACATACAAGGCTGATATATTTTCAGCAGGTCTCCTCCTTTGGAGGGTTGTTATGTTGGACGAGTTAATTTGGCTGCTTACTAGCATAAGTATGCCTGGCTATACCCGATGCCGCCAGCTTTATGACCTGGCTCGACGACTGGGTCCTATACCACATTCAATGCGCGCTCAGTGGAAGGAGGCTGATGAGTATATTGATAAAGATGGTAATGCCCTGGACTTATCTGAGGCTGAAAAATCTATATACGGGGCTCCAATTGGTGAGGATAGTTATTATTTTGGCGATATTTGGTATCGTGCAAGGATTCAGAAGCCCTTTGATATGTCAGAAGATGGGCTGAATATCTTTATGGATTTGATTCAAAAGATGTTACAGTGGGAGCCTGAAAAGAGGCCGGATGTGGATGAGATTATTCAGCATGAATGGTTTAAGGAGTTTCAATAGATCATTAGAGTTTTAAATAGAATGTCAACAACAGTCACGAGCTACGAGGCTATACAAGAAATTCCATAGGCTCTTGTCCTTGGACTCTACGTCTGGAATAGGCCGCCTGAACAAGCATATTAGTAGATTATGGAAGACATTACGCTATCACGGAGGGATGACAGCTAGGTCAGGTCTACAGCGATAGCCCGTCTTGACGGAAGACAGAGAGGTCGGGTCCATACAAATTAACAGTCGCAGCAGCTGCCTACTTGGCTTGGCTTACGGCGATCTCTTGTCGCGAGGGTAGGGAAAAGGACCCAGCTAGTTCAAATGATATAGAATACACACACATCCCTACAACAGCCCCCTGTGCGTCCCAACAGATCTCGATAGCTCATCTCACGTATCACAGAGCTACTGCCTAATGCTATATGTGTATTTACCTACGCCCGTCCTCCTAACTGCTCTAGCCTATCTCATTTGATCCTTTCAACTCCTAGAGCTGATCGAACCTAGTAGCTTATTTCTGCTCTACATCCGGCGAAAGAGGTTCATTATCGCCTCCATTAGCAACGTTCTACACAAAAATATTTCAACAGCAGAGGACACGACTGGAATACTGAAGGTTTGAATTGTTTAAAATATTCCTGGAATTATCGCCTAGCCCCAGCCCAACGGCTGGATCCTGATGGGATTCTCTCGAACCCACCAGAACACCAAGGCCCTTCGATAAAAGCCTCAATAGTGACCCGAGGCTCTGTTAGATGCCCTTAGTACAGACCAACAACGACATCATCCTTGACGCGTTTGGTGATTTCCACTTCGGTTTCGAGGTCGAGCTTCTTGGCCAGGAGCAAGTAAGGGTGTGCGCCATCCTCTTGGCAACCCTTGAGGAGTTCTCCGGCGGATCCCCTGAGGGGTTGATCATTGGATGAGGACTCGTTGGTATTACCAGCGGGCTGAGCACGCTTTGCTGTGTTGACGGAGGGAGAGGAGGTGGACTGCTTCTCAGGCATTTTGGCTGGTTGGGTTTATGAAAAGTTTAACTAATTTGTGAAGAGCAGTGATCGGTGCCAAAGGGGCGAGTGATGAGATGAAGGTGCATGGGTGTTGTGGGCTCGTTGCGGCCTCTTATGTGATATGTCAAACCACAAGTGAGGAATTTTGAACAAAGCCAGGTCGAAGAAAACACTCTGGTCTAATCCCATTCTAGAATATTCTGATTCAACGATGCCCGGTGCCGCCCCAGACACCCTCATCGTCGGTCTCAAGGAGATCCCCGAGGAGGATTTCGCCCTGAAGAACGACCATCTCGTATGCCAGAACCCCAATTGAGCGACATATAACCTGTACTGACACGACACGGCCAGAGCTTTGCGCACTGCTATAAGCGCCAGGGAGCAGGTCCTGAGCAGATTCCCCCGCGGCGGGATTGGACATCATCCAGGCCCGGCGTGCAATCGAAACGCTTCAGTGAGCTGTTTGGCCAATACTTGTATCATGCAGGTGGATTGGACGGGGATGCTCAGGCATATGTCGATAGAGACACAAAATCTCTATGCATAAATGCCGCCACCATAGACTCTGTGGCGTACATGGTAGTAGTAGTAATAGTAAGTGAGGGAGCTGTACAGCTGCTGAAAAAAAAAAAGGGAAATTCCCAGACACCAGCTGTGGCGTACATTTCAGAGCCTTGGACCCTGAACGAGCCTCGTGGCGGTCGCATCATGCAAACTCTCGACGCCTTTATTGCCAACAAAACGTATTGTCGCAAGGAACAACATGAGAGGTTCTTCTCAAATAGATTTACTACTCCATCGATAGTAAAGAACGAAAACAGTTCTGCTCAAGAGAGTGGCGACGAATAACTTTGTCAAATGCGAGGACTTTCTTGATCATGGGGACTGCGGACGACGGTAACACTCAAGCCATTCTAAACAGAAACAGCTGGTGGTCAGATTCAGTTGTCATGGAAATCTCATTACTACCTCTACTTAACTTTTCACAACATATCAAATATCGTTGTAACTATAGATATCCTCCTCCAATCCTTTGATTTGCAATGCCAACAACAGTGAGTAGTAGCGACACAGAGCCAAGCTACCGCCATGGAACCAGAAACCCGGGTGCCCGGTCCTCTGCCACAGTCCACGAAACTCACCCTCTTCGTTGAAACCGAAGACATCGGGGACTTTGTCAGCAATCTCATCACCAAAAATCTGGCGCGTCTGTGTCCTCATACTCTGGTATCCTGTAGCGAACACGATCTCGTCCGCCTTGGTCTCTGATCCATCGACGAATTTGACACTGCGGGGGAGGATTTCTGCAATCTGGTGTGATTGGGCCATCTTAATTCTTCCATCAACAATAAGCTGTGATGTTCCGGAATCAATGTAGTAACCGCCGGCACGTTGAAAGAACTTAAACATCATACCGGACTCACGCGGTCCATCGTCAAGCTTATAGCCCGCCCTGGTAAGGCCTTCAAGCAGATCCCTGTCATAGATGCGCGTCTTCTTACTAGCTTGGACCTGCATGGTTTTGAGTAAAGACGTCGGCATCCCATTCATTACAAGATCGGCATCCTCCGTTGGTGGACCGTCTTCTGCAAAGAGCCCTTGCATCGACTCCATGAGGGCATCGGTTGACACAACAGTCGTGCTGGACTTTTGTACCATGGTGACTTCGTAGCCCTTCTCAACAAAGTCGTGAGCAATATCATGGGCGGACGTGCAAGAGCCAATGATTACTGCCGATTTCCCTTGGCCCTCTTCGCTGAGGCCAGGAAACTCGGATGAATGGCATATGCGCTGTCCCTCGAAGCTATCCGCGCCTGGGATGGATGGCTGGTACTTCTCACCAGATTGGCCCGTAGCCTGGATGACATGGCGAGGGTGAAATAAACGAACTTCTTCGGACCCATCGTCTCTCGTGCGAGAAACACTGATATCCCATCGTTTCTTTGCATCATCCCAGCTCGTACTCAGAATTCTTGTGTTCATCCATACATTGAGCTCCATGGTAGCGGCATATGATTCCAGCCAGCCTGCAAGCTTGTCTTTAGGCGTGAAGATGGGCCATTGAGGGGGGAAGTTGAGGTATGGCAGATGATCATACCAGACGGGATCATGCAACACGAGGTTATGATACCTCTTCCTCCAATTATCACCGACCCGCTCGTTCTTATCGATGATGAGAGCGTTGACCTTTTGCATCTTGAGTCGGGCAGCTACGGTAAGACCAGCCTGGCCGGCACCTATGGGTCATATTAGCTTCTTTCTCTACACTACTTCATAGTTTAGGCAATACAAACCAATAATCAAGACTTTCGGGTCACTGCCATCGGAGTAATTGGCTTCTGCAGCCCGGCGGTCGTTCCAGTTCTTTCCGCGTAGGCCCCGGCCATTGACACGACCATCAGGACGGCGTTGGAAGCTGTCTTCTGGGAAACCATTCAAATTTCTAAGGCTGGTATAAAGGGTGTAGATCTTCCACTGTCCGCTTTCCTGAGCCAAGCGAAGATATCCAACACCCGTGCCAAGCTTTGATTCGGCCGTCAAGACGGCCGTTACGACTGGGACCTCGCCTTTATCGTCAATGGGGCTCACCGTGGGCTGTCTAAAGGACTTGCTGTTGTCCAGCGTAAGCTTTACAAGCTTGAATCCTTGCTTGGACTTGGCGCATTCGCATACAAATTCTTGAATCTTGGCCGGTGTCTGCACGGTCCGAAAGGTCCAGGATAGCATGAGATGGTCACGCCAATAGCCATTCTTGCAAAACAAATCGGCTACAGTATCAGGGCTCGGCCCACTAATAGCTTCATTAAATGCCTTCACGAACTTCTCGGCTTCTCTTGTTGCATCAATGTCAACTGCTAGTGAAGGTTCAGGAAGCTCAGCCAGTTTCACATCCACGCTCCCTGGTAGGGCCATGTGGGTAATGGGTACTTCATGATCGCCGCCGCTCATTATGGGAGGCCTCATAAGACTGTTCCAGCAGGATAATCTGGATACTCAGAGATGAAGATCGTAAAGTCAGTGTAGAAAGTTCAACGATTATTTTCAACAGTGGCGTATTGCAGGACTCTTATAATCAAATGGTGACACCACGGCTGTTGTACCCTAGTGTTAAGTTTACGGTGGTGTAAGCACCAAAGATTGATCCTCATTGCCTCATTACTTTTTACGTTATCAAAATCGGGAACTCGGAGCAAACGAGACGTGGCAAAAAGCCTCAATCTTCAGTCCCATCTATCAATCCTAATGCTCAGGGGTTTGCTGATCATGGATCAAGTTTACTGTGGTACCTTACTCTAGCAATATCCATGTATCGCCGACCTCAATCCTGGTCTAGGTAGCATACAAAAGGCTCCAAGGAATATTAGTTTATATTAAGAAACATTACAAGAATTTGCTCGGTCCCGAGGTCTGGATTATGACAGATACAACTACCATTGTAAAAGCTTTCCATTAGTTGTCAACACGTGCCGTCCCTTTACCTATTATAGAGACCTCGTAACTACCTAATACATGATTGAGGGGCACCGCAATGGTTGATCACGGCGGTGAGTCTGAACATCTATTAAGAGACTTTGCAGTATTCATACTTGTAGTCTGCCGCCTATAAAAATAATCTCCTTCCGAATCAAGAGATTATGGGCGCTTATTATCTCCATTGAGTCCTGTTCTTTTATACCCCAACCTCTCATACTCATACCACGTTTCTTTAACTCCCGGGTGATGAAATCGAATAGGGATAGTGAAGCTTATTTCCGTTTCATACAGGATTACACATAGAACCGTTGCAAGGTATTGCCTTTCCCAAGAAGGCAGATCTATTGCTCTTCTTGGAATTCAGGGCCTTCCATGCTCGACTTGCGTTCACTCAACTTGATCTTGGTCCAAGCGTCTCACGTCAGACGGCAGTCACGGCAGCCAGGCGGCAGTTAAACTGTCAAACTAGTTCCTTACCCCTTGCACCTGTGAAACATATCGGTCTCTCCGAGGAGAATGGAGACGAATCCGTAGCTACTTCCAGGATGAACATGTACATGGGATAGTAAATAGAGACCTGTGTAAGATTTTCTTCTGTCTCTATAGCGGTGAGACATCTGATAACGTTTGCTTCATGCTTCTATATTTTGAAGACGACCATAATGAAAATTCTGTAATCACTCACAGATCTGGAGAGCCTTTCACGAAGTCGGCGCATTTAGACACAATTAACTCACGAAGGAAAAGTGGCTTGCATATACAAGCCATATCAGGGGAGCGTTGCGACCTTATGCAACATCGATCCTACAGGGAAGGTTCAGATCCCCCAAGTTTGGTTGCACTTTCAACAGATTGCAGCATCAAGATGGTTCACGACTTCAACGAAACCGACGATGCATCCACGCTTGGTTTCACATTACCTCAACTTCTTCAAGTCAACTCAACTTGCCATCACAAGACAGCCGTTGTCTGTGCCAACACTTCTTTAAGTTATGCCGACTTGCATGCCCGGGCGAATCGCCTGGCAGACTGGTTCGGCAGGCGCGGCATTGGGCCCGGATGTCTTGTCGGTGTTGCATTAGACCGCTCTGTGGACCTGGTCGTCGTGTTCCTGGCAGTGCTGCAATCCGGAGCGGCTTACGTGCCCTTGGATCCAGCTTTCCCAGCAGAACGACTGAACCAAATGATTCAAGATGCAAAGCTCGAGCTTCTCGTTGCCGAAGCCAACATCTTGGAGTCGATGACACAGAACGATATTGAGACGTGCAACATTGAAGACGTGCAAGAGGCAATTAAATCAGATGAAGACTACTACCGGCATACAGACGTGCAAATACGGCCAGAGGATCTCGCTTTCGTCATCTACACATCCGGCTCTACGGGGAGGGCCAAAGGCGTGGAGATCAGTCACGGAGCTGCGTGTAATTTCATCCTGTCACTACTCAAGGAGACCGGACACAACGGAGGTGACCGCATGCTGGCCATTGCACCCGTCTCCTTTGATATGGCCTTCTACGAACTGATCCTGCCACTGGCATGCAGTGGCACCGTCGTTATTGCACAGGCAAACCAGTTGAAAGACCCGACCGCCTTGCTGGGACTCATGGAAGAACATGCAATCACCGTCGTGTCGGCAACGCCAACAAGGTGGCAGATGCTCATCGATTCCGGGTGGGGAACTGCCCCCAAGCTGAAGATCATCATGTCCGGTGGGGAGGTTCTGTCTCGCCAACTTGCAGAGCGTCTGCTTGATTACAGCGAGAGGGTCTTCAACGGATATGGGCCGACAGAGGCCACTGTTTGCACATCTGTCTGGCGAGTACGGCGTGGTCAAGACGTCATCGTCGGGCGCCCTCTGGCCAATGTTCGACTGTACGTGCTGGGCCCGGATCTTGCTCCGGTTCCGGAAGGCTGCTCTGGCGAGCTTTACATCGCGGGCGCTGGACTTGCTCGCGGCTACCGCCACAACCCGGAACTAACCAGTTCTGCATTTGTTCGTGACCCCTTCCATGAGGGTAGAATGTACCGCAGTGGGGATATTGCTCGTTTCTTGTCTTCCGATGAGCTGGTGGTATTGGGCCGTGCGGATGGCCAAGTAAAAGTCCGCGGCAATCGGGTCGAAATTGGTGATATTGAATCGGCCATGACAGCTCATCCTTGTGTCTCTGCCGCTATAGTAATCTCTGATGGTGATCGGCTAACTGGTTATTATGCACGGGCTGCAAAGAAGAATGGCCAAGAATTACCGGAGAACGCTGAAGAGCCCATGAAATTTCAAGGGCTACTTCGCGACTGGCTGGCCAAGCAACTTCCTTCCTACATGATACCAGCATTCCTAGTTGAGCTTCAGGCCTTCCCTGTCACAGTTAATGGCAAAATTGATCGTACAAAGCTCTCTCAGCCAGTGGCGGGCTTCCAACTACCAGCCGAAATGGGGCGATGGACGGAGATGCAGCGCCAAGTATGGTTCATTTGGTCGAATGTACTAGGTCATAGTCAAATTGATTTGGATGACAATTTCTTCCATAAGGGAGGCGACTCTGCCCGGGTGGTCCAAGTCCATGCAGGGCTCCTGAAGCTCCTTGGCAAGCCAGTGATGCTGGCAAAGCTATTCGAGCATTACACGATCAGGACGTTAACAGCGCACCTGACCAGTAACGACAGGGCCGAGGAGGATCTCCCCGTGCAAGAACAACACACTCATAGTGATGGGAGGAAAGAGCCCATTGCTGTCATTTCCATGGCATGTCGTCTCCCCGGAGGGGTTGATACACCCGAGGAATTTTGGGAGCTTTTAGAAAGCGGCAAGGACGCCATCGTCGACGTCCCCAAGGACCGATGGGATGTCGATGCTGTGTATGATGCAGACCCCGATGCCCCAGGCAAGACGTACTGCCGCACAGGCTGCTTCCTGACCTCCATCAACTCCTTTGATCCCCCAGCAATCGGCATCACCCCCCTTGAAGCAGGCCAAATTAGCAAAGAGCAGCTGGTTATGCATGAGACTTGTTGGGAAGCTTTCGAACGCGCGGGCTACACAACTCAGCAGCTAAATGGAAGTCGAACAGGCGTGTACCTTGGTCTGATCAACGCCCCTGCCTATAGCGTAAACGGGGCAGGTGAATCACTCCATCATGGCGGTACGGGAGGCATTGGCAGCATGGCATCGGGTCGCATATCGCACACGCTGGGCCTGGAAGGCCCTTCATTAACTATAGACACAGCATGCTCGTCGTCTCTCGTCGCAACACACCTAGCGATCAATGCTCTGCAACAAGGCGAGTGCGACATGGCCATCGCCGGAGGCGTCAATTTGCTGCTCACGCCCGCACTACATGTCGAGTTCAGCCGTCTCGGTGCCATGTCGCGTGACGGCCGATGCAGGGCTTTCGCGTCCGATACAGGAGGGACTGGCTGGGGAGAAGGCTGCGCTGCCGTTGTTCTCAAGCGCCTCTCCGACGCTGAGCGCGACGGCGATGAGGTGCTCGCAAAGTTGCGTGGAAACGCCGTCAATCACGATGGGCACAGCTCTAACCTTACCGCTCCAAGCGGTTCGGCACAGAGGCGTCTCATCCTCGCAGCTCTTGCCTCATCAGGCTTGCGGCCAAACGACATCGACTACATCGAGGCTCATGGCACGGGCACCAAATTGGGTGACTCTATCGAGGCCACAGCCCTTGCGGAGGTTTTTGGTGGCAGTCGCTCAGAGGATACTCCTCTATGGGTGGGTTCGGCGAAGTCCAATGTCGGCCACACTCAAGCGGCTGCTGGTATGGTGGGATTGCTGAAGGTCGTATTGGCTATGCAACATGGAATTTTGCCCCAGAGTCTTCATGTTGAACAGCCGACCACCACAGTAGATTGGGAGAGTGCCGGTATGGCTGTGGTACAGACCAAGCAGCCATGGGCGCCAACCAAAACCCGGCCACGGCGAGCCGGTGTCAGCGCTTTCGGTGTGAGTGGTACAAATTCTCACATCATCGTGGAAGAAGCACCAAAGTTAGCTGGCGTGAACACGCCGCGAGAATCTGTCTCAGCTTCGTTGCCAAACTCGCTTCCCGTGTTAATATCCGGCCGCAGCAAGGCTGTCCTGCGCCAACAAGTTCGAAAGCTTCGCTCGTATCTTAGAAGCAGAGATGCTAGAGATATCTGCCTCGCTGATGTTGCATTTTCGTTAGCAACCAGTCGCAACCACTATGGCCAGAGGCTAGCGTTCATGGTAGGGAGCTTGGCACAGCTTGACGAGAAGTTGTCGCTCGAACTGGCGGCCCAAGAAGCACCGGCTGGCTTTACCCACGAGGCCGGTAATCCTTGCATCGCCATGCTCTTCACCGGTCAAGGTGGTCGTCTTCTACAAATGGGAAGAGAGCTTGCTTCTTACCATCCAGTCTTCAGAGCAGCTGTGGACGAGGTTGCAGGACACTTTGAAGGTCGACTCCAGGATGTAATATGGGCCGATCCAGACAGTGAGAATGCTGCAGTACTTCGGCGCACAGACTATGCCCAGCCGGCCTTGTTTTCGATCCAGGTTGCGCTATGGCGATTGTGGAACAGTTGGGGGGTGCAGCCACAGTTTGTCTTGGGGCACAGCGCGGGCGAGCTGGCCGCGGCACATGTTGCTGGGATCATGGATCTTCCTGATGCCTGTCGATTGGTGACGGCACGCAGCCGGCTCATGCAAGCCGTGGATCAGGCGGGCAAGATGGCGGCCTTGAAGGTTGGCCCTTCGGAGACTCGCGAGGCAATCGTGGAGCTGGATATTGGTCACAAAGTCAGCATTGCGGCCTACAACAGCTCGGAGGAGACCGTCGTTTCTGGGGATGTAGACGCAGTCGAGGCTTTGTGCGATTACGCGTCGAGGCAAGGTCACGGTTCCAAAGTGCTTGAGGCCTCTCATGCTTTCCACTCCTGCCACATGGATGGCATGCTTGCAGACTTGCAGGCGGTTGCTGGGACGCTGCATTTTCATCCACCAAAGGTAGCCGTGGTCAGTACGCTGACGGGCAAATTAGCGGAGCCCGGACAGCTCGAGCAACCGGCGTACTGGGTGCAACAAGTCCGGGAAGCAGTCCGCTTCAGCGATGGAATTAGAGAGCTGTCCAATCACGGCGCGAACACCTTCATCGAGCTGGGTCCTTCTCCCACATTGTGTGGCATGGGAGCGGCGTGCCTCTCCAGCGAAACCTTGCGTGGGGATGCCGGATGTGAGCCTGCATGGCTGCCGTCACTCGTTCCCAAGAAAGGTGATGTGACGGTGATTCAGAAGAGCCTCGCTGACCTGCATGCTCGCCACGTTAACATCAACTGGAAAGCATACTTTGAGCCATTCAGTTGCAAGCGAGTGCGTCTCCCAACATACGCCTTCCAGCGAGAGGTCATAGGGCAGAACGAGGCAGCGGTAAAGTCGGACGTCAATGGACACGCCACGACTTCGTCTCAGGGCACCAAACTCCCAGTAACAGGCTCTTTCCCACTGGAAATTAAGTGGAATCCAATCGACGTCGAAAACGTACGCCCAACACAGGGAATATGGGGTTTGTGCGAATCGACAGGTACGGAATCATTGACAGACTACGTGAGAAACGCTTTGTCGACCGTTGAAGGCTTGAGGCTTGTCCCGGTCAATGACCTGGAGGAAGTTGCAAGCTTAGATGGATTGATATGTCCCTGGGAGTCAGACGCCGCCAGCCATACTCCAAGCCAGGCAGGCCAACTCACGATGAAAGCTCTCACGCAGCTCCAGAAAGTGTCCTCAGTCCAATTCTCAAAGCCGGTAGTATGGGTCACACGGCAAGCCATTGGTACTGGCGTCGTCGCCTCGGAGCTACTCCAGGGAATCGAAGCTGCCCCGTTATGGGGTCTGATGCGGTCAGTCCGGGGTGAGCAGTCAGAAATGCGCCTGCGCCTGGTCGACCTGGACGCGGAGACGGGGGCAACAGGGGCAGCATCCAACATCATCAGCTCCATTATAGCTCTCAACGATGAACCCGAATGCGCGATTCGCGGAGATCAAATCCTCGTGCCCCGCATAGCGCATGCCGAGGAGCCAGGGTCATCCGTTCCCTCGCTGAAAGCAGAGCCTCTGATCCGTCCAGACGGTGCGGTACTCATTACCGGTGGTTTGGGAGATCTTGGAGCACATATTGCCCGTTTGCTTGCCAGCCGCCATGGGGTCCTTGACCTAATCCTGGTGTCTCGCCGGGGTATGGCTGCGCCGAATGCCAAGTCGGTGGTTGCCGAGCTTGCTTCTCTTGGCGCCAATGCCACTGTCGTCACCGGAAGCGTGGATGATCTTGAAAGTATGCAGCGCATCATGGAGTTATTCAACCATAGCCGACCCCTTCGCGGTGTTGTCCACACGGCAGGGGTGGCAGACACTGGCATCCTCTCAACGTTGAAGCCAGAGCGTTGCCCAGAAGTGTTTGCACCCAAGGTAAGCGGCGCCTGGAACATGCACACACTGACCAAGGACATGGACCTGGACATTTTTGTCCTGTTCTCCTCCATCTCGGGTGTCATTGGCCTGCCCGGGATCGGTCTGTACGCTGCGGCGAATGCCTTTCTGGACGCGCTGGCTCATCTGCGAATCGCCACAGGCCTACCAGCAACATCAATAGCTTTCGGAACCTGGCAGGGCGAGGGAATGGCCGCTGGCCATAGTGGGACGATTCGTGCGCATACTTCACAGTTTGGCCGCAGTCCGTTGACCCACGAGGAAGGGCTACGACTTTTCCATCAAGCAGCCTCGAGCCGCCGAGCGCTCACAGTAGCTACCTCGCTTGATCTCAAAAGGCTACAGAATCACTTTGACGATCGGGGAGGAGTTCCGGCCCTGTTTCGCTCGCTCTTGGGTCAAAGGAGCAGCCAGCCTGGGCAGAATCTGCGCAAGGCATGGAGTGCCGCACCTGCAAAGCAAAGGCCAGGCATTGTACTCCGCATGGTCCAAGAAACCATAGCCAGCGCGTTAGCATTCGCGCACCCAGATGAGGTGGACGTCCATAAACGTCTACAAGATGTTGGGATCGACTCGCTTACGGCGGTGCTTGTTCGAAACCACCTCAGCGTGCTCACCGGCTTGAAGTTGTCCGCAAATTTCACATACCATCATCCGAGTGTGAAGGCGCTTAGTGATCACTTGACAAGCAAATTGCAGAGTGACTGGGACGCAGAAGACGTTACCCCTACGTCCCTTTTGCCCCAGTCAAGTAACCTAGACCCCGTCACCAATACGCCACTGTCAACAGATTCTCCCTCCATCAGCTTAGCCTCCATACGTAAGGGCTGTCTGGACGCCTGTCTAAGATTCGAAAATGCCACTCAATGTGTCACCCGTCCCAAGTCTGTTCTTGTAACCGGCTGCACGGGCTTTGTCGGTGCGTTTATTGTTCATGAGTTACTGAAGCAGGGCATCACGGTGTATTGTCTAGTACGTGCAAATAACGACCGTCACGCGAGGCAACGAATGGTCGACACGCTGACCTGGTATGGGTTATGGGACGCTCGATTCATACCAATCCTTCACATCGTTGTAGGGGATATAACGCAACCTCTGCTTGGCCTCGGCGAGCAGCTATTCGAAGAACTAAGTGAAACAGTCGATGCTATATGCCACTCTGCTGGCCTCGTAGATTGGATGCGCCCGTTGGATGACTACGTCGGCCCGAACATGATCAGCACGCACGAGGTATTGCGGTTAGCCTCGCGGGGGCGTGGCAAGGCAGTCCATCTCGTGTCCACCATCGCCACACTACCGATGCATCTGGGATGGGACGTTTCCGAAGACCAATATGAACATTCGTACGCGACATCGAAGATGATGGCGGAGCGCATGGTGTCAGCCGCTCGCTGGCGAGGGGCCAGGGCATCGGTGTATCGAATGCCGTTCGTCTTCGCGTCGTCGACTGGGCATTTCCGTCTCGACCGTGGCGACTTCTTGCACAATCTCATTGCAGGGAGCATTCAGATGGGCAGCTTTCCGGTCATAAATGCGGACTTGTCGACTGTGCTTCCAGTAGACTACCTATGCAGAAGCATGGTTGATGTCGTAACGCGGGACGTGTCGCGGATCGGGCGAGACTTCGACTTCAAACACGAGGACGCTCCATCGTTTGGTGATTTGTTTGGGATGATGGTTGCTGCTGGAGCCGCGAAAGGGACGATGCCATTTTCGGACTGGCGTGAAAAAGCGCTTAGTCATGCCTCAGCTCATCCAACCAGCTCGCTCGCTCGTATTGCGACCGTGCTTGATGACTGTGATGAAGAAGCAGTCGCCGCCATGTTTGGTACTCTTCCCCTCGGACCAAATATTCTCGATGGAAACAGGGACAGTGACCATTCGACTCCTCTAGTTGACGTTCAATTTGTGGAAAACTACCTTAACATAATATCTGCATTATCACGGTCGAAGGCTGAACATTAAAAGTAGCTTTTACGACGAGTTACAATGCTCCCCAAATGATGGAAGATTATCACCACAAGAACTAGTTTGTAAACAAATTTAGAATAGAAACCATTAGAATACGTTTTGAATTAGATAAATAATCATCATGAATCTATAACCTTAATTCATTTGTACTTGAAAAGCTCTTATAAGTTCTAATCTGATCATTAATGCCGAGCTCGGGGTTCCAATCGAAGCTTTAGGGTAGGTGCTTGATATTAAACCGCGACGCGTGTCAGTCGCGTAGCATAACGGAAATGATGATAACAACTTTGGGCACGCTAAAGATCTCAACGATGACGTATTCTCTCACATTTATTACTCCATAATTGAAATTGATTGATCCTGTGTCATCTCCAATTGGCTGACCGTGAGGTTGTGCCCCAGAACAACCGCATAAATACATCTCAATTCTTTAGGTTTCTTCCTGTCACGAATGACAGGGTGGTTGTGATACTTGGAAGTCTGATTGAATACTCCTAGAGTTACAGAATAGCCCCCGGCAACCCTGATTTCTCGCCATGTTTCTGCTCAAATAGAGGTTCCCAGACCGTACAGGCTCTCTTTGTCGCATCTCCATTTCCTAGTTCTAGCAAGGGAAGAAATATGTGCTTATCAACTGAGCACTCAACGAGTTGCCCATTTAAGTTTGGTTGGGTTAGGCATTTATCATAGGCTTCCACGACGGTTTCAACTGCCGTGAGGCTGCGATTTAGGTCAGTTTATTTTTTTATCCTGTAAGGGTTAGGAAGACTCACTGCGCTGGATCGGTTGCGTCAAGAGAAGCCTGAGGAACAGCCCCGGTCGCCACAATACCTGGAAGTACGGCGTTCAAGGTAATGTTATCTTTCTGCAAGATGGTCAACACACTCTTTACCCCTCCAACACGAATCTTCTTACCAATTTCAGAACCGGTGCTGCTGTTCGCACGAACTGATTGATCTTTGCGCATAATAGGCCGAAAACTCAGTCTTGGACAATCATAATGATGGGTGAGATTAAGAGAACTCACAGCTGCTTTTGCACCACAGTATTCCGGGAATGTTTGATGCGGATGGATCGAGGCGATTGTCGATGTCGCAACGATTTGCCCTCCAGGTACATCATTCATTCTCATGAAGTGAATCGCTAGCTGGACCCCGTAGAGAAAGCTTTCGTAACAGGCCTTTAGGGACAGAAGGGCAGGTTTAGGTGGTATTTCTGTCTTCCCTCTGTGATTTAGAATATAAATCGAGCTCCTGTCCGAGTGGCCTGCATTTGCCAGAAGAGCATCTAGCCTCTTCCACTTGTCCCAAACTTGACTGAAGACCTTGGCTTGCATATCATAGTCTGTGACATTGAGCTTGAAAAAGACAGCATTGCTCCCAAGCTCCGCGACCAGTGCAGCACCGGCATCCTCCTGGATGTCGCAGCATGCTACTCTCCAGCCCTTACGTATTAGGTGCGTGGCAAGAGCTTTTCCAATCCCGGACTAAGGTATCACGCTGTTATTAAATAACGCCATGGATTTTGCCACTGGCCTGAGAGGGAAATCTCACCGCAGCGCCGGTGACTATGGCAACCTTTCGAGTTTCATTGTTCGGTTTCGATGATTCTCCCATCTTTCGCTTTCAGGGACCAAGTCTGAGTCTCGCGGCTTATGACGACGAAGTCTATGTAAAACTGGACAAGGAATGAGATCAATCAAAGACGAGACACATGAATGTTTACGCACGTCAGCACAGGAAGAGATAACATAAGGCGACACATCGATGCGCGGACTCAGCCGAACCTCGTTTACCCCCACATCACGCTCAAGTCCGAAGTCGATTGCTCGGCCTTGGCCGTTTGCCCCACGCTATTATTAGCGAGCGGCGGAGGCCGACACTTGAGCAGACGACCAATAGGTTCAGCTATTGTCACTGATTAGATGACGGGATCGTTTTACAGGCCAGGATATGTTCGAGGTGGACTGAGTCGTGCGAATAATGACCAATCTGCTCTGCCGAGCTGTTTACCTAACGAATTTTCTAGTCGCTGTGTTGATTTACTGGATAAAGCGACCCTTATATGGACAGTATATCATCAAGTTGCCTTGATATTGCCCTAAAAGCTCATGGCATTATATTGAGGCCGCTAGAGCGTGTTTTATTCGTACGGAATTCGGTTAAAACATAATTCTTTGTATCAGAGCTCATCTCTATTACTTGAAAGTACGAAATCATGGTTTAAAGCGATGGCCGCATGCAGAGCCTCAGTTGCTCAGAGAAAACCTTATGGGGTTCTTTGTTCGATATCATTTTGCTCTGGTGGATCAATACAATCAACATGAAAATGCCCATTTCTCTCCTTTCATAGAAACTTTTATCTGATAAGCCGCGATAATGTTTTTGAACGTTTGCGAAAGTGTTTGGTTTCTTCTTGAATGCTGTCGTAACTGTATTTTGACCAAGGATCTAATGTTGATTTGCAAACTGAGATAATTTTCATTCGTGGGTATATTTATACTAAGAGTAAGAGTCCTAAAAATTCCCACCATTGACTGGTATACACTGGCCAGTGATAAAGCTGGACCAGTCGGATAAGAGGAAAACGATGGCATCTGCTATATCCGTCGCATGGGCCATTCGCCCCTTTGGAATGGAAGCAATTTGTCCTTTCCCAAAAACCACATTGGGATCGCCCTCGGGGGCTCCAATAGTAGATGCAGCTGCTAGAGGCGTCTCCGTTGCTCCTATGATATCCATCAGTTTTAAGTGGGAAGGGATGGCACGAATGATTCCTTACCCGGAGCAACGATGTTTATCCTCAACTTGGGAAAATCTCGAGCCCAACTCCTCGTTAGACCGAGAACTGCGTGCTTAGACGCTGTATAGGCTGCCAATCCGGCCACCCCACGAAGTGATGCACCGCTTCCTACGTTGACAATCGACCCCTGGCCCACGCTGCGGACCGAGCCTGGCACGATTCCCGGGACCTCAATGTCTTCTTGCGTTGACATTTTCTGAAAGGCTTCAGTAGCCATGTTCCAGGTACCGGTAACATTGATGTCCATGGTTCTTTGGTACAGGGCATCGGTGCCGATCTTGCCCTCCCAGCCTGAAATGCCGGCGCAGTTCACAAGCCCGTCTAATCTGCCTGGAATGGATTCGATGAAGCGCCGGCAAGCTTCTCGGTTGGTCACATCACAAGGCACCGTTAGATGGACGTTTTCTCGATATAGAAACTCGTCGGGAGTCTGAAGGGCAATGTCCGCAACGTAGACGACTGCACCTAGGGCGAGAAGGGTATTGGTCAAAGCAAGGCCAATTCCGGAACAGCCTCCCTATCAAGTCGTGAGTGAAGATGATCAACCTAAGTGGACGGACAACAAATCAACATACAGTGACGGCAAATTGGCGTCCAGCAAAGGACGGTCTCTCCATTGCAGGCATGATGCGCTTGATCCTGTGGAAGAAAGTAGGTCACACTTTCGATTGGGTTGCCAAAAAGTCTCGCAACTCTCGCCACAAGTGCGTCATCTTACTGTTGCACTTGGCATTGGCGACGTAGTATTCAAGTGTCGCGGGGTTATCAACATCCGGTGAAGTTGTAGTGATCGACCAGGTGTCGGATCAAGGCGTGGACGAATGTTCCACGAGTGCCCACCCATGGACGCGTTATTCCGACCGAGGCCAACATACCTAATCTAAGGACCTAAGGTATTTATATTTCATATTTGTTATTGCTGAGAAGAATGCTCGGCTTGTAGTTATTATTAAGTCTCCTCGAGCTGGATTCCAAGGTTCATCTTTTTGGAACTTGAATTACAATTGACCAATCTTATACTGACGAACTCATCTATCAAAATGGTTAAAAGAGCTCTTGTGACGTATGCCGTCGACGTCGACGCCTGCGCAAACTGGTATGTGGTTCTCTGCCTTATAGTGGTGTGGATGCATCTTTACTGACAATGTATGCCAAGGATCAACACTCGAGATGGTTCATCAATCGGAGCTACTGATGTCTCTAGAGGCATCTTCGGAGCCAATGTTGGCACGGATCGCATGCTGAAGCTCTTTGCTGATAATGATATCAAGGCATCTTGGTACATGCCCAGCCACACGATTCTCTCTTTTCCAGAACAAATGGCAAAGGTCAGAGACGCGGGACATGAGATGTGAGTTTCCTACAAAGGATGCTTGTACTAGCTCTCAAACCTTCCGTGCTCACTAACACGAAATGTTTCCAGCGGTTTGCACGGCTACACGCACGAATTCGTGAGGTTCTTGACTGAAGAACAGGAAAGAAAGGTCATGGCCAAGTCGATTGAGGTGTACCAAAAATTCACTGGCAAATATCCGAAGGGTTGGGTAGCGCCCGCTTGGGAAGTAGGCTCCAAGACCATGTCTATCTTGGAGGATTTCGGCATCGAGTATGACCATTCCTTGCTGGCCCACGATTGCCAGCCGTACTATGCCTCAGATGTCCCTGAAGAATCAAACGTGCACACGGACTATACGCAGGACCCCGACACCTGGATGAAGCCCATGAAGGAACATAAGCCTACGAAGGTAGTTGAAATTCCTGGGTCCTGGAACGTTGACGACTGGCGTAAGTGACGTAGCAATCCTTGCCTTATTTCCAATTATTTTGCTACGCAGCTAACATGAAACCTCATATTCAGCCCCAATGAACTATACTAGACGTCCTGGGACACATGGGTTTGTCAATCCGCGAGACATAGAAGTGCAGTGGAGAGATCAATTCGACTTCTTCTATCGCGAGTATGACACTTTCGTGTTTTGCGTCAGCTGCCACCCGCAAGTCAGCGGCAAGTCAAACGTCATGTTGATGCACGAGCGCTTCATTGAGTATCTGAAGACTAAGGAGGGTGTGGAGTTTGTGACCATGGAGCAGATTTGCGATGAGTTCAAGGCTGGCACACTCGCAGGTGTAACAATCAAGGCTGGGATTTAACTTCGGGTCTTTTGGGAAATATAAAGAAGAGAGGGCAGAGCCAAAGATGTATCATCCACGTCGCTTCTATAAAATATTTATGTCTGTGCAACCTAGAGGATTCGCTTCTTGGACTGCTACTTAGCTCTTCAAATCCCTGTTAAACTTGCTGAGATAGTTTTTTTTGATGCATGAGAGAATGTTCGATTCACTTCAGACATTTCGCCTCGCTTGTTTTGGATTTAATTCTCAAAGAGGGGAAGTCTTGAGATTATCATTGATCGTTACTACCCCACGCAAGTGGGCATCAAGATAAGAGGAACTGCAAATGCGTTTCCACCTTAACCTTCCAAAGGGCCATAGAGAGTAGTCCGGGGCTGACAGCCACTTGCCAACGTTAAGATGAGTCGTACATACCAAGATCACAAAATGCGTCGTAATAGCTAGAATTGATTACAAGTTTTGAACAGAGCATCCACGCGTTTATCCTAGAATCCTATCTCTATCTGCTCCTCTATCTCTGTTGGTCGTCCCATCGAGATGACACCTTTCCTGTCGGTGATGTTGTATACCACGTTGAACAAGGTGTTCGAATCATTGTTGCCATGCTGCCTACGATTAATGGAAGCAGGAGAATTCTGCTCATCCTTGAACAGCTCGAGAATTGTATCGAACCCAGCCTTTTCTCCCACCTCCTGGGTTGCCAGCTCCTGCAGTCGAGCGGTGCGTTTTGGAGAGTCTTCTAACCAAAGAGGTTCGAAAACGCCCTCGTGCTTGAGGATGAGATTGTTCGCATGGACAACACGCCCCATTTCGTCAGCAGCTAGCTCCTGGAATCCAATGCTAGTGCATTCTAAGCCGGTCGGGCCTGTATTGTCACCAAGAAGAATGTGGCTGCTTCCTGCTAAGCCTATAGCTTGGATCTTGTCTAAGGCTTCTCTTTTTGTCTTAGATTCAAGAATGGTTCGGAGAGCAAAGTGAATGGGCATGCGTTCTGGATTGACGCCCATAGCGCGGATACCGTTCAGTAGGCATCCAACACCATGTTCATTGAACCCAATCTTGCCAATGATGCCCGCCTCGGTGATCATTTGAAAGGATGGCAAGTCCATGCCGGGAATTCCCTTGGGATTGACCCTCAAGACAATGAGGTTGGGCTTTTGCTTCGTCTTCCAGTCCCAGTTCTGGGCTAAGAAGGTAGACCCTGAGGGTGTCCTCCACCCAAGAGTGGTGCAGCCATCCACTCCTTCAATAGCCATGGGCTTTCTTGACTTCTCGTCAAAGAGCCCAAAGGCGATCTCAGTGCGGATATTGAGAGCCAGAATATCGAGAAGGTCTACCTGAGCTCCTTCAGCGATGCCCTCTATTTCTTCAAAGTATCGGGGAAACTTTTCCTGGAGAAATGGCTTGAACTTTTCACACTGCTCTCGTACAGTGGTCCACTCGAGGTCGTTGAAGGCTTTGAACAGGACCCGGTAAAAGTCGATTGATCCCGCGACTTGGGCTGCGGCCTGTTGGCCAACAGCGAGTCCAATCTAGGTCAAAGCCTTAGCCACGTCCCACCAAGTGCGGATAGTTTTCCTGTATTCCTTTTCAATGTTACTTACTTCGCGATGGTTCCCTGTCACTGTGATGTCGAGCATGATTCCTTATCTTATTTCGTCGTTTGCCCGGAAATTAGTTCCCCTAGAGAACACCAATACGTGCGGGCGCATCAGAAATTATAAACATGGCTCGTACGAGGCGTAGGCGCAGATCTCCGACTGGGGGTGCTTCCTAACTTGCCACTCGTTTGTAGGGAGGGGAGACCGAGGCGCTCAATTCCGACAACGTGTGGATACGCTGATGCTATGAAGGTGGAGATGGACGCTGTATCCCGACGCATGGCTGACACACTCTCACTTCAATTCATCTGGGGAAGTCTAGACCCTGGAGAATCTCTAAACCTATCATGACTCGCGAAGATATGCTACTCGAAACGAGATAAAACCAGCCACGCCCCTCGAGCCTCCCAACAAGGGACAACCAAGAACCTTATCAGCACCATCATTCGACTTTATACCAGCGAACATTGGCGCCATGTTCATTCTATCAAAGCTTCGAAGAGTCGTCTGGGGGCAGCCAGCAGAGACCAAAGCCGAGCGGAAGCTCATAGTGAAGCTCGACACGGTTATTTTGTCCTTTTGCTGTCTGATGTACTGGGTCAACTACCTTGACCGCATGAACTTGAACAATGCATACACAAGTGGAATGAAAGAAGACCTCGGCTTCAAGGGCACGGAGCTCAACATCATCAACACGAGTAAGTTTACCCAGATGTCACCCCTTTACGCTTCCATGACTAACTCTTGGTACCTTAGTCTTCTACGGTGGCTATGTCCTCGGCCAGATCCCAAACAATCTCGCGCTACAGAAGCTCCCCCCACGCATCTACTTCCCGAGCTGCGTTATCGCCTGGGGTCTATTAACCTTGGGAACGGGTTTCGTCCACCACCCGTGGCAGATCATGGCCATCAGGTTCTTCCAGGCCATCTTCGAATCATCTACATTCGTGGGTTGCCATTACATTCTCGGCAGCTGGTACAAAGAAGAAGAGTTGGGCAAGCGAACGGCAATCTTCACCAGCAGTGGTTTGGCGGGCACCATGTTTTCGGGGTTTCTGCAGGGTGGAATCTATAAAAGCTTGAGTAAGAGGATAATAACGTGAAGTGGATCTTGCCCAATAACGCGATACTAATGAATGGCCTTTAGATGGCGTTCGAGGTCTCCCTGGCTGGCGATGGCTATTCATCATTGACTTCTGCATCACAATCCCAGTCGCGGCCTATGGCTTTCTCGCGTTCCCCGACACTCCCACATCGACGCGTGCCCGTTGGCTCAGTGACGAGGAAAAGCGGCTAGCCATCGAGCGTCTCCCAGAAGTGAAGAAGAACCGCGGTGCTCTTGGGTGGAATCTCTTCTCCCGCGTGCTCGGAAGCTGGCACTGGTGGGGCTTCGTCCTCATCTGGATTTTTGCCAGTAACACGGAAATGTTTTCCACCAATGCGATTATGAATATTTGGCTCAAAAGTACTGGTGATTTCACCGTGGAGCAGACGAGCTACATTCCGGCCGGAGTGGCTGGCGTTGGGATTGTCGCCACTCTTTGCCTTGGCTGGTATTCCGATTTTACCAAACGTCAGTGGCACGTAGGGATTATCTTGTCAATCACTGCCATCATGTCCGGCGCCATTATGCTGAACCCTCCAACTAGAGGTGCCAAGTTCTTTGCTCTTTTCCTCAATGGCTGCCAGTATGCCAGCCAGACGGTGCTCTTTGCTTGGGCCAACTCACTGACCAGAGAGGACGATGCCAAGCGAGCAGTCATCCTTGGAGGCATGAACTCGTTTGCTATTGCTGTTTACATGTTCTGGTCGCTCGTGTTTTATAACACAGCCCAGGCACCGGACTGGATGGAGGGAAGTATCGCCATGATGTGCATGGGAGCTGCTCTTTTCATCACAACTATTGGTGTCTGGTACATGGAGAGGCGCGATAAGAATATGACTGAGGTCTACGGTGCGGACCCTGATACGTCTGTTGAAGGGGGCAGCAACGTGGATGGTAAAGATAACATCAAGATTGGAACCAAGAACTAGGTAGAAACAAGTCTGCTGCTTGGATCTCACACCAAAGCTCTTTTTACGCAAGGTAGGGAACTCATTCTTAATTGATCACGATAATAAAAGAATAATAAAGTATTCTATAAGATTGAGCTTAATATTGTGTTTCCAACCTAATAGTTGTTTGGCGACATACTCCACATAGTGGCTCTACTGCAAGGCATTACTGGCAATCGTAACAACAAAAGCTTTCCTGCTTTTGAGCGAGATACTAAAGTTATTTCAGATGGCAATAGATCGTAGCTGACGGTTTGTCCTCAATCTGGAGGCAATTGTAAGAAACTCTATGCAGCAAATCACCCTCAACCGCACTCAGCAATTAGTTCCACTTATCAGGCACATGATAATAACAGAACGCTCAATCCCGACAGGTTGGGGCTAAAAAGTGGAGAACGAAAGATAAATATCAAGAGCACGAGGCGCCTTAAACCGACATCATCATTCCCCGGATTCTCTCGCCCGCTACGATCCTATCCCCCGCCGTGGGTATTTTCCGCTCGGTAAAGTGTTTCATAGGTAGCCAATCAAGTAATGATGAGGACTACCCGCTCTTCGACTGCATGCGCGCGGTGTTATAGAAGAAAGAAAAAGGTAGTAGCGGCGTTGCTTACCTTGCCATCCGGCCTCACGTTGCTGAACTGTGCTGATACATGACTGTAAAGTGTGATGGGAATTATCCCACTTGCTCCCACTGCGAGAGAGCCAAGGTTCAGTGCGTTGGCTTAGATCGAGACTCGGAGATCGAGGTTCCTCGAAGGTATGCGTACGACTACTTTAGCGCTTCCTTTAAAGTACCATTTTCCTACCACCCTCTCATGCCCAGCCCCGTGTTCTCTTTGCTATTTTCTTGTTAACTCTCTGCTGAATTCTTTCATGGAATTTAGTCTTGTTTACTACCTAGAAGAACTTGTTGCACAGCTGGAGCTTGAGCGAGGGCGTCTGGCAAGGAACCGGCCAGGGCCTGAGGGCACAACTTCGCAATTTGATGATATCCAACCGGACCCATCGCTCTTCTCGGTCGAAACAGCAGCGGAGGATCATTTCAAGACTGCTTATAAACTCGCAGCTATAACAGCCAAGGAGAGCGCACCCGCGTGCTCTTTAGGAAACCGACCGCGACATGTCTTGCCATACCATAAAGCCTTCTTCATGAACGCCGAACTCCCCTTTCCCCTTGCCTTTGGGAGTCACCGCACAATCGATGTGCCCAATCCTGCCAATGGATCAAGCTTCACTCAACTCCCAGACGAAGTTGCAGACAAACTTATGGCTGTCTACCTCAATCGCATATCACCTCAGTATCCAATCTTTTCGAGAGAGGACGTTAACGACATATTCCAGCGCTTTAAACTGTCTGTAAATGATTCTCAAATGGTAACACCGGATGAGCGTTTCATCATATGGATTATTATGGCTATAGCTGTGCTCTCGTCTACTGCTGACGACTACCGGAAACTGGCCTCAGTCGCCGAGTCGTTGCGTCGGAATGCTTTTAGCCATTTCGACTTCGAATTTCGAAATAATCATGGAACAACTACTACAATCCAACAGCTACTTCTCTTGTTGCAGTACGGATTTCTACTTCCATCCTCTACAAACCTGTGGCAAGTAGCTGGCGACGCGATGAGAATCGCTGTTGGGCTGGGCTTACACCAAGATACTCCAGCCGAAAGTGGATTTGACGAGGAGACGGCTCATTCACGCAAGAAGTTGTTCTGGACAGTGAGTGACTTCATCTTGGCTCATCTAATTACTTTACTTATACATTCATCCGAAGCTCTACGCTTTTGAGAGATCAATCGCCATCACGTCACACCGTCCGTACGCCATTGCCGGGGACCAAATTCACACGTCTTTTCTTGATTCTCAAGACGTTCCGGATACACCAGACGAGGCAATTGGGAAGACACCGTATATCAGATTCTTTGATCGTGTGGAAATTCTCCGAATACAGTCGGAGATATGTTCGGTGAATATTGGGATGCGACCTCTGCCAAACTCGCATCTGACCCACGAAGCTTGGATCGCTGACATCGAGAGAAGGGTTTCTCATGCTATGGCTCATGCGGCCAATCCTGACTGGTGCATGTTCATGTCTAGGCACGCTACCTTGCTTCTTCATATGCCTTGTGCACGCAATCCCACACCATGCGAGCGCTCTATCCTGAAGTACCTTGACGCGGCCGTCTGCACGGCTAGAGCCTACTGGGATCTGATCGAGTCAAACAACTTGGACTGTCCATGGCATGCAACCCATCATTGCTACGAGGCAGGGAACCTAATCCTCTACAGTCTTTGGCATTTTCGCGACCTCATTAAGAGGCACTTTACAACCAATCAAATTTTTGAAGTTGTTCATCAAATATCCGGATTCTTCGTACGTACCCATACATGATAATGACGATGATGGAACATTAATACCTCCCTAATTTGCATACTAATATCACAACTTCCTTAGATACTTGTTGCCACAAGATGGGCAGCAGCTCAGCACTGCGGTTCACTTTTCGACCGACTACGAACCGGGGCTCTGAGCTTTTTCAGGGACGAAACCACTTCTGACCCTGAACAAAGCCTCGAGGCTCGGCAATTGAGGGAGCTGGTCTTTAGGGAAAATGCTGACCTTCTTTACGCCCGAGAACAGCCTTCACCCTCAGCAATAGGTCCATCGGCATTTCCGACCGCCTTCCCCGAGTTCGAGATTGACCAGTTGTTTGTTGAAAATAATACAGACTTTCTCAACTTTCTACATCTTTCGGATGATGTTCCAGTGTTTGATGAGTCTTGTCCAGAGGACATAGACATGGACGTGGGGCATTTCGACATTCCGTTGGCTGACCATAACCCCAATTTAGACGAATCAAGCGAGCTTAAGAAGCCGATGATTGACGACGCTCAGTTTCGGGCAGTTTTGCAAAAGATCCCGGTTTGCTCACACTGCAAAAGACGACGTATAAAATGCGATATGAAGCTTCCTTCTTGTGCCAATTGCACCAAGTTGAACAGGGAATGTCGCTATTGGGACCGGGCATCGGGTGAAGAGGCATCTCGAAAGTGCGTGATTGTTCCCTGGTCGATCTCAGAAGAGATTTCAAGTTTACGTTATTAATCTACTTATAGCCATCTTCACGCCTTGAAACTGCACGCGGAAAATCTCATGACCGATATCAAAGAACTTCAGGGCCCTCAATTTGTCTCTGATGCACCTAGGGCAGCCTATGCTCTAGGGACATCTGCCATGGCGCAGTCAAAGACGGCAACCAACCAGCCACGATATCCTAACATTCTATCCGGGGAATCTTTGGATGCAGCTCCTGAATCTGATACGATAACATACCCAATCTTCTTTGGGCGTACCAGTTCGTTCGCTCGTCTAGTAAACATAGTTGGACGGTCAAGTCTTTTATCGAAAGAGCACGATATCACAACATCTGTTATCCGCTCTGCCGCACCCTGTGAGATTCTATGCAGCTCTGTGGTCCTCAACGTGGCAACTGGAATGCCCCCTGACGAAGCACACAATCTCGCGTGGCACTATTATCGATCGATCGAATTGATTTATCCTATCCTAGGCCAAGACCTGCTTCGTCAGACGCTGGTCCTTGCCCACAGCAGTCCCAGCACCAATACAGCCGGAAAAGGAAGCCTGATTCATGTCCGTCTCTATTTGGTCCTCGCTATTTCCTTGTCGCTGGTCGGTGGGAAAGACCAACGGTTACAGCTGATAGCAGATGCGTACTTTGCCGAAGCGGTATCTGCGGGGATCTCGGGAGACTATTTTGTCTTTCCGACAACAGAGGCTTTGCAACTGGTGCTGTTGCTGTGCATATATGCATGGATGTGCCCCAGAGCCATGGATATCTGGAGACTGCTGGGCCACGCATCGCGGATGTGTCTAGATATCATGGAGGTGCATGGTTCCGACAAGACACGTTCCTCCACCGCAAGCGAGCTTTATCGCACGCTGTATGCGCTGGAGAATCAAGTATGCATCTCCCTCGGGAGGCCACATCAACTTCCTGATGGAAATGAACCGCCTGTATGCTCCCCTGATGCAGGTCCCATGACCGTGGGCGAAATACCGTCCATGGTGTACAAGCTCTCTCGCCTTCAGTGCCGACTCCACAGAGAGGCCATTGGTCATCCTTCGAGTCGCGACATCCCGGACCCTACTCTAGAGTATTCTACATGGTTGGTACCTTGTGTCGGTGAAGTCAAGGCCTGGTTTGAGAGTTGGGATGTAGCAGTTGAGACGCTCTGCCATGTGTACTCATCACCATTCAAAGGCGACTTGAAACCATTGCTGAAGTATTGGGGTGTGTCTCAGTACTATCAAGCCATCCTTCTAGCCAAGGTAGTGGCAGACCAACGAGAGGAAGCTCTTATCTCGAGCGAAGACGAGCTGGAGGGTTGCAAAGAGTTGCTATATGCCATTGACACTCTCTGTCAAGGTTCGAACCCACCAATTAGGGGTTCCCTGCCACCCAACACGTTGTCACAAGTCTTTCCTTGGACATGGACCGATTCCCATCTGTTATACACTGCCCTCACGGTATTGCTACAGCAAATGCAGGATAGCCAGATATCAGATAACGAGACGCGGCTGCTCTTCTATACTAATCTCGAACGGTTGGCATCCTTGGAGGCACTGGGCAGCTCAGGGGCGACGTGGCTTGCCAGCTGTCTTAAAAAGATAATCCCGCAAGATGATTGAATGCCTGGCCTGGTGACAATCAAAGGTTGTACTTTATAGCCTCAAGGCTGCCTCAAATATTTGTGCCCGCATCTTCCTGATCGAGGCCACGGCTGCAATGAACAGGCCCCGGAAAGGTGTTTTAATTCCAAGCTTCCAGTCAGACTATGATATTATGGACTATAGTTAAAAATAAAAATGATAATACTATTGAGTCTTTATCGGGCAATATTACCTGATTAATATTACACAATAAGAAATATTATAGTTTCACTGATTTCCCGAATAATGATATCGAGGCGACTTCGTAAGCCCTGTTTTTCTAACAGCCACTTGCCATCCTTGAAGTTTGCAGGGGCTGTCCCGTTTAGCGAAATACCGTTAGATGTTGTTGCTGATGTTGTCGAGCCCAATACCGTTGATTTAAACGCAGGAAAAATGCTTTGGCGTGACACTAGTTTCCAACATCAAGCGGAGTCAAGGGCCAAAGTTGAGATAGATAGATTTGATGATTAGGCATAGAGACCGCCCGTTACCCTAACTAAAACTAAAACATTCCCTTGGTACGGAGGCTTGCTGCTTGCCCTGGGACATCTTACAGTTTCGTATCCCCTACTTTTGGCTGGATTTGTACCATGTTCTGCCAATGAAGTGAACCAATCAGCAAAATGTGCCCTATGGTGATGGCTGGTAGGCGACGATGTTAAGTGATCGGTGATGAAAATGATATCATATCAGTGTACCATATTAATGAAGTTAGTCCAATCAAGCAACATTTTGCGAGGCTCAGATTTCCAAAACAATTGCCACCTAACCCTGTCGTGTCGTTGGATTACCCTTGCTCTACAGTTACTGACTAGGACAGTTAAGGATCGGTAAATATAGCTACTTTGATCACGAGCGGTCAGCGATGGGCCTTGGCTGCATTTCTTACACATGGCTGAAACGGACTTTAACCAATAGAACAATATACCGCTAGTCATCTCAATGAAGGGAGCAGCATCCCGGCAAACGCAGCCCCCGCCGTAAGCAAGAGGCTAGGCCAACGCATCGTAGAAATCCCCTTCGTTCCTCTTAGCATTCTCTCTTCAACTCAAACTTGTGATTGAGCGTCTATGACCAACTATGGACACGATGGGATTGAGAAAGCCCGGACTGTCCGCAGAGGTCACACAAACTTATGCCTCGGTACCATTCATCAAAGAAGCTGAGAGACACACGTATAACCATGCAGCATCGTATCCGACACAATCTGGGCGGGTAGCCTCACCGTTTCGATGGTGGACCTATGAGCTGCTCTTTTGCCTGGGTGCGGTCGCGAGCATGGCCGCCATTGTTGCCATCCTCATCGTCTACGATGGCAAGCCACAGGACAGCTGGCCAATCAACAACTTCAGCATCAACAGTATGATCGCCTTACTTGCCACATTTTGTCGCACATTCTTCATGGTTGGTGTCGGTGCTGCCATATGCCAAGGGAGATGGCACCAATTCTCCTCTCGGTATGATGACAAAAGCTTCACCCTGGACGACTTTGGTCTATTTGAGCACGCGAGTAAGAACCCGTTTTCAAGCTTGTGGTTGATTTGGAGGTTTAAGGGTCGGTAAGTAGCATCTTAATACATAAATGACTTTTCTCGCATTTTCTTGCGCTTCCTCTATCGCATGTCTTCTAACTGATTCACAGCAACACGGCTTGTATCGGGGCAGCGCTTTCGGTATTCGCCCTTGCTTTTGGTCCGTTTTCTCAGCAAATGATCACGGTAAGGCTTAATACTGTGGAACAAGCTTCTTCAGGAGCTACTGGAGCAGTGCCACGAGTCACGTTGGTAAATTCCGTAATCGGCTTCAGCAATTCATGTATGTGTCATGTTTCACATCGGCGCGACGAGTCAACTTGCAACAGCACAAACTAATTGAAACTAGGGAACCCAATTTCAAGCACCAAATTGGCGATTTACAATGGGTTCATGGCTCCAGAGATTGATATCCCTTCTACTGTTTGCCCGACGGGAAACTGCACTTGGCCAATTGTTCCGACCGTCGGAGTTTGCGGAGCTTGCATCGACACGACGCCAGACATCAAGTTCAACCGTTCCTCTGGATCATACTGTTCTGTAACTGCCGGAAAACTAGAAGTTAAGGGCCAGTGCGGGGTCAGTGACTTTGGGACCGTCTTCAAGATCGGAGCGGGCTCGGGCAAGGTCTTTTCCTTGGAAGACGTACCTCTGGAAGCTGACGCACCCAATGTCATTGCCGAATTTGGAGCGATCGGTGTCCCGGCGAGCTTGACACCAGAGGCGACACTCAATAAGTCACTTGCTGCCGAGTGCGCTGTGTGGTATTGTCTACAGGCGCGCGAGGTCAAAATGGAGATGGGTGTACTCACTGATAAAGCTGCCGATAAATGGCATAAGGCCAATAGGACAAACGGGGCCAATGATCCTACATCCAATGTCACTTTCATCGATATCCCAGCATCATTCAACGCGGATTCCAAGGACACGTACGGTCTGGGCTATATGCAAATGTACGGCATGAAAACTTATTTCCAAAAGACTGTCCAGGGCAATGTTAGCGCCGACGGTACTGTCGGTACTAAATTCTCCTCGACTGATTACGCAGAGGGCTTGCACAATGGTTTCGATGATCTCGAGAGCTGGATGGACCGTCTGACCCGGAGCATGACCAACGAGGCCCGGACGAACGGAAACCTGACGAAAACAAAGAATGACCGATCCTCAATGGATAAGAACGAGCGATACTCGGGTACCGCACTAACAAACCAAGCAATCTTCTATGTACGCTGGACGTGGATCATCTACCCGGCTGCAGTGGTTCTGATATCAGTTCTGTATCTGGTCCTCGAGGTTGTGCGCACCGCCGGCATGCACGATGTAAGACCTTGGAAGGACGACCCGCTGATGCCACTGTATCTGGATCTGGATGAACAGCTCAAGCAGCAAGTTTACCAAGGACTGACGGAAGGCGGGAGCGCAGCCTCGCGTGTGAGCCATCACCCATTACAGGTCGTCAGGTGGCACGATGGCCTGCCAGTCGGTCTTACCGTCAGAAGGCATTAGCCTACGCTCGGAGTTTCTGTAATTCAAACGGACAGTCATGAGAATGTGGGTATTCAGAAAGTAACCCTACCTTAACGAATAGACAAGACAAGTCAAGACAAGACAAGACGATGATGACAATCCAACTCTTTCAGTGAAGCCCATTGTATCACATAACTAACAACTGCTAAACTACTGTTGAACTGCGTGCCGTATGTGATTGCAATTCCGTTATGTTCAATACCATCTACCCTCCCATGGCAAGTTAGAAAGAAACTTGTACCGTCCTCTGGTATTCACGTTCAGGGCTTCGAGCCACCAGCCAAAGCCGTCGCCTGAAACAGAACGCTTCTGATGACAACAACTAACGCTTGGTGCTGATGAAAGAGTTCAATAGCCTTCAAGCTGACCACTATTTGTTTCACAGCATGACGGTGTTGCGGCAGACTAGAGGCGGCATAACAACAACTATACTGGTTGACAGTTAAACTTGGCGATAGATGCATGTAATTGCGGAGATTCCAGACACAAAGTAAGAATAAATTAAACATTATAATAGTTTGTACAATATAAAATGGCTAATATACGTAGCGCTGTTCCCTGAAATACAATTTACTTCTATATGTATGTTCTTAACACCACCGATTATCTTTCAGAAAATGATTCTCTTGATTTCGAGGGTGTTGTCGGTCGTTCCACGGAATGCATCTCCATGTCGACTGTGACGTAGATCTTGCGACTTGAAGATGCATCATCCAACTGCTCCCAGTCTCGATCTGATGATTTCACATGAGACACAATGCTCTTGTGGCGCCTCCCAGTGGAGGACACTCCGGCCTTACTTGTCACGGTTGACCTCAATGCCCCCGCATATGGTGTGACGTTGGATGATGAGTGTCCACCGGACGAGTCAAAGTTGACCCAGTTCTTCAAAAGCCGTCGTAAAGAAGGTAGAGAGCCAGCAATTATACCTGTTCCTGACTCAAAAACAGACCATAGCGTAATATTTCCCACGTTGTCTGGTTTTCTAGGTTAGCGGCGGTACATTAGCATGGAGTAGAGAACATACATGGGTAGTCGATGGTTTCAGCATAGAATTTAATATATGGAAGCCTGACGATAGTCGCAATCGAAGCCCTAGAAAGGTTGAATTAGCGCGTCATCAAGCATTGAGTCCAATGATGGAATTCTTACAGGACACCTAGGCCTAGAATAATACTGATAGAAACCTTGGTTGCTGTTTTCATCTGGGCCTTATAGAGCATGAAGCCAGGTAAGATAGCGCAGACCCAGTCGGTAGCCACAGCGGCAGCAGAAACAAGGTAACTCAGGCTTGTGATGACAATAGGAGGGGAACACGTCCCTGCTTTCGTATCCCAGTTTGCCCTAATAGGACGGCACATCGCAAATAACCCAACAATAACGATGATGGTCGAGATGCATGAGGTCGCGAGCGTGATCCATGTGATGATGCGGTGTGATCTGAGAACGGCGATTCTCAGAAGTGTTACGCAGATGGATGCCTTTATAAACACTAGAGAGCAACAGTAAAATGTCTGAAATAGCCAGATGTGCTGTTTGTTCGACAAATTAGCAGAGAATCGTAATGAATTTGGATGGGAAGGCTTTACCATTTTACTCTTCTCCACAAGGTACTCGTTCAGTCGCTCATCTCTCGCGCCTAGCCCATAATAGGTTCCTTTTGATACAAGACCGGCAACAACCATAAACAGAGCCTGGGAGACCTTGATTAGCCTGTATCTAAGAAACCATATATCGTATAATACTTACCCATCCGACAACCATAAGAGCATCATCCATGCCAAACACATTGTGCTTAAGTCTGACTCCACATCTCAATGCAATGACTATCACGGTCAGAGGCGTGAAGAAGAGTGTGACGACGAGGAGCACTAGTCCAAGACCTTGAGGGTCAATAGACGTGACGTCTTCACTTGTTGACATGTTGCGGTGGAATCTGCTTCAACGAGTCGCAAGAGTCACCGCTGTACGATCATACAGATGTATTGGTAGGAGTTGAGCAACGCGCCGTTGGTTCAGCACGACCTCCCTTTTCAATCCCATCCCATATCTACCTCGATTTACCCCTCGTTTTCCTTCATGTGAACCGGAAATTGGCAACCCGGCATTGCTCAGAGTCCCCCGCGCGTCTAAACCCCTCGGCTCCAACACGCGGTCAATAATTTCTTTAGCGTCGACTAATGAGCTTTGCCACTGGACCTAACAGACAATCGCTTCTTACTCTGGCTTCAATGCCGCGTAGGTTCCGGGGCCACCTTCTCGATACAGTTAGCATTCACTAACACTGACTCGAGCAAAGGTGCCCAAGCCTAAGCAAAGCATTACCCACAGACCAAGTGTTCCCAACGAACAGGAACACGATCTGACAGGCATCCTAGACCCTGGCCAAAAATGCCGCTAAAATGGATAAGCGAGGAGGATCTGGAGATTTCACTCCGAAACTCTTCGGTCCTATGATAAATTTTCCAGCAGAAAATGTCAAGACACACCAGCCATAAGCACCGGTATGAGGGATTGAGGCTCTCTTAGAAGACATATCTTGGAAAAAATTATCATCTTGAAAAACAAATCAATTTACCCAAGACGCGAATCTGTCAGGCTTGCTGTGGTCGATTGATGGTCATATATCACTTTTAGATCTTGGGAACTAGGGAAGTGAAAACGAAAGTAAACTGAGATCTTCGCATGGTCTTTTTCCCCCGTTCAATTTCCGGGAAATTCTACCACGTTCAAACTCTTGGCAAGTTTCAGACCTCGCTAAGGGTCCCCTCTAAAAGTAAATACTGCCGACCATCGCACAACTACAATGTTATGTCGATATACTTGGGATTGTTTAGCGACTACCTTTCTGACGTTCGATTGTTTAGTCTTCTCTAGGATTTCCCCCTCCTGCTATGACCATTGCGTCGCTTGTTGGATTCAAGGATACCGCTCCACATGTGGTGAAGGGAACAGCGTAGCCTAAGTGTTGGCAAAGCCGTACAAAGTCGATGAGGTCCCCCGACCAGGGTTAGAGATCAATCTCTGTTCCGAAAGTACCCCTAGAACTGTCGATTCGGGCCACCTCTTGTGGCAATCCGTTATGCGTCCTTGTCTTCCTCAAACGAGCTCAACGACAACAAACTCCTCATTATCTAATGGTGGGTAATAGTGAAACATAAACCAGGTGTAAGAAATAATTCGACAATGCGCGACAAAACTTTTGTGCGTCTCCGAGTGACCCAAAACGCAAAGCTCTACTGGCAATGGGTGCCCAGTGATCTACGTAGACCGTGGTTGATACGCAAGGATGCGGCGGCGTGCTTGGCGAGACAACCCCGGCAGCCCATTTTATTTTATGCAGGGTCATCCCGACGAGCTGTAGACCTGATGGCGTTATCGTCAGCCTACGGATTAGCGAAATTGCCTCTTAATCGATGAACGTGGTGAAAAGTGATCGGCATCCTTGGCTCGGTCAAGTGCGATACGTATTGGGTAGATACCTCATAGTGCAAAGGTCCTCTAATTCAGGGTTATCCTTTCTTTTCCAAGACGGGCCTGATAGTCAGGCAAGTGTGCGTTAGACAAGTAATAGGAACTGCACAGGCCGCTTAATCCTAACCTTCGATCATAAGCCATAATATTGATAGATAATAGGTAATCAATAATAATAGTAATAATAAATTATTGAACAATCGTTGGGTCATTTTCTTCTTACTATAACCTCACAATATTAAGCATTAAAATAGGCGCTACTTGAGCAGCTACCTGACATACCCTAGAGCGAAAATGACGGCTATGACAAAAGCAAACCACCAGAGAATGACGGCTATAACGAAAGCAAACCACCATAAAATCGCCTCGGTATCCTGGTGGATGGCGCACTCCCACATAATGGCTTTGGTCGTGGTTGTGCTCGTGGGGGTGACCCGGGAGGCGGTGGTAATCGTTTCTCTACCGTAAAGGAGATATCTGTTAGCTACTCGATTATTTACTACTTATTTATATGCTACAACTCTTTGGAAGCTTGCTTACTCAGTAGTAGGGCCGGATTCAACTACCGTGGTCCGGGTAAAATGACCTGTTGTTCGAAACACCGCGCTGGGACAAACATAAGTTAGACCTCTGTAGTAGCTTTGAATATGAGTGCTGGTCATTAACTTACCGCTCAAATGTTGTGATTGATGCTGCTGCTTCTCTTGATGTTTCTGCTTCTCTTGATGTTGCTGCTATAGTTTTAGATATTGTAGTTGCTGATGCTGATGCTTGTTGCGGTTGTGGTTGCGGTTGTGGTTGCGCTGAAGATGGGGGCAAAGGTAGAAGGTAAAAGAACCTGAATGCATATTTACCTGTGTTTGGGAAACACGTGCGCGTCGCGTCGTTCTGGCAGTCGCAAGATGAATGTGAGGCCACAGTTCGGGCGGCCCCTTCCCGTGCAGTAAAGCACGCATCGCAGCCTCTCGACATGGCAGTCCTCTATCGATATCAAACCTAATATACTTCCAATTCAGACGATCCCGTCCTTCGGCTCGTTTAGACGGGAACCCTGGTATATATAGATATTTATATCCTATGTGTATTGTTAGTGTTGGTGTTGAACTTTATGTACGGCCAGTCACAGACCTCGTAGCTGGGCAAAAAGGCTGAAGTTTAATGCGTTGTTATACTGGGCATGGTGTCAAGTTGTTAAATTCTTAGTGTTCGGGAATTCCCCCCTTTTTCTTTTTAGTAGCTGCCGTATAACTGCATAGCTCCCTCACTTTATGTTACTATGCGTATGTTAGCATCCTTTAAACACCGAAATGGGAAATTTTGGGACGTACTCTCGAATGCGCATTTTCCAATGTATGAGCGCCTTTCGCTTAGTACAGTTATGAAAACTCTACAAGTGGGAGGGAGCGAATGCTACTTAGAGTAATGGGCCCGTAGACCACGTGTTAAGATTGGAGAAAAGTTTTAATAACAATCGTAGGGAACTAATCTCTGACAAGATCTTGACGAGCCCTAGCTACATACAGGGCAACCGGACGTTGGGATTTTGGAACACTAGAATAGGGAGATGAAAAGCTTGCAAGAGTCATCGGTATGAAGGTTTACAGTGTTTTCCTTCTGCATGGCTGTAGGCTTGGGCTAGTAGAGCTTATTAAATTTTTGTCTTTCGTATTCCTTGCGTTGATGCGCCAGTCCCAGAACCCTCCATTCCTTGTTTTACTTCGAACTCAAATTCTCTCTCCGTATCGATCAGCTGCGGCCAAAAATGGGGAGACAGACGGCGACTGGGCTCGCTTTTGCGTTGCGGAGTTTTGCGCCGGGCTATAGTAGCCTATAGAATCTTCCCCATAGATGAGACAAGGTAGTAGAGAAGTTTCCAGGATTTATGCCTACAGTATGAAAAATCTTCATCGTAAATAATATATTGCTTAGGTAGAGTACGGTGACGTGGAAGCTCCGCGCGGCGAAGAAAACTGTTTGACCGTGCAAATCTGACCTTGAAACGTAAGACCAGGGCTCCCGGGAAAGGTTGCATTACTTATATGCTTGAATGACATTTTTTCCACGTTTGGCCAAACTTGATATCCACAATAGAGTAGTCTGACGAGTTTGTTTACATGCGAGGGTCACCCTGGCTTTCGCCAAGACGAGATCATTTGCCAAATTGGGTTATCAATGTCTAGGAGACGTTAATTCCGGATATGCCGCGTAACTCTAAGTTGTAACTCCAGAATCGTTCGTCCAGAATCACTTCTAAGTCCGGGGCTGCTTACGAGTTCCGAAACTCCAGGACCGGTGGATTTAGCACCTTTCCAAAGCCCAGGATCATCGTTGACCATAGCCGCCCAAGCCGGAATAGTCTCCTCAGAGCGTGTAGTATATAACGGCCAGAAGTTGTTGCATAGTTCAGTTGTTCTAAATATCAACAATCAGACTTTCTTAGCTATTGGCTTTAAGTTATATCAAAGAATCAGAAGTTCAAAATGTTGACACATCGCTATTTCAGGCTGGCCTCAGTCCTGGCTTGGGCCCTTTTCCCATCACCCTTATCGGCCTTGCCTTCTGGTGACACCAAGAATGATACTACCGTCCATGACTATGTTATTATTGGGTCTGGCGCAGGAGGAGGAACTTTGGCGTATGATTTGCAAGACCTAATCGCTCACAATCCTTCAAATACAGCTAACGACAATTTTCCGATAGCGCAAGTCTTGCTCGAAAAGGGCACTCGGTCTTCCTAATTGAAGCCGGAGGAGACCATGGGACAGCTCCAAGTCAGCAAATCCCAGCCTTGTGAGTAATCATTCATAATTCTAAGCAGATTTTAAGGATAACTTGAAAACTGATGATTATGATTTGGCAGGTGGCCTACGTCAGGGGAAGATCCCGAAATGTCCTGGAACTTCTATATTCGCCATTACGCGAACGAGACACAAGGTCGTCGGGACAGCAAGTTTTCCTACCGTCTTGAAAATGGCTCGATTTACTATGGACTTGACCCTCCGTCCAATGCTACACCGTGAGTCCATCTGTATGGTTTCCATCTTCTGAAACCGTCCGCTTCATTTCTCGTATGTCTAATGAAATGTCCCCAGTCTCGGTACTCTTTATCCTCGTGGAGCTACCTTAGGTGGAAGCAGTCAGACCAATGCCATGAACTTCATCAAGCCACGCAATGCCGATGTAAGTCGGCCTTGCATTCTAATTACTTCCTCCACCTAACTATTGAATACCCTGTTAACCTCCGAAAATCGCAGTGGGACTACCTTGCGGAGCTCACAGGAGATGAGTCCTGGGGAGCCTCGGCTATGGAGGAATATTTCGAGCGCATGGAAAGAGTTCAGTATCTTCCCGAAGGTTCACCAAACCATGGTTTCGACGGTATCATTTCGGTAAGATCTCGAATAGACATCCCGGATCGCCAGTCGTAAACACTGACACTCGTCCAAAGTCCAACCAGAATAATTTGACTTATATAACAGGCCGACCAGGGACTAGAGATGTCATGTCCAATCTAGCACGCGAAATAGAAGGCGTGGAAGTAGACACAGAAGGCTTAGGCGACCTGTTGCGACGCGATGTCAACGGCGAAAATACCTACACACCAGGTGTTTACCAGCTGGTTGTGAGCACTAACGGCATGCGAAGACGATCTGGCTCTAGGGACTTCATCATAGATACGGCCAATACCAAAGCCGAAAATGGCTCGGCTGCTTATCCTCTCACAATCAGCACTCATTCACTTGCGACCCGAATTCTCTTTGATGAGAAAAAGGATGGTATTCCCAACGCAATCGGTGTCGAATATCTGGTTGGCGAAGGTCTTTATGGCGCGGACAAGCGCTACAATCCCGACCAGGCTGGGGTTCTACGACAAGTATTTGCTTCGAAGGAGGTCATTGTGGCTGGAGGCGCTTTCAACACGCCGCAAATTCTGAAACTGAGTGGCATTGGCCCTAGGGAAGAACTAGAGAAGTTCAACATCCCCGTGGTTGTAGATTTACCTGCAGTGGTAAGTATGTCTTAGACTCAAGCCTTGATCTGATCGCTTACCAGTAGACTCCAGGGCAAGTACCTCCAAGACCATACTGAAGGTATTCTATTGGTTAACTCATCGGTGCCCTGGGAGAACGACCCTAACGCACGATGCACGATGACCCTCGACGAAACGGACCCGTGCTATACAGAGTGGCTTGAAAGTGGAATCGGACCATACGGTGAGGCCGCCGCTCCACTTGCCGTTCAATACCGCTCCCAAGTGAGTGAGACAGAACAAGCAGACCAATTCTGGTTTGGCTTTGCCGGTGTCGAGCTCCGAGGCTTTTACCCTGGCTACTCCAACCCAGTCCCCCAACCGTCCGTATTCACATGGGATATCGTCAAGCTACACCAACCTGGGGATGGAGACCACGCGAAGGGCACCGTAACTCTTCGATCCAAGGATCCACGCGACGTTCCTGAGATTGTATTCGATTGGCTTCAAGGAGACATCGGCGAGCGTGATCTGGATTCTCTTGTGGAGGGCGCCGAAGTTGCCTATCGTGCTTGGGATGCGGCTCCCGCACCTTACAACCCGTTGACGAGACTCCAGCCTGCGGAGGGTGTTGACTTGCGCCAGAACCTCAAAGATGAGGCTTTTGGGCATCATTGCAGTTCTACTTGCCGAATGGGTCCAAAGGGGAACACCGATTACTGCGTGGATTCGGAGCTTCGCGTGAATGGCGTCAAGAACTTGCGCATTGTGGACGCTTCAGTCTTTCCCCACACTCCAGGCGCGTTTCCTGTTACCTCTGTTTATATGCTAGGCATCAAGGCAGCAGACATAATTTCTGAGTCCACGAAGCAGCAGTGAAACTATGAAGCTCTAGGATTTAGAGGTAGAAAGCACTAGAGGACCAACGCTGGAATGCTCAAGCGAGGGAATACCATTGGGGATTATTCCCATATCTTTGCAACAACTTAGGCCAGGATGATTGTCAGGGACTGATGGACTGCTGAAGAGGGCTACTTTAGCATCAAGTTGAAATAGGTAAACAACAATACCAGCCCTTCATTTCTTGATCAGGTAATGAACTTGAAAATGCTGCTAAGTTTCCACGTAAACGCCGTTTTTGATGCCACTGGCCCTTTTGATTATGAATAGCATGGAGCAGGCCTTGGAGGACGTCTAGATACGTCTTGAGCGCGCCAAGGAGCCTGATACTGGCGTTCATGCGGAGGATATGTTCGCAGACCATGAACAGGTCCTTGTCCTTTTTCAGGATCCGGATTACAAGGCCGTTGATACTGGCAGGCCATCTTAGGGGTAGGCAAAGCTGACCAAGTCGGCGTTTTACGTGCATAGGATCTAACCTACATGCTTGAGACCGCTTGACTGTGGCTGTATCGCCTGGATCACGGTCAGCAGGATCAAGGAGGGGTCTGACTTCCCTGCCTGTAGCTGCGGCTGTTGATTGTATTCATCTGGATCGCGGTTAGAGAGATTAGGAAGGGGTCTGACTTACCTGCCCGAGGCTGCAGCTATTAGCTGTATTCATAAGGTTACTAATATACGCGCGTGTCAAGCATACTTTCTCATAACATTGAATAAAGGTGCGATGACCCGATGTCTATTTTTATATCGACCAATCGCTGATTGTTTCAAAATCCAGTAGCCAATGACCGTCGATGTGTGGAGTAACCTACCCTCAGATATGCAAAGCTGAAGCTGGGATCCTTGAAGTGGTCGGTCTTCTCTTTTTCAGCTTTACCTAATAATAACAAAAGGACTTTTCATGTGGTTGGAACAACACACGCCGTTTGATCAAACAGACTCTTTTGATTGGTCTAGTCTGCCATAACGGGTTGCCTCTGAGAAATCCAACTTGTAAATTCTACTTAAATCATGATTGCATTAGCAGCTATTCTTTAGGATAACCTTTCTAACAGTAGTTTTCAAGGTTTAGGCTTCTACCACTGTTGAAATGGCAATACCGTGAAAGGTTAAGCCCCTGCCCTATGGTTAAATCCTTCAGGGGCTAGGATGCAGTAACCATTTCTTACTGCAGGTCGAGAACTTAATGAGTTGTTGTGGCTCTCAAATGCCCTGTATCCCTCCCTGCCTTACTTACCTCCTTCCCCATTTGGGCACATATTGCCATTTAGGGACAGATTGGCTTGGCCATTTGGTTGCTTGGAAATTTGGCATCTTGGCATTTTGGACTTGATGAGCAAGTAATAATAAACACTACGGCCGTAACGAATGACACTTCATCAGCCCTATCTCCTTCCTTCTTTCCTCGATCCCCTCCGAAGATCCCCATACCTTAAAAAAAAGCGGAATATTTTCACGACTCAATTCTCACAGCCCACGACAAAACATCGTTTGCTGATGAACACCGCATTTCGTCGTCAATATGTTGAAATGTTGGCCATTTATTATGCTGCTACTATTTGCAGTGGCGCAGGGTCAGTACAGAACTTGAAGCTACAAAAATTGGTCTCGGGGAAACAATTTAACTGACAGCCTCTCGTTTTCTCAATGCAGTAGCAGCGTCCGAGATCAACTGCAACGGTAACGTAACAATCCAGAACGGCGAAGATGCGAAGAACGTGCGAGAAAATTGCAAGACGATTGCTGGGACTCTCCTTCTGGACATATTCGAAACCTGCAACTTGGATGGCCTAGAGGAAGTCCAGGGAGACGTAGTGCATGATTGCCCCACAAAGCAACTGGGACTAGATTATTGCATGGACGCATCCACAACCTTCACCATAAGCAGCTCTACTTTGAGAAGCATCAATGGCTCATTGAGGTTTTATTATTATCGGGGAATCGAAAAACTGGATTTCCCCAAACTCAACAAGGTCCAGGACATCAGCCTATACACACCTTACAACCTTACACACATCAATTTTTCCAACCTAGAGTACTTCGAAACTTTTTATCTCAATACGCCGAGTTTGATAGAGCTGCAACTCGATAAATTTAAGGAGTTCACATCTAGACCATACGTCAACATTGAGAACACTGGAAGGCTGGAATCCTTGGATAAATTCTTTCAGAATCCAGTGAACCCCTACAACTTTTACCATTGGGAAGCTAGTTCTACCTTTGTCCAACTTCACCTGCTCACTGTTCGAAATCTGACTTTTGGATGGACACTAATGCCGTCGTTGGTAATCGAAGCCAAAAGTCCGTTGACACTCACCTTGGGTGGTCCTGAAACTGAAGAAATGGAGTTTGAAGGCACACTCGAGATTGGGGCTAACGTTTCAGCCATCAATCGTCACGAGAATCTGAAGAATTTGACGGTTAATAGTTTTGATTTGTCGCACAACACCCTCACTGACTTCGATCTCTCTTTTCTCGACCAAGTTGCAAGCGTGGTAGTGTACAAAAACCCTCAACTCCGCCAGCTGAGGCTTCCATCTACAGCGCAATCATGGAAGAACCTTTCTCTTATCATCTGGTATAATGATAATCTGCTACTCTCTCCTGTAAAGAATGGGAGTGAAGAGACTATTTGGCACTGGCCAACCGGCGACATGTCATCCGTGAGAATACGTGCCAACATAACATCTGATTTCTTGTAGGGCCCCGATTCTTGACCATCATCTAATCATAATTGACCAAGGCTAAAACCGTACAGCGATTCCTTTCTTAACGGCACTGCAAAGGTGACGGAAAAATTTGACATACAGGACATGTCTGAGACATTTGATTGCAGCGTTTTTGAGGCCGCAAGGGCATCAGGCAGATTGGCAGACTTCGGTTGTTCCGGGCTCAGAAACGATACGAGTTTGGGTACAATCAATCAAGCCTCTTATACTATATTATCCGTGTGGCTAGGGATTTCAACAGTGTTCCTGCTAAACTTTAATATCAACTAAGCAGGTATAAATATTTGTTGAAAAGAGATAATCACATTTACCATCTCTTTAGGATACTATAAACCCTCTACAAGCTTCGAAGGTCACCGACAAGGTATTCAAGGAACTGGAGCGGCATCGCAAACTTGTCGGAACTTGTGCGGTACGTCTAGTTTGGCCTAGCTTGTGGCATTTCCAAGAAAGAGGCATTGGGAATTTTAAGGGCGGTAAAGGCGCTACTAGATGGCAAGGATGCTGTATCTCGACCGCACGGAGGAGAGTCCCGTGAAGCTCTAAACGAAATTGTCCTTTCTAACATTGGCTGGAAGCAACGGCCTCTTTATTCCGAGACGTCTAACTAGCTGAAAGAACGAGGTTAAGACTGAGATGTTTGGTCTACGTACCTAATGTTCATGCGTCCCCTCCTTCCGCTAGATGATCTGTGTATTGACACATGAACTATAAAGCTATTCATTTATTTTTCTTTTCTTCACCCTCTATACCGCCTAATGCTCGATTTACTGCTCTTGAAGTCGAGAAAGACCTTGCCGCTGAAGGGTACTACCTTCGCATAAGGGCTAACTCTTGATGCATCGAGCACTAGTATGGGGTACGATTGCTATGATCCTTAGACAAAGCTAGCTTTTTGCTGCCAAGCCTTAAATGAATGCCCCGTGGATGCCGTAGGGCCTTTGTGGCGATGAAGAAGCGGGGGAGGATTTACCGTTACGGGGCAAATAACATGATAATCATACTTCAATGAAACCTATTGCGTTGCATTGCTCGGTTAGCCGAACCGGTACGGATAACTTTGCCGCGGGAGCAATGCCGAGTAGACCCCCTGGAAACGTGTGTTTGAGGTTGAGTCGAGGGGTTGTAAAAGCTCGTATATACAGCATGGTACCAAACCCGATTGTAACATGGCTCCTCTGATTGCCTATATAGGAAACCTCGTAACCTGCCACTTCGTTTCAATGCGGAAGTCTACCTTCCGATGGAGTCAGATAAGTCAATTTGAAACTTGTTGTCGCACGACTATGCCAATAATGTGAATTTATATTCCAAAGTAGGGTACGAATAAATCCACGAGTAAGATAATGTTGCCCTTCTTAAATCCTTCTGACTGCAATCCTCAGGTAGCTTAAAAGACAGCTGAGTCCTCCTTTCTTCTCTTATTTCCTTTCGTCTTTATAGTATCACGCATTCGCTGTGAGAACTTCTCCTCTTCCTTAACTCGACTTAAGAATCACTCATACCATTCAACGATCTCGTCAATATGAAGTCATCGCTGTTGCTTCTCGGTCTTCCCGTGGCTTCGGCTGCCGTGGCTCCTCGCCAAAACTACTTTAGCTTTGGCAACTACTTTTCGACCGGCGCAGTTGCAACCGATTCGTGGATTCGTCAGGCAACTACAACCCTGATCCTGCCAGCCCTCAACAGCCCTCACAATGGGAATCTAGGCTTATGGCCAGGAATGGGCACTAAGTTTGACTCAGGCGCAGATGGGCATCTTATCCAAGGTCTTGCCATCTCGACTGTTGGTTTTGGGTGAGCACGCATTATAGTCCAAGCCTGTCGGTGCCAGAGCTCATACAAATAGATCTCCGTGCAACCTTGCTGCCAATGAAAACAAGTGGTGTGTGGTTGCAAGCACATATGATGGTATGTTTCCTCTTTTCTTGTATGATCGGCTCTCACATGTCTTTAGGGGGTCAAACCCACGGTACTACACCATACCGAGCAAATCCCGGCGACCGTGTTACATATGACTGTAAGTTTCCCTTCATGGGAGATTGTCGGATTACTGTGCTTACACCTCCTCAGACAAGTACAATGATGCGACGTCTAAATTTGACCAGACCGTATCGGTCAACGGCAATGTAGTGTCGACTTTGTCCACAGGTATAGAGCCTCCTTTAGGTTGTAATGCGATTTGTATGCTGACTAGTTTAAAGCGAGTGGTCATGGTGCAGGTTGGGGAACAGGTCAGCTAAAATTATCCCGAAAAGTTTCATTTCGAATAAATCTGCTAACATTTGTTCTCAATATAGCAATGGAGTGCCAGCAGGTGAACTGTGGAACCGTCCCATTGCATCACTACGTGGACACCAAGATCATCATGAACACTCCTGACCCAAACTACGCTCGGACGGTTGGGACTCTTGGTGCTTCTGGCAACCTGGTTACTGCAGACGGTGGGAAGACTTGGACTGCTGCTGATATCACGATTCAGCAATATACATTCACTTAAGGAGCTAGTACCGAATTGCAGTCGAGATTCATGAAACGGTTAGTTCTTCTGCTAAGAAGATGTCCGCCTTATGTGTATCTTAATTGTTATTCACGTAAAGTTGAACTTGGTAGTTACTCTTTATTATTATCTTGTTCTATCTCTCTATTGTTTAGAAATATTTTCGGCTGCCCTGCGCTACAAGCAGGCGTTGTCGTGTTGAACACCAGGTTTAAAGCTGAGGTCAGATTTCTCCCATATCAGATCACTCAAGTTCCTCACCCCTTCGAGGCACTACTCTCTTTCAGGTATGAGTTAATGTCTAAAAAAAGTCCGTCACTATTATTACTCGTTCTCCTATATTTAATTAAGTCTTGTTTACCTAAGAGCTAACACAACACTATATTAGTAAACGGCCGGCTGTGCCCCCTCTTGGTGGAGGATCAAGCCCGTCCCCGCCCTGCGGAGGCTCCACCCCGAACACCTCGGTCACGGCATCATAACCAACGGACATAGCACTCCATGGCATTGCAGCCCGAGTCGCATTTCATGTGAAGAACATGATGAGTCTCGGCGAATTTTATGGGGCTCGAGTCAAATATTTCAGCTGTTCCCCCTAGGAACCGAGGAATAATCCCATATATAGCACTAAGCATTCCCTTTCAACTTTCGCAGATTAGATCATCCAGACCCGATCGTTCAAATATTATACATTGGTCAAACTTAAAAACATGGCTTCTATCGACACATTCAACGTGGAACATGATGGGAAATCATTTGCTGCCTATCGGAAGGTGGTCCCCTTGATATCCAACCCCGATGTCCTCTACCTCAATTCCGCTTTCATGCCGCCGTCCAATCTGCTTGTCCACGATGCTTTTGCGCGCTTCTCCAACGAAGCATTGTACAATCCCAATCCCAAGGCACAATGGCTCGCGGCTGCAGAGGAGACTCGCGCCTTGGTGGGACGATACATCAATGCCGAACCATCGACTTTGTCCTTCACCCGTGACACAACCGAAGGTCTGGGATATTTCATCCGCAGCATCAAGTTCTCTCCCGGAGACAACGTTGTGATCTTGGACACGGAGCATCCCAACCACGTACTTGGTTGGTTGAGCCTTCGGTCTCAGGGTTTGGAAGTGAGGCAGGTCCCTACCACGGCGGAAGTCGACCGCACTGGGCAGCTGACTGCAGCAAATGCGGCTACTTTCGCGCCATATGTCGATGAAAGAACAAAGGCCATCGGACTTAGCTCCATCATGTTTCACAGCGGCCAGTGGAACGATGTGGAAGACATTTGCGACACATACAGGCCCCGAGGAATCCATGTCCTGGCCGACTTGACGCAACAAGTAGGCTTCACACACGTGGATGTGCAGGCACTTGGTGTGTCTGCTGCAGCATTCAGTCTGCACAAGGGCCTCAACTGTCCTACAGGATTTGGCGTGCTTTATGTCAATCAACAAGTTCTTGAAGAATTGAACCCGGAACCCCCCATGACCACCTTTGCTTCCCTCGCGGACAGAAGGGCCGACTTTACAGTGGATGTGGCGGATCCCATCCTTCTTCAGAATAATGCTCGGAGATTCGATCACTGGAACCAGAATCTGAGTGCCGTTGCAGCTGCCAAAGCCCATCTGACATTCTACCTCGACACAATGGGCCCTAAGAAGGTCGAGAGCTACCTTTTCAGCCTCGGAGATGCATTGAGAGACGAGTGTAAGCAGCTCAGAATAAAGATCATCGGACCTCAGTCTCGGAAGGAGCATGCCCCTCATTTGTACATTCTTGATATCAATGGGGAAGGTTGGGTCAACTTCATGAAGGAAAACGGAGTCCAGATTTCTCCATATAGGCTCGGTATTAGGGTCTCCTTTGGATTCTACAATAATCTGGATGATGTCAAGAGACTGGCCAAGATTCTGCGACAAGGTTTACAAAGCGGGCTGCGTACACAGACTGCGAGTGGCACTGCCAGCTCTAGGCTGTAACCAAAATAGAAAGGTTGGACTCCATTCATTGGGCCTGGAGGTACATAGATTCAGTCATTTCTTAACACGATATTCTCTGGGTGAGCTTGCATCTTCATCAGTACGGCAAACACATGCATTTGATCCATTTTCTCAATCACCAAAGTTTTGATTCGCGATGTACTACCTATTTATAAACAAACACCTTGAACCAAATGTAGCGTTAGTGTAGAGGTTACTTCGGGATATTATTTTGCAGAAAACCTTGACTGCTAGATCGCTGGCACTACAAGTACAATACCGCCCATTGTACATAGGCAGCCTGCCAATTGTAGCAGCACAAATAGAAAGGCAAAGAAATACGCATGTCATGCTTTCGGACCAGAAGTGCCAATTTGTCTACATATCATTACAAGTTGACTCGAATATGCCTCGCAAGATCCCACGTTGCAGATGATTCTTCCAAGATGTTGATGAGGTAATTGGATTCCTGCGCGATACCGATGGCCTGGGAAGTCCTCAGGGCCTGCACAATTCCATAAATAAAAATGAATGGCGTGTGCTTGAGCCCATAGCTACTTCGGTATTTTCTGACGATCGATATGATATCTTGTGCAGAAGACAGACACATGGCACGCGCATTTTCGGAGTCTCCGCCCATGTATGTACCTCGGCATGCCTCCGAATTGAGCACGATCCGTACACTGTGGAATAAAACACTAGAGTAGTATCAAATATTAGCTAAGACGTTTGATACTTGACCAACTCATCAACTCACTGTAATGCTGCAACGCTCGGAAGAAGTGGCTTGCTTGTAGGCTCCCATTTGTTCCATTGCACGAAGCCGGGCAGTAATGCATGCCAACGGCTGAGAGCGAGGTTTGAGGAATCCCGTAGAGATTTCCGGCTTGCTCCACTGAAGTTATTGCTCGGCGTAAATAGACTAGAAATCATCGTTTCTGCTAGCCGTAGAAGGTTGACTTGTTCTCGAAAGCATTGTACAAGGGTGGTGGTGCCCATGGTGCCCGTATCAGGCTCGGTATATCCTGCTGGTAGCCAGGGTACCATCTCTGGAAACTCCCTGAAGACTCCAGTTAGAAACAATATATCAATGCCTGGGTTGGGGTTATGCACGGCAAACGCTCCATCCACTCAACTTCAGCGTCCTGCTCATGGAAAAATACAGGACGCCCTAGCACCAAACTTATCATTTTATCTGAAGCATAGCACCCCCAGTAAATACGTCTGCGGATCTCAAGGTCCTCTGGACTCGCCAGAGAGACGTCGTGGGAGAGCCAGTGTTTTGGATCTCGCTGAACGCCCAAGTCTTGGGCCATCCGAAACGCCATGCCTAAACCCCCAAAATCGTTAGGCCTGTTCAACCCAGGCTCACTGCAATGGAGGGATTAATTTATGTTCATACCTGAGAGGCCCCAGCCCTTGGAGCTGTTTCCCCGACCAATCTCGAAAAAGGAAAGACAAAGTAGAGTCTGTACAGTCGTTATCGATGGCTGGGACAGACCAAAGACTAAAGTGATGCTTTCGGCTGCGGCATAAAATCGTCCACCAACTTGCCCATGATCAATATCTGGCCTCATTAATGATCCCAATGCACAGATCGCTAGTAGTAGGGAGGGAGACCAATATTTGCAGGCTGAACGGCAATTGCTGTAATGGTCTCGGAGAAATGCTTCTCTGTAGATGAACATGAAATGCGGATACTGCCATTTGAAGAATAACATGAGCGTTTCAAGAATGATCTCGTTGTCGAGATTGATGCCGAAATGTCCCGCGATTTGCTCTAGATCAGTTTGTGACCCAAGAGGCAGGTTTGTCGTCGGCGGGTCTCTTGGGAGCGGCTCGTTGGGCCAAACCTGATATATGCTTGTAGGCCCATGGCATATGAGTGATCCGGCAAGATCCGTCTCTAGTTTGGGCTCAAGAGGCGATGTGTCGCCGTCCACGTCAGCCATTCCGGTGAGAGGGTGCTCTTGTTCCTGACGCGGGTGGTGATCGAATGACACAGCTTCGAGGATGGTCTCTCTATCCTGAAAGTCGGCTTCCTTGATTCTCATGATCAGGCTTTCTAGCCAGGCGATTCGACTCTCCAAGCTGGAGACGTACTCATGGGAAACTGGTCGCCTCTTTTCATCTCTTTGTCGATATTCGCAATCCTGCTTAGCTGTAACGCAGCTGGAGCAAGGCATCGTACGAGAACATCTCAGCTACTCACATGTAAGCTTCTTTAGGACAGCAATCAACCAAAGGACAGTGTTTAAACCTTTCTGAATTGACATCTTTTACACCTGTTGTGATGTGAGCATTGGAAGGATTATAGGTTTCGGGAAAGGGGACAAATTTACGCTATTTTCCGAGTTGCCTCGGAGGAACTCGCTCCCGAAAGAGGACGTTTTACGTCGGAATTCATCTTTAGCCGAACGGAGAATACGAGCAAGACGTGCGGTATCGCCTCTCATATGCCTGGGTGCTAAGCGCCGAATGATCGGCGGCTGGTCTCGGTCAGATGGTGGTTCTGGCTTGATTTCTGCATATGATATCATGCGGGAGAGCATATGGATTCCTCAAATCACAGAGCAATCGGTTTTATGAGGGGAAGAAAGTGGAGAGGTTTTCCCCAATCCGCCCACCCCTTATCTGTTAGTGGAGAAATTTACTTCGCCGACGTCAAGCCCTTGACCGAATCTAGTGGTGGGCTTCACGTGATGCTTTGATGTGTTTGACGGATGGAAGAAATTTTGTTGTGAGATCGTTGTCACAGCAAGGAGTATGTACCGAATTTTAGGCAAAATCATGGTGTGGAGTAGTAAACTAGAACCTCTTTTCCTTCCGTACAGGTAGCTTAATCTACACGATGTCTCCAACTCAAAGCAGTCCCCCTATGCATACTTAGCGATAACTATCGAGTGTGTTCCAATTATCTGGCGATGTTGCATGTTGATAAGTTAGTCCCTTGTGGTTTACAGCGTATACAGATTCGGGACTCTGCCCGTTCCTTCAAATTTGGCCAAGATTGACTTGTTCTCCCTGCGAAGAATAAATTTCATGAGGCAGGAAAGGAAAACCTGGAAAATCGCAAACGCCATGAGAAGGATCATAGCTCGAGTGTATCTAGGACTGTCATTAGGGTCAAAGAAATAAGGGCTCCAGATGCTTCCCATTTGACCAATGACGTTGATCATAGCCGTTGCGCAAGCTCGCTTCTCTGGTGTTTGGTTGACAGATGGGGCCGCCCAGCTATATAGGCAAGCGTTCGCACCGAAACACCCGCAGACATAGAAGAAGGATGCAACGTAGCGAGCGGGCACATTAACGGTGGCTACACTGATGATGAAACCAACGATGGCCACGAGCATAGGACCCGCAAGGTGGAAACCTCTCTCAGCTACACGATCACTGTGCCAAGAGTTGAGCCAAGCTGTGAGGGCACTGAGAAAGTATGGCGGAGCAGTACAAACGAGCGTAATGGTTCGACTACCGAGGTTAAATCCTTGAACAATGGAGGGGTAGAAGTAATTGAATCCGTAGGCGCTCTGAATTGAACACAGCATGAGGGCCTGTAGTCTAAAGGTTAGCTCTGTCTGAAATGAAGGGGAAATCTCCTGGTGAAGGTTAACATACAAAAATCCAGACTTTGATGTCAGTAACCGCAAGTTTTAGTCCATGGAGAACTGAGTGGTTGTCATCCTGGTTGGAGATAGCCTCTCTCGCCATTCTCGTTTGGGCGACCTCGATCTCTTCAGCAGTAAACAACCAGCCAGCTTTAGTAGTCGAGGGGAAGTTGGGAAGCAGGAAAAATGCGCCGATCCCTAGAAGGAGGCTGGCTGCACCTTCGATGATGAAGAGCCAGCGCCACCCAGCTAAACCTGCCACACCACCCAAGCCAGCGAAAATTCCAGCGGCTAGTAATCCTGAGACTGCAGTCGCAAGGATGAGGCCGGAATATAGGAATGCATATCTAAGTGCTAATTCCTTCTTTGTGTACCAGCAGGATAGGAGAAAGAATACGCCTGGGAAGAAGGGAGCCTCTGCTATTCCAAGAAAGAAACGAATGGCAAAGATTCCAGAGAAGTTGTGGCATGCGGCTGTTGCAGCAGACACACAGGACCACGTACAAACCCAGAATGGTATATAGATCGCAGGACGAACTCGGGTAAGAATCATGTTGCTCGGGATTTGCATCAGAATGTAGCTTCAACGAAAGATTAGTACGCGTTATTTCTGCTTCCATGCCTGCGGGTGTCGTACCTGACGTTCAGAATAGACAGAAGGAGGTTGAACTGGTTCCCATCAATTCCTAGATCTTTCTCAAATGTATCCAGCTTTGCCTGCCTGTTTATTTCTTTGTTTAGCGTGCTGAGGGAAGGTTAGATGTCGTTAGAGTACTTACGAGATATTATTCCTGTCTAAATAGTTGAATAAGTAAAGAAGGAAAACAGTTGGCATAAGAGTGCAGTCAAGCTTCCGAACCAGGCTCTTCTGCTGTGCCAGATAATTCTGATCCTCAACAACATTCACTTCTTCAATCTCTCCTAACATCTTGTCGTCGAAGTTGCTGACTTGGGATTGGCCAAGGTCCTTCTTGTGTTCTTCAGCCATTTCTTGTCGCGTTTAGGGTAGAGAGATCGGAATTAAGGTAATTGAGACGTCGGTCATGAGAAAAGATGGGTTTGAATAAGCTGATGCACGAGAATCCAGTACCTATTGCAAATGGGCAACGGATGAATTTATAGATGTGACTCTTGTTGCTTAGTTGTGATACGGAACCTGGGGTAGGTTTGGTTCGCAAGGCGCTCACATGCGGGGCCCCAGACAAGTTGCTCGTGCTGAGATCAGTGAAGTGGAACTTTAATAAATAAGAGCACGGATGGCCAAGTCCGAATAAGAACTAACTGTGCGCATTCCTGACTCAAGACCAAGTAAAGGCGAGACCCACTATGGAGGTCCAAGTCCGAAGACCACGTTCGAGATCCCCACCTCCCCGCCACGGAGGCTCAACTCCAGTGAGGCACCTGGTCACAGGGAATTAATCTCTGATCGTACGAGATTGAGGAGTCATGGAAAGGTTCTGTTGCAGGTTTGGATTTAGCTTGACTCTGCCCTCTAACCGGTTAATGGTATACTCACCATCTTTGGAAGATGGCTCCAGTGTGCCTGTCGCAATTTCTCGCACCGTATGGTAGTCTCTAAACGGATGGATCTAGGTCTTCTACAAGTGTAGGCTAGCCCTCGGCTTGAGTTTTGTGAAAGGCTAGGTTTAGAAACTCATTCAGGCGTTGATCTCGGGTAGAACAGTGCTCTCAAGAACAGATGCATCGACGCTGTACGTTGTAGACGAAACTGTTTTGTATTGGGCTTATTCAATTTCGCTGGCGAATACTTTCTCGAAGGCAGAAGGCATTGAGGCCCGCCCACATTTCGCTGCTAAACATAATGCCAAGGTCCCAGCTCTCCTACCCGGGCTATCCTTCTATAATCTTTCTAAAATCTCCATTGAACAGACCAGCAGCAGGAGGCACCGCATCGTTGGGCTCAATGGTCTGGTTCATGTGTCTATAAACTAGACTAGAGACTCTAAATTTGATGTTTACTCGGGTTGAAGAAACCATCAAATTTTCGTCCTTAGATGATACGCTTAAGGACCTTTGTCAGCAGGGAGCCTTATGTTTCCCTAATGTAAGCTTGATCTGAGAGACGTTTGTTAAGATTGTGGCTAATTAAAGGGAGTGTATAACGAATTTATACTTGTGATCTGTACTGTTATTAATGAGTCTAATTAGGTCTTTAATTATCATTGAGAATGTCATATCTCAATATTATCTCCAGCGTCTTTTCCTGAGAAGGTATATAACCGGAAGATTGAAAATCAAGACGCATGCCAGCCCAAATACCACTGATGTGACTTTATTCCAGTATCTGGATGTTCCATCTTCATCTCCTTCATTTGGAGAATCATCAACATGTACGTGTGCCAGACGATTGTCAACTGTCCTGCGTCTTTTGCCCCCTGATGCTGGTTGCGCATAGAATCCGTGCTTCCCCGATGACTTCAGATTTTCCACACATAAGCCAAGCGTATCCTCATCTTGAGAGATCCAGTGAGTGTCAGCTATTTCTTCAGAACCGGTAGCTTGATCCTGTCCTGTAGTTTCAGATCTGCTTTTTGGATCATGGATAGCCGGCTGAATCAGCTCGTCTTCAACTCCGCCTTCAATGGTCTCAAGCAAAAACTCTGGATCGGCCAATAGGTCTGTCTCACCATTGAACTTGCTTCCTGTTCTCAAAACCGCATTTTTTATCTCCCCTGGTGTCGGAATTTGATAGCTGATGCTCTAGAAAATTTCGAGTTCATTCATGCAAATCGCTGGACCACACTGTTCGCTCAGGATATTGCCGCATCTAGAATCGAAAATGGACCCGGGTCTAAGTTTACTGGTGCCGTGATTTCTGATCTCAATCTAGAGGCACCAGAGGGACATTGTAGCATCTTTCGAGACACTGATCTTCTCTGAACATTCAACCACGAGCTCATGCGCAGGAGTACTGCCCTGGGACAGAGTCTAGGGTCAAGCCATGCGCAAGCTGTCTCGCAGCAAAGGCGCAGATCACTCGTAAAGCTTGCTTGCTATCAGTTCGATTTTGCTATTTTGGGTGGACTGATCATGGTCGTTCCAATACTCATTTTGGTAAACGAATATGCTATAGCTAAAACACAGGCGGTGATATCTGTGTCGATTTTCTTGTTCGCTGTCGGCGTCGCTTCTTTCTCGAAAACGACACCGGAGAATCTCCTAGTAGCCACCGCTGCCAATGTGGCTGTCGCGATGGCATTCTTAGGGGATACTCCTCGAAACTCCAGATAATAGGTGGCATTACAAACGATATGGCGCCCACACAACCTGACGCGTTATTTACTATCGCGTTACCGTTGCATAACGATAGATTAACAGAAAAGAAAAGAAAAGAAAAGAAAAGAAAAGAAAAGAAAAGAAAAGAAAAGAAAAGAAAAGAAAAGAAAAGAAAAGAAAAGAAAAGAAAAGAAAAGAAAAGAAAAGAAAAGAAAAGAAAAGAAAAAAGTAAATAAATCTACTACTATTTTTTTATATATATCTATCATGTTCTTTGAAATTAGGTATGACTACATGGGGCAGCTTGAGCCTAGGTTGTGTTGATTGCGTTGAAGTGGCCAACATAGAAACGGCATGAGAACAAGCAATCAACCCGATTCTGATGCCACGGAAGAGTTATCACGACTGACGCCCCATTTTTCGATTTCTTAATCAACGACCCTCACAGAACAGCAACAGATTCTGGAGTTGATGTAGAAGTTCTAGAAGTTGGGCCACATTTTAAGAAACCCTCAACCCTCTGTAAGGTAAAACGCAGGACTGAGAATAGAGATGGTGGTGCCTATTGTCTCATCGTAGTAACAAGCCTTGGTTGTAATTTGCCCCTCTCTCCCACTGTTGCACAAGTTGTAATTATTGTCCCTATTACTTATGCCGTGATAATCAATATAATTGTACTTCTATGACTCCGCCTGCATCCTGCATATACTCTTCTCCATCCATCACACCGTTCAGATAACATTCTCCAATTAGCACATAGCCATGTCCTTGAGGCCGTTTCCGAACGACAAACGGCACCTGTACCCCTTGCAATATGCACACTTGGTCCCCCCGTTGAGCCTCCTTTGGCAGCTGGCCTAGTCTGCCTGCCTTGGTGGTGCAGAACTTCCTCCGGACGGAGAGCATGTCAATCGTCGACTCGATCACCAAGGCACACTTCCATAGCTCAGAGCCGCTCACTTGCTTGTAGCGGCTTTCGCTGCAAGTATCACGCAGCAGATCGAAGTAGCGCGCGAAGGTGGTGCCGACGGACGGCTTCGGGCGGTGGTAGCCGCCATCGATGAAGTGAAGTCCGCAGAGTATCGTGCGCCAAAACTGCTTGAAACGATCTGGTGACAGCCTAGTTTTGCCATGGGTGTTTCCATCATTGCTACCATCGTCATTGTAAAGTAAGCCGCTCGTGTTTTCGGCTGCAAGTCTTTCACACGCCTGGAGCCAGAAGAGCGTGCGGCAGGCGGACTGCACCTTGTATCGAGTTACTCTCCTCCTGACTAGGCACTCGGGGATATCCTCGGGCAGCGGCATCTCACTCACGCACTGCGTGTAATTTTCTATTGTGTCTATAATCCTGCCTGGACAACTCAGGGTTTTTCTATCGGTCGAGACGCTAAACTTTGGTGCCTGCTGTCCTCCGGCAGAAAACAGGCGCAACGTATGGTTCGCAATAGGGTGGATGTCCTGCATATTGCTGAGATCCGGCACCCACGAGGGCAGACCAATCTGGCCATCGGGCTTGCTAGCAATACATAGCACCTCTGGCCTCTGCTCTTCAACAAGGTTCCAAATGGCAAACTGGGAGAATGCGTCGGCGGCACTGCACTCGTAGTCCGGTTTCAGAGAAGCTCCAAATGTATCCAGCAGCCCCAGGAGACCATAGATATGGTCATGGGGGACAGAGCATTGGAACAGCTTGGTCCGGACAAGGCAATTGAGTATGTCCTCTCCCTCTTCGCAGTTGTTGACCTTGTTGCGATGCACCGAGTATAGGAAATAGGCGTTGAAAAACCCAGTGGAATACTTCTTATCCCACTGAGCCATCAAGCCAGCACTTACGGGCCAGTCGACTAAAGCTAAGGTTATCATTCCCAAAGTGTGAAAGGGAAACCAAATGTTCCCGCAGCACATCACAACGTGCTTGGCAAGGGCAACCTCCTGCACAACCCATTTCCGTGTGAACCACGGCCGGAGAAATAGTTCGAGGATTGGTTCCCAGCCCAAGCGCATCATTTTGCGTTGCATCTCGATTGCTGCCTCCGGCTCGTTGTTATACCTCGCTTCGATTGCCGAGATAAGCCCTGAAGCTGCATGGAGAGTTGGGAGGAACTCTTCGAGACCGGCTTCGTCAGGCCCGAGCCAGACGAGGACCTGCACCGCGTAACGATAGACATCTGCCATGAGCTGGACCTGGACCGTCTTCTCCGCCGTATCTTTCTGGTTGATACATAAGGCGTCGGCCCAGAGGAGGCGCGGATGAGTGGGATGGCGGAACTGCGCAAGCGCCGAGTATAAGCTGGCCGTGATGGTGGCTGTCCTGCCGTCAACGCAGATCTGGCGCGTATTCAAGACATCCCCCCATGCATACGAGAGGGCCTCATACTTTGGGCGGTTGTGATCAAGGGAGGCGTGCTGGAGGGAGCAGCTGACCTCCTGTCCAGCTTGGCCGGGTTGAAGGAGGAGGGTGCGGATTGTCCGCTGCGACTCTAGCGGCCGGTATGCGAAAGTATCTTTTCCCATTTCTGCATGCTTTGAATGATCAATGAATATTATTTTAAGACGAGGGAGGGGTATCGTGTTATGTGGGGGCCATTCTGACCCGAAGGAACCCTGGTCGATGGTCATGCGTTTCTAATTTTCTCCTGGCTTTACCTTGATGATTCGTATACCTCAATTATCTTCACCTAGAGGTTATTTAGAATTTCAAATTAAACCCATCTTGATACCTATAGTTCAACCCAGCCCTTAACATTACTACAAGGCGTGAGATATTTCGCCCTAATAAATACACAAGCCAGGGTAAGGGAATTTCCACTCAATAGCGAAGTGATCAGACACAAAAGATCCCCTTGAACTCTGAACTTCAGGCAGATAATTGAGCAATTCCCCTGAAGAACAAAAATCTAAAGCCTGGTCCTTCGGCAAATTTGCTGTAGATTGAGAAAATCTTTCAATGCCGGATCTAAGGAGTTGAAGATAGTCCTGGCTAACGTGACTGCATGTTTGCCCGGTAAGAACCCCGTCAGCCTTGGTGAGCTCTTCCAGAAGTTTATAGCCTTGAGCAACGAGATCTTGCTTTGATTCTTGGTCATTGGAGTTGTCCGACGTGACGCTTGAAGTTTCGAGCAATAACAAGAAACAGTAGACAAATTTGGCCCACACATAGTCTGTCGCATAGCGTAGGTTGTGTATATACAGCTGAGGTTCGGAAAGTATTGTCTTCAGGTGTTGCTGCAATGAAGCCTTGGCCATAAGCTGAACATTTCTCCGGGCCGCCGATGATGTAGCAAGATAATCTGTTTTGAGAGAATGTATTGCCCAACAGAGTATCGTGATATCGGCCCAATGCCGCTGCACTTTAATATTGAGTCTCAACCAATTTTGATGAGGTTGAGAGTTCAGGATGTAGGCCCAGTCGTCGAACCAAACGTCAATGTCGACGGCCGCGTTCTGAACTATCTTAAGGAGATCTTCCTCTCCCATATTGAGAGCGCCCTCGGTGATTGAGCAGTTAATTTTGGCCATCAAAACATTAAGTTCGATCTGTTCCAACAGACAGAGATCCAAATCTGTTGAAAAGGGCTTGCCGAGAAGGATTCTGCATCGTCGGACATCGCCATACAAAGTGAGGTCCAGCGATGTTCCTTTGTCAACACCCAGCATCAGCCTCATGACAAGAATAAATAACCACGTCCTGAGTTTTTGCAGTGTTTTATCCCACGCCACAGTTTCGGCATGAGCCAGTTGTGTTTTACCAAGGATCAACTGCTTCCGTATCTCATCATAGGCATCCGGTAAGCCCATCTCAATAGCCATCCGGGTAGCCATGGATAGGAGAATCAATCTTTCAGGACTATAGCAAGCCCTAATCAATAGCGCCTGGATAAATTCAACTGTTGTGGCCCCAGAAGTTATGTGGGTATCCAACATCCTGGAAACATGCAGGTCCAAAGACTTCCAGAGCGGCGCATGATCTCCCTGCTGCGCTCGGTAACCTAAAGAGCACATCGTATTGAACAAAACAGAACTTCTTTCTCGTATCTTGTTCGCTGAGCCATTGATCAAGTCGGTGAAGGGGAAGTAACGACCACAGCCACGGAAGAACATGCCGATATAGGTTTCTGCCTGCTCTTCCGTGAGGATGCATGCCGTAACGAAGTCTGCTTGTTTGATATCGCTAAACTTCGCTTGGCCAAAGTTCTCGTTATGGTCGGTATCATCGACAAGTTGTCGACATGGTTCCACAATCATACTAGGATTCGGTTGCTCGAAGCTGAGCTCATTCATCAAGGATTGATTGAAGAGGCTAGGGGTGGTCCAATCGAGATGATCAATGGGCCAAAGAGACGGAAGCCCGAATTTATCAAAAGGCTGGCAGGGTGATATATCACTTTGGTCCGAGAATAGTGGTAGTTCGCCCTGGGAGCAATTTGCCGCTGAGCCGTGATCGATTGGATTTATCAGCGGGCGACTATGGTTCTGCTGCATTCGTGTCTTGAGCGAATCAAGCTCATTTTGAAGAGCCTTGATTTTACTACCGCGCGAGGGTGTACTGTTAGCGTAAAGTGGTAAAGAGATAATTGGGACTGTTCAATTTCGACATACTCTGCGTCGGTAAAAGGCTCAACGTAATAACAGGCTTTTTCCGACATACGACAGCTGAGACGACAAATTGGCGTAGTTAGTGAGATGAGATAAGGAAACGAAAAGATGCCGCACATACCGAGTACATGGGCGCTGGAAGTCACATTTAAGCTAGAAAGATATGTTAGATCAAGAAGGCGGGAAGACAAAGCGGGGTGTACATACCTTCGACCGCCGGCATTCATGGCATGCTTTCTGTTCGTCCGTGTGTTAAATTTCATCCTTGTCTAGTTTGGATGCCTGTGACATACCGGGATCCTCTGCTTGCGGACCTTCCGTGACGCGGTGGAATCTGAACTCATTTTGGTTTTCACCTAGCTATATTGACTGTTGTAAAACACAGAACTGGTTTTGGCCTTGTTTAAGGCTTTTTTAAGGCTTGTTTAAGGGGTTGTTGGTGGTACAAGGGCATACCCAGGGTCCAGATGCTCCCATGGTTGAAAAAGAGAAGAGTGAAAAGTCAAAAGGATGGCGGAGGGCGGGGTAAAACGACACTGTTCAACGGGGACCGGGGAAAGTGGAGATTACTCCGGACTAAATTTATAGCACTACCTAGTCAAATGACTCGCCAGCTCGATTTTCCCTGGAAAAAAGGGTCTCCGATCAACCAAGTGCCCAGCCCCAGAATCTAGAACTCTAGGAAAGAGCGGGAAAGAAAGTAGAGATCAGCTGATTTACATACTTCCTTGTGCACCCAACAACCTACTTTCTAGCCATTACAGATATTGAACTTAGTCCAAATGGCGTCTTTTGATCCTCACGTCGAAATCCGTCACCACAACAAAGTTGTTCGATAGAAACCTCCATGGCCTGTCCGGGTTGACCATTTCAATATGGAATCGTCGGACAAAGGCAGGAACCAGCCTATGCATTTCCAACAAGGCTATATTCTTACCGATGCAGGTGTAATTGCCACCTGAACCAAATTGGGAGAGATATCGGCCCATCAACTTGAGCCTTTCCTCGTCCTCGTCCAGCCATCGTTCTGGCCGAAACTTATCTACGTCTTCACCATAGATATCCTTGTTTCGGTGAATTGCCCAGGCGCTGACTCCAACCACTGTACCGGCCGGTATGTGCTCGCCACAAATCGTCTGCCCCGCGCCTTCGACGACACGCTCTGGGAACCAACGAGTGGCCGGATGCATGCGAAATGCCTCTTTGATGCATGCACTCAAGTATGGAGACTTTTGAGCCTCTGAAAACATGAGTCCCCAGTGACTGGATTGATTGGAAGCCTCTCGAACAACCCTGACGCCGCGGCCCGCCTCTGCAGCATCGTCAATCTCCTTGGTCAGTTTCCGATAACATTCGGGATTTTTCATCAGATAGTAGAAGAGTGCGCTCAGACTAATAGCTGTTGTGTCTGAGCCACCAGCAACCAGCGACAGACCCATAGCCAAGAGCTCCTTGTCGCCCATGTTCTGCTTCTGCTCCGTCGCCAAGAGTAGACGGTCAGTCAGGGTCATGTCCGACTCTACATCGGTTTCAGCTTCCCTGGCCTTTCTGTTTTCGAATTTACGACGACGCTCGGACTGATGCTTGGATGCAAAGACCACAGCCTTTCCTGGTGCCGTTCTGAACAACCCTTGTCGTTGCAGCCAGAGGTACACGGGATTCTTTCGGATGACATAGTCGAGCGACGGCATCTGCGAGACAATGATATGGCGGGTGCCAGCAGCATGCATAAAGGCTAGGATATTGTCCACATCTTGGCCCGACTCCATGTGACCAAGACTCTGGCCATAGGTGATTCTAGTAATCGCGTCGTCCGTGAAGAAATGGATCCACTTGGGAAAATCGATCACGCCGTCATCCCCAGGTCTACCATCAAATCGCTCCTCAAGTTGCTTAAAGAGGACAGCAATTGTATCGTTGACCATCTCCTCGTATTGGACCATGGTGCTCATCGTAAATGCGGAACTGACGCTCCTACGCACAGCATCGTGCCAGGCTTGGTCTGTTGTGGAGAACAGAGTTGGGAATATGACGCCTTGGGAGGTTGGCTGAGAGACGAGATGAAGGTCCGATTTCTTTGAGAGACCCTTTGAGCCATAAATGTCTCTGATAGCTTCGGGTTGGGCAAAACAGAGCTTTTTGGGACCAAGTCGCACAATGCCCCCATACTTCTCATGTAAATGAAGGAAGGGTGGCAGGTGTGAGGTGGCTTGCACATCATACACTCGCCACAAGTCTGTTAGGGAACCAAGGAAAGGACCATTGAACCGGCTCAGGCCCTGGGCATAGCGATTGTAGGCGAAGTAGAAGAGAAGGATCACCGGGCAGACAAGCCACGGGTGGGCTTTGAAGATGGTGATAATGTCGGCCACGATCATTTTGTGTTAGAATATGAAAAATAAGCGATAGCAGGTATTGGTTATATTCTCAGTTAATATGTAAGTCATTCAAGTGTCCCGTTCCTTTATTTATATTCAGGCCTTTACGTTGGCAGGTATATTAAGACTAGGATATCTCCTAAGCTCTCCATCTACCCCGGAAGGCGAGTAATACTAACCCGTAAACGTACAGGTCACGACACAGAATACAGCTAGGAGTTAATGATCGGAGAAAATGCTTTAGGTCGTCGCTCTAGTACGTCAAAGTGGGCCGGCGCAATCGGAGAAAAGTCCAAAATGCCGAACAATTACCAGTATCAAATACATGAGTAAGTACCGAAAGTGATAGACAAAAGAGTCCAAATTAAAACTCACGGTCAAAAAGAAGAAGGAATGGCGATGGAATATAGTAATGTTGCATCCGCGAATGTGCAAGAGTTTCATGAAAGTCAGAGCGTCAAGGTCATTAGTTTGAAAGGTGTAACCAAATACCTGCTAAGGTTTCGGGTCGTCTAGTGGTAATGAGAAGCTATTGATTGGCTGCCGAATCTTTGAACTCCGAGCGCAACTTAGAGTCGTCCTAAGCTTAGTCAAGTACCCCCTTCTCCGAAAGGTACCCCCATCGAGTAGCATGGCAAACCGGACACATTAAACCAGACTTGCCAGACAATTCCAGCAATAGATGCTACGTGGGGCCATGGAACAATAAAGTTTGTCAGCATGAAATTGGGACGAGACTAATCGACCAAAGTGAGTTTTGTGAGGGGCTCGGAGAACTTGGCAAAGCGCCGCGTCCTTTCCAGATGTGGAAATTCAGCTTAACTTCTGCCGACGCCGCTCCAGCTAGGCACAAGGTCGAGGAGCTGCTCTTCTTTTAGGGGTATTTCAGGACTTTTTTCTCGCCTATAGTGAACTTGTTACTCTCGATAACCTACATCACCAATCCGACGTTATGGTTGTAGTCAAAAGATTCCGGGCGGCTTGGGGCATTGAACCAAGCCCAGGATACGAAAACTACAAGACCTGGTTTCCAGAATTGAAGAAACAGGGATACTGTTCGTCTTTTCGTTATCTCTTGATCCTATCTATTTTCCTACCCCTGGGATAATCTCATCAATCAATTTGCTAAGTTATTTATTTACTCACTACAGCTGGAATAGAAATAAATCTTCACATCATCGACAACCCAAACGTTTTCAAACAACTCTGCAAAGAGAATGATCTGGAAATCAATATTCTGTTAGTGGAATGGAAATTGACACTCGCTTGAAGAAAATTATTTACGAATGATATCACAGCATCTTTTCAGCTTGGCCTAGGTACCAAGGCCCTCGACCTCGGTGTACCGTTGCTGATCATCTGGCCGCCTATCGGGACCAATTGACTCGAGCAAAGGTATTTGATCCTTTGAAAATAAATGCTCAATCAGGAAGGTAAGAATAGTTGAATGGCCAAACTACAATGAAGACTAATATTTGGACAGTGATATCTTCTCTTATGACGAGTCAGTTGAGTTCTTTCAGGGAACTCTAGAAATCGATGCCGCTCTGGGGATGATAGGGAAGGTCTGCCATGAAACACATCGCAACCGATCACTTTTTAATCCTTACGCAGCAGAATATATCCTGAAAAGAGTGCCAGGGTAACGCGCTTAGTATCTGAACCATCAAAAAGAGGTCTCTGAGGCTAATGACGGAAAATAGACTGCGAGTGAATCTCGACATATCGCACTGGAGCGTCGCCTGTGAGCGTCTTCTCGATCAATCTGATGAAGATATGCAGCTACTAGAGAGAATCTTTCCATTCGTGAGTCGTTGAATCTTAATGACCAATATTGACTCGACCATCTCACGATGATATAAGGTTCACCACATCCACTCGCGCATCGGCACGACACAATCTTCTCAATGCCCTGACCCGTCCGATCCAATATACCAACCAGAAGTACAATGTTTTGAAAACATCTGGAGAAGAGTGATCTTGACACAAGTAGAGCGAGATGGCCCTAACGCTATAATTACGTTTGTCCCTGAGTGGGGGTATGTCCTTCTTTCTTCGAGTGATGTATTGGAAAGCTAAATTCTTTGGTAGCCCCTATCCATACCATCCCCGTGGGAGTGTGCGAGAGTTCTCCGAGGTAGCCGATACTGAAGGAGCGCGCCAGCAAGGCCTCTTTGAACGAATCTGCAACATAGCGCCATGAGAAATTTATATTTTTGTTCATTATATTCCAACAAGGACAGAGGAAAGGGCTTGGGACGTATCGTAGTTTGAATCAAGGCTCCAAAAAGAAGCATGACTCTCTCGAATGCATGTATATAAAGCTGCCAATTTTTGAATGTAGAAAGAACCACGACTCTAAACACCAGGTGTGACTCGAAGAAGACTTCAGTCGTCCCCATAGATGCATGAATGTTGGTGGTGGTGGTGTAGAATTGGGCGATGAGAACAATAGTACTCTGTCTAGGGCCAGTATGAACCACGAAACACAGAAGACATTGCGAAAGGGGATCTTGTCTAAAATATGCACATCCTGCTGTTAGGCTTGGCGGATGCGCATATGGCAGAGACAGATCAAGCCCCAAGTGTACGACACAACCAGGCCGCAAAGAGCCTGAAAGCCATGTGAAGACGGTGATTTATAATGTCGATCTCTATTCATGGCTAAGGCCAAGAAGTAGGCGGTGTGGCCACGATCTTTACGTCTCGTATCAAGGTGTGATGCCTTGAAATACGGGCTCTACCTTTACACGCGTGAGGAATTAGCTTGCTTTTGTAATTCAAAACCATGCACCCGTCCTCCATACCCGTTAAGGGTATATACTTGATTCAATAACGGCAGGAAAGAGTCGCTTGGGTGGATTTTGTGCTGACCAAAATTTGTTCTATCCAAAGGCGCACTACGCACTACCCAGCTCGATGAGTTTAGTCTACGCCAAAGGAAGACATACCGTCAGAGTCATTTTTTTCTGGCCCTCTAGATATCGCTAGAATCCACTATACCTGAATCACGTATTTCATCTGCCACAAGGCGTGGACCTGGGTTGTAATGTGGCTATCCCTAGAATAGCATAGTAGCCGGTCTGACCATTCAGCATCGTTCTGGCGCCCCATCGGACATCTATAAGGGAGCCGGCATTCCGTACTCGCAAGTTCATGACCAGTGAAGACCAAGACTTTACCTCCTCAAGTGTCCAATCTCCTGGATGATTCAAGCTCAGTTCTATGCATTGCAGAGTTTTCTATGGTATGTTTAGTGTTTGTAGTGGGCTAAATACAAAAGGAAAGAAAAACCCTATCATAACCATCCGAGTTTTGTATTTCTCACGCACGCATTTTTCTAAGATTCTTTGTTTCTTTCCGATATCTGCATCCCCAGACTAATATAACACATCTCAATCGTTATTCTACTTAGAAGTTTAGCCTCCTCGAGCACCGACCAATAAGTACTACTATTGACATCTTCACCCACCAACCCGTTCGGTAAAAGCGCTCCCTTTCTACCCAAATATTCGAACAACTTTGGCTTGGATTCAAAATGCCTCTCCTCAAGTCGAATAGCAAGAACTACTCCTACCTCGCTTCAGATGGGGATTCTACAATGGCGCTGATAGGCACGGGTGGTGACTACGCCAAGCTCGGTATGCTCTTCAGTGACTCCTGTAGCACATTTGCACCGTTCTATAGTTCCTATGCTCATATGTACATGCGCTAGAATCGGAGAAAATTCCATCCCAGGGTCAAACGGCGACCCCGGAATTCGAATTGCAGAGGGCCAGGAAGGTTGACAAGCCAGTTTATCACAAGAATTGGGAGGCTCGATACTGTAAGTCGTCCTTGATCTCTGGGAGTTTAGAAAGGACATCCATCTCAAATATCCTACCTCTAGATGCCACCCGTTGATCCGAATTACGCTCAGAACCTGCTTGGACTTTTTGACACATCGATAAATCGAGTTGAAAAACACCACAAAAGCTTTGATTCCGTTTGATTTCCCGGGTTTGAAACGGATGGAGATGTTCAAACGGTTGAGTGATAAGAGGGATCGTCGCAAATTCCTTAGGTGTATGCCTGTAAATATGGAAGCTTCTTGACATTTGGGTGGTCTTTCAGGAGAGCTTTCAGTTCTGTTATCCATAATTAGCGACGCTCAACATCAACCAACACTATGATTTTCTCAATCACGCAAATTCCCTCCAGGCCTCGTTACTGTTTATCTCCACGCTCATCCTTGTCTTGTACATGGAAGTGAGAAATGTGTACCTGGCGCTAGGAAGGCTATATTTTCCAGGTTTTCGTATTCACTGCGTTGACTGGTCGAGCCCTAGCAGCTTCATTGCTGTTAAAATTTATCCTCTTTCTCCTACGCGTGCCTGGCGCAATCCAAACACGACAAAAGCCCCGGAACAACAGAATTTGGAACTGGAAAAGAATAAATATATAGAAATATTCGATATCCTTTCATGGTGGTAGCGAGAAGAATTACTGTTGGTATGCAATGCCGGGAATCACATATGTTTTATACTGTGCTCCCAGACTAAGGCGGGGCCTTTGATCTAACCTCGAATTATTCCACTGCCTTCCTGTGGTATTAACAGTAGATATCTTTATGTTGGATGACTAGACCTAACTGACTCTGATAAGATGCATAATTATACATCGTTTGCTACTACCACAAGTTCTACCCTAGCCGCAGACATTGAACAGCCATTTAATCTCGTCCAGAACCCTGTATAACCTGTTCAAGAAAGTCTTCACTAACATTTGCACCACATAGGAGAATAACAGATGTCTGCCCAGCCAACTTATCAGCATGTTTGTTGTATCCAGCCAAAGCCAGTGCTGCAGATCCTTCCACAATCATGTTTTCGTCAAAAGCTATTGTTTTCAGAGCAGTGAGAATATCATCTTCTTCGCACTCAATGACGTGATCAACCACCGATTGAGCCAGCGGTAGAGTAACAGTATCTTCGTCAAGTCCACCGGCGACTGCTTCAGCGAGTGTTGGGAGGTGGTGCGTCTCTACGACTCGGCCTGAAGACATGGACTTTGCAAGAGCCTGAGAGTTTGTAGCAGAGACTCCGTAGATTGTGGTTTGAGGGTTGAAGGCCTTGATGACGGAACCGATACCGCTGATAAGTCCCCCGCCACCCATTGAAATGAATACATTGTCCACACTCTCGCATTGCTCCAAGATTTCAATTCCAATCGTTCCCTGTCCAGCCACAATGTCCAAGTCATTGTACGGTGAGATATATGCATATTCACCTGAAGCAGCGAGCTGCTGGGCGTGCTTCTCAGCAAGGCCAGTCTCTGCGCCGTGGAGGATGACATTAACACCGTAAGATTTGATCTTTCCAAGTTTGGCAGGAAGAACAGTCTCAGGTAGCACGACTGTTAAATCTTTAGAGAGCACCCCAGACGCATGCGCCGCGCCAACACCATGGTTTCCAGACGACGCCGTGATAAGTCGTTGGTCTGAAACGCTCACAGACATTTTGTTCATGGCGCCCCTTATCTTGAAAGATCCGGTGAGCTGGAAGTTTTCTGCCTTGAAGAGAACACTGGAACCCTGTGCGAGACCGACTTTTCGGGCTGGAATTATTGGGGTCTCGTATATGTACTTGCGGATGCGCCTTCTCGCTGCGACTGAGCGAGAGGCAACTTCGTGAATTGAAAGGGCCATCTTGTTGTTTTCCTCAGAACATGTAATCAGGCTTTTCCCAAATGATAGGCTTCATTCGCGAGGTCAAAATCAAAGATGGAGATAAAAGCAGTACTGTCTCATTTAAGGAAGCTTCCCTCATGATCATAATGCAAATTCAGATGCATTTTCGAGTCAAGCAAACAAGCATGTCACTCCAGACTTGTGATTGGTTGAAACGCTTAATTCGCCATTTGCGGCTTAGCGAGGTCTGCGAGGTCGGTCTCGGTACATCCTTGGCTTAGGAGATGGAGAGCATGGCGTTCCAATCATCCCGGTACTGACCGAGCACGCAGTCCACTCAATGCTCAATAAGTTATTCCGTTCGTATACCCAGACAAGACTAATAAGCGAGGAAGTTTTTTTTGCTCAGTTCCACATAAGACAATGACGGGATGGAAGTCTCCGAGTAAAGTCCGTACAAACCTCAACGCTACTACTGTCTTTTGTGAAGTGCTTACTAATCACTTCGTTCATGTTGACGTAAACTCTTGCTAGTAGGCAGCTTCGATTCGTGACGCTGATTCCTCAAACAAATCCTCATTTCTCCTACCAACTCCCGATGCAATCAGCACAGCGACTCGCATCTCCCACCGTGAGGACACGTACCGGATGCACAGAATGTCGTAGGAAGAAATCAAAGGAGGGTTGAGCTGCTGATGAGCCATATTGAATCATTACTAATGGTTGAGTAGTGCGATGAAAAACGGCCTGTCTGCTCTCGTTGCCTCAGATTTCCTAGACTATGTCAATATAAACTCAGCTTTGTGAGTGTGACAGAAAATCTATCAAAGGATGATACTTTTGTGCGTGCTTCATGCTCCTTATCGCATACGGCCATATTGGCGACTAATCAAATGTAAAAAGGCTGTCCGTCACCTTCCCCGCCGATCCGGCCATGATGCCATCGTCAAGAATGGGGGAGCACGCAAATTAGTACCTCGTACGATACTCTGATTGCCAAAAGAAAGAAAGCGGAGATCTTGAGTTTGTCTAATGACCCTACTTTTCTAGGATACTTGCAACCGGCCCAAGTGCTACATCAACAAACTCCAAGTGTAACAGTTGAACCGATGCTTTTTCCAGACGTACAATCATCCCAGAGAAGATTTTACTTGTTCCATTTCATCAAACACACCGCGCCTATATATTTTCCATTCCAGGCAGATTTATTTCTCAGCTTCGTTGTGCCGGTAGCAGAAAGGAATATTTGCTTGATGGAAACTGCCCTCGCTGCCAGCAGCAGTCACTATTTCCGACTCAAAGGCGGTTCGCAAAGTCGAATTATCTCACTCGAAGCTACAGTGAAAGCATTAGCCAGTCTGCGAGAAGCTACGAAAAGCCCGCAGACTAGACAAGAAATTTTGATCGTTTCACTAATGATGGCAACCACATGTTTGTGCTTTGGGGATACGGATGCGTATCGTCATCATCTTCACGGCGCTCTGAGGAGCGTTCAACTCGATAATATATCCTACAGTCGACACGCTACTTCATTATGGTCATTCAACATCAAATGGCTTCACCATCTTGTCCTAATGGAGAGACTATCCAATGGCCCTTCATCCCGCAAAGCGATACAGGAAATCAATACCGATCAGGTATTGGCCAGTATGCCTTGCGCTAATCAAATCGATGCGACGACAGCCATGTCGCGAGATCTGATGTGCTTGATCAATGAGACCTGTAATCTATCTAATACGACCAGCTCAGCATGTCCTAATGATGGAAGCGGCCAGAAGCATGATGCAGACCAGACTTGCGCAGCGTCGATCCTTGGTCGTCTGACGGAAACAGAGGCGCAAGTTCGGTCAGGGTACGCTATCAATACGAATCAGGACCTTGTTCACGCTCACTCATTACTGATCCACGCCACAAGGCTTTACCTCTTCAGGCAAACACTCGGTTTATCCCAAAGTCATTCTCTTGTTCAAGAAACAGCTCAAGAAATAATACATGAGTTTGAGAAAATCGATGTCCTATCGTTGACTAATATACCGCTATTGTGGCCACTGCTTGCTGCAGGATGTGAAGTCACACTATATGCACATCGGGCATTGTTAATCGACAGGCTAGAGAGAATGACGGCTCATGGAGTTGGAAACAGTAAGATTGTTCTTCAATTCCTGCATGGTTATTGGAATGATGGTTCAACCCTTCCTTGGAATGAATATGCTGAAATGATTGGAGCCGACTTGATACTCTTCTAATATCAGCCCAACATGAAAATTCTCTGTTCAAACATATTTCGTACACCTTGTCAAGGTAGACTGAACTCCTTTTAACCGTGACTTGCTATCATCTCAATTTCGACATCTGTGTTCAAAGGTAGCTGAGCAACAGCAACGCACGTTCGACACTAAGTACAAGAGGCGTGAGCAAAATGACAGGTATTCGACATGGTGCACAATTGTATAGGGGAATCAGCTACCGGTTTCGGATCAACAGGAAAGAATTCATCCCATGCAATATTGACAGCAGCGAAGTCATCCATAGTCGACAGAAAAATATTTGCTTTGACCACCCTGTTCAGGCTGCTGTCGGCGGCTTCGAGAGTGGCTTGTAAATTCCGGAGTGCTACCCGGGCTCGGTCGGTAACCGTCCCAGACACAAGTTCATCGGTGGCTGGGTCAATGCCAAGGGTGCCGCTGCAATACACCATGCCGCCGTACTTGACTGCTTGCGAGAATTGAGGAAGTGCTGCCGCTGCAGCGGAAGTGGAAACCTTTTCGCGGTAAGACATGGTAATAGATATTTATGCCAAAGATTGTGACCAAGCTCATGGGATATGATCTTCCACGTTGTCAATACAAAGAGTTTATATACATCACTGGTGTTTGCCCATGTCTGCAAGCTCGTACAGAAAGGGTAATCTAAGCGTTACAGCCACTTATGATAACTACCTTAATTTATAATCAAAGAGTAATCCCGCGCTGACTGGGTCCAGCAAATATAGACAATAGTAAGGTCTCGTAGGAGTGCTCCGGCAAGCAATGCTTATATGTATGTCTGACTACGTGAGTCTTGCATGAACGTACAAAGACGGGCATGATTGTAGTTCGAATTCGTATTTCTTACAGTTCTGAAGTCGATATGGATCATTCAAATGGCCAAGAACTCCGTGCGCGCAATGACGAAGTTTCTGCAAGGTCCTGATGAACAGTCAATCAGCCGAAGTCGGCATTTCTGAGCGATAGCGGACACGAGTCAAACAGCAGGGCAGTCGTCATTATGCGCCCCCATTTGACAAGAATATTTTTTCTTCGGTCCGAGTGGCCCATGATTCGTACCTAACCAAAATGAGCAATGTTAGCGTTCAGGCCAATCAACAAAGACTCTTTGGATGAGCTCAACTTTACGGATACCCACGTCCCGATGAATTGAAAGGATAATGCGATAACTCGTTTCTCTTTTAGCTGTGGTGGGCTGCCGATACGAACCCGTGGCTGTGAAGAGATTCCTTCCCTTTCGTCTACATCGATTGGTGAAGTGGCAATCGCGCGCATCAAAGACCTCGACTGTACATTGCAATCGAATACGCCAGTAAGACAAAGGCCTACCGCGCTAACAATGACAATTCCTATTATGGCACCATCAGCTCGCATCGTTGGGAACCTAGCTTGTCAGAAGAACTCATACCTTCGCACGCTAGAGACTCAAGTAGTGTCATGCGAGCAGTTGACGAACTTGCCTCCTAATTTCACGAGTGGGAAAATTAAGAGAGCTGGGAAAGGGCATGCAGAGGGTGGCACTACACTGCTCAAGTGGTGGCTAGTAGAATGTGTCGACTCGGTGCTGTTCCCTGAAGGTAATTGGTGTCCTGTATGGATAATGTATGAGACCAATTCTAACCCTTCGAGCTAGGCGGCGGTCAGCCCTCTGATCACGGAACATTGGAACTGATATCAGATACGAATGTTCATCCTGTGCCTATTGAGTATGTACAACGTCAAGGCCTTCGTTGTATTATGTACTCGTCACAACCTTTTACTCCTGGTGACAGGGTCCGGCAGGTGATCAACTTCGACCGTCGCTGGGATTTCATGCAGCAACATACCGGCCAGCACCTGCTGTCAGCTATAATGGAGACATTTGATGGCCTAGACACTATTGGATGGGGTATGGGTGGTGAAGGTGCTATGAACTACGTTGATCTTCCTCGTCGGCCTACCTCCAAAGAGCTCGAGACGATTCAAAAGCGATGCAACAGAGTCATCCAAGATAACCTACCCATTTCGGTCGATTTGGCAGACAACGACAACAGTAAAAGTCTGCCAGAGGATTACGACAAGCAAAATGGTGTTGTTCGAGTGATTCATATTGAGGGCCTTGATCGAAATCCGTATGATGCGGCCCGCCTTCCCCTTTTATAATGCCTTTTTTACTAACTTCATGCAGATGTTGCGGGACACATTTGTCTCAAACGTCGCACATTTCCATAATCCTCTTACATTCCGGCCATTTTGTGCGTAAGACAAATTATCGCCAATATTTCACGGCTGGAGAGCGAGCGATTGGAATGTCAATGAATGCCATCAATGGTCTCGAATTGACTGGCAAGATTTTGGGATGTGGAAGTTCTCCAGATGCTTTAGTCAAGGAAGCAGAGAGACTTGTTGGCTTGTCAAAAGAAATGAAGAGACGGGAGAGAAAGTTGCTTATGGAGATTTCTGATGAGGAAGGCAAAAAAGCAAAAGCAAAAATTGAAAGCGGAAGCCATGTGTTTCTTCACCGAGCAGATGGGGGTCTAGAGTTTATCAATGGTATACTCTCTCAGGTTGATGAAAGTGCTAGGAACAATGGCCGTTTGATCCTGGTTGCAGTTGGAACTGAGAAGGCCGGTGGCCCAGTTGTTGTAGCGGGAGAGACTCGCGCAGTGGAAGCTTGTGTCGTCGGTATCAAGCGCATTCTACCCGAGATCAAGGGCGGCGGTGCACCCGGCAAGTGGCAAGGAAAGGTGCTCAATTGGGATAAGGATTGCTTCAGTCGATTGCAAGGCCTTCTTGAGGAACTATGAGTATATTTTGCCACGCTTGTTTGTTACCTTGCTTGTTTGTTGCCTTCTGTGGAGTTCCTTCTTGTCCAGCTAACTGAAAGTCTCATTTCAAGTCTCATGCATGTTTGCATAGAGAGCTTGATTACTATAGCAACAGTTGAATAAGAGAACTAATGTAATGGTGATCATGTCATTGTAGTAGAAGTAACGCTGATCTGCAGCTTACTTAACAAAATCTCGCCACTATTAATAATTCCATATGAAATTCGATTCTAGAAAGGCTTGATACGTACATTCTATTACTCACCATCTTATGTATAATACAGGGGAAGTTATATCACTGCTGCTCCAGCTGCTTCAAGGAGATAAGGGTGCCTCCAGGTGGTTATGAACTTGGGGGGGAATGGATAGAATCCATCTCGCAGCATTTCGTGGAGGTATAAGTCCGCCAACCACCCAGGTTAGTCATGTTAGTCACTAATAAACTTGGCTCCTCCGACTGACCTTTGGCATTTCAATTGTTGATCTCCGCCGAAGTCGGACCAATAACACGGAATTGGACCTCCATACTCCTATTTTCTAGAGGCAACATCTAGCAACCGCCATGTCGGGTTTTGCTATGGATTGTTTCTAGAGCACTTCCCCAATAAGAAGATTGTTGATATAAAATATAAATCTGGCATTTGCAGAAGGCTATAAAGCTGACCATGTACCCTTCCTCATACGAGAATGCTAGGACGTCAACAAGAAGCTTATACTACCGCACAATCCACTACTATCCACCATGTCCAAAGTCCCAATCTACACCGACAAGGCCCCCAAGCCCCGGCCTGTGTACAACCAGGCTATCAAGGCCAACGGATTCGTATTCTGCTCGGGACAGCTTCCAAAAGATCTAAACGGGACTCTCGTAGAGGGTACCGTTCAAGATCGCACTGTAAGCATGTCAGTCTATATGAGGTTTGTGCGAAGCTTACAATGTTTTTTTCTTCCTAGCACAAATGTATACAGAATCTTGCTGCCGTTCTTGAAGCTGCGGGGTCCAGCTTGGACAAGGTTGTCGAGGTCAACGTCTTCTTATCGGATATTGACAACTTTACAAAGATGAATGAGGTCTACCTACAGTACTTTGGTGACGTGAAACCTTCACGAACGTGAGTTCTACCTTGGCTTGTAACCGACGTCATCCGCTTTCCTACTCTGCTCTCCTAGATACAGGGATAATTTCGAAGCGAGACTAATTTCTCCCAGTTGCGTCGCTGTCAAGACTCTTCCAGACCATACTGATGTGGAAATCAAGTGCATTGCCTTAGCCTAAGCAGGAATATGAATTGGACGTAGGGAAGAGACACAGACTTGTATTTAGGTGGCAATAGGAAATAGCTCATCTCAAGTGCTACAATCACCTAGTAGACGGCACCGTACACCAGACATTCCCTCACACAATGACCTCTGTGCCATTATATGTGATCCCAAAGAAAAAATAAGAGGACGTGAGAGACTTATGTCGGCCCGGTATTGATAAGGTTAAGAAGGTACATTGATTCGCGTACGATAAAGGACGACGTTTTACCATTGTCCAAAGCCCTGGTTTGTAGTGAGTCGTCACCTTCACTAGTGACGAGAAAAAGGTTAAGCTAGGACGGCCTAGATAGGATTTCTCTTGGAGATTTCCCCAGTTTTAGACAGGTCTCTCCCCTCATGGAGGCCGAAGTCCATCGCAGCGTTCATTACGAGACTTTACGCGCCTGTCCTCGCGGAGGGGGGCAAAGCCCGTGCTGATTAATGGGGCACGAGGAGCCCCAATCAGTTTGAGGGCCTGAAATTTTTGAAGTTTGGTCACATGCGACCTGCAAAGATAGCTTCATACCAACAAGGAGTGGGACAACTTATTCATTTTGCTGTTGATGGATATAGGAGCTGACTAGAAAACTGGATTCCTTGGCCATTTTGCATGGCTCAATAAATCGGACATGACCCTCCATGGAGTTTTCAATCTACAGCCACAGCAATACTTCAGAATATGTACATTCCGTACCGTTGTATATCCTTACGTACTGGACCAAGGTTGGGTGCCCCACGTGGAGGTTGAAGTCCGTGGTGGAGGAAGTCCGTGGTGGAGAAAGCCCGTGTAGGATGAAAGTCGTGATAGGCCGAGGCACTCCATGTTAACATTGAACCGCTGGTCATGGACCCGTTCCAGCCAACGCCTATACCGTCGATAACCTTCCCTCGAAGCTTGCAGCTCCTAAGTAGTTCGCTAGCTGTAGTCCGAGGATTGAAATAGTGGAAGAGTAATAGATAGGTATATAAAGGGCATTTTTACTGCAGCAAAGCCGTTCCCAAATGGCCTTAGACCTGGCTTACATACATACAACCATCTTCGTTGTGTCTATCAGACCCAATTATTGACACAATGGCAGTCGCGTCGCACTCATCCTCCCTTGATCGAGAATCTGTCCAGGCTGCCCATGAGCTCATCAGGCCCTATATTCATCGCACACCCACTCTCACCAATGCGACGCTCACAGCACTAGCTTCCACGCCGCAAGACCCCAAAAAGCTTGCGGGTACCTCATGGGAGGGACGAACGCCCGCGAAGCCGAAGTTGCGGCTGTTCTTCAAATGCGAGAACTTCCAACGTATCGGTGCCTTCAAGTGCCGCGGAGCATTCCACGCCATCGAGCGGTTGAAGCAAGATAAGGAGTGGCTAGACGGGGGAGGTCCCGAAAAAGGGGTAGTGACGCACAGCAGTGGTAAGTATACTCACCTCACCAAGCCCATCCTGTATCCTGTCTCGGCCAGCTCCTCGACTTACGTACTTCGTGTGATGTGCCATTCTAACTGTGGCTATTCAGGGAATCATGCCCAAGCTTTGGCCCTTGCGGCTGCCACCAACAACATACCTGCCTACATCGTAATGCCCACCATCTCAGCACCCGCCAAGATTGCTGCGACAAAAGGTTACGGGGCCAAGGTGGTCTTCAGTGGGCCGACATCAACCGAGAGGGAGGCCGCAGCCGCAAAGATAATCGAGGAGACGGGCGCCCGGCTCATCCCGCCCTACGATCACCCTCACATTGTCCTAGGCCAAGGAACGCTAGGCTTGGAGTTCCAACAGGATGCAGCAGCTCTGCTCGCCCAGGAGCCGAGCCCGCTTGGAGGACGGCCAGTGTTCAGTATACTGGGGACAAATGCAGGGATATTTGGAAAGGGTCTGGATGCCATCCTGGCGCCGTGCGGTGGAGGTGGAATGCTCTCTGGCGTGGCACTCTCCTGCGAGGGGACGGGGATCCGAGTGTTCGGCGCCGAGCCTTGGTTTCAAGGGGCAGACGACGCCAAGCGAGGTTATGAATCAGGCACGCGCGTAGAATCGGTAAAAACGTTGACGATAGCCGATGGCCTGCGCACGCCTGTGGGAAAAGTGCCCTGGAGCATTATCTACGAGCGCAGGCTGGTGGACGGGTTCTTCAGCGTGAGCGAGGCGGAGATCCGAGACGCCCTGAAGCTGGTACTTGAGCGATTCAAGCTGGTCATCGAGCCGAGTGCGGCGGTGCCCTTGGCTGTGGCCTTGTTCAACGAGGATTTTCGCAGCATGGTAGAGCGAGAGGCAGGTGAGCAGGGTTGGGATTTGGGCATCGTCTTTAGCGGTGGGAATGTTGGTACAGATAAGCTCGCGACGCTGTTTGATGAGCAGGTGGCCCCCAAAATGTAGTAAATATTAAATAGATCCGAGGTTGAGTTTATCATCTAGGCAGGCTTACTCGACCTAGAGTGGTGGAAGATTAAAAAGCCGCTAACTTGCGAGTTCAACACATATGACATATCAAATTAAGACCCGAATGGGCTTCCTCTTTTTCTCATCATAAATTCCCCCAACGATTGCTGGATTGACCAATAGGCATCGCGACTCCAAGGGGGCCTCGAAGCAAGCAAGAAAGCGTCGGTATAGAAGGTAGGCAAGATTCAATATGCCGCCCCCCGCGACAATAGTTCGCTCGTATGCTTCCTGGACTGCATCAAATTGTAGCCATTCCTGACCATAGCCTTGATGAACATGCCCAAATACGTGGAGCAACGGCTGGGTTTGCCACAACTTTGACAAGAGATGCGTACAGCCAAGAAACATTAGGTCAAGGTGTCCTCTTGGTGGCGCATGAGTAACGAGGATATCAATATCGCCAAAAGAGGTTCCCGACCACACATCATTATGTCGCGGATACTGAAATGCCCAGTTGCCATGCTGTGGCGAGTACGGGCTACCGTAGACCGTCAGGTGGCGACCATTCGAGCAAGTCAATGTTGCAGAGGAGTTCTCCAGGTAAATGATATCACCCCACTCTAGCTGGGATCTCCTTCTTTCAGTATTTTGGTCTTGATCCCGAGAAGGATCCAATATCGAATCATGGTTTCCCGCTATGACAACCTTGTACTCGAATGCTTGTTCACGTATCCATAGTATGGTTTTCTGGACTTCTTCAAACGTGCCTGACTGTGAGAGATCCCCGGCATGAATGAGTATATCCCCATTGGGCAGTTCTGGCTCATAATTATGGGTATCGGATATGCACACAATAGAAACCGCGTGTGAGACTGGCTGGGCAGGAATGAGACTCCGAGATGCGTAAATCTGTTTAGCAAGAAAGACACACGGCCTTGTGTGAAACTCTTGCCACAAGGTACGCTCTGGACGACGTAATAACGGGTCTAGTCCAGAGGATCGTTGGCCAAACATAGTTGCTAAAAGGAAAACGATGAACGGCATCGTAATGGACATGTAGCCCCATAATATTGTCTCTGCTCGGTTTAACAATGGGTAATTGATATCAAGTATTACGTAATAAACTATGTGTTCATACTTGGCCCATATGTCTCGCGGAGGCAGCATATCTTCCTGTACATCTAACAGTGACAGTTATGCTAAGAAATATATGGAACAACTATAAGCTCTTAAATAAAGGCTTTAGCAGTTTCTCTATCAAGTTTCAATAGCCCACTATATCTAGCTTCTAAACTCTAAAATTCATTTAATAAATGCTCTTACAAGACCCAGAATTGAAAGGCTTGATGTAGGTAGGTGTATGGATATAGGGTAGCCTAAATACAAGCACTTGGTAATATGTCATCGGATCGGTACTTCTATTATAGTGAGGGCATCCGCTATTTGGATGTATTGATGTATTTCTTCAGGCGGTGGATAAAAGTAATGACCAGGGGTCCATAAAAACGCGTCTCCCACCACGCGACAAATTGACCCAACTTCTTCCTTTTCGAGTTGTTCAATAACAACGATTCTGAAGACATCGAGGCTTGAAAACAGCCCTCATAAGCGTACGAGGATTAAGACAAGCTAAAACTTAGGTGTAGTCAGCTCGCGCTTGGTTGCATACTCATTCTTCCACGTCTTCACAGGCTATTGCGCCGTCAACGAGATCGAAACGGCTCTCTATCTCGCCTCGTGTCGCTGTGGTAGTACCCTGTCTACCTGCTAGCTGTCGAAGAGTGGACTGCCCCATGGTTATGGGATCGGCGCATGCCCGTCTCCAAGCCGAGTAGGGTGATGTGCAAGCACTCCTGGACTTGAGAGCTCCCTGCGGGGTGCCCGCCACGAGTTCGGCGCCGTCGTCATGTACCAGGAGAAACACCTCAGCGGGAAAAGGATCCCGCCAGTCTTCTAGGGCTGCACTTCTGATTGTCCTTCTCGAACTTTAGGTATAACAGTTCGTGGCTCGGCGGAACCTGACACGCACTTTATCGGCCCTGGTGGCGAGAATCCGCACGACTCTGAACTAGGAGAGCGGTGACGAGTTAGGCTCCGTAGGGAATATGAAATAATTCTAAACATTTTACTCTTAAGGATGCTGTCCAGATAACTATGGGATTAAAGTGCTAGAAGGGAAACGAAGGGATCGGAATGAGGTAAATTGTCAAACTTGAGAAAGTTCATATTTAGCGTATATTTGTTCAAGCTGGTCTTTTGATGATATTCAGATACACTATTGGGTTGCCATCTAATCCGTACGTTCAGTCAATTTACAGAAATATATCAGTCTTCACTGAACAACAACTACCTATCTAGAGGCGGACATAATGTCGGGTTTCATGCCCATACAATGCATGGATGTTGTCGCAACGGATTGGCTCGAGCCTCGAGAGGTGCCGAAGTCAGCTCTCTTAAAGAGTATATCGGAACAACGGCGATCGATCCCCCATCGCGGCAAGATCCTCGTCAGAGTATTGCTCGCGCACCTCAGTTTCTGATATCATACTCCGCTTCTTATTGATACGCATGTAAATCAAGTCGAGCAATACCGAGGCGATGACGCCCATGATTCCGAATGCCAGCGAGACCCCGAATCCCGTTGGGTATGCCGGCCCCTCAGATTCAATAAAAATGTAGGATGCTCCGATGCCGCCGAGATTGGTGAGCGAGGTCATGTAAGCTATGCCTAGAGCTCGCTTAGCAGGGCCGGTCAGGTTATTGCTGATCCAGGAGCTTGAGCCCGGATTGATGGGATATAAGGCGATATTGGCCAAGACGACGCTAAAATAGCAGGCGCCTACGTTATTCCTGATGCGAGGAGCGAGGGGCGTGAGGACCGAGTAGGCGATAATGAGAAGGGTCTGCGGGATAATGAGGAAATAGGAGCGGCGTCGAAACTTGTCAGAGAGGCGGCCAAAGATGTAAGCGCTAATGGCACCGGCAACATAGGGAGGGATAGTCCTTGAAGGTTACGGAAGTTAGCGTTTGATGTGCTTTTAGATTCGACTCGCAAAGCCCTTTACTTACATGAGTTGCGCATTCTCGTTTGTGAAGCCCATGTTCTTCATGATCTGTGGCATCGTGAACTTCATGCCATATGTCGGGATGGTGTTGGACCAATAGTTGAAGGCCATAAGGTAGAACTGCCAATCTCGAACTATATCCCAGAGAAGACTCCAGCTGAAATGTGATCCAGCCTTTTGTATCTTGGAACCGCCGTCCTGGATCGTCATTCGCGTTGTCAGATATGTCCGCTCCTCATCGTCGAGCCATTTGGTAGCTTTTTCAGGAGTGTCGGCGAGGAAGATTGGGGTCAAGATGCCGAGCAAGACTGTGATTATCCCCTATTGATTCTCAGGGTTAGCGGAATAATGAAAGAATAGTCATGCGGGTCAACAATTTTACCTCGATAATGAAGATCCAACGCCAGCCAGCAAGGCCGGCGATTCCATTCATCTTCGCAAATGCAAATGCGAGCAAGCCTGAGAAAGCACCAGACAAGGCGGAACCCACATAGAAGAGCGAGAAACGAGTGGCCAGTTCGTACTTTGTGTACCACTTGTTCATGAAAAGGATGGCACCCGGGAAAAGTCCTTTAAGATAAGAGTCAGAATAAATACCCGCTAAAATGTTTTATCTTCCGACTTACCGGCTTCAAAGGCACCCATGAGCAAACGAACGGCGGTGATGCCGGCATAGTTGTTGACAACTCCGTGCTGGAAGGGGGTATTGTTAGTGAAGTCTGATAATCGTATGACTGGGGGCAAGACTAACCAGCGTCATGAATACTCCCCATGTCACAGTGATGATGCCGATCCACCACGATGGGCGATTCCGAAAGTACCGTTCGAGGACGAAGTTGCTGGGCATCTCTATTTTCAACTAGTCAGCTCATGCTTCTTGACGAGACTCGGGTCGCAACGAACCGAAGATGATGTACGTCACGAAGAAGATGGACAAGACGATATTGTACTGATTACCTGTCAAGCCTAGATCGACACTCATTCCCTGACATATCATTTAAGTGATTAGACTCAAAATAAATACATTAAGGCGAGTCTGGCATAGAGTCTTACCTCGATATTCGCGTTGCCAATGTTGGCTCGGTCAATGTATGACATAACTTGTGTAACGTCAGTGTGCTGAAACTGCCACATAATTGCAATAGCATAATATGAATATCGTGAACGTACGATACAAGGATATGAGGCATGGAATGATGTGTAAGTCCAACTTCCTCAGAAGTTTCTTCTTCTTGGACTCGGGAAACGAGGACACAAGTCTCTCTTCGGCCGTAACCGAGATACTTTCTTCGCCTTCCACATGCATCGTTGCTAGATCCTTGCCATCAATGGAGCCGCGAACAGCACTGGCCTTAATGCGCTGAGAGATATTCTCTGCCATGGTGGGAAGAACGCTCTGATCGATTGGGGGAGGCGACGTGGCGAGTTGGCGAAGTGTTACCCGGAGTTTTGGAAATATTATAGGGGCGGTGATAGCATCGTTGGAAAAGACAAGGGATCGGGTTTCTTATAACTCTTAGCAAGTCATCTTCAGACACACGGGACTGGTTAGCTCTGATTTCAATGTTATCTGTTGAGGATGTCCCTGGCGCAACCTTTGGTCGAGGAGAAATCCAGGTTTGCGTCCCAACATAGACGTCAGAGGCATCACCTATCCAATCATTTTGATGCTATTTGTCCATACCCATACCCTCCGCAAGAGCGATAATGGGCCAAAGTTGGGATGTGCGGGGATGCGGGGATGCGGAGATAGCGCATCTTGTGGTGCTGCCGGATCTCATCTCTCGGAGTCCGGATACAGATCGTAGCCGGTTGATATCCGGACGGGAACGACAAGCAGGTTTTCTAGATATAGCCGGCAACTCCTCACTGAGCCTGGAAGTAGCCGGCACTAAGCCTACATGTACTTATTGAACAAATATGGGGAATCCACAAGATGGTCAATGGCTTTGTTTGAACAGGTATTGATCGATTCTGGTAAATAGGTATGAAAGAATAAGGAAGTTGCCGGCATAAGACATCTACAAGGACCTTAGGTCGGCCATAGATGCATTATTGGTTGAAAGTACATCACCCAAACCATTTAGTTGATTGGAGACACCTCAACGTCACAGATGTCAAATTTTATGTTTTGGCATTCTTGATCAGCTCCTGTTCAAGACAGATCTGGAAGCAAGTAAATATGAGAACAAACGTAACTCAACGAAACTCCTAGACCTATTGACAAGTGGAAACTTAACCATTTCTGCGCAGTATCATGGTTGCCACACTAGCAGGCTTCTTGCGTCATGGCAACCAGTACAAGTTCACCACTAGGAGTTGCGTGCTCAGCTTTTTGGTGTGGCAAGATTATTTCAAGGTGGCGGAACGATGTCAGTGTCTCAAATCTAGTCTTTAGAGCGCCTACTTTGGCTCACCATTTCTCTGAAATTATGGGTGAGTACCAACTTGAGTCTTCATCTAGACCCGCCAAAATTCGTCGTCACCACGGTCCGTGGTCACTGACACCATATGCCAGCAGCGGTAGCAGGATTAAACAACCGGTGAGGAGGTGTCACAGAAAGACGGTCCCCACATGGCGCCTGACTGAGGATAATTCAGGCTCGACAAAGCGACAAGCTAACGTGGGTTGGGTCTAGAGGATGTTATAGCCGGCCTTTACCGGATGGGTCAAGATGGGCTTCTGGCCATTAAGTCACCAATGTTGTCAATACTGAAGTACGGCCATGGTTCGGAAATACAGCTCCGGCACTGGAATCTACAATAACCGACACTCGATCTTACCAATCACCATCAGCTACGTCGAAAAGTCTTGAGTCAACGAATGGCCATGGTATCGAAACTCTACTGCGAGGCCTCCCCAGTTAGTCAGGGAAAAGCATGCCCAGGAAAAGAAATAACACAACAACCAAAGGTTATGTTACTCGGTGACATTTTCCAGTATATTCTATAAAATCGTGTTTGTGATGAGCTACCAAAAGATCATTCTAACTAATTTGCCCAATCGTCTAGTGCTAAGCAATCATAGCTTAATCTCTCATCTTTAGCCACCATTGTCAAGCCAGAGGCGAAAACTCGTGCTGAGTTTATTGAAAAGTGCCGACAAGAGGCCTACAGCGATGTTGTAGTCATTTACCGGACCTATTACAGCGCGAATATTACTGGCTTGATCGACGAAGAACTTGTCGATGTTCTCCCGGAGAGCGTCAAATTTATTTGCCATTCCGGTAAGTGTGGGCTTTGGCCTCCATCACGGTCGGCAGCCGTAATGCTAACATGAGCTGTAGGAGCTGGGTATGATCAAATTGATGTCGGCGCATGCTCCCAGAGGCAAATACAGGTGTCGAATGCGCCCGAAGTTGTAAACAATGCCACGGCCGACACAGCACTTTTCCTCATGCCTGGGGCTCTTCGAGGGTTCAACCAAAGTATTTTGAGTCTTCGAGGCGGCTTCTGGCGAGGGATATCATCCCTGCCGCTTGGGCATGATCCCGATGGAAAGACTATTGGGATTCTTGGGTGTGGAGGGATTGGCAGAAACATAGTCAAGAAAGCAGCAGCCTTTGGGATGAGGGTGATTTACTACAATCGGACTAAATCAAGTCATATCACAGAAGCAGAGTATGTCACGTTCGACGAGCTTGTAAGATCCAGCGACGTTATCTCTATATGCACCCCACTGAATGTAAGTTATTTCAGAGAAACGATGTTCTCCTTAGTTCTCACGCATGCCATAGACGAACACGAGACATGTGTTGTCACACAAAGAATTCAGTATGATAAAACAAGGTGTGGTCGTCATCAATACGGCACGGGGACCGATAATAGACGCAGAGGCTTTGGTCGCCGCTTTAGGGAATGGAAAGGTATGGTCTTTTGGCCTGGATGTTTACGAACTTGAGCCGAATATTCATCCCGACCTTATCGCCCATCCAAGGTCTATGCTACTGCCTCATTTGGGAACGTACACTATTGAGGAGTTAAGAACTCATGTCTATGTCCGTTTACTTTCTCATCAATTTGATTTTAGACACACACGAGAATGAAAGCGCGATGCATTTCAAATGTGCGTTCCGCATTAGAGCATGGGAAGCTGAGGGATCTTGTCCCAGAGCAATCGGATGGGGTATAATAGAGATCCACCCATGATCATACCAAGCCTGGTGCGGGATGAGAATAAACGTCCGTGCTACAACTGTATATTGTGAGAACATCAACCCTATCAAGTGGGTGATATTTACTTATGCTAGCTGTTATTACGAAGCCCATGAAGCAGCTTCAGTGATATAGATGAATCAAAATGGTAACAGAGACAGCAGGGTGAGTGAATATCAGACTACACCTCATTTTGGCGAATTAGTTGTCCAGCACCTGCACTATTCAACCCATGTACAGGCGGCTGTCAAACAGGACAGACGCGCTTGTGAAGATCTTCTACATCTGGCCAATGGAATGTACTAAGTGGTCTCGCAAACCAACGTGGAATGGATGAGGCATATCCTAGGTACATAGGAGGATATCGTATATTGTTCATAATGCACCAGGGACGCGAAAACTGCATATAAAGATAGGCTGCAGTGGGTGGCTGATTTAACCTGAACATTTTCAATCGCCTCTAAGGAAAACCGTGTGTATTGGTGAGAAAACTTGAACGGATCATATAACCTCACTCAGCCGGGTGCCTACTTTGGATATGCGACATGCAGCCATGCTGACCGAGGACGCCGCAAGCAGAGCACCACACCATGAGATTAACCCGACCCAATTCTTGTTTGCCCCAAGGATGGCACCTGCAATAGGGTTACTCACTAAAACGCCTATCCCAACAAATGCGAGAGTCATGCCCAGTCGTGTCCCGATTTTGCTCTTATCGGCGGAGAGGTTCACAACGCCAGCAGCAGGCAGGCCCATGAAGGCACCGGTGGAGAAGCCAAATAGTACGGCAAAGACGACTAGGGATGCTGCCGATCGGATGGTCATCAAGCAGAATGTAAGTATCATACTGAGGAGCGCAACAGAAAATTGAACGTTGATGGAGCCGATTCTATCAGCATAGTATCCGGGGATGAGACGACCGGGGAGAGAAGATAGATTGATGATGATAAGAAGGTACTCGGATATCTCTGGTGAAATATTGTGATCAAGAGCGAAGAGCTCGACGTAGTAAAGAACAATGTAGAGACCCATGAAGCCAAAGAAGAGACCGAGGTTGAGCAGGAGGTAGGGGGGGTCTCGGAATGCACTGTAGTCAATCAGGCTGCAGTTTCGTGCCACGATGCGCTTGGACAAGCGTTCTGAGTGGGTTTTAGTCCTCATCAAAGCGATCGGGATCGCAGACGTGAGGAGAACGATGAAGGCCAAGACGCGGCTTGCCCAACCGAACCCGATTCGTGGTTCAAGCCTAGAAAACACAATGGGATAAATAACACCACCTTGGGACGAAATTCGACCCTGTCAGCTATATTCTCTCGATACCATCGCACAGGAATGCAGCAAGGCCATCATCTCGGGTCTGATACATACCAAGCGCGCTCCCAGCAGACGAGGCACCCATCGCCAAGGCCGTGTGAGCGTGAAAGTGCTGAGAGACAACAGCCGGAGCTGGTAGGTAGATCAAACCAAATCCGACACCCATCACAAGAGCCTGCGTTAGGAAAATCTGCCAATACTGGGAAGCGATAGTCACGAGGAAGCTGCCAATAACAACCAGCCCAGAACCAACCCATAGTAACAAGGCTAAATGACCTGCATCGAATATGGGTCCTGTGATCATCGAAACTATAAAGAGAAAGAAGGCCTGTGTAGATCCGATCCAGGAAATGCTAGATGATGATTCAGACTGGAGGAGATGGAGCTGATAGAAAGTCTGGAAGACCCCATATGAATTCATCAGGCCCCTGGGGAAAAGTTAGTGTAAGTCAACCGAAAGATATGTGAGGGCAAGCAATTGAGTGCCGTAAGGATGATAGAATGCCATGACACGGTTTCGAATGACGCCGTAGTCTAACGTTTCTTCTTTCTGATTGCGACCTGGCGGGACGGTTGACTGACCAAGTGTTGAGGTTCAATACGAAAGCTCCTAAGACCTGAAGCCAGGCCATTAAACCCTCCTTGGGAGGATCGGGCTCTGCTTGCAAGAAGCCATCTTCTCTATCGGATGTGGTGTTGAGAGTCTGGAGGGGCTGTTTGCCCTGGCCGTTCCCGGAGCTAGTATCGTCCCCTGTAGGGCTGACCTTTTCTTCCCCAGCTGCCATGTCTCGCGCCCGTGCCTCGCTAGATGTGGCTTCTCAGATGGCGATTGGTTCTTCAATTCCTGGTATGGCGTCCGTGGCTCTGAATTTGTAGAGGGTCTTAGCGTTGTGAAATGGGCCACCAGAAGCCCCCTATTTCGTGAACGAGGAAGGGCCGACTGGGAACTGAATTAATCAGCGGTATTGTTGGTCCTTGGTCAGTACGTGTGTTAGAATGGGCCATTGGGGACTACGGCAATGGAGAGTTTTACCACTACATCAGTTAGGGGATTCTGAATCACCCCCTTCGAGAAGCGGGATTAGCAAATCAGCCAGCGATTTTCCAAATAATGAATGGGCGCATAACATTCATTGCAACAATCAATATTGAAGGAACTACTATCGAACTACCATCTTTGGCTAGATAGCGCAATGACACCAGTGGAGTTCGGTTGGTGCACCTCATATGCGGGAAGGGAATAATTGCCCCGTGTCTTGTTGGCTATGGACAATAGAACTCTAAAAGTAGCTAGGATCTGTTTTGGGTCGCAGTGTGGCGGGTTCAGGTCAACCAACAGCATCCTAATGATACGACAGAAAGTCTAGGGGGTTGCCTAATTACCAACAATACTACCATGCCACCAACGCATGCTTATCTGCCTACCCGATTCATTTTCTTATACGGAACTTTGGTGGTTTCGATGGACATCTGTTGGTGGTAAGTAGCAACGCCACCATGTATGCACCGTGGCTATTCTTCACACCCCTCCACTCATCAGACCCTCAGTGCGAGGAGTCATGCGTGTCCACAGGCCAAAGAACGCGGCCATCTGGACACGACTTGAAGCGGTCGACCATGGGTCCAGGCACTTCATCCTTGTGCTTGAAGCACGCCGTGTTCTCCACCGCCCAGCTCTCCAACTTGGTCCAATCCCTGCACATCCTGACCTGCCCGCTGCCCGTGCCAGGAGGGTCCTGGAAACCGGCGTAGCGTGGGGTGTCATCAGCGTTGCACACCACGCCCTGTCGCAGTTGGTCAAGGCAGTGCAGGGCGTGACTCAATGCAATGTGCTGCGCCTGACCTGTTTCCGTATACATGACATAGCGAAAAAGCGTGCGCTAAAGTGTGCGTGGGTTAGCTGGAATCGGGCGGACCGAGAACAAGCAGATTCTTGAGACAACGGAGAGCGGACTAACCAGGCAATGCAGGTCATGGTATCCTTGGAGTAAAAAGACCCCTTTGCTCTGATCCCATGGAAACGGCAAGGCGTGAGGCAGCCTCTTTTCCTTGATGTAATCTTGTGATAGGGCGACAACTCCCGTGTCGCCGCTCAGTGCCTCCCATAATTCAGTGACGTGTGTGAGATTGTCCCCAGTGTAGTCAGTCGATGGGTAGATTTGAATAGGCAGATCCCGATAGAGGCCCGCTAGCAACGTAGTTAGGGTGTGGTTGACGTTTTTCATGCGCACTGAACTCACCAAACTCTGATGTAGCCTCCGGCTCTTGCTGGCGAGATACAGTAGAAAGTTGGTACGCGAGAAGAACATTCGCCGTGGCTGAAAGCAAGACGAGGATAATTGCCGCCGCCGTAAAGTTCCAAGGTGATATCTCGGCTCTCAGGATTCGAATCTTCTCGGGCTTGACGACCACGACTTCGTTCTTTTCATTGCTCCAACCTTCAGATGATTCCCTCTCAAGAGGGATTGGAGCGTACTCCGACGAATTGTTTGATACCATTGAGGCACATGGATTTGGTTGAACCACTTAATGGGGGGTAGTATGAGGCAAGATAAGGAGGAGGTAAGCTGCCTTATATGTAATGCCAGTCACTGGATGTAACTAGGGGCAATAGTGTGGATAACCCAACACATCTTAATAAGGCCTGCTACAGAGAGGACACTCGGGGACATCTATTAGGGCTGAATGGATCTGCCTAGAACTGCAGTATCAGTACGTAACGACAGATCCAGCATTGATGGCCATGACAAGTTCATCATCTGTACGCAGAGAGGATTCATCTAGATTAGGTTTCTATCTAAATGAGAATGACTTGATAACCTCCGAATTTACGCTAAGCGTCATGTGTTCTGCTGAACAAAACCACTATGGGACAAATTGCATTGCCGATCGTCACTTAATCATGTCCCAATCACCGGCCAGGACCCTTAGTGTTATTCCTAAAGGTCGAACTCAGTTGGTCTTCGCGTCGACCCATGATTGATCAACGCTGGCCGGATAGACAACGGCCTCGTCTGAATCGGTTCCTACAGTCCCCTTTCTTAGACTAAACTTTGGTTCTCGTATTGGAAAAAAACTAACCAGATCGCTTCTGAGATGTGGCATCGACCCAGGATTGATCAACACTAGCTGGGTAGACGACAGCCTCATCCGAATCGGTACCTTCTCAACAATTTAGCACGGTTCAACTAACTCCTCCATTTCTGACTCACCTGATCGCCTTTGAACGTTGGCATCGACCCAAGATTGGTCAACGCTGGCAGGATAGACAACGGCCTCATCCGCATCGGTCCCTTGAGGGCAGTGTCAGATTAGGTTCCAAGGTCTAGTATATAACTACAGGTGTGTCTTGAATGATACATACTAGATTGAATCAGGTGAGGCAAAGCCGCCGCCATAGCCATAGAGACAATGGCAGCCTGTGCAAGAACTGAGGCTACCCTCATGTTGGCGATATGTTTGACTCGAGAAGGCGGTTCAGAAGGTTCGGAAAGTTGAGCAGATTGCGTTGACTTTGTGTTAGACTAGAGTCGCACACTCTTCGATTGAGGGTAAGGGCTACCTTTTGTGAAATAAACCCCAGATTATCAGCCTTTCTTTCTCTTAGACCGGAATTTCCAACGGAGTCTCTACACCCCAGCCAGCACTGCGTAATTTGGCATCAAGTCCAACTGTTGCCTCTAAGCATGTGACACGACATCAAGTAGTATTCACATTCTGGAGACGAGGCGATACGACATACTATTTCTAAGTCTCCACACGACCAATATACATGTATTTAGGCGGAACACGGTTTGTTTTGCAAGTATTGCGCCGGCGACAACATTCATCGTAAATCTAACCTAAACTAACAGCGTTTCGTTGCATATGCCCGCTTTTCGAATGCCAACACTACATAGGTATCTTTATGCTGTTTGGTCTACTCAGCACGGACCGTCACATCGCCGTGGATAGGAAGGACTTTGGTCCAGCTAGAGAGGGTAGTTGACATGGCCACTTGATTTTGATCTCCGCAATGCACAAGCATCTGTGACAGACACAATGCCACCTTATCACCAACGAATTTGCCAAGAGACAACGATACAACAATCCAAACCATGTCACGTTATCGCACAATGAGCCCAACTAGGAAACAGTAGATTCATCGACTGGGTCTCCTTGCCCCCCGCATCATCCTAGGGCCAATTTTGGTTGATGGCAATCACCCACTTCCAACCTTCCCACCGCCATTCATTGCTGCATGATGATGCGACCCGGCCGTTTTGAGGAAACCCCGATAGTTGCTCATGCGATGCCCCTCAGCCCAAGCCTTGATCTCATCGAAATCTCGACAGACTCGGAGATTTCCCCATCCCGTAACCCCACCCAGCTTCGGGTCCACTGGCTCCAGGGTTGTGTCTCCAGCGCATATAAGGCTTTGCCGTAGATAATCGAAGCAGTGCCGCACGTGGGAGAAGATGTCTGGGCCTTCGCCATCGGGTACTCCTGCCTGAGGACCAGGACTTGCGTCTCTAGCCTCTTCCATGATGTAGAAGGCTTGATGGATCGACCACTAGGCGCGGAACTTAGCTCATCTGGAGTTTTCATTTGTGGGGGAGTAATGTGCCAGTTCGGCAGTCGGCAACAAGGGGGACCCGGCCCGTACTTACAAGACAATGGAGCTGGTGGGCCACTGACAAGGTGTGAACCTGGGAGCTCTTGGGCGGGAATTGTACCGAGCCCTGGCCGACTGGAGTTGCACTGCGTTAGGAGCTGGCACATGAGACCAGGAGCGGATTGCTCGTCCTTGAGCAATACGATGGGAACTTACGCGGCAGGATTGCCTCCCATGCCTCCACCGTGGCATTGTTTCTGAAAGGATTCTGGCCAAATGTGCGGTTGTACTGAAATGGCATTTTGATTGGCTTGAGTTTAATGTCGGGAGCAGGGATCGAGTCTGAAGGCGGTTGTATCAGCGTCATCTCTGGGCAAGTGACAGTCGGAATGGGGCTGATCAGCTGAGCTGACACCAACCCAACCAACAGCCCAATAACAATGCCCAGCACGAATAGAGCGAATAAGGGCAGATGTCGCGAGCGGAGGCGATAAAGGCAAGAATCTGCCTTGGCAGGATTAGACAGCGAATGGCTTCCCGTTGGGACAGGTTGATAGCCCAGAAGCCAAGTCGCAAGCCGATCCATCTTCAGCATGTGGCTGATCTGCTGATTTGGCCAGTGAATTTGAGTTGCAACAAAAATGTCTTGGAAATTAATTTAGGGTATCGCCGGTATCGAAAGGCACTATATGTACAGTTGTGGGAAAGTTGGAGGGGACATGGGATATTGATGTACTGCTGATAGGTATGACATGCCACACTACCTCATTATCATCCTCTGTTTTGTCTTTATAACACCCTATTTTGATATCGACGCCCCCTACGCAGTTTTGCGTCACCGTATATCGAAGGCCCCAAAATACCGAAGGTAGTGACTTGCGGAGAGTGTCGTAGGTATTGCCCAAGAATTGCCGTCATCATTCTCTCGCTCGCATCGCCTACTCTTGGTTGGATTATTCTCAAAGGGTCCAGTTTGAAGAAACAACAAGCTACAAGTCTCGCCTTGCTCATCGTCTAAGAGATATATCGTTCAGTATGTTGCATGATAGCAGCAAGCATCCAGATGCCAATGATACCGACTTGGATGCCTCTACGGAGCGTCTACTCGGCGAGGACGCAGACGGCAGCTTCCACCTGCAAAGATCAAAGTCGTGGTGGTCGTACTTGAAGCGGCCCATATATGTTCATTGTGCTTTGTTTGTTTTGTACACGTCTGCCTACGTGATCTTGCTACTTGCCACGATTCATTATCCATCATCTCCTCTTTGCAACAACGTGCAGGAGGCTCATCTTCCATGTAATGTTTATTTTGCATAACCTTACTGAATAGATCCATCGATCTGACCTATCAGCAGTGCCTCACCGCGATGGATTGGTCTGGGAAGATCGGAAGTTCCCAACCAAGATTGTCGACAACCCGTTGACCGGACATCCTCGCCCAGAGCTCGAAAAGGCCTGGCATGATCTATTGATGAGTAAGTCATGGACACACGTAATAGCCCGGCTTTCGAGTTCTAACGAACAACTCTACTAGATGATAATATAAGAGTTCCAAAAGATTACTTAGACGAGAGAAATTTAACGAGCGTGTACACCCTAGACGGGTCTGCAGGAATTGCTTCACTGGGAGTCTTTCACTCTCTACATTGTCTAGTAAGTCGCAATTGGGAGCCGGCTGCTGTTGAATCAAAGCTTTATTTACACTAACCCTCCGTAAAGAAGAAAGTGAAGCAAATGACATTCAAGGAATATTATCACAAAACAAAATCCCCCGAAGCCATGGCGCGAGAGATTAAGCATGTTGGTAAGCTCTCCCCCTTGATAATCACCTATGACTCGAAGAGAGGAACGAATTTCATGCTAGTAGAAGTTAGTACTGATCAGGGTATGATTCCATTTGTCTGATATTAGATCACTGCGTCGAGTATATCCGGGAAGCACTCATGTGCCAGCCTGACTTGGGGATGGTCACCTTCCGCTGGATCAACAACACGGCCCAACACGAAGACAAATCAGGGTTTTGGCCAACAAATTTTGATGTTGACACTCATCGGTGTGCTAATTGGGATGCACTGAACAATTGGGCCGGCCAGAGAATGTTTAACCTCTTTGAGGTGGATAAGCTCCAGAGACCTATGCCAGAGGTGTGACCTCCCCCGAAGAAGAAAAACAAAAGCGTAAAAATGGGAATCATCGCACCATGCCCATGCCAGTGTCACTTCTTCGTAAGAGATAGGAGCTGAGCTAAGCTGAATCTGCGCAGGGCCAGACAATGCAGCGAAGCCTTGTCGAATTTAGCGCCGTATATATTTACGGATTATGGAGAAAGATATTTTCATTTATCCGTCCTTTGTGACTCTTTGTATATGATTCTATGATGATATCTATAATTCTGGATCATCTTTTAGACTCTCAATCATCTTTCAGAACCGCTTCCACAATAGCATCTGCGTCCTCTTGGAGCGGTAGCCAGACCTTGACAACTTGGAATCCAGCAGCGTTGAGCAGCTCGCGCCACTGCCTCTCCGTTCGTTCCATACCAGAGCTAAATGCCATCATCGTCATGTCAAGCATGGAGTGAAAGGTGGAAGCTTTTTCTTCCGGGATTAGCATCTCATGAATGAGGAGCTTGGAGTATCCGGGCTTCATTCCCATCTTCAAGCATTTGAGAATGTCTAAGCAATACTTGTCAGACCAATCATGCAAAATGTGATGGAAGAAATATGCTCTCGCCCCTTAACGAAAATTAGTAATCTTTACAGACACACTACAATTTATTAACAATGAATCATACCTTTGATCGGTTGTTCAGTAAAGAAATCATATGCCATTGTTTCGATACCACGGTCAAGATCCGTGAGACTCTCGACCACTGAGGGAATCTCTTGAAGAACAACACGGCCCCTGGCTGGGTACTTTTCCTGAAACGCAATCAAATCGTGACCCTTGCCTCCACCTACATCAACGAGTAGGGCGGATTCTTTGTCCAGATCCTGCAGGAGCTGCTCTTCTACCGGAAACCAGTCGACCCAGTAGTTTCGTGCCCCCATTGTATTACCCATGAAGAGATTGAAGTCGTTGAAGACATCAGGCATGGAGCAAAAAAAGTCGAACGTGTTCAATTTTGTCTGGTGAGCATACTGCATCAAACCGTCTCGTGGATCAATCGGACAGCGATACCCGTACTCCTTCAAGTACTTGGGTGCTTTTTGGGCTGCTCCCACAATCATTTCTCCGCTAGATACCAAGTGTCAGTCAAGTCTTTACTGAATCAAACCATAGTCTCATGAATGGGCGTCCCCTACATCATCCTATGACCAGCGGCAATTTCCTTGGTTGCCATTGCGTGGGTTACTGGCGTCGCCTCCCATCTTCGCTCGCCAACTTCATTAACAACACCAACTGCTGAGAGAGGCCGAAGAATCCGGACTGTAAGATGTGAGTAAGATGATACCATGGCACAATGTAGCTCAAGGCGACGCGAACTCACTGATCAATAGCTCCTCTCCGGTAGACTTCGAGGCCAGCTCTTTCGAAGTCATTGGGCCATCGCTTCGAGCAAGCAACTCAAAGATGCCAAGATTGACAGCTATCCTTGCCGAAATAGTAATGAATGGCTAAGGGGTTTTTTGTGTAAGTGAATGAGTACGACAACATGACAATGTAAACAATCTTGGGTGGCAGGATGGTGGTTGTACCGCAAATGCAAGGTTGACAGCCACACTTGCCGGGTCCTCGAGGTGTGCTGCGAGCTGCCTTGTCAGCCGAAGAGCCTCGCCTCTAGCACCTTGGTCATGCTGGAGCTTCGGGCCAAGGCCGCTGAGCTCTTGGATGAGCTTCGTAGTCTGGTCTTTGTCTGACATGGCTTGCCTTGCTCTTCGCTTTACTTGCTGCCTCCGTGTAGGCGCGGTAGAGGAGATGACGAGCTGGAAATGAGGACAAATTCGAAGAGGCTAGGAGTGATCTAATGCTGGAACAAGCAGCTATTGTGTGGGGGGTGATGCATGAATGATGCCTGGGTGTGATTATTCATGGCTGTGGCTAAAGCAATAGGAGCGACTTTTGAAGATAAGGACACCCGTCTGATCCCCCATCCGGGGGGGGGGGGGGGATCTGCTCTGTATGCGACATCCGAGCATTCACCCGCATAAGGATCGATTGTTTTACCCCAGTCACCCTCCCAGACATCCCGTGCCCAGATAGGAATACACCGGTGTGTACTAGACTATGTACCCTGCCATTTGTTGGTTCCATGCATCAAGATGGAAGCGGACATTGCCTATTATGGGCTCTTAGCCAGCGGGGTGCCCGAGGTATAGGCCATGTCTTGTGTCGCAATGGAACCCAAAAAAGTTCGCGGCATATGACACGTAACAGGTGAAAGCGATAGCAACCTTAGGGGAATCCTTTCGCCCCTTTGCTGACTTTTCTTTTCTCAATTTTTAGCTTGTGAAAGCCTGATATACCGTGGCTCCACTGCCTGCCGTTTGATACCCACGCCAGCTTGCATTCAAGCTCGTCTCCGAATTGCAACATCAATGCCATATGCGCATCACCAGTCAAGATGATGGACTCTGAGGACCTCCAGCCCGCTGTTCTTAGTGTGGCTTGGGTCTTTGCCAGTCTTTCCCTGGCTGTGGTGGTTGCCCGACTCTGGATCCGTACACAAGTGGTCCGGCAAGTGAGAATAGACGACTATCTCATCATATTCACAATGGTGAGTGCGCTCCTGCCTTCATTCGCCTTTGGCTTGGTTGGCAATTTACTCTGGAGCGACGCTCCCTTTATACTAATGCGTAAACGTAGATGCTCAGTCTAGGAAACAGCGCGTTCCTAAGCGTCTCTGCCCGATATGCTCTTGGAAAGCACATAGAGACGGTCCTAACGAACCCTCTCTACATCTCCTATACGCTGAAATATGTCTTTCTTTGCGAATTTTTCGCCATCATGTGTCCCTGCTTCGGTCGGATATCATTTGCGCTGATGCTGCTTTCTCTCCTCCCCCCTAACAAAGTCAGCCGGCGGATCCTGCAATTCATCATCGCGATCGCATTCATCGTCGACCTCAGCACCGTCATCATCAGCTTTACTCAGTGTCGTCCAATCGAGGCTTTTTGGGATATGAGACCGAATCCCGATTGCTGGCCAAAGACTGTGCAACAATATACTGGATTCTTTCAGGGCTGTGAGTCTGTTACGTTACGGTTTCGTATTTGGCGATTAAGAAGGCTAACGCATGACAATAGCTCTGGGGTCCGCCGTTGACCTTACATTAGCCTGCTTTCCAGCAAGTCTATTCTGGAATTTAAAGATGGCTTGGAAGCAAAAGGCAGCTTTGAGTAGTATAATGGGTCTCGGCATCTTGTATGCCCTCATTGATTCGCATGAACATCGGCGTGGTCCTGACTCGTACGAATATAGTGCTATGATCGCCTCCATCATCAAAACGATCCAGCTACAAGCAATAACAGCAACAGAAGACATTACGTGTATGATACCTCATATCCCAAAGCATATTACAGCCTAGCATTACTAACCAGCAATGCAGTTGAGATGGCCAAGTTGGCAATCTGGTGGACGCAAGTTAAAACCCTACGCCCTCTTCTGCAGACGTTGGCTGACAATGCAAATCTACTAACAGGCTCGAGGCCAATTTCGTTCTCATCGCTGTTTCCATACCGACACTGAGACCTATTCTAATGACCAAAAGGGGAACTAGCAAAGGCCAAAGTAGCAATGGCAACAGTTCGTGGAAGAAGGGGCCAACTAGCAGCGCTCAAGACTCCCATAGGCCATTCGAAGCGCTTCATGAACCATCTCATAGCTCCAGCATGGATGAAATACTCCCCGTCACCACTGGGCAGGCGTTCCAATTGAATGACATACGTGCGACTGGGGGTGAGGACCATACGGACCAACAGTTAGCAGGAATCCGCCGTGATATAACTGTATCGGTCTCTTACGATGAGTCGGGGAACATCAAAAAATAATGATCGGAAAACTAAGTACATATCACGAGATAGATTTATGCTAAAATTAGTTGTTGGTGTTGAAGTCTTATCTTCTTTTCATATAAACTAGGATATTATATTTTATATACATAGTTATAATAAGTTATTCTAACTCTTATATCTAAACTCTCCCGTCTATAATATAGCTTCTAGAACCAAGGATAAGCGAGGCAAAACAGGTTTCGTTAAAATTATAGTACACCTGTTGGATCAAAGAGCTGAAGTAAGAACCTAGTATTTCAGAGCAATACTACACTAAGCCATCGTCAAGATGAATCTCATCGGCCTGTCCGCTTACTTCACAATTGTCGTCCTCCGTCTTGCCGCCACCCGCCCTTTGCTCTTGAACGCGTCCTATGCCCTAGCATCAAAGCATATTGGCCGTAGTTTTCATTCAATTAGAAAGGGACCGAAAATGGTCTTATCTTATTTTAGAAGCGAATAGTTGAAGATTTTTGTAACTAAAATAACAATATGAGTTCGTGGCCTACTATGACGAGGCAGTACGACTTCTCATGAGATACATCTGCGATATGGCACCCGGGGGTCGCTGTTAATCAATTTCTAACATTTTACTCAGACCCATCTTGCGCTAGTTATAGCTTAGAAGAGATTTTTGAAGCAAAGCGGGATGGTAAGAGCTTATTCATTTAGGTGCATTTTGATTCACGACTAGAAGCACATTTCTTCAGACTAACCGCCTCCTAGATTTACTTGAGTAAGGATCAGGAAATTTCGGGAGACCTGCTCCAGAAGGCAAAGATGTTTGTAGATCTTCACGATTGATGTGTTGCCGCCGTCTAAGCGAACAATGGACGTGCGATAGAAGTCTAAGCAAGTCAAACAATTTACTAACCTTTCAACTCGAAGAAGTGAAAATCATGAAGCGTATAAATGGGTATCAATCCCAAAATTTGATGGGATACGTCTGAGCATGCGCCACTCTGCTACCAGGACGAGCCGTTATAAAAACCTAACGTGGGAGATTTAAGCCAGATATACAGCTACTCATCATTTCAAGGGCATGCAAACGTTCGAAGACGTGCAATTACCTATGTAATGAGGATGGCATTGAAGGTGTTACTATTGTAATCTGTTAGCAACTAGTCATTGTATTAAATCTAAATGTCTATTTGATTAGAATGTCGTGGATATGAGCTTTGAGAGAATGCTTGCTAATCTAGCATCAATCTTTGCGCTTGGTCTAAAGGTCATTATGGCGGTCGGCAAGCCGATTACGCACCTGCTCCCATGGACGTGCTTTGCAAGATGCGTACGTTTCGTCCATCTCTTCGACAAGATTGAAGTCGTGATTGACGGCGGCATTCGGAGCAGCGCTGAAGTAGTTAAAGCGCTCGCTTTGGGTGCCAAAGCTGTTGGCGTAGGTTCGGTTCTCTATGCAAATGGGACGCAAGGCGAGTAGGGTGTAAAATGTAGATGATCTATATTGAACCGACATAGTTTTAGTAAAGTTCAAGTGCGGTTGCTCAACATCGGAACGGGCCCGAGTTACAATCTCGGAGAAATCGCCCTTCATAAGCACCAAAATCTTCTTAGTACTTTGCCCGAGACGTGAAGTTAGTTACAGAACGAACCGCACTGATATTCAGATCAAGGGCATCTTCGGCTTTACTTATTACACCTTGTTGACAGCAATCCCGAGTGCGCTCAATCCACAAGAAGAAATTTTATCTATCACTATATCTTCCCGTCTCCCGTGTGAGTAAATCAAATTATATTAGAATAATATATATACCCTCTACAATGAAGAATCTCAGTAACTGTTTTCCTGCAAAATAAAAGACCCATCATGCTTTACTATCCAACCAGGACCCTGGATCAGGAAGCGCTTCAGCTGCTGATTGTAGAGCTCTAGAAGCGTGACTTACTCTTGAAGGCTAGGCCTTGGGGCGTCACTCCTCCTCCTTGACCAGCCCTCGTCAGTTTCGACCAACACTGCTTCGTCATGGCTGGTTTATGAGGATTGATCGGATCAAAGCTCTGTGTTTGTCCAGCCCGTCGCTGCCCCATGTTAGCGTGATGTGAGGCAAAGGGACGACTCTACTTTGACATTCTGCAGTTAGATGCCGTAGTAGCCGTCCGTAAGGAAATTTAAAACTGCGCCATGACTGATGACGGCCACATTTTCTTCCTCAGCCAAAGTCTGTACTTGTTAATATAGTGCTATTCTGGCCTGCGCTGCGGGTTCTTACAGGTGGCCTAACGTGACTGGCCATGACACTAGACTCGATACCTTATTCTATTCCTCGGGAACGTGGCTCAGGTCAAGAAGATGCGGAAATTCTTCTCTCAAAGTTTCCAGGTCTGAGCCCCGGTCGCAAGGAGAATCTCCGACTTTTTTCAGCTCGGCAAGGGCGATGATGGGAAAATCGGGAGGAGGAGTTAATTTCAGGAGCCAAGTAGAAAAGGTTTTGTCTCAGAGGCGAGGCAACAGAGTGGATTAGTTTGCCATGATGCGGAAAACTAGAATGGAGCGCTGCACGTTGCTGTCCACCCAGGGCCGTTAAGCGCGGATCCTAGATTCTTTCATGTGCGCGCGGCACGGGAAAGGTTGTGGAACTCTTGCGCATGGTAGACGAGATGGATAGTCGAGGGCATGATGATTAAGTGTACCTACGTATGGTCCGGTTTGCTATTATGTTTCTTCGGCGTCAAAAGGGTAAGTAGATTGCACTTATCAATACAGGACGGAGCAATACGGGACGATTCTTAAAATACGGGGCAATCTTCTACGTTGGGAAATAGCCATGAGCTCAGGTCTATTGCCTACAATCCTTTCCGGGGCACATGTCCCTGTCAGAACGATGTTGCGTATGCATAAGGTTGGCTTGTCTCATAACCTATTTACATATAGTTGAATCCCCAAGCCTCAGATTTAGCAAACAGGATTAAGTCTTTTTCTCACCTAGACGAACAAATCTCAAAAATATGTTACTACGTAGACGTTCTTATTATCATCCCTGGCAGTTAGTTATTGGCCTGGCGGTAAAACTCATCCAGTAACACAAAACTCGCATATTTGAAATCATCAAAAAGGCGGAGAATGTCGCCAGAACGCGGTGATTCAGCTCATACATTGGCCATGGCTACGATGTGAATATGTTCCATGCCAGCTAGTCGTATAAGGCTAAGCTCCAACTTATCATAAGTGCCCTCCGCCTTCTGCTCTCTTTCCTTTTTGCTTTGAATGTTGACTGGTCTCAGAGTCTTACTCCCCAGTCCGAGATCCGAGCCTATTTCAACCATATAGCGGCCAAATATGACATCCGTCGGTCACAAAGTTGTCTCTGCTTGCTGGGGCGAGACAGCCGGTCGAGCGGAAGTACGTCCTAGTCTATCGAACCAAAAACAAATCGAAACAGCACCATGTCTCCTGACTGGTAGGTTTCCGACTACGAAATGTTTTCTTTCTTGGGGCAACTTTCCATACAGATTGTCAAGGGAAGGAGGGGTCGTTGCAGGGAAACTAGGCCCAGACCTAGGATCACTCGCTCTTTCGTCAAGCTTCGCCATCGGTATTGTTGCTTCTATATATACATACATAGGTCTAAGCTGCAAATGTTTTAGCTACGCTGCAGCCCTTCATGGCAAAGTGAAGACGGCCTGGAATGTCACAAGCCCAGTCTCTTTCTGGTAAAGAACTCCCAAAAAAAGAATATACGCGATGCTGGAGCCCTAATCACTCTAGGTACGTATATCAGGAGTTCATGGAACTTCCGAGAATAGTAATTGTACACCGTTGTCCGCTTCATGATCCACAAAAGAAGGGATCGCAATCGCCAGGGGTCGCGGGTGCTATGGATCGCGAGCCAGGGTCGCGAGAAGTGCCGCCATCCGTGTGGCATCGATATGGGGACAACATTATGAAATGAAATAACATCTGACGTGAGACCCTAAATCTTGGAAACAGTCCTATGCCTTAGTCACTTGCCACCTGAGAATAGATGATAAAAATAAATCCTAGCTGGCTATTCCCTTATTATATAAGTATATAAAGAATAACCTTTCTCAACGCATAACTTCCAATTACTAGTTGTTTAAATTTTCCTTGTCTCTTCTCGATTCTGCTATACTACTCACAGGCTTTGATTATCTCAGTACTCCCTTATTTTCTTTCTGTATTCCTTTGTTCATTTTTTAACCGCTGAAATGGTTGCCATCAACAGTCTTGGCCTTGCAGGACTTCTCTGGTTCTCCCTTGCCGGCAACTCACTCGCTCTCGGAGTTGAGCAAGGCACAGATGATCTAACGCTGCTGGAGAGATCCGATGCCGATGACCTCTATACTCGTGACTTTGATAGCGAAATCTACGAGCGCGAATTCGGCAACACTGAGCTCGACGCTCGCGAGCTTCCCCTCGAGGTCCGTGGAGGTCATCCGAAGACTCTCGTAGCCCCCGCTCTGATGGGTCATCCTAGCCGACGAGGTCTTAGCACTAGAAAAGACCCGAACATGGATGCTTTCTATAAGGAACTGTATGGATCACGACCTAAGCGACGCGGTCTTAGCACCAGAAAAAACCCAAACATAGATGCTTTTTATAAGGAGCTGTATGGATCACGACCTAAGCGACGCAGTCTTAGCACCAGAAAAGACCCGAACATGGATGCCTTCTATAAGGAGCTGTATGGATCACGACCTAGGCGACGAGATCTCAGTGCCCGAGCAGACTCAAACAGCCTCAACGCTCAGTGGTCGCAGGCGCTGAAAAAATTACGACATTAGCAGCGAGGTCTCAGCACCCAAGCAGACTCGAAGAACCTCGACGTTTATTATAAGGAGCTATATGGAAAGGCCTAATTGAAAAGGTTTCGGCCCCGTGCAAGAGTCTTAATTGATGTGGAGAAATAGGCTCACCAACATTGAGAAGATTCGACTAGTCTAAGACTCTGAGCATTTAATAAAGATGAGAACTAAGAAAGTAACTAAATTTCCTATCATTAACACAGCTGGACTCATTCTTATTCTTTCGTTTCGGAACCGAATCATCTCCAGCTTGTTGTATCCAGACCAGTGTGATGTATTGTTCTGAATGTTGTGAAGAGATACTAGCGTACATAACTAGCTAAGCAGGAGACAGTCATCTTAGTCAGTCCTAATAGCCAGTCAGTCCTAATAGCCAGTCAGCCTTGGGCTACACTGGGCGATGCACCGTACATGTGTTCGGCGACGAGCCTTGCATCGCCGAGAGTTGCCCCTCCTCATGGGGCACACTACACGGCTACGCGGACATCCTACGGGCATCCTTGTTGGTTTGCTTGGCCCTTCGATCAGTGGTCTCGGCCAGGGTAAGCTGGCCCTACAGATTCGGACACGGTCTGGCTCATGTTCATCGCCAAGTTAAAACGCCCTATTTAAGATCGGTTTACCAGAATCTAGTGGTTACTTGTTTTCCGAAGACGACAGATACGACCAAGCCCAAAATGTCACCGCCTAATTTTCGATAGTTCATAAAAGCACGGGCCATGCCAAGTTATCAAGCGGGACAGAGGCACATCTCATCAACAAAGTCTGGCGGCTCGCAATAACACAATATGTGGCCCATTTGATCAATTCATCAAAGCTACCAGTGTCTTCGAATATTTTTCATTTATCCTTGAGGCTTTAAATGGCATCCAAAGGCAGCACCCCGACCTGGGACACATCATCTCGATTGACCACAAAGATCTAATGTCTTATGGGTATAAAGAATGGTCGTCTGTCAACCCCGACGAGACTATCTTGCGTGTTGCGGTTGCCTATTCTAGAACCACCTAATACGTGCAAGCGATTGCTCATGTTTACCACAAGTATAAGATTCCCGTCGTCCCCTATGCCGGCGCAAGGAGCGCCGAAGCCCAGACTAGCACGCCTTTTAACAGCGTGAGCATCTAATACGTATACATGCCGCAGTGTCTCCGCTCACCCAGGACGACATGGAAGCCAACGTCCAGTCAGATCTGTGCTAGACCGACTTCAACGAGGATCTTGAGCCAGGGCATCCGGTTCCTCTTCCCCATCAATCCTGGCACTCTGGTCGCTCTTTGAGAACTGTACTTTGTGGCTCCCAGCGCAACTTTCGGTGTAATGGTTGGCATATCAGACACCAATGCTGCACGATAGGGGACGATACGTGACTGATCTGAGGTCTAGCTAAATAACATATATGAGCTATACTCTACTTTTACTCTACTTTCTGTATAGATCTTTATTAATACAATTAATAAATGTCTAGATCAAAGTCCAGAGACACTTGGCTAACTTTATATATTGTGATACGTCTTGCTTCTTAAGTCTCTGTACAAGATACTACAGATTAAAACGGCTTTCAAAAAGCGTCATCTCGACCATGGGCTGCCTCACGATGCAGTGTCGAATTCTGGTCTATCAACATTGCAGAACTGGGCCGCCAGGCGCAGTGTAACTCGTAGGGATCGGGTACCATATATGAAGGAACAAACCGGGATCCTTAGGATCGTACGAACCAGGGAAAGCTAGCAAATCCGAAGGTGGTGGTTGAAGTGTTCCAGTACCCCCAGTGACCCTAATCTGAGCACAAGAAATGTAGAATTGGGCTCCATTATCCTGTGAAGCATTATGAAGTGCAATGTGCTCGAGACGTAGTAGATACTCCCCATCAGCGACGCACTCAGGGATCTTGATAGATACGCGGTTCTTCTCTGTGATTCCAGCCGTTAGTATCTGCACGCGCGGACTAGGGTATTTTTGAGAGCAGCATACTCCAATTTGGCCAGGTCAATCGTTCGTCAATATTTTCTGACTCGTCGCCGTCACTGTATATCTTGAACCAGACATCGCCTAGACCGTCAAATTCCTCAACCTTTGTCCCAGAAGGAGCCTTGGCCATGAAGAATTGCAGCGGGCCCGGGTGGAAGATTTCGGTATAGCCCTCAAAGTCTATCAACGGTGGTTAGTCAAGGATACTCCACATACCAGCATCACATAGACAACCACAACTAACCAATGGTTGATCCGGCTGTGACCTCCAAGACCTTGGTTCCTAGTTCCGTAAAAGGGTTCGCGTTCATCCTGTTGCAAGTCATATTCGGGCCAAAGACGTCGAGCTCAGGACTATCGCGGCCATTCCAATCAATCTCTCTAATGAACTCAAACTTCTCAGAGGCAACATCATTGTAAATCGTCGTATGGAAGTGGTCTGCTCTTTTATTAGCGATGTGCAGATACTATTAGAGATATTCTTCTTACAGTGGGCTTGCCCAAGGCTCACCAAGCCGAGGATAGCTGCTGAAATCTTCATGATAAAAGCTCGTAGTGTAATTTGAACATAAGAATAGAAGCTTTAGTGACAGGATAATGGTTTCTTTTTCAATCTTATTCATCTAGGATGAAGAGAAGCGAAGTGGACCGCCGTGTTCATTTACATCAAAGTTTATATAGATTCATTTCATTCTTTATCGTACGATATTTTGCAAGCGAATTAAAAAGTTCCTTCGATCTATCCAATTTTGGTAGATGAGTGCTGATAATTCTTCGCTCAGTCAACCTTTCTCGTATTTAAAACGACAAATTTAGGCTGTTAGCCGTGTTTAGGTCATACGGAGACTCTGTCGCCGTAAAATACTACCTCAGGGTAATATTCTTAGACGATATAAAAAGTTTGATAATTCTTACTGCTTGACTTAAGCGGAAGACGGGCCTTGATCCCATAGAGCATAAAGTGTCGTCGCAGTGTGGTGTAGTATTGAGGTCAAGCGATGGACGTACTGTTACTTCTCAGACTAGACGTTGACTGGTACTTCACCTGTTTAAAAAGGACCACTAAAGCGCCCAGTGGTACGGCTTCACTGTGCTGTTTCATTGGACTTGCCTTATCCAAAAGTGTTGCTGTGTTCGTTGGTTCGGAGGTTTCATCAGATAGCACTTGCTCGAGGACGAAACCCATCGCTTACTAATAAAGCTAAGTATTAGTATCTGAGTGAGATGCCAACCAGATACCACAATATAGGAGGGTTATTTCTCATAGCACAATCGAGGCCAGTAGCTTGGAATACTATTTTGTTTCGAGGTACAACGTTAGCAACAATGGATGTATCCCAGCTTAATTTCAAATAAAGACACTATTATAGCAACGATTCGCACCGATATGAATAATAAATTCTCGAACATATATTACTTTACACAGTTTGGCACATGTTGCTACCAGCTACTATACTTGTTTTTTCTAGAACTTCTTATTTGAAAATCAATTTGCTCTATCTTTTTACTGTATGATCTAAGCCTGTGTCAGACAGCTCATATATAGGTGCTGGCTTAGCAATAGTTGCTATTGGAGCAATCCCTCCGTCGGATAACGCATTACGCTCATGTCCAGACACACCGCCCTTTTCGAAACCGAATTCTCTAGAACTTTGACTCCATTCTGTGGCATCCAACTCGAACCGCGGAGTTGAAGATCTCTGCTTAAATGTCGGCAGCTCGAATCTTTCCACAGTCTCCTCACTCTTGGGTGAGACAACTATCTTGGACCAGTTGCTACCATCGTGGTCGCCCTCGGACCCCCTCGCTCCGCCTGTGACTGTAGATGATGCTTTGTCGAGCTTCTCCATCCCCCTCGCCTGTCTCCTCCGAATGAATAAGAACGCTAAAAGCGCCAACAGTGCCAGAAGCGCAAGAAGGCAGCCGACAACGACTCCGATCAAGCTGCCTCTTGACAGGGTGGTTCCTTTCTGGTTCGAGCCATCTGAGCCTTCGGCATTCGTACCGTCACCAGCTGTTAGGCCATTACCGCCACCGCCACCACCGCCACCAGTTGCCGTTCCAGTTGCCGAGGCAGTGTCGGGGCTCTTTGACGGAATGTACGTCGTGCGAGCCGTCACCGTCCCGATATCGACCCCAGCAATTGTAGGAGGCACAATATCTCCTCTGAGTGCCCAGCGCGATACCGAGTCGTAATCTGGACAAGTCGGTGCAGTTTCTGTCGGTTTATAATCCGTCATCGATGTTCCCGTCGGGTTCAGTGTTGAAAACGCCGTCGACAGCCTGCTGTAATCGTCAAGGAGCGAAGGAGTGCCCGTCTGCGCCTTATCCGGGTATTTCGCAAGCCCGTAGTTGTTCTCCTGCTGAGCCCACTCATATACAATGACGCCAGAGAACTTGCCAGGGAGATCACCCCCCAGTATCCCATAGACCTCACTGAAGTTGCGCTTATTGTCGCCTCCACAGCCCGTTTCCGAGAAGACAATCGGGATGTTATAGTCTTTGAATAACTCATGCATCATGTCGAGCCCTGACGAAATGTCACACCATATATCATTGTTAATGCCGAACATATCAACCGTGTTGTTACCGCAAGCGACGAACTGTCCGCATTTACTAGTGTGTGGTTCATCGGGCCCTTGGGCATATACGATCGGTATCGGACGGTAACCTCGGGCATCTCGGAATGCTTTGAGATCTCGCGCAGCTGCCTTGATAGCAATACCTGCAACGCTTCCCTTGACTGCAATTATCTAATTAGTAACTGCAAGTTAAATAGTGATCTGCCAGTAGACGTACTCGTGTTATCCAGGGTATTAAAACCAAGGGTAAAGGCGATGACATTGTCATAGCCGGCGAAGTGGTCGATGGTCGTGGTAAAATTGGTGTATAGATCCATTGTCCACTCTGGCGTTTTCTGGGCGTTCTATCAGTGTCTTGGGGCATGATTAGGCTCTTGGTCTAACTTCACTTACATCATCGATCTTTCTTGACAGTGTAGACAAGTCCACCCAAACATAGATACCTTTGCTCGCAAAAGCCTCCATACATTCCTTATGGTCCTTTGTAGAATCCGCTCCATAGATGCGAATAGTATTGATACCTAGATCCTTCATCAGTCCAGCATCGAGCTGGCATTGTTTTCCGTCGAGCAATACGTCAATCTCTCCCACTCCCGCGTAAATAACACCTGCAGCAGTGAGTCCAGATTAGTGTTGCGTACAAAAGAGAACGTAGTTTAGGCAACACTATACCTTTGACGAAGAACTGCTTTCCATCTTGATCGTATAGTTTCGTGCCCTTTATCGAGATGGGGGAGATGGAGGCCACGAGAGTAGCAAAGAGGAGGACCCCATATGCGATGAAGCGCAGCATCGGGAGGCCTGCACAAGTCTCCATCAGGCGGAACACGAGGACAGGTCTCTGACAGGTATACGCTGCACAACACCCATCGAGGATTAGTCTTGGATAGATGTTAATGTCTGGTTTCTCCTCCGTGCACAAGGTGCGAATTTGTCCCGAAGCTCTCCAAGGGTGGCGATGGTGATGACAAGAGTAGGGAAGGCCGCCGCTCTTCTGGAAATATTGACATCGACCCACGGTGAATTATTTTTGGAAGAGTAAGCATGATTAACTAAGAAAGGGCGATGCCTGGAGGCCGAAACTGGCATATTAGAGTCAAGGGTGTGTTTCATCTTCAACGTGGGCATTCTTGGCAACCTGCACAGAATGGCGATAATTTGAAAGATAACTTAGATTTTAAGATTCAGATTATCCGGACGATTCTGAGTCAACATGTCATTGCGGAAACGCGAGAAAGGCAGAGGTTTCTGGTTGTAAATAGCCAAGATCCAGCAGCGCTTGAAACGTGGAATCGTAAATCGTACCTTAATGGGACAGGTGCTGCCATCAAATCTAAATTACATACATGGGTTGTCAGCTTCTCAATGTAAATCTTTGCGGAGAATTAGTGCTGTACCGCTGACATAATATCGACATGGGTTTCAGCTTCCTTTACGGGCAATGCATTGACTCTAACAGCGAGTCATTTAATTGCCCCTCTCTTTGCGATAATTCTCCTACCCTATATGTCAACGATGGCCCAGTAGTTATTCATTGTTCCCAGTCTCCGTTTTATTGCTTCTGATCTTGGAGAAAGATAGCGAAAGACTGGATCAGAGCTTTGTAATAAAATAGTCGTAGAAATTAGACCAAAGGCTATTAATCTATTGGTTGAAAATGATATACTAGTTGTGATACTTAAGCTATTGAATCGGCTTGTGAGTGATGGGATGAAACCGTGTTATTTTGGTGATCATAAGGAGGCAATCCAAATTATGGGAGAAGCTATAAAAATAATATGGGATGAATGCCAGCATTTTCAAGGCCTTTAACTACTCTCGGCTCTCTATATGTGTAAAATCTCCCAATACTGGGCTTGTTTTCCCGCACAGAAGAGAACATCTTGGAGTGGTAAGCTATCATCATTGCAGTCAAATTGACCCCCCGGTCGATTGGTTTCACACGAGTTAGTACGTTTTTGGACAGGTTATCCCCCTTACGCTACCAAGGCTCAATACAGTTAGCCTTGCAAACAAAGGTCTCTCCCAGTGTGACCTTCAATAATGAAGCTGTCTTTCATTGCGACAAGTAATTACTGCATGACTGAACAGGCTGTCTGCCGTGAACATAGGTGATCGCTGCATGCCTGAATTGGCTGTCCCTCATTAAGAGAGATAATTGCTGTGTAGTTGACCCGGCTGTCTGCTGTTAAGAAAGACAATTGCTGTGAAGCTAACCGACCTACGCGTTTGCTATCGCGAGGAGTGATCGTTGTGTGGGTGGCTGAATGGGCTGTTACCCATCAAGACAAGTGATCGCTGTGTGTTGTGTGTCCGCGGTTAAGACTAACCGTAAAGACTCATGGTGGGGTAAGTTTGTCTTAAATAGGATTAACTTGTGTGGTTCTGACAAACCAGGGGTTAATTTGACTGGAGTGGCAAAGTGGCTATTATCAAAACGATTACCCTTACCCACTTCACCAGATTATACGGAAGGGCATTGGAATCTCGTAGCCTCGGGTCCTGCTACAAGCTGGACTTTCTACAACGGACAGAAACGTGATTTGGAATATTCCGTGAAGCTCTATAAGTATAGTTTATAAGAACCTTTACTTGAGATATTAAATTCAAGCTGGTTAACAAGCTTTTGAATACTAAGACAGTTATTGAGTTTAAGTCTTATATATATATCAAGAGCTTTACCTACCTTGTATAAACTGCATCTTTCTATTTATTAAACTACTACCTCTAACAGGATCAGCAACAATGCTGTCAGTAGTATTAAAATCATTGACCTTGATTAAGTATATACATACAGATATATGAGTATATTAGATATCTCTGTTCATCATGAGTAGTAGCCAGACCAGAGACTAAGATGTCAGAAATGGTCTCATTTCTTCTAATTCAGATATAAAATAATAAAGCTTCTCAGCATATAAGAGACCAGAAACTACGGGCCTGGCCAACCATCTGGTATGTGGCATCCAATCTGATTTGAAGCCAAATTTGATTTGAAGCCAGATCACCAACGCATTGATGTTTAATTGCCGGCAGCCCACGGCGCAATTGCATCTATGTGGCTGGCGGCATTGCCCATACCTTGCGCTGGTTGACCGACCAGAAGATGAGTTTTTCAATTGTAGTAGGGTAATCGACGGTGGTATAACTACTTGTAACGAGCTGTTGCTAAAATAGCTCAACGACACTCATCACGGGATTTCACACCACCGACTGTTGGACATTCCTCATGTCCATGTCGACTTATTGGAAGTGAGAGGGAATTACCCCTGGAACGCTACGAACGACAGTAATGGGCCAACCACCTCGACTACTGCTAAAGATGTGGCTCTACGATTCGAGTGCCTGTATCGTTTGGTAAGTTTCGTGTTGGCTTAAGGCTTATTATTATAACCTTTATTCCCACTGGTGCCTCAGACCCGCTCCATTCTACTTGTTTAGTTAGTTACTAGATATCAAAATTATATGATATTGCCGTCAACGCAAATAACGTCTATTTATATATATAGTATACATAGAGAGTATATTATAATATGAATAAAACAGTGATTTAGATCTCAGGGGTCATGGTGCGCGTGATACCGTGGTATACGGCGTTTGCGGAATCCATCCTTGCGCACAAAGTGACCAAAAAGCTCATGGATTTATTAGTGATACTACCAGCTGACCAATATTCGGTAACAATGAGCTGCAGAAAATTTCCTTCCACAGTTGATTTGTTGTCTTGAGATAGGGGCGAACGATCGTTGGCGTTTCGCCTGCCCCGTTTTCGGCCATGTTAGCCGTAACGTTGAATTCTGCGAGCTGGGGTCGAGATTTGTTCACCCCGGATATTGATCTTGAAGCTTTGGATTATTCCCTCATCTGGAAATATGTTGGGCCAGGGATTAGTCTGATGACCAATAAAAGCCATTAAGGTCATGGGTAACCACGGCCAATTTGGCCGTGAATACAAATCCATACAGCTCAGGATGGAACCTTCCAACGTCATAACTATATTGATACAAAAGAGTAGGAGTCTACTACCGGATAGAAAATACCTATATATTATCGTTATACATGTTAGATGGATTTTGATCTAACTTCTATACATTAAAAAGCATAGATTATCACGACAGCTATATTCAGTCAAACACGACTACATTTGGTTAAGAATGAAGGTTTCCAATAGTCCACTGGCTCTTTGCCTCCTTGCAACAGCAAGCTGCTCTGCCTCGGCAAACACAGAATACGACTACGTTGTCATCGGATCAGGCGCTGGAGGAGGACCATTAGCGTAAGCCACAGATCCTTCATACTGCTGAGCACTTTAGCTAACACCACGTAGAGCAAACTTGGCAAGGCATGGATACTCGGTGCTTCTCCTTGAAGCTGGAGGTGACCATGTCAACAGCTCACTGACCACAATTCCAGTCATGTATGTGCGCAGTCGGATACAAAGAAGAACAAGCTGACTCCAAATTTAGGGCAAACACAGCAGCCGAGGACCCAGAGATATCGTGGCAGTTCTTTGTCAACCACTACTCTGATCCCGACGAGGCTCAGAAAGATTCCAAGTTTACATGGCAATTGACTAATGGGTCATACTACGTGGGGTCAAACCCGCCTCCGGATGCCAAAGCACGCGGAATGCTGTACCCCAGGGGTGCTACGGTTGGTGGGAGCGCAATGGTTAATGCCGCTGGGCTGGCGCTTCCCCCGGATAACGACTGGAACCATATCGCGAATCTCACGGGAGACAACTCTTGGAAATCGGAGAACATGAGACAGTACTTTGAACGTCTGGAGAGCAACCATTTTCTCCCCAAAGATACGCCGGGGCATGGTTTTTCTGGTTGGCTTGGTGTAAGTGTGATTCCGCTCCGACGAGTCTTTAGTTCCTTGGCTCGAGCAACCCTCTTCATCCCAAGTCAGCTTCTGTCTGTGCCGTTATGCTAACAACGAATAGTCGAATCGAAACAATCTTTCAATCGTTCGTCCTGATGACGGGTTTTTCCAGGTGGTCAGCACGGCAATGACTGCACTTGGGGACTCGCATAACCCTAGCAAGGACGAAGTTTTGAAGCTGTTGCATCGCGATAGCAACAGTCTTGTTAGGAATCGGTTTGAAAAGAACCGCATTACGGAACACACTCTGCATCATGACCAGAAGCATCGTCGCTCGAGCCCTGGAGCTTACCTCAAAAGCACAATCGATGAAATTTATTCCAACGGCACACAGAAATATCCGTTAACCGTCAGCACAAACTCGCTTGCTACTAAGTTGTTGTTCAACAATTCTACAGACGTAAAGTCGGTTGTTGGCGTCGAGTATCTCAAGGGGGTTGCTCTCTACAAAGCTGATCCACGCTCCAACGAAGCTGACAATGGAAGTGCTATGGTTGCGGTTGCAAAGAGAGAGGTTATTGTGGCAGGAGGGGCTTTCAATACTCCGCAGATCCTGAAGCTGAGCGGGATCGGCCCCCAGGCGGAACTGGAGGAGTTTGGCATCCCAGTCCAAGTTCCTCTCCCGGCCGTGGGTACGAATTTGCAAGATAACTACGAAATAGGGGTCGAGGGACTGGCATCCAAGGACTTTTTGAACACCTTTGAGAACTGTACTACCGCCTTTGCGCCTGGGGATCCTTGCTTCGAAGAGTTCATGGAGACTGGCACCGGGCCGTATACCCAGGGCCCGATGCTGAGCCTACTAATGCGCTCTAGTCAAAGCGAGAATGCTGATGCTGATCTGTGGTTCTTTGGTGGCGCCAATGGTGTGTTCCGCGGCTTCTGGCCGGGCTGGTCGAACGCGACAGCCCCCCTGAGCAACTTTTGGTGGTCCATTGTCAAAATGCAGATGAAGAACCGAGGAGGCACAGTGACCTTGCGGTCGGCCGATCCCCGTGATGTGCCTGGAATCAATTTCAACTATTTCCCCGAGGGGCGCGACTCCGACCTGGCGGCGCTGGTTGAAGGAATGGAGTTTGCTCTCGATATATTCGGCAGGGCTGAAGCGCCGTGGGCCCCGTTCAATATTACAAGACCCATCCAGTCATTGGAGGAAGAAGCGAAGTATGAGTCCTGGGGGCATCATGCATCTTGTAGCTGCCCCATGGGTGTCGACCAGGACACGAGCTGTGTGGATTCCCGTTTCAGGGTTCACGGTGTTAACAACCTCAGGATCGTCGACGGCTCAGTCTTCCCACGTGTTCCAGGAGGGTTCCCTGTTGCAGCAACCTTTATGATTAGCGAGAAGGCTACGGATGTTATATTGGAGGATGCTAGGAAGTCGTCAAAGTAAGATATAGGAGAATTGGGCAAATTGTTTAGGTCTGAACCTAGCAGTAGTTGGATAGAAAGTATTGCTCACTTAGTCAACGAGGTATCTAGGCTTTAAAGAACAGTATTGTCTAATCCCACAAGAAGGTTACGCAGAGTTTAGAGGCATGAGCTTGCCAAAGCTGGAGAAACAATACCGGTAATAAGAAGGAATGAGCTATGCCCTTACAGCGTATCGAGGGGGGCTGTATTACTAGGTAATGCTATAGATGTTAATATGCTACCCTAATATCTAGGGCATCCTCCGACTTGTAGTCAATAGACTCCACTGGCTGAGATGAATGTCAGTCGACACATTGCTGCATTCATTTTGAATCACGATGCGTTCTCACGCACCCGTTTTGGAATAGCTCGTTATCTCTGGCGGCTATGCCCATTCTTGGTGAAGCCTGTTGGGCCGTCAGCTCCTGGTGCCTAATCGCCTCAATGGTCCGCTTATGGTTCGCCTGCTCTGCGTCTTGCCTTGCCATGCACGTCAAATCAACCTTACCTGCACAACAATTATTTGCCACCCTTTATTTCGATTTAACAGAAATTCATTTATGAAATTTAGTTTCTATCCAGTTGTTTTCGTCGAATCCCAACGAGCCTGAAGAGCAGTGTCAGTTCAATTGTCCACTCCCATGGACAATCAGGCCTCAAAATGAATACAGAAGGCCTGGATATGTTAAGAGATATCTCTCAGAACGAGACAGAGCAAATGTTTGACCTTGCTCTGGGGCTGCTCGCCCATTCGCACGACTCAGGCTCCAAGTCTCACCTGGATGAGGCAACACAACTATTTGAACAGGCACTTTCCAAGAGTTCGCTCCGCTCCTCAAGAAGAATGGATATATTCTCCAATCTTGTAAACATATACTACGATTCATATACAGAGTCTGGGTCGCTGTCGGATCTCGACCGTTCTATTTCAGTGGCTACCGAATATATTTCCGCAATCGAGGTCGCATCCCAAGACTGGCAAGAAAGTTCCTACACCCTCATGCGCATGTGCCATGAACGATATTACGAAACCGAGAACCTGGACCATCTTCTAGAAGCCGAAAAATGGGCCCAAAGACTGGTGGATAATTTCCTGGACGACAGTGTCCACCAAGCCGATAACCTGAACAGCCTTGGGATTATCCTACGTGAGGCGTTTTATCACACGCAAGACAAGACATATCTTGAAAAGGCACTAGAAATGGCGCAAAAATCAGTTGATGTTCAATCAAGTGACACAATTGATTCTTCAACATATTTCCACAACCTGGCTATCACGAAATTGGAAAAACATCTCTGCTATGATGATCTTTCATCTATCGACGGCAGAAATAACCTGGAAGAAGCCATCAATGCGGCTGAGAAAGCCGTGGAACTATGCCCGGATGAAAGTCCACTAAAGCCAGAATTCATTCTCGATGCCGGGAGACTCTATTGTGAAAGATTTGACCTCACCGAACATATCGATGACTTGAATTTGGCTATTGAATCTTACAGGCGTGGTATGCGATTGATGTCAGAAGATCATGAGCATTGGCATTGGGGCCTGTTACATCTTGGAGATCGACTAGACGACAGGTATGCAATTGCAGGGTCACTCAATGATCTCGATCAATCCATCGCTTTGTGTCGAATGGGTCTCGATTTATTTGGCGAGGATGACGAAGAGGACGATTTTCCCATTTGTGCCGGTTATCTCGGAGAAAGACTTATCAGGCGATATGAGAGAACTAGATCTCCGGTAGATATAGAGGAGACGTTCGAAATAAGTTCTAGAGCCCTCGAGGATGCCCCGGAAGGCCACTGGTCTCGAGTGATGTTACTTAAGAACATGGTGGCATACTTCTTGGATCGGCACGACAGATTTGGAAACAAGGAAAGCCTCGAAGCTGGCATTCACTACGCCATGCAAGCTGTTGCTTTGTCTGAGGGGGAGAATAAAGAGGTCCGGCCCGTTGCTATCTACTGTCTGGCCAAGGCCCTGGCAGTTAGAGGCTCGTATACATCGTCATTGGACGATCTGGATAATGCGATTCTATATACCAAGGAAGTGTTGCGTGAAACCCCGGAAACTAATGAATACTACGTCGAGATTAATTATAGCCTCCAACGAGACACACTGAGAAGGTTTGTATTGACAAGGGATGTACGAGATCTCAACCAAGCGATGGAATTGGGTAAAAGAATAGAGATGAAAGCCGATGGAGCCAAGTTCCAGGCGCACCAGTACTTTACACTTGCTGGGTATATCCTCGCACAAATCCACAAGATCACAGGCTCTGAAGAAATCCTCGACCAGCGCATTGATCTTTCAAGGAAGATCCTCGACAGGGTTGTTGCCCTCGATGATCGTTCGTACCTGTCTCGGACTCTTCTTGACCTGTCTGATGCACTGGCCCAACGATATGAGCTCAAAGACAAGTTCGAAGATCTGGAGGAATCAATTGAATTCGCAAAAAAAGCGGTTATAAATATGGAAGAAGAAGGCCCTGACCGTGCCAGGGCATTGCTTTACGTTGGGTGGGGTCTCAAGAGCAAATTCTTGATATCTGGCATCGAGGAACACCGTCAGCAATCGCTCTCACACTTACGTTCAGCACTTACTCATGTCCACTCTAATCTGTCGGATCGAATTGAGTCGGGAACAATTGCCATGAGTGAATATTTGACCATGCTCAACTGGGAGGATGCCTATGGAATATCAGAGACACTTATGGAGCTTATCCCACAGTTGATAATTCGGTCACACAAGAATTCAGACAAGCAACGGGTCCTCGTTCGCGTCCACGGTTTGGCCTCTGAGGCTGCCGCTCTTGCCCTTCAGGTTGGCAAGCCTCCGTACATTGCCCTCAGTCACCTGGATCAGGGGTCTGGCTTACTCGCTGCTTCCATCTATGGTAGCGAAGCGGATATGAATGAGCTGAAGTTGAAGCACCCTAGTTTGGCAGAAAGATTTAGGCATCTACAATATATTTCTAAGGAGCCTACGACATCAGATGCGCTTGAAGATGGAATCCCTGAATCTTTCTCAGGTCTGCATGTCAAGAGATCTCGGTATGAGGTAGGCAAGGAGTTTGACCATCTGGTTGAGGAAATTCGTCAGCAACGCGGGTTTGAAGGCTTTTTGCTCTTTCCAAACGAGTCAGAATTGAAAGATGCCGCAGCCAAGGGCCCAATTGTGATCGTCAATATGGGCTCGACCCGAAGCGACGCGATCTTAATTACGCAAGACGAAATCACCTTTGTGCCATTACCACTGGTTGCATGGGACCAACTCAATGAATTTTCCACAGGCGGCTCAAAGAAAACGGAGCCATTCCTCCAGTGGTGTTGGGACTGCATTGCAGAGCCAGTCCTAAACACTCTGGGCTTCAAACAGCCTCCATCGGGGAAATGGCCTCACGTCTGGTGGGTGCTAACAGGACGCCTAAGTAATATTCCTATTCATGCAGCTGGACACCACAGCGAAGGTGGATACAATACGGTTATAGACAGAGTGATGTCGTCTTATTACACTTCTGTAAGAGCACTCGTCTATGGTCGCAAGCGACCTGCCCCGACCGTTCCTGGGCCTGCGCTCCTGTTAGCAATGGAACATACCCCTGGATATCAGAGTCTCCCATTTACATCGCAAGAGGTGGATGTAGTTAAAAAACTACTCGATTCCTTTTCCATCGAGACAATTGAGTCAGGTCCGGATAAAGAAAGTGTCATGGCAAACCTGCCGCTGTGCAAAATTTTTCACTGGGCTGGGCACGGATCTACGAGCCATGGTGACCCAATGGAAAGCTGCCTAATCCTGCACCAGCATACAGAAAAGTGCCTGACAGTCGCAAATCTACTTGAAACTAATCTATACTCTTCCAACCCCTTCTTGGCATATCTCTCGGCATGTGGCACAGGCCAGCTCCACAATCAGAATCTCGGAGACGAGGGCATCCATCTTATCAATGGATTTCTGCTATCAGGATTCCGCCACGTGATTGGAACTTTATGGGAGGTACAGGATGAGATTTGTGTTGATGTGGCCAGGATGACATACGAAGGAATACGAGAGAACGGCATGGCTGATGAGTCTGTTTGCTTAGGCCTTCATAACGCTATTTTGATGCTTCGAGATCGCTGGAGCCACTCTGATCAAATAAGGGCAGGAAAAATGACACAGCACCTGGCACTGGCACGAGAAGAACCGGGCTGCCAATCGGTAAATAGCATTAAGCCTGGTTGCCTGTCAAGAGACATGATCCCGATTGGAGATGGAGCGTCTACCCCATTGAGTTGGACCCAATACGTCCATTTTGGGGTATAACTTGATAGTTCGCTAGGTGGAAGAGAAGTTAATAGTTGACATTCGGAATTAGGATGGGGTATCACTGAGTTTTCTGGTGGTATAACGTCTCTGAGACACGACTCATGGAAATATCGTTGAAGTTTCTACGCTGGCCCACTCTAAACCAATACGTTAACTCTCTGGGGGTATATGCTGCGCTCGTATGAGATTGAGATCCTAGGGGTTTAGGAAGTGGGGGTTGGATTATCCCAAGTGTTATCTATCATAAACTGATGTTTTGAGAGCCTATAGGGAATGGTTACGATTTCCAGCTTGATTGACCGCTGGGAGGTAGACACACCGTTTTCATTCGTCCCAATATGTTGCCACTTTATGAATAGGGACAATGAATGGACCGAGCCGTATCAAGTGACATATTTGACTTAGGTATGTAATATTAGTAAGGTGGTACCTTTCAGCTATTCAAGTTCTGTAGTCCCAGTAGCAATCCTAAACTCCATGATGAATCGGTTCAACAACATCAAATCGCCAGCTGGATCGGGGACCAGGTCTAAACTAGGGCTGGCTATAGAAAAAATCGCACCTCCAAGCACGACATCAGCCATTGGACCAGGGACAAGATGATTCATAAGCCGTATAGCCGGCCGCCACAGTCCTAACATGTTCTAGCCCAGGGGGAAATATTGGCAAATGCACTAATCTAATGGAGCTATTTGCGACTAGCTGTTCTTAGTGTGCTACGTCACCAAAGAATGAACTTGCTCGAATTCCCTTTCACTTTTCATTTTTTCATTTTTCTTCTAATTTGTCTCTGTTTGTATCATCCCATTGTCGCTAACAAGATGCGTTTGTCAGTCGTTTGTTTCACCGTATATACGGCCTCGTCTCTCGTTGAGGCGGGTAGACATAGATGCAGCAGATCCGGCAGCTCTCTATCTCTGACTACTCCTTCGAGTAGCAATTCTCCATCATCCGTGATTATCCTCCCCTCTCTCTCGACACCATCGTCCGAAAACACTCCCGAAGTTAGCTCTTCTACTCCGGACTCAACAAGCTCAGCACCCGCTACTCTTCAAAGCAGCACAACCACTCCAAGTGCTGCCAGCACCCCGGAACTCTCAGAAACGCCAGGCGCCTCTACAACAGCCCTGTCTGATATATCGGCGGTATTTAGCACACCAACTACTCTGGAGACTTCAACAACGCCCAGCCCCTCTATCGCATTCAGTAGTTCGGCCACACCGACTCCATCATCGTCATCCTCTTCTTCCTCTGTTATTCCTCAACCAACTGGATGGGCGCTACAGTCAACTGGTACCGGCACCGCAAATGCCGGCAGCTTTCTCAGGATCAATACTTTAACGCCACAGTCTCTTGTCCTGTTCTCTCCAACGGACGTTGTCCCTTCTTCATACAAAGTTGCCAATTTTTACATCGACCCGTCTACCGGATATCTCTTCCTGGACTACGAGGGTGTCAAGGATCGATATGTCGCTGTGACAACTTATGATGAATTCAACGAGAATGGAGAGTACTGGCAAAGCATTAATACTGGAGAGCTCATGCTCTGGGATATGACCATGGGCGAGCCAACTTGGGTTTCGCTCAGTCACATCAAGCGAATCACCTGTTCGCGAACTGGTGCGACTTTCGGTTGCACTGCCAGCGCACCAGTCGGGGTTTTCAACACCTTCAGTTATAACCCGACTTATTTCTCATTGAATTTCGGCACCACCGTTCCTCAGGGTTCCCAGCTTCTTACTTTTGCAGCTGTGGATGTGTACTAGAAATTGTACCAGTTACTCTGTAAGATAATGTGTTATCTTATACTTATACTAGGAGGGGTTCAAAAATATAAGAAAACCATTATTATCTCACTATTAGCTCACTTTTTCAATCATACTTCAGACAAAAGTTTATTATCAGATATAGAGGCTATACAACTTTTGTATTATATCTATTTATCTGATATTGACTATTAATCTCTTACTTATTTATAGCTCTGTTTGATTTAAGCTTTGGTCTCTAAAGCCAGGTGTTTATTTATTTATTTCCCCTAGACACTCTGCAAGCTAACATACTTGGCCGGCCATCTAGCTCTGACCTCCGTGATGTGGAACCGTAGCACCAGGACCCAAAGGCGGCGCTCAACATGCCCGAGCTTGAGGCGGACAAAGGGGCGGGGGCAGTGTATGAGGCGCGAAAATCGCCGAAGGCGTACTTCTACACCGGTGTAGCTAGAGGGACGTTTCAATGGAAAGGGAGGTGGTGAGCTTAGCCAACTGAAGAGAATCGGACAGATTGAACCCTGGAATTAAGATGAGCTGATTGACTATGTAAGCTGTTCCTCTTCTTGTAGCTAGTATGGAAAGGAGAATCCTTGATATATATGCTAAATCGAGAAGGCCACGTCCAATTTGTTTTACACTTTCCAGGATTCTCATTGCAGATGGCATGCGCATGGCAAGCTTGCCATATTCGTCTATTTAAGTTGGAAACTTGGTGGATGCTATCCACAACAACACTCCAAAGGTGATAAGTTTCAATTTATTCCTGATTCTCGATCTTACAAGCCCTTGAGATACCACATAGTAGTCACGATTATACATTATAGAGACCTTCTTGCTCAGCATGCACAGCTTGTTCTCATGTCGACTCGCTGGCCCACTAAGTTGAGCTGTAATACCGCGAAGTGTTGATGCTTAGTCCCATCTCAATGTTTAGATTAGGTCGAAGGTTATGGGCAAGGATAAAATGACAACATTTTCCACCGACAAGTATACAGCAATATTACAATTATATATGTCCTTCCATACTATGAACCATATAATCTCCAGGCAAGTCCAACTGCAAGTGCGGCTCCCACGACCGGTAGGATCTTCTTGAAGATGTTCTTGAACACAATGACACGTCTTTCTTCGGTGCCTTGACTGTGAGCCTGTCGGTCGTTGAGTCGTGGAAAGGGCACATCGGGGACCGGCTTCCCGAGGAAGGAACAGAGAGGCTCCCAGCCATCACCCATCTTGTATTCCAGCCTTCTCTCTGGTGGGACCATGTCTCTGATCCTCTTATAGTAGGCATCATATGCCTTGCGAGCGTTGGCCTCAATCTCGTCCAAGTTCTTTGCCCCAAAGAACCCGAAATGGACCTTCTCCATTGCCGGTCCGGCCCGAAGTCCAAGAAGATTCGTGACAAAGAATAATATAATCCTCTGCTTGAGAGGGAAGAGCGTGTCGAGCATCTCCGATTTGTAGCTGGGCCACCACTTGTCAAAGTCACGCTGGACGACGACCACCTTGGCCTCTGGATAGGCCTCAATCAGTTGGTCAGCAAAGGGGGACGACATATCGGTCGCAATGTCGAACTCTTTGCCCCATAGCTGGTCCCAGTCGGCGCGTGTGAACCGAGCCCTCGGGCGCGCCTTGGGAGCATCTGGCCAAGTTGCCTCGGCCGCCTGTTCAAAGAGAACCCAGGGGCTGCCGAGAACATCGTCAAGGCCGTGGTGAGTCTTGTAACCGAGGATCCGATATGCTTCGGCCGATGATCTTGTGGCCATGCGGTAGAGGGCTACGTGGATCACGAGGAGCCCCTCGCCGGGGGGTGTCGGTTCGGCGGCCATTGCACAAGGTCAGATACGTAAAGGCACCGGCGGCGGAGAGGTGAAGTGGCTGGAAACGCCGCCTCAAAAAGAAGGGAGCATTGCAAGAGATCCTTCTTTCAGCTCGGGAGATGAGCCCGCAATGGGACATAGGGAATCTCAAAGGCAGCACGGGGCCCGTGCTTGGCAGCAGCCAGAACCTCTGCCTGTCGGCCTTATTCGGTGGCGTTGCCCAAGGAAAAGGAACTTTGGAAGCGACATGATACGGTAGCATCGAGGCGCGGCCAAGCAGACGCGGGTCAGTCCCAGTCTGGCGACTTCTTACTTCTTACGCATGTAAATGCATCTTGGCAGGACTTTGTTCCAGGGACATGCAGTAGTACCATCTCCTGCGATTGTCTACTAATCTCTGGGGCTTACAGGCAGGCAACGCCGGTAGGATCATTGTGTCGCATTCGCGTTGGTCATGCTGCAGCCGCAATGAGCCTTGACGATGAAGATCTTGCTTGTCTTACCCTTCCCAGGCGTCGCATCTATTCTCTCTGGGAGAGTCCGAGTGACCCCAGATTATGCATACGACACTCCGTAGCAGCAGCAAGGCAGCGCGGGGCGCTGATGGGAGCAAACTGCGTCGGAGCTTTGTGCATCTCATCCCGAATCTTGCAGTAAAAGGCGACCAGGCAGGCAAATGCCACTTTGGGTACATCTGTGCGAGCATTTGAGACGGCAAGCCTGCCTTTGCTCCCCAAGTCCCTTTGGGGGCCCAACGCCGAGGCATACTAGTAGCATTCAACTCCCATTTCTTCCCCTTCATTCTCCGTCTCTCTCGCTTTGGAAAGCCTGGCAGATTGACCCAACGTATTTCGATTCGGTCTCGAGCGAGAGCCAGCCCAGCGGACACAGGCGACGAATCGAGGTGCCATCGCCGTCCTGCCCAGACAGAATGGATTTATCCGGTCCCCTCAACACCGACAATGCGATATCCAACGGGTCATTTCTCGCGACGGGCATTTCTCTCACCGTGATTACCACCTTATTCATCGCCGTTCGCTTGTTTGTTAGCATTAAGCAGATTGGCAACTTTTGGCTCGACGACTGTGAGGCCATTCACCAGGCGATCGGGAGATTCATAGTATTGACACAACTCTTTGTCTAGATGCGATGGTGGTTGGGCTGGGATTCTTGGTAGCGACCTTTGTCCTTACCTACGAACAACAAGCTCGTAAGTAGACGCGCGCTCTGTTCTCCCCATGATCATACGCTGAGCTGCAAGTTCTACCTAGTCACGGAGAAGGTGTTTCTCAAAGTCAAGGAAATGACAACGGACGAGCTGCCACTGCTAATTCCCGATTTACTGGCCATTCACAAGGTAAGCGGATCAGATACTTGATCCATACTATTTGATACATGGCCTGACATCGAATGAAACGACGACAGGTTGGACTGGGCAGCCTGGTCGTCTCCAATCTGAGCACGTGGTTCACGAAAGCGCCGCTCCTGCTCCTGCTCAACCGAATATTCGGCATCAAGAACTGGCTCAAGATATTCGTCTACATCACGCTCGCCGTGTCGCTACTCATTGTCGTCGGCATCACGGGCTACAGCGGCAGACTCTGCGACCCCAAGGGCCAATGGAGCCCCGAGTTCACCGTCGGGTGCATGGACGCCGGCGCCATCGGGAACCTGATTTGCGGCTGCGTCGGTCTGGCAGTTGACATTGTCATCTTTATCCTTCCCATCCCCATGATCATGCAGCTTCACCTCCCACTGAGAAAGAAGATTGGTGTGATTGTGGTGTTTGCTACAGGGTTCATGTAGGTGTCGAGTCCTGCGACTCTCCCTACCTACCCTACCTGTATACTAACATGCTTCACCCAGGGGCATTGCTGCTGGTATCGTCGGCACGTATTCGCGAGTCAAGACGTTGAACGGAAGCGCCGCGGACCGCCAGATCTCGACACTCTGTGTGTAAGTCAATCCCCCATGGCCGGCGACCCTAGAAAAGAGTGTCCCAGCTGACAAGCGATGGCAGGATTCTCGAGGCCACCGTGACCATTGCCGTCGGCTGCGTGCCCGCCCTGTACTACGTCTGGCGCACCATCATCTCCAAGAACCCCTATGTCGCCAAGTTTGTCACGAGAGCGACGACCCGCGCCACCCGGACGAGAACGCAAAAGAAGCGAACGCATCTCAACTCCCGGGTTGAGCAGATTGACGAGCGGGGGCTGCAGTCCGAGCGAGCTCTGGAGTCGAGCTACGACGGGTACATACGGATGGGCACGCCCAAGAAGAGCCACGAGATGGAGAACATGGAGCATGCGGAGAGGGACCCTTGGGATGCGCGAGCCGGGGGCGATGACTCTGTCCCAAGATCATACTGGGTCGTGCAGACTGGAGCACAAGAACGATGATGACGAGCGAATGGGATCGGGAAGGGGTCGGCGTAGTTGCATTAGACTTTTATAGACCTCCATTGCATCAATAAACTGCTTTGCATCGCTCCGCTACGATATTCGTGGCCGTCATCGCCCCAACAGCATCTAGAGCCCATCTTGGCCATCGCGGAAAGCGGAAATATTGATTTTGGCACGTCGATGAGCGTAAAGAGAAAAGCTTGGTGGATCACCGGCATCTTTCATCATATTTGATCTAGTCTAGGACACCTTAATGGAACCTCCCAAATTATGAAAACGAACGAATAGAAGGTCAGGCAATTAGACCTTTGGAATTCCAGTGAGCTGAAGGCAACTAACTAATAGGTGTTGGTTTTGATCTACGTGCTATGGGATTCATACAAAACTGACGTCTGTCCATCAACTGTCCATAGTTGCGGTTAGGAACTTCGTTGTAGACACTTGCCTAAATCTCCCTTTGACGATGCCAAGAGCTGTGTGGCAGTAGGAATCTGATAAGCAAGTGCCCCGCAAGTAGACCGAGCAATGAGCAACGTATTCCTGAATCAAGTTTTAACGTTATCCATCTGTGGCATTTCATCCGAGGTTGCTTAGGTACTTCCGCGGTGGGTTTGATCCCGCAGTTACTTAATTTGTATGACAAGGGTTCGCCATCACATATTCGCTTTGCGCGTATCGTTACAGCCAACGCAAGGTCTACGGATTTCCACCAATGGCCGCCTACATGCATTATCTTACTCATCGCTGGACTAAGCATGGCCGCGGAGATTGCCAGAATGGTACCAATCCAGCGAGGTAACAGTGGCCTCTTTAGAACACTTGGCACGCAGGATCTTGTCGCCTGTGTGTTTGCCTTGCCAACACCGCGTATACCACTATAGGCGCAGGATCAATATGTTGGCATCTACTTAATGCACATGGATTCACGATTGGCTGTCCCTAACTGTCTTTATTAAGGTGGTATGGAGAAACAGGTATTACAGTCAAGCCCTACTGAGTATGCAACCCTGAATCAATCAGGGCAGTGAGACGCAGGGATCAATTCGTAAATAATGCCCATCCGAGGAGGCCCTTGTCAATGCAATGGCAGATGCGGTGCTACCCAACCATACAACGTCAAAGACCAGGGATATCAAGATGGAGGGGGCGTCAATCTATGAGTTACGGTGGCAGGCAAGGGGTGGGTAGCACATCTCGACCAACCCGAGGGACCAACTCGCGTCAGCTTGGGCAAAGAGTGCCTCCCGATTACCGACTAACAATCATGCAACCCTGAATCTCGTCCGGTCTCCATGCCCGTGGGTTGCAACAAAGGCTCGATGGACACCTACATTCCTTCATGTGCGGCACTTCACGCCCTGCATCGTAATATATCGCCTTGATTTGGTATGAGATGCTCGTTGGGTGGTACCCAATGGTTCGGCGATAAGTAAAGATCTGTCAGAGTGTCTAGCTTGCTATTTAGTAGACAGTCATAAGAAGCAACCACGCATGATTCTCAAGGCCCGCCGTGTAATGCCAAGCCCGACTTCTGGTCATTCTTAAGTGCACTGAGACCCTACTCGTGTCGATTAATACCACTTACAGCTTTTTTGTTGCATTGAAGCCGTCAAGTAATCATGGGAGTCACATCCGATCTTCAGCTCCTTTGGCTGACAAAGTTGTCGACGGGAGCCGACTTGACGACGAGCATCGTGCTCACGTTCCTTGTCGGCCTCTTTTGTCTCCAGGTCCTTGCTGCCACCGACAAGTCGGTTAGTAACGCTCGGACCAATGTTCTGCTTGTATAAAACTTACTGATTGATGTCAGAGCGGCTACAACCCAATCAAATACGTCCAGAACCGGATCAAAACATGGCAGTATCTTTTCAAAGGGCAGAAGATCATCCAGGATGGATATGAAAAGGTAGACATTGATCCAAGGAGATGGGACCTACTGAACACTGCTGATAACCTCTGCCCAATAGTCGGGAGGGAAACCTTATGAGGTTCTCGCTCCAGACAACCGCTACGTCTTCGTGTCTGACCCCAAGTACATCCGCGAACTCGACAAGGCTCCCGACAATGTGCTGTCACTCCAAGGCGCAGCCAAGCAGGTAAGCTGCCGCGCATGCAAGATTCCACGATATGAGTGTTCACACTAAGTCTCCCTTGTTAGATGCTGCAGCCAATGTACACGATGCAGCATTTCAATTGGTTCGTCATTCGGGGGACGGAGGGAGTTGGCTTCATCCGTGCTCTCCGGACACTCTTGACCAACAACTTGCCCGAGATCCTCCCGGATCTGAGCTCCATTATCAGGTCTAGGATGGCAGAGCTACGAAACTCTCATCCCACAATCAAAGGTTGGAGTAAAATCCCGATGATGATGATGATGAATCAAAGCGCTAACGCAAAGCACTAGGAGAGAAGCATAGCCCTGTTTATCCTATGATCGTGAAGCTAGTGGTTTTATCCAATGCTGTCTCCTTCTTTGGCAAAGACCTAGGTATGGGAAACAAGTTACATGCACCCTTTTATTGCCCAAGGGAGCCCCCCTCGCTGACCTTTTGGATAGCTAAGAATGACGCCTTCATGGAGTCCGCCCTCGAGTACATTGAGCAGACACTGATCTGCGCGGAAATCGTTCGTCTTCTCCCCAAGTTCATGGCTCCGTATGTCGCGCCCTTGTCTCCCCCTTAGACCGAACATGACGCTGATTGTGGCGGTAGTATCGTCGGAAACCTCCTTGGTGCTCGCCTCAAGGCACAGGATGTCATCTTCAACACTTTGATGCCCATTGCAGAGCAGCGTGTTATCGAGAGAGAAGCCAAGGCCATGGGACAGGAAGTGCCCCATCACGTATGTTGGATCCGCCACCTTATGTCGACGTATTGAGTCACTGACTAGGAATCGAAACTACAGCCCGACTGTATTCAATGGATTATGGATACTTCACCACGACAGAATCCCTGGTCCGCCCAACGCGTGGTCCACGAGCTGATGGCCATCTGGTTTGGATCGGTCCATGCTGTCTCTACGGTAGGTCACAGTTGATTTTGAGACTTAGGTCACGAGGTGGAAGTTCCAGGCTGATGATTTTAGACAATTACATTTGCAATCCATGATCTCTGTTTGCATCCCGAATACGTCGAGCCTTTACGCAACGAGCTAGTCCAGGGATATGCCGAGTTTGAGCGTACCTCAGTCGGACTTCCTCTCCTTGATAGCTTCATCAAAGAGTCAGCTCGTCTGACTCCAGTTGAAGCCCGTAAGTCTCACACACCCCATCTCCTACACGAAACTTTCTTCATGTGCTGACAGACCACTCAAGAGAGCTCTCGGCGATCTGTTCTCAAGCCCTTCACCTTCTCTGATGGCACCAAGCTCGCCGTCGGTGAGTGGGCGTGCACGCCTGTCCGTTCCATCATGCAAAACCCAGAGTTCTACCCCTCGCCGCTAGAGTTCAACGGGTTCCGATTTGCCGACCCGAACATCCTTGGAGACGCGGGAGACGCCTTCAAGTATAAGCAGCCGAAGCCGTCGAAGCTTACAGACTGCGACAACACATTCCACGTCTGGGGAACAGGACGTATGGCTTGGTAAGTCTAGCCTCGAGCGGCCTTGCTTACTTGCGGAAGAGAGCTAATTTTACCTATTCAGTCCGGGCAGGTACTATGCCACGGCGGTGATGAAGGTCATCATGGGGCAGGTGATATTGCACTACGACTGTGAGATGGTCGAGCAAGCAGGTCCCCGATTCTTCGAATGGAGATCCACCATCCTGCCCAGGAGCAACACGATGATCAAGTTCAAGCCCCTGCATGCTTGAGGCAATTTCTAAGGCAGCAGCCAACATGTCATACTGAAAGCTGAAGGACAATTTGGATTGATCAGCGGATATAGGTTTCCTCCTCTCCTAGTAAACAAGGCACCACTTCCCGGGATGCCAATCACCAAGCTGAATAGTATTGAATGAAAAGGTATCCAATCACGAGTTCAAGGGCAAGAGTCTACGATTGCTTTGCTTTCTATGAAGTGATAATACATGTACCTACACATTCACCACTCTTTGTTGCCGCTAAAAAGTTGCCCCTGAGTCTGTCCACATACTGGACTACTCATCCAGAAGCTCTGATGGTCCAGCATGTGCGAATATTTACGTCTAAATCTCCAAGTAGACCTTACAATTTCATGAGTTAAAGCATACGCCCCTCCAGAAACCAATTTAGAGGGTGTGGCCGGGCTTGGCCCGGTGCTGAATCGTAGCTGACTGTGTTCTTCTTGCGCACGCCTCAGCCCATACTTGAATCCTTTCATGTGTATTGATGCAGGTCAATTACCAACAACCGCTAACCGGCCACTCAGGTCGCCATGTTGAGTGACCCTCCTTCTCCGCCCCCTGTCACAACCCCATGCTCATCACCTTGCCACCCTAATTCACCCCCAGGCCCTTCGCTTCGGCCCTCATCTGGACCGCTTCCCCGGTCTGGCTTCGGTTCACCCCCAGCGGCCGGCCCTGGCTGCATTTCACCCCACCCTCAGGCTTCCCCTCAAGCTTCCGCTTGGCTCAGATATTGGCTCGCATCGCTCTACCTGCTTAGTCGTACCCACCGTCAGCCCCCCGGGTCCAGTAACATTGAGGGTAATACTGTGTGCATCGTTGTGTTTATTACAACCCGTTTAGGTATTGGTTGGCCGGCTACATATCCTGCCTCGTGGCCTGGTAAACCATTCCTTTTTGTTACATCCAACCATTCTGTCTAAAGGCCTTCTGCCACGTTTTCTCCTGCTCTCGCCATGTGGGTATTCTTGGGTTTCATTCTCCTCACGCTGGCAAGCGCCCAGTGCGCCGATCTCGCCCCCAATGCGAACACCCAGCCCTCGGTGGCCGTCAGCGCTGTGAAAGCCTGCCACGGCAACCAGGTGGCACTGCCCGGTACCAGCCTGTACGAGGAGGTCAACGAGTCCTACCTGTCGAGGCTTAACAGCGAGCTGCGGCCGCTGGCCATCCTGTTGCCCGAGACCACCGCCCAGGTCGCCAACTTTGTCCGCATCCTCAAGCCGTTTGCCCTCTTGAACATCGTCCCGTTCGCCGTCCGCGGAGGTGGTCAGCAGCCGGCCGTGGCTTGCAACAACATCCAGTCCGGCATCACCATTGACCTGCGCAATGTCACTGGCGTCAATGTTGACACCAAGAAGGGCACTGTGACCGTGGGCTCTGGCGAGCGATGGGGGGCTGTCTACGAGGTCCTTGAGCCTCTTGGGCTTGGGGTTGCCGGCGGTCGCTCGACGACCAACGGCATCAACGGCCTCGCTCTGGCAGGTAGGCTACTACTATCTCCTTCTTTTGCTTTTTGAAACCTTGATTGCGCCTATTGCTTGTCCATACGTGTAACCTTGAACTAACTTTTCATTCGTAGGTGGGCTCTCCTTCTTCTCCTCCCGTGAGGGCTTCATCTCAGACAACGTTGTCAACTTTGAAGTCGTCTTGGAGTCTGGAAAGGTCGTCAATGCCAACGCCAAGGAGAACTCTGACCTCTACAAAGCCCTCCGTGGCGGCGGCAACAACTTTGGCGTCGTTACCCGAGTGACCTTGCGGACCTTTAAGCAAGGCAAGTTCTACGGTGGGAGCGTCTTCTACTTCCCGCAGAGCTGGCCTAGCCAGATTGACGCTCTGGTCACCGAGCTCACCAAGCCCAATGCCGACCCAGAAACTCATATCATGCTGAGCACCGGGTACAGCAAGGCTTATGAGTCGCTGGGAGGCACGTTGTGTCTCAACCAGCTGTACTACACAAAGGAGGCCAACAAGCCCGCCGTGTTGCAGCCGTTTGAGAGCATGCAACCTCAGATTGACGCCTTCAACACCATGCGGAACCTGACTCTTGTTGCCGCCGCCAGTGAGCAGACGAGTCAGAATGCTGCTTCGACAAGGTACGTGAGGATTCAAACAAGACCAATGTGGGAAAACAACCGAGCTAACACTTGATTAACAAGGGCTGCCTATATGAACGTGCATGTCAAGGCAGATGTAGCGACTCTTCTTGCCGCGACGGAACTCTACAACACTGGGATTGAACCACTGAAGAACGCGGACAACATCACCCTCTCTTTTACACTTCAGCCCTACGCCGTCTCGCTCTTGCAGAAGACGAGCTTCCAGGGTGGCAACTCACTGGGTCTCTCCCCATCTGACGGGCCTATTGTCTCGGTCTTGTTCCTGACCTGGTGGACTAACAAGGCTGACGACGATCGGATTATTTCGACGCTCAAAGGCATCCTTGGCCAGATTGACGCCGATGCCAAGAGTAGGGGCACCAGCCTGAACTACATCTACATGAACTACGCCCACAACTTCCAGGACCCCATCACATCATATGGAGCAAATAACAAGAACGCGCTCCAGAAGGTGAGCACGAAGTATGATCCTCAAGGTCTCTTTCAGCGTGGTGTTCCCGGCGGCTTCAAACTCTGGAGGTAGACTTTTCGATCTGCATTTATCTTGCAGATAGCTTTATTATATTCACTCTAGTATAAAGCCTCTAGGCAGGATGGACGATATATTTTCATCCTCGGGGTTAATTCTGAGATTTTTAGGATTTAGAAACTTGTAATTAGAAAGCTCTTAATATGAATACTGAAGCCTCGAGCGGCATTGCACATTAAAGTTAATACTGACGAGAGTCAACCTACTTAACAAACACGGATTTGAGATTGTATATTAATTGAAATGATTGATATCTACAGGATTAGTTACTGTTATACACTATCTGAATCCAACTGTTGATGAATCATGTAATAGGGGCCAGTCAGGTTCATCTCCTTGCCGAACCACCGAGTATTTTAGGAAGCAGAACCTCCTTGTTGAAACGCCATAGCAACGTGCTGTAATGCGTGTGGAAGGCGGCGCCGGTGTAAAACATCTTGCCCCCAAGGCCGCCCTGGAGAGCGTTCAACTTCTTGTAGAACCCGTCCTTGATAGCTTCGGGCGCCACCTGCAGATGGAACGGGTTGTGCGATTGGAAAATAAGCCATTCGGGTTCCGTCACTGGGACACCGACGGATTTCTGCAGGGTGTTTATCTGGCGGGCCACATACGACTGGACCTGCGCGTCCGTGAGCGTCGGGTTGTTGGCGCTGAACTTGATCCACCACGCGTCCTCGATCGTCCCAACGGGGGCGAGGGCGTAGAGGGCAGGTAGCACTGGGATGTTGTACGGCGAGGTGGCGGCCGCGTTGTAATGGCTGACGGTCTGGTTCATGCCCACATTCTTGACCAGGCCCGTCCAGTAGCCGTTGGACGTGATGTACTCGGAGAAGACGGCGTGCTCCTCCGGGGTCAGGTCCCATCCGCGGAGGTTGGACAGGTGAGGCGGGATGGCCAGCACGACTTGACTACACTGGAGGAGCTTCAGGCCTGTGTCTCTGGAGGAGACGAGGATCTCCGCGCGTCCAGAGGTGGTGTTCTTGCGGTTGACCGAGATAACACTGGATTCGAGCAGGACGTTGGACGGCTTGATGTACTCGCCAGCCTTGTAGTAGATCTCCGAGTTGTTCCCGTGGACGTGGGTGAGGTAGCCCTCGTACAGAGCCTGCTCATCGCCGGCGTTGAAATACTTGATGACATAAATTGTCGGGACGTGGAGCATGTCGCCCATGCCCTGGCCGACCTGGTAGATGGTAGAGAAGGCGGCGGTCAAGTTGTACTTGTCGACAAAGGCGCCAAACGGCGTGTAGAGGTCCTCTGGGACGGGGTCAGGGAGGTCATAGCCGTGGAGGACGTAGTCGTACTGCGACACGACCTGCCTAAACCGCGCGAGGGCCTCGACAACGTCAGGCTGCTGCTCGCGGACGACTTCGGACCCGTCGCGGAAGTCGGTGTCTCTGCGGATGGTGTTATACATGGCGGCCGGCTGCGACTTGTTGGCGGGCTGGCCGGGCACGTTCCACGGCACCGACGACATGTTGAGCAGCGGGACGCCAAACTTGCCAAAGAAGTCGGTCACGACGGGCTTGGGCTGGTAGACGACAACACCAATGTCGACGAGGGCGCCCGTCTCGGGATCCGTGTAGGTGTGCGTATGGCCGCCCAAGCGGTTGTTACGCTCCACGACGACGACTGTCTTGTTAGCATCGACGAGGGAGACGGCAGCGTGTACGCCACTGGCTCCTCCGCCGATGACGCAGACGTCTCTCTCAAGCACGTCGCTCCATTGGCCATCATTAATCTCGATGATTGACCAGTTCTTGGCAGATGCCAGCAAAGCCAGGCCTAGACCTGCGAGAGCCAGATGAGAGCGCATCTTTGGATAGGTAATTAATGTGATGGTTGACTGAATTTAGGCTCGCCGCAAAGTACGGATGAGTCAAGGAACTGAGGGCCACTTGGCTTTTGACTAGAAAAGCACCTGGGGAAAAGCAGTGATCTAGAAGCCATGACCAACCGTGGCGCCTTGCCAACATCTACCAAGGCCGACGAGAAATTAATTCTTCTCTAGTTCGTCATCACAGAAATGTCGATCAGCAGTCGTAGGGGCAACCCGAGCAAGCCTTCATCTTCCCTTACTGCACCACTGCGAGTGACTGCAGCTACCTTGCAGCATGACCGTGTGAGGTAGTACCGAGGAGGATCAGTTAGTGAGCCAGGGAACCCTGGGACCAAGGATCTGTTGGCGACACCTGCAGCACTAAAATTGACATGTGCGTGTACCTTGCCCATCCATTATTGCCTTGGCTGGTAAGATCCGACGAGAACGAGTGAAAATTGGATGGGTTACACCAGGCAAATGCCGGGGCGATGCCGGGAAAAGGCCAATCAAGGTCCGTGGGATCATTGTCCCTTGCCCAGTCTACTCGTGCAATTTGGAGATCCATCTTCCAGCGGTTGCATGGACAATCATTCCCATCTTGGTGACATTTAGTTGTCAAGTTCAAGGCACGGATCTGCGCAAATACTGTGTCCTATGAAGGCGACGGTTATTGACTCGGAGTGATTGACAAAGACTTGGATCGTGCTACGCGACTGTCATGTGGCCATTCACCACCAAGTATCCCGAGAAGACGCTTCAAGATGCTGTGGTCGCAGGCGAGTACGACTACATTATCGTTGGCGGCGGCACGGCGGGATGTGTCGTCGCCTCCCGCCTGAGCGAAGACGCGAATGTCAAGGTGCTCGTCATCGAGAAGGGCTTCGTCAATGACAGCCTCGCCACCCGGGTCCCTCTAACATCTTGTACGTTCGATGCTGTGCCGGGTAACGTGGCTCGACAGACTGAGCCAAACGAGGTGTGCGAGGGCAAGAGACTGTCGCTGGTACACTCTGAATCTCTGGGCGGATGCTCGCGAATCAACGGGATGCTCTATACCCGGGGGCTGCCGGCCATCTATGACGAGTGGGCTTCCATCACGGGCTTTGAGGAATGGAACTGGAGAGGCGTCGAGCCCTACTTTGAACGACTGGAGAGCAAGCTCGAGCAAACGCCCGGGCGCGCCTCTGTCCAAGTGGTCCAGCACCCTCCCATGTTTGGGCTGTACAAGTTCCTGGAAGATGCGTCTTCGTCCATGGGCTTGCCTGTCGTGAACCAGCCCAACCAGCCCAACGCCCCAGCCGCGGGCTACAGTTATCTCGACTATACCATCGACTCCGAGGGCAACAGGCACTCTGCTCTGCGCTCATTTCTGCCCACGGACCTGGCCATTGAGCGCCAGGGCCGGCTCACGATATGCACTGGCGTTATCGCCACAAGCCTGGAGCTGGACGTTGCCGACGGCCGCGTCAAGGGTGTCCACGTGAAGCCGGTCGGGCGCGAGGAGCCCGAGTTTCTGGCTGCGCGTCGTGAAGTCATCCTCTGTGGCGGCGCCATCCTCACGCCGCAGCTCCTCCAGCTCAGCGGAGTCGGCCCTGCGTCCGTCCTGGAGAGGGTCGGCCTCGAGGTGAAGCGCGACCTGCCGGCGGTGGGTGTCGGCTTCAACGATCACTACGGTATCCCCATCTGCCTCGAGCTGCCCTTTGACCAGACCTACCACTTCATGGAGAGGAACATCCTCCAGGGCATCTACCAGTTTGTCCGTTTCTGCGTCTGGGGCACGGGGTTCCTGAGATCCCCGGCGACGCAGGCCGCCATCAATTTCAAGTCGTCTTGCGTGGATGCCAAGTCGTCCGAGATTGTCTTGGGAGCCGATGAGCTCGACGGCACAAAGCTTGCCAACCTCCCGGATGTTGAGGTCATGATCGTGCCGGCCAATACGGTACCAGGTTCCAATGTAGGGAAATCACTGGCCACACTCTTCACATGTCTCCTACGACCCAAATCAGAGGGTAAGATACAGGTCTGGACAACGGACCCAGAGGCAGACCCGGAGATTCACACAGACGTCCTGACAGACCAGGAGGACGTCGCTGTAGCACGAAAAGCTCTACGGTTCTCCATGGCTCTGGCTGAGCGTTTGTCTCGGACTGCGGCGGATGCCTTTCCCTCAAGGATCTTCTTGGCTCCGAAGAACGACACGGACGATGAGCTGGACGAGTTTGCGCGAGTCCACATCCGGGCCATCTTGCACCACTCCTCCTCGTGTCGGATGGGAAGGGAAGACAAGGGCGGTGTCGTGGATGGGAACCTGCGCGTTCATGGCTTCTCCAATTTGCGGGTGGCAGATGCCAGCGTCTTTCCTACGATTCCAGCCACGCACACAATGGCACCTACGTACATGGTAGCGGAGAGATGCGCAGATCTCATCCGGAAGACGTGGGCAGATTGATTGTCTAGGACTTGAACTATTATTACAATTGTTATATTCATTCAATACTAAGTAAATGTACACTCCTTTTTTGACTATGAAATAGTATCATCTCATAGGTTGATAGCTTGATATAATGTCTATTCTCTTAAGAGCTCTGATGAGCCCGGCGAGATGCCTTCAATTATATCGAGGAGCTCGTCAAAGACCCTCTTCTGAGCCACCGCGCCCTTTGCACTCCTGACCCAACTCCCTTCGTCCCCAAAACCGCAGTCCTCGAGGTACTTTCCATGCGTGTCCTCGCCAGCCGTGGCAGCGTGCACGAGGCAACGAGATCCCATCTCCGACGTTCGCCCAAGGAGCGGGACGAGGACGGCCATAAGCCACGACGTGGGAAACACTGCCTCGCGGAAGAGCTGCGACTTGCACAGCCCTGGCTCAGCAATATTGACCGTCACGAGGTGCTGCATGTCGAGCTTATTGGCGATGCGGTCGGCAAGCTCCCGCGTGGCGAGTAAGATGAGGAGCTTGCTGACCCCATACCGCATCTGCATGTTTTGACCACCTCGCATTGACTCGAAGATGGGATTGGTGTCATCGTGCCTGATCGATGTCCAGCGCTGGGCATTGGACCCGACAATGGTGATCCTTGCCTGGCTTCCATGCGCAGCGGCGCTTCTCTTCAATACGGGGAGGAGGAGCACGGCCATGAGAAACGTCGAGATGGCATTGACGGTGACCTGGCGCTCGTACCCCTCGGCGACGTGAAAGTGCCCCAGCTGTATGCCGGCGTTGGCGACAATGATGTCGAGGCGGTCCAGCTCGGCCGCCCGGGTGCAAAAGGCCCTGACGCTCGCAAACGAGGCCAAGTCGACCTGCCAGATCTCGACCACGCCCTCCGAGGCCTGCAACACCGACATCTCGATGGCGGCCTTGGCGTGTGCCCCGCGCTCCATGTCTCTACACCCCAGGATGACCTTGGCGCCCAGGCGGACAAAGTGGCAGGCTGCCTCGAACCCCAGGCCCGAGTTGGCACCGGTGACCAACACTGTCTTACCGCTGCAGTCCGCTGACGGGTACTCCAGGGGTCGGAGCTGGGTCCAGAGGGAGTAGAAGGGATTCATCGTGTCCAGTACTGTGCTTGGGAGAGGGGGGTGTGTGTGGTCTGTGGCACTCTGACGGAGAGAATGGAGTAGGGCCAACATCTGGGAGGAGCTGGTAACGCAAGTCCCCGACACGGCTTGATATTGTTGGCAGCCAGTGGCAGCCAAGACCTGGAGCGTTAATTACGGCGTTTCGTGGCTTGCAGCTTCATGTACGTTGGGTTACCACTACAACCACATCTTGGCCAGAGGCAATCCTGCAGCTTGCCACCCAACCACCGATGTTACTTCCGTGAAAACATAATGTGAGTGGTCCCCCTCCCCTGTCTCCTCGTCCCACGCTAGGCTGCACATTATGCACACGCCTCTAGATTGGGTTACGCTTCCGATGCCCATGTCCCGGCCCTAGTTGATGGGGGTAAATCTAAGATCACAATACTTGGGGGACCGGCTAATTAGCCCTCCCCAATTAATAATAAGCTCTTCTCCCTTGATTATGCCATACAATCCATGTTACCTACACTAGCAAGGGACCAATAAACACAGGGTTTCCGCATAGCAAACTGCATAATATCGGCTATCCTGGGCAATAGTAGGGCTGTATCGACCAACGACGGAAGCGATGATCCGAGCAGTCAGCCTGATGTCCCCTTGTTGGTCTTCTTGTTGGCTTGGCGATATACGAGGAGATGACCAAGCATGGGCGCAGGTCTACGTACAGAGAAAGGAGGATGTCTGGGAGGTATCGTTGGTATTTACCAAATTGTACATAATTTCTAGGCACAAATAATCTCTTGGTGATTGACTGAGTTAATGAAGCCAAAGACGTAAGCGATGGGAGGATTGAGGCACTCCGTTTTGATTGCCAAAGCGAACACGTCGTCCTCACATAGCAAGAACATCAAATCAACTAGCGTCATAATTGTCCGAATACATGTACCTTAGAAAAGCTTGAACCCTCCGGTGATACCCTTCTGGAATACGCCCTCAGGATCGTACTTTTTACTCGCCTGGGCCAGCTTCTCCCTGTTCTCCTCGCCGTACGAGGCCAGAGGATCTTGGTGGCTGAATGCGTAGTTCATGTACACAAACGGTAGTAGCTGGCCTCTGGACTCAGCGTCTGCCTTCATCTTTGCCAGCCCGTCCTTCATCATGCCTAGAACAGTCTCGTCGTCGCTCTTGTTCTTCCAGTACGAGAGCAAGAGGACGGAAACAAGAGGGCCATCGGAAGGGTTCAGCCCTAGGACATTGTCACCGCTTGCTGCCGACTTTTCCAAGAGGCTGAGAGGGTAGGGCTGGAGAGTGAACGAGTACATAGCATTCTCCACGGACTTGACCGGCTCAGTAAGACCCGCCGTGTAGAACTCCGAGGCGGCTTTCAACGTGTCCGCGTCGGCCTTGACTGTGATGTTCATATAAGCGCACCTGGTGGGTTCAATTAGTCTTGGGTATAATGATGGAAAACGACAGGGTGAATAGTACCTGACATTGGTCTGCGAAGACGCTTCCTGTTCCTTTGCCCCCTCCAAGACAGTGTGCAGCCGCATCGAGTTCATCTGGTCGATCTGCGGTTGTACCTTGGTGAAAGGCTGCAGCTCTGGAGGGTCTTCTACCGCTTGGGTGTAGTACGGCTGGTTCAGGCACATGATCGTGTCCTTGTTGATGGCAGCCGAGAATCCCTGGCTGATCATGAGGTGCGTCTCCTTGCTCGCATCGGGCTTGCGCAGCTCCGTGACGAGGGCCTCAATCTGCGACGGGAAGCTAGGCGAGAAGTAAAACACAGTGCCGCCGTAGATGGGCCCCTGCTTGAACGTCCTCATGTCGAAGCGCGTGACGATACCGAGATTGTTCCCAGCTCCCTTCAGAGCGGTCCACAGGTCAGCGTTTTCGTCGGCATTGGCATTGACAATCTCGCCAGAGGCCAGCGCGACCTCGTAGTTGATGATGTTGTCGACGATGAAACCCTCTCTGCTGGAAAAGAAGGACAGGCCACCCATCAGCGACAAGCCTCCGATGCCGCCCACAGCGGATCGTCCACCGGCGACTGCGAGGCCATGAGGGTCAAGCTTCTCGTACACTGCACCCCAGCGCTCGCCGGCAGCAATCTCAACGACGCCGTCCTTGACATCAATGCCCTTGAGCAGACCAAGGTCCAGTGTGATGCCGTCCTGGACGTTGGCGGACCCGGGTAGGGGCTGCTGCCCTGCGCCACGGACGGCAAAACCGACTGTGCCCACGAAAGGCTTGATGGTCTTGAGGAAGCTTGGTACATCTTCCTTGGAGCGGGGCTGGATGATCCACGCGGGCTCGAGGTCGCTCTCAAGGCCTGACAGATAAGAGGTGTTGAGCTTGGTGAACTCGTCGGTACCTCGCTCGACAAAATTGGCATCTGCGATGGTCTGTTTGAGGGCTTCGATAGCTTGGCTGACAGTCATGATAGCGGTGATGATCTTGCTCAATCAGAGACGGGCCAGTGCGAATTTGTTACAGCTAACATGGTCCTCTTACGAATCTTGCCAAAGCTCTGGCTTAAGTACGTCTATGACTATCAATAAACACTCGAATCTGACATGACATGACGCGTTGCGGGGGAATGGTGCGGGACAATCGAGGGTCGTCGTGCATAACCACGGTCGCTGTCAGAATATCGTGCTTGGAGGAAGCAGGGGTTACATTTTGCACAGCGTCTCCAACTCGGCAGCTACCGAAGATGGAACAATCCCCATCTACTGCCCCAAATTCAGGCCGTGAGCTCAGTTGGCACACTCTTCCGAATGGGCCAATTGGCGTGTGTCCTTTGGCTGTTGTATCAGACTCCTGACCCCGGTCCTTTGTCACTCAGTCCTGTTGCATTCGCGTTTTAACTTTCTGCCTGCCTGTAGGGTGATAAGACAGACCGGGGTCAGCTGCAGAACAATTAGGCTCCATATTGCGAACAATAGGCAGCCAAGGGTTTCAGTGGCCGTTGGTCCATGGCTGATGTGTGCACTGCCTCACGCACGATTGCAACCCTAAGATGCTGCCGTTTCTCTCGCATTGCAGACAAGACAATACTGTTGTTAGTGCAACGCCCGCGTAGCTGCATCCCGCGGCCGCCATGGCGCTCCAATTTCCACTTCCTATGTGACACGACATTTTGGTGGGCCATTTCCCACATGACAGCCATCTGCCTCAACACTCCCTTCCATTTTGTCTTTTCATCATCTTTTTTTTTTCGCCCACTCATTATCTTTTCCTTGTGTTTCCTAACAGCGTGCATCGCTCATCATGGCGAAATCCGACAATGCTGAGTCGGAGCGGCCTCTGGCATCACCGTCAGAGCCACCGACCTCCTCCCCAGAGCCCGCGACCGATGCGACCGCAGAGCCATCTGCTGCCCAGCCCAAGGGCCACTCACCGCGCTTCTGGGCCATCATCGTCAGCCTGAGCCTGCTCGCCTTCATCTCCGCCCTCGACACTATGATCATCACCACGGCCCTACCGACCATCACACAGGACATTGGCGGCGCCACCCAGTACATCTGGATTGGCAACTCGTTTGTCCTCGCCTCATCGGTCCTCCAGCCCCTCTGCGGCCAGCTCGCCGACATCCTCGGTCGCAAGATCCCCGTCGTTGCCTCCATCGCCCTCTTCATGATCGGCAGCGGTGTGGCCGGCGGCGCCGTCAACACCGCCATGTTCATCGTCGGCCGCTCGGTGCAGGGCGTCGGCGCCGGGGGCATCTACGTGCTCATCGACATTGTGTGCTGCGACCTCGTGCCCCTGCGCGACCGTGGCAAGTATATTGGTATCATCAACGCCTGGGCGGGCGTCGCCGCCGCGCTGGGCCCTGTGCTCGGAGGCGTCCTCGCTGAGAGGGACTGGCGTTGGATCTTCTACATGAACCTGCCCATCTGCGTCCTCCCGCTCGTCTGCATCCTCGCCTTCATGAACCTCAAGACCGGCGACGGCAGCTTCAAACTGGCACAGGTCGACTATTCGGGGACTGTGCTGTTCATCCTCAGCATCGTCTCTCTGCTCATCGGGCTGGTGACGGGAGGCATCACCCACCCGTGGTCTTCGTGGCAGGTCATTGTCCCGCTCGTGCTTGGTATCGTCGGCTGGATCTGCTTCCATCTGCACCAGCACTTTTACGCCAAGCACCCCAGCATCCCCACGCGCCTCTTCAGCAACCGGACCTCGGCCACGGGATACGCCTTGACATTCTTGGGATCTGTCTTGCTCCAGACGGCTGGGTACTTCCTCCCCGTCTACTTCCAGGCTGTTCTACGTACCACCGTGTCTGACTCGGGTGTATACTTCCTGCCCATCGCCATTGGCTCCCTCTTCTCCGCCGTCATAGGCGGTGTCCTTCTCAGCAAATACGGCGCCTTCCGCCCGCTCCACGCCGCGGCCTTTGCCCTGTCAACCGTCGGTTTCGGCCTGTTCACCCTACTTAATGACGATACCCCCAAGGTCGCGTGGGCCTTTTACCAGCTCATCCTCGTAGCGGGGCTTGGGATGACGATATCAACAATTTTGCCGGCCATTCTGGCAGGCTTGGCAGAGTCAGACGTCGCTGCGGCCACCGCCGCTTTCTCATTCATCAAAACCTTTGGCTTTGTATGGGGTGTTACCGTGCCCTCTGTCATCTTCATGGGTGTTTTCAATAACAACCTCTCCACAATCTCGTCGCCCGACCTGCGAGAACAGCTCAAAGATGGCAGAGCATACTCCTTCGCTAGTGAAGCGCACAGGATCGGTAGCACGATCGAGCCAGAGGTCTGGAGTGAGGTGGTCAAGGTCTACACAACCAGTCTGGACGCCATCTGGTGGTTCAGTTTGGGGTTGAGCATCCTGTCAATGTTCATGGTCGCCGGCGAGAGAGGCCTTGATTTGTCTACGGAGCTCAAGACCGAGTACGGCATGGAGGAGGTAGCGGATAGTAAGAAGCAAGCCGAGTGACCGCGTACTGGCATAGGAACATTGCGTCCTCCTATACCTGCATAACTATACATTGGGAGTTCTATAGCCTCGCTTGTTTTATCATGTACTTGGAATGCGGTTACTATAACTCTTAGGTTCAATCTACTAACAGAATATTTTGTTCACTTGGTGAATATAATTTCAGATATTGACTAGTTACTATAGATAATAAAGAGAACACCAGACAAGAATTCTCTAGAACCGCCTTGTCCTACTACAGGAAAAATACAAACACTTATTCATTTCGTTGCTCTAGCTGTTGCTTTTCGTGATTCAGTCTTCATTTCGTCGTGAACTTTGGAGCAGATATCTCGATATTATTACTGCCCAAGTTCATGGCTCTCGCTTCCACTAAAGGCAACAGTCACGGACCCAAAGACATGCCACCACCTTGCGTTGATTTTCGAGTTGACTTGGTGTGTTGTCAGCGCTCGTCCGATCAGACAGGCCCCAACGGTGCCTTGGACTAAAACAGGGGTAATTTACGGCATGGCGCAACCAACGGAAAGCTCCGAACGACCCGAGGCAAAACAAGAGAAACCATCTCCACGGATCCATGGAAGGGGTGGTAGGCTCAACAGTAAAGAGCTTTCCGTTACCGCCGTCGGGAGACAGTTTGAGTATAAAGTGAGGTAAACAGCAATAGCAGTGCCGAAATCAATCTCGGCCCTTTCCGCTTTGTGGAACATGCCGCACACCCACTTGTACCTCCAAACCCTTGTTGGGTTTCGTTGAACACACCCCTCAAGATCACAAGGCCACCGCTAAGCCAGTCAAACTCGTTGGCCCCCATACTAATCTTTGTAGGGGGGGCATTCCTTGTTACTCCCGCGTATCTGCAATACAACATTGGATCTTGGCGCCAATCACAGGAGAGAACTCTAATTGACTCCCTCAGGGGGTACATGTATAATTATGCATGGGGCGATTGTCCTTGTCAATATATCTCCACCACACCCATGCACGAATAGTTAGCCCAAGATCAAGGCCAGCCTTTGATCCGATGCTGAGCACCCACTAAAAAAGGTAAAACTGTCAACATCATTTTAGTCCAAGTCGAGCGTGGGTAGCATTCGCTGGAAGGATCGAATACGACCTCAGCATTGCAGGAGTTCGTTGGTGATACAGAGCCACTGGCTGCCAACCGCCATGTCAGCAAGGAACACTCGCTCGGCGTAATTGCCTTGGTGGGAAAGCGCGCGGGGCAAATCAAGTAGGGCTGCGGTTGCCACAATCCGTCAATATTGTGCAGGTTTGGGTTTGAAGGCATAATGCCCACGCGTGCCGTCAGAGGACCCTGACAGATGCTGATCAAGGCCGTCTATGCGCACCTCGCGGGACTCCCCCACCTCGCGACCTCACAAGCTACAACGCTCTCGTAGGTATCCAAACACTGAAGACATGGCCAACTATCTCGGCATCGAGGCCAAGTGGGATCTTCCTCAGCTTCTGGCAATAGTCTCCGTTAGCACGGCACTTTACTACTTGAGCCAATGGGTGTTTTCTTCGTCTGGAAATCTTGAGGCCTTGCTGAAGAGCCAGCCTGTCATAGGCCTGGGGAAACAGTGGTACGCATGGCCGCTGGCGACCCTCAAGTCCTTTAGCAAGTCGAAACAATGGGTTTTCGATGGCTACACCAAAGTGAGCTCTCCTTTCCACCAATTGATACTTGGGTTCTTCATAGCGTGCCGAGGACTAAAGTAAAGCGAAAAAAAGTACTCCAAGCTTGACTCCCCTTTCATCATTCCCTGCCTGGATCGCGGCCCAGTGGTGATTGTGCCGCCCAAGCAGCTCAAGAAGGTCTACAACCAGCCGCTCAGCGTGTTGGACGTCTATGTCACGCAGAACCAGACCATCCAGACAAAATATACCATTTCCGAGCAGGATATTGTCAAGAACAGCTTCCAGATCAGTGTCATTCGGCACCAAATGACACGGAACCTGGAGCATCTGACGCCATTGATTGCTACCGAGCTCAAGGTAGGGTTTGAGGAGTGGTGGGGGACTGACCAGGTAGGATGGCGAGACCTTCGCATATGGGACACCAGCCTGAAGCTCATTGCCGGCGCTGCCAATGGCGCCTTTTGCGGCCCGCCTTTATGTACGTCTTTGCAAGTATGGCTCTTCGCCAATTGAGCGTCTTATTTACTAACACCCATCAGGCCGTAATGCGGCGTTTCTGGACAGTCTCCGGGATCATGCGATGACCATGTTTGTCGGCGCCATGGCCATCAATGCAACCCCAAGCTTCATAAGACCTGTCGCTGGCAAGATTGTCGGGTGGGCATGCGAGAGGAAGTTCCAGAAGACCCTCAAGCTCTGCCTGCCGGTCATTGTTGAGAGGCTCGAGAACACGGCGAGAAAGAAGAAGGACCCCGACTTTTCCTGGGAACCGCCTGTAGGAATCTCCTCCCTCCTTTCCCAATTGCTCAAGTACGGCTGAAGCAGTATGCTAATTAAATTGGATCATCTGCAGAAAGACGGCCTGCAATGGATCATCGACGAAAGCTATGCGACAAACGACCCTGCCCAACTCCAACCCGTGCGCGTCACCCACCGACTTCTCTACGTCAACGACATATCGCTCCACTCGACAAGCTACACCGTCCAGAACCTTATACTCGATCTCTACACATGTGAGAACTCTGCCGAGCTCGTCAAGTGTCTGCGCGAGGAGGCCGCCGCGGTGCTCAAGGAGGCAGGGGGCTCGTGGACCCGCGATGCAGTCCAAAAGCTCAAGCTGGTCGACGGCACGATTAGAGAGTCAATGCGCATGACCCCCTTTGCGTCCGTTGGACTGCCCCGAACCGTGAGTCCATTATACCATCTGTCTCCAACGTCGCGCTGCTTCTGACATTTCACCTAGGTTATCGGCCCGCATGGAATCGACCTCGAGAGTCCATCAGGAAAGGTCCATGTCCCCCAGGGCACCGTCCTCGCGGCAGCCATGGACCCAATCCACCGCGACAACGCCATCTACCCCGATGCCGATAAGTTCAACCCTTTTCGTTTCACCCAGCCCGGCGGCGTGCGCAGCATCTTTGACCAGTTCAACGCCGCCGGCCAGAAGCCGGACGATGCCAACAAGCCCAAGCCCAAGTCGACGGTGACGCTGGACGACGCGTTCCTCGGCTTCGGCTTCGGCAAGCATGCCTGCCCCGGGCGCTTCTTCGCTCTCAACGAGATGAAGATATTTGTCGCGCACATGGTCCTCAACTACGATGTTGAGTGCCTGGATCGCCGCCCGGAGCTGACAAACGTTATCTGGCTCAAGGTCCCTTACAATGACGGGAGGGTGAGAGTCCGTAAACGTATTCCGGTAGAGCTGGAGTAAGAGGTCGTGCGAACCAGAGATAAGTTCCTGATTAGATCGATTTGTAGCATAGGTTGATATGCCCCGAAAGAGTCTTCCTACTTTACGTGTAGCTGTAAGTCAAATCAATAGTATTATTCGTCAGACAATAACGTAATAACCACCTGTCTACTAGAAACTTATCCAGTAGCTAGGTATCACATATGAACCAACTCTTTATCTTCAGGCTTGTAGATAATGCCTATTGATTATGTTAAATACTCTAGCAAGTAGCACTATAGATGGATTACATGTAATTCGATGCCTGGGGATATTTAAGTAATCTTACATTCTATATCTCAGTAGTGACTCGTTCGGAGCACTGCCCAAGGCTGGAGATTCTACATGCAAGGTAGGATGCAGTAGCTGTTCGCTGTGTTGATGTGCCACTCATCCTCCACTGGCACCAGGCCACTATTATAGAGTGTAATAATAATGCTTGGCCAGCCAAAAATAAAGGAGCAAAAGTGGCCAGCGACTATTGCTGTGCCCACCTCGGCGGTATGCAGGGAGACACACCTGACTACCACACACACACCACCTCCAGGCTAACCCGAGGGACCAGGCCATGTCGCATTCTTACATGTACCTAACCTAACTGCAACCCTACCGGCTGGTCGCATCATACTACCGTACTGCTCGCTCTTCTTGACATAGCAGCTCTGAGCCTGGAAGGAGTGATGGCTGCCAATCCTCCCATCTTACTAATGTTTGGTGGACTGATTAAATGCCATCCACTCGCTGCTGATGTTGCATCCCCAATTGCAATATTAATTACACACCTTTCAAGGCTGACTTTCCCTGTTCACATTCGCATTTAAGGGAATGATTGTCCCTCTCGCCTGGTTACATCCACCGTGCCAGCTGCAACACATAAATCCCCAACTTACCTTACTCTTCCTTTCGTGAACCGGCGTGCGAGCGCAAACCAGCGGCCACGATGAGTTCTCCAGCGGTCGGCCAAGATGGCATGTCATTGGACACCTTTCTGGCTGTCGGATGTACTTTGGTCGTCCTGTCGGCATTATTTGTCGCAGTTAGAGTGTGGTCGGACTTTAGGTTCGCCAATAAGCTCTTTGTCGACGACTGTGAGTTCGCCTTGCACGATGCTGCCGGGACTACGTGCTGACCGCTTGCAGACTTTGCCGTCGCCGCCATCATCCTCTTGGCGGCATGCTTTGCCATGTTCCACACGAGTCTCATAGGTTTGTCGATGCTTGGAGACGAGTCGCGGTCCGACGGCTAACACCTGTATAAGCATACTCGGACCCTCTCCAGATGATGACCAAGATGCGAGAGATTTCCCAGGTACGTGTCTTGCTTAGCCCCGACTTGCCTTGCACCTGCATGGCATCAAAAGTCCAGATCTGCTGACAATGCCGCTGCAATCAGTACGGCGTGGCCGTGGCGTTCCTGTCCGGATTCTCCATGTTCTTTGCCAAGGCGCCCGTCCTCCTACTGCTGATGCGCATCTTCGGCGTCGAGAAGTGGCTGCGATGGACTTGCGTCGTCACGCTCGTCGTCCTATTCATAGCCACCGTGGCGGGTGATGCCTACAACGCCCACAAGTGCAACCCCCCGGCCGTTCCCCCGATGGAGTTCATTTTGAGCTGCGCTGATGCGTCTGCTTTGGTTGGTGTCATCCTGGGCCCGATCGGTCTTGCCGCCGACATCGTCATCTTTATCCTCCCCATCCCGGTCATTGTCAAGCTCCACATGCCTCTGGCAAGGAAGATTGGACTTGGGCTCGTCTTCTTGTCTGGCATTTTGTGAGCCCATCTCGCCCAGTCCCATGCTCCTTTCTGAGAATGCTGACATGTGCATGTAGTGCCATTACTGCCAGTGCCGTGGCACTCTATTACAAATTCCAGTCGAGGTCCGGGACTGCCACGGACATTGGTCTTGGAATGACACTGACGTACGTTCTCTTCAATGCAATGCATGTTTATCCATCAGTGTTGGACTGACCTAGAGTACAGAACTATCGAGTCGACAATGGTCATCATTGCCGGCTGCGCACCAGCTCTTCGCGCCTTCTGGGGTGGTTTCATCATCGAGACTCGCCTCTACGGCAAACTCTCCTCTTTCCTCTCTTCCAGGTCTCGCACCAGGACAGGTGGCTCATCATCGGTCAAGCGGTCGAAGCAGTCTCAAGATGCTCTTGGCGACGAGACAACTCTAAGAAACACCTATGTCACGCTGGAGGACCACCACTCTACCAAACGTTCCATGGGGTCAAACATTGATCATAGCATGGAAGTGCCGCTCGACTCATTTGACCGTCGCAAGTAGGGCCATGGTGTGCTTCGAACTTGACTTGGGATGCCCGTAGGAGCTCGTGGATGTATTATATTATAGTATAGTGAATACGATTGGCTTTATTGATGTATTTCTAAGATGAAGGTTGTAATTAACTGACTTGATAATTATAAAACTCAACTATTTAGAAGTAGCTTTAATTTCGAAAGACTTTATTTATACCGGGCTACCCTATATAGGATCTTTCTATCTGATACAGTAGGGTTAGAAAGTTCTATAAAACTTTTCTCTACCCTCTTTTTAATATAAATATATCTAATATCCCTTTAACTTTAATAAGTTATAACTTTATAAATAATAGCTCTAATTAAAAGAAAATTATACTATTCTCCTTATAAGAGAATAAAAATAATATATTAGTTTCTTTCTAATATATTTCTAAAGGCTATTATAATTAAATTTAACCTAATACTAAGTACTATATATAATATCTATTATTACTATAAGTAATAATAAAATATAAAAAGTTAGCTATACTTAGGTTAGCTATATATCCTTATATAGAAAGATAAAAAAATATTTTTTCTAATTAATTAAAATTAACTTTTTTATTTAGAATATTAAATTATTTTATTAGATTAGATTATTATACTATATAAGTATTCTAATAAGCTTTCTTAGAAGAGAGAGTATTTAGTATATTAAGACTCTTAGAAGATTAAAATTAATATCTATTATTATAGTAAAAAGGCTTTAATTTATAAGACTTTATATATAAAAGCCTCTGTTATAATAAAAATAGATTATTTTTTTAGATAAAACTATAGTTATATATAGTAAAAAAGAGAGATAGAAATAGATATTCTACTTATTTATATATTAACTTTAATTATAGATAACTTTATAACTAATAGTCTAGATAGTAAGTAAATTAGATAAAAAGTATATTTAATTATATAATAAGCTTACTTATTATTTATAGATATTCTAAAGTATATTTAGTTAGAATATTTATATATCTTTAGTACTATTTCTTAGAGATCTAAATAGTAAGAGAGATAGTATAACTAACTATATTATTCAGATTTATCTTAAGAAAAACCTTCTAATAATAGTATCTCTAAAAAGTATTTTTATTTAAAATAATATATCTATATATATAGCTTATATTATATAAAGATAGCTATACTAATAGGCTTAAGTATATAGGGTTAAGTTAGTTAATTAGCTACTTTATAATCTAGATCTTAATCCTATTAAGAATATATAGTTTATTTTAAAAGAGAATATAATAAAAGCTTATTTTAAACTTATTAATATATCTAAGAATAATAAGACCCTTTAGTAGTTTTATAAGGTAGTTATTAAAGTATAGGAGAATATAGAAGATAGAGTTTTAAATAAGCTAGTTTATATAATAGTTAACTAGCTATAAGTAGTTATTAATACTAATAGCTAGTATATATAATATTAGAATATACTATTAGAAAAAGCTATCTCTAAGTAATATAGTTATCTAAATTAGAAATTAATTAGATAAAAATTAGCTATATTATTAGGCTTTAAAATTTATATCTCAGATAGACTATCTGGGGGTATAGACTAATTTTATAGAACTTTTTTACCCCTACTGTATCTACTATACTAGCTATTTAATAAGCTACTACCCTATAGTACTTATTAGAGAGAGCTTATTACGAATATAAAAATAATAAATTATACTTAATAATAATCTAAAGTTAGGGATAGAATATTGGCTCCATGATTATACCAACTGAAATTCAAAAGTGACTTTTATGGCAAATCACACGCTGGAGTGTAGCAGTGGGATAATTGGTGGGTGGAAATATTTTTTTCTTCCTAAAACTTCCTGCTTTGGACTGTGCGTTCAATGAGCTCCCCTGCTTTATTGAAAGTGATCCCTCCTAGGACTTCAAATACAGGTAGATCCACGTCAAATACCTTACCTACCCAAGTTCTCAGGTCAATGGCGGAGAGCGAGTCTAAGCCAGAGGAGTGCATCGAGTTATGGGAATCTAGTCGACAATTTTGTATCCCCAGAAGCCCCAAAATGGCTGTGACCACGTGAATAGGACATCCTGAAGATCCTTCCAGTGGGAAGGAGGTCGTACGCCAATCAGTGACTGGCACTGCACTGTATCTTTACAGTATGGAGACGCCGGGTCACAGTATATATCGAGCATAGCGTGTGGCTCCTTGACAAGAACAACAGCAAAGGAGGCAGACTCTTCAATGTCAACAAGTCTCTTGTGGCTTGTCTCAAGAAGATAGCCTCCATCTGGAACACCTAAAAAGAGTGAATATTTCAACGATGTTAAAACTGGGTACACGATGATTTATTACGCGGACTGGAACCTACGGCTGTGATTATATTTATGTTTAGTATATATATAGGACTAACTCGATATAAACAGAGGTAAGTTTTCATTTAGTATTTAATCCGTAAGGCAGCCATAATGCCAAGTAATTTTTCATCCAAATATACAAGTATTATTGCAATAAGAGACCACCTTCAGGTACAGGTGTGTCTCAGGTTTAGCTGACTCGGCAATCTAGCGCTATCACATGCACACCGCCAAGCGATACCAGGTAGGGTACCTCTTAGGACGCCTGCTTCCGAGAAAGGTAAGATTTTCACGCTTTTCAAATTCAGTTCCATACTCGACCCTTTATCGCTTTGTGATATACTGAGTGTCGGATACAGAACTTCAAATTGGTATACGCCGACCTCGTGGTTCTGTCATACTTGTATGCTATGTGAAATGCTTTGTTTATCCGTCAGTCGGAAGCAACTTTTCGCGAACGGCCAGTCTGGAACCAAGTCAGCTCAGTTTCCGATCCGTCATCGAGCAACTTGGATAATTGTATCGAAAAGTCCTTCAACCAAGCCCGTGACCTTTAGGGAAAAATTTCTCAGTTTGGAGAGTCAGCTCGACGCATGCTTGGTGGCTTGCATTAGGCTCGCCTTCCCCCACCCTGATTACGACTCTTCCATGATGACTACATATACGAAGCTGCACTTTACCACACCACATTATCTCAGTGCAGCTTGTTTGATTGGTCAAACTTCCTCAGTGCGCAGTATCGCCCTTCGCAGGATCATTTGCGTAGTCGATGTCGCCGTTGCCATTGGCTGCTGCAGAGGAGTTAATCTTTTTTTGGAAACAAGGGATGGGATCTACGAAATTTCGGTGAAATGACATGATAATGGGCGTTTTTGCTTGAACTCCGAACATATTAGCCTTAAAGTCGCTGTTAGAAGTTGCGTAGATCTTGCAAGCATCTCCCATTTTCCAGTGCATCCTTTCGTGCTACTTTAACTGGCTAGAGCTCCTTATCTAGAGTCTCATATTATTTACATCAGAAATCTTGGAAATGGTTCAAGAACCCCTTTCGATACGTTGGACTTCGAACCCTACAGGCGCCGAGGGTTCAATAGTAGACTTGATCATCATTCATGAGCCTGGTGGAAATCAGAACTTGGGTAGTATTGATGCCCGATTTTCGTCTTGGCTGACAGATTTCAACTCCAAGCCCCTGACCAAAGTTAGATGTGCTTTGGTAGGGTACACGAGCGAATCGATACTCAAAGACGAACGCTCTCTTGAAACCTCCGCCGACAGACTCATTCTAAACTTAGAAGACCACGAGAAGGTCATACCAAAGGCAAGCATGGCCCTATTTTTACTCATTGTCCCAATTTAAAGATAGTCTATGTTTCTAACGAAAGTGCGGATAGACCACTAAAAGACATTTCTTCTTTATAGCGCACGGCCTGGGAGGCTTAATTGTGAAGGAAGCACTCAACAGATCCATAGTTCATCGCCTGAAACCCGACTATCTGGGACATAATATCGCGGATTCAACGCTGGGCTTATTATTCCTCGGAACTCCACATTCAACTCCCGATCACCGATTCGAAAGGCAATTGACACTCATGGCACAAGTCGACAGTCCTAAAACGAACTTGGAGAAGGTCAAGCCGGAGGTCCTTGCGGCGATTAGGGCTTCGATGACCACTTTCAAGAACTTGCCTCACGCAAGGGGAACTTGGAAAATAATGTCCTTCTTTGAGGAACTCCCGATTCCTGATGAACCAACACATTTTGGCCCGGTATGTGACACGCGTTGTATATCCATGGGGTATGCTCGATCGTCTAATAACTGTCTAAGCTCGTTGGATACGTTGATACTTATTTATACGGACAGCCGCAGTTCGGCCTCCATACAGACCACAGAGTAAGAACTGACGCTATTTTTGGGACCCAGCCTTGCTAACCATGTCTCGGCAGCGTATCTGTTTTTGTTCCGATACACAAGATCAGAGATATAAAGTCATAGAGTCAGCATTAAACGGCATGCTTCTACAGACTTTAAATGTTGTAGTAAAGCCCTATCAAAAACAAGATTATATCTTCAATATTGGTTCGTATTAGCCCCTCGAGATATATATCAAGCTCTAACGGGTCTAGAAGTAGATGCTTTGAATTCCCTGGATAATACAAGGGAACACTATATGGTGCCGCTTATAAGAGAAGACAGATTCTCTTGGGTTTTCCAGGATTCTTCATTTCGATCATGGCTAGGAAAGCCTCGAAGCATGCTGTGGATCAAAGGAAAACCCGGGAGCGGCAAAACGACTCTAATGACGCACTTGCTACACAACTTACCAAAGCATTATGATATAACCACTTGCTTCTTTAGCTTCGGGCCTATTTATTCAACCCAAGCCTCCTTCAAGTCAATGCTTAAGTCGCTCCTTCTTCAACTCTTGCTCAAGGTCCCATCTCATTTCACTTCTGAACTATCCTTAGCGTTTTCAGACAGGTCTGAATACTTTGGTACTTATGGAAGGAACTGGGAATGGGGGGAGAAGGAACTTAAGAATCAGTTTCTCTTATTTTTGCGTCAGGCAAGCGACTTGAAGAGGCCTTTGTTCATTCTCGTGGATGCCTTGGACGAGTGCTCCGATGGAGATCAACGAGAAGTCTATATCTTCATTAACGACGTCCTTTCGGATCACAAAGCACATGTCGGCGTAACTTCTAGGCTTGAATCGCAATGTGCTCCGTCCCAATTTCAACAAAGAATTCGCCTGGAGGACCATAACTTAGTTGATATCAGATACTATGTTATGAGACAACTCGATCTGTTTCAACCATCTAGCACTCTTGGCGACAAAATGATAATTGTGCAAAAGATCTCTCAGATGGCAAATGGCAATTTCTTGTGGTGCCGGCTGGTAATGTCAAACTTTGACATGTTCATCCAGGCTGGTGCCAAAGACGGCAATCTGGAGGACATATGTTCCAATATACCTCTGGATGTCACAAGATTATATGAATCCATTATCTCTCGGAAAATATTTGGACATAGGCATCTCCTCCTTCGATGGGTTACATTTGCCATGCGGCCTCTCACTGTTACAGAACTACAAGATGCTTTGCTGATTGGCGATTCTCGCTCTGAGGGGGAGGAGGCTAATGATTCCAAAAACATGGAAACCAGCATCTATAATCCTCACGATGAGGTATCTCACTTGCTGAAGGAGATTAGTTCCATATCAGGGGGGATTTTGGAGATCTCCATGCCATCCAGATATGTTCCGCTGCAACCCGAAGTTGATTGGACATCGCCTGTCGTAACATTCATCCACCAAAGTGTGAAAGAGTACTTGCTAGGCGACTTTTGGAGTATCGGAGATTCTCATTACCGAAACAGTCACAAAATTCTTGCAAAATCTTGTGGACAGTATCTAACAACTTCAACGCCAGATCCCAAAATTAGACGACCCTTCTTCAACTATTGCCTCTGTTACGGGAGGCAGCACGCCGAAATAGCCCAGTATCAAAACGAGTATAGTTGGAGAATTTCCTTTGCGTTCAATAAGGGTGAAACTCTTGAATCATGGATCATATCATTCAATCATAATACCCAATTGAATGTTTTCTCTCCCGGAGCCACCACGATCAATCACATTCTGGCCTATCTGAATGTGCCAGTACTTCAGGCAAAGGAACTAAATAAGTGGAAACACTGCGATGTGAACTCTCAAGATCATTTGGGTCTCACGCCTTTGGCGCTTGCTGCTGCATTGGGGCATAAAGGCCCTTTCAAACAGCTGCTTCAGCTGGGTGCTGACTGGGGTATTCGTGACAATGTGTATGGGCAAACTCCACTAGGATGGGCTTCCGCCTACGGACACGTTGACATTGTGAAGCTGTTGATTGGTGCTGGTGCTGATATAAACGAATCCAAAAGTGGCACAACGCCACTCCATCTTGCGATTCGCAATTCTCACGTTGACGTTGTCCAACGCCTCTTAGACCACGGTGCGAGTGTTCATCTGAGAGAAAAGGCATTTGGTCGCTCAGCTTTGGGTCTCGCTGCTACTTTGGGTAGAGGATCCATGGTCAATCTATTGACACAATATGGGGGTTCTGCATTAGAGGTCCAAGACAAGTCCGGTTGGACAGTTCTGCACTGCGCGATTGCATCCTCTCATAGAATCACATCCAGGCTACTCCTAGACACTATTTCGAAAACAGATTTGAAAAAGATCGGTCAGTTTGGCATAGCAACGGAGCCAGCTTGGGTTGGGACAATACTTTCAGCCCTCAGCAGAAACATTTTGTGTTGCGGCCCAGAGAGTCAACCACCATCGTCTACTTCGGCCAAAGAATCCACCCAAGAAAGTTCTAGGCCAAATGATTTTCCGCAACGCAACCAAAAGAAGCGTGGGAGAGACGAGAGCGCAGACAAGCCTGGCGGCGAGGAAGATGGAGACTTGACGTCGGCCACACGCAAACTTCCTCGGCTAAACTTTGCTTGTCCGTACTATAAGAGGTATCCTGACAAATTTACAAAAGGGGCATGTGTTGGCAGCGGTTTCCCTGCCATGCACCGGCTTATGTATGTGAGAAAAGACCAGATGCCGACCACTAACACCAAACCATCACAATACTAATATGACTTTTACAGGGAGCATATATCAAGGAAACACTTCCTTGAGGGTATGCAAAGGTGCGGCAGGTGCAAAACGGTATTTCATCAAAACGAAATTACTGAACATCAAAGCTCCGATCAGGCATGTGAATTGCCAGTATGCCCGGTTTCCTACCATGTTGGCGCCGACTCTGTCCAAATGAATTATTTAAAATCCGCCGAGATGAAACCTAAAAAATTCGAGTCGGAAACACACCACTGGAACAAAATTTTCAGGATACTTTTCCCAGATTGGGAAGGAGATCTTCCCAGCCCTTGTAAGAACTTATGTTGCGTTTATGATAAGCCGAAAGAGATTAACATTTTAATAGACCACGAGGGTGTTGTCCAGAGGTTAAAAGAAAAATACCTCTGTGAAGAGAAGATTAACACTTTCATGCAGAAACTTCCTGAAAATCTTCATGACTTACCCGCTGAAAGATTTCGTGCGGTTCTCCACGGTCGTATTCACGATATTCTAAGTGAGGTTATCACGGACTGTGCCGCTTCAAGCATCCAACGAAGTTCACCACAACCTCAACATTTCAGGCGAGTCCCACAACCAATGACATTCAGAGGAAATTCCTCTTCATCAGCCATTCCTACCCTCGAGACCCAAACGCAGCCTCAGGGCTTTATGTCTTTGGACACTTCGAATTTAACACCCTCCGCCTCACTACTACCACAAAATCAAGTCGGGCCTGCACAGCCTATTCTGGGCACGCAACAATACCTAGATATCCCGCAGATTAATCCGTTTTTATCATTACCTACCAGCGAGGCTAGTTCAGTCTTCGGCCTTTCTGCTTCTATCCCACCCCTATCCTCCGCAGGTGGGACTACTGAAGATGATCTCCAGTCAAGCGTTGATTGGTGGGCCACTTTTGGCGATGGAACCTCCTCGGAGATTCGTCAGAGAGGTTCAGAGTCATCTGCAGGAAACTTGGACCCATACAATAGAGGTTATTCTATCGAAGGGTCTGTTTGTGCAGGCCCAATCACTAATTGGCAAAGTCCATATCAAACTCAGATCATGCCAGCCAACCCCAGTGATAGAAACGTTGGATCTCTCGGAGCGGTACCATTATATACGCATCATCCCATTGAACATTCCTTGTTTCATAACCTTTTATATACAGGTTCAGATGCTCACCAACCTCCCCAGATACCATTAAGAGGCTACAATTCAACAACCAACTCAATCACCGGTGTTCCGGAGAAACATGATATCGCACAGGGACAGGATAGACAGGAAAACCAACTAACCGACTCTGATTCCGTTTCTAAAACTCATAGCTAATACACTTCATCTGAGACGGACCATCATCTAGTTCGACAATGATATAGCTTATAGGCGCGGTTCTTCGGGTGTTAAGAGGCGCGGTTACAAATTAACAGCTGTCAGCTCAATCCAGACCTAGCCATGACAAAATTGTCAGGTGGCAGCAAAAAGAAAATAGGCGTGATTATACTGGGTAACATTACGGCCCTCTATAGACAAGTGATCAGATCTGTCCGATAAGAATAGCCTAATTTGAATTGAACAGCAATCCCCTGTTTACCGATATAACCTGCGGTAAATAACATAAACAAAATTACACTAAATGCCTGTCTCTATAATCTCGAACTCCTATTTTAAGTATAGGCCCCGGGGCAAGGTTTATAAAATAGGGTATTACCACCGCCCCTACAGTTACCTTCCTGAAAGACAGTAGCTAAAAGACAGGGTTCTCTCTTCCTATAATATCTACTACCATCCTAAGGAAACTGGCTGGTATATAGCACCTCACTCAGCTTTATAATAATAATATATAACCTATTCATTTGTTTGCTCTTCTGTCTCCTACCACGGGAGTCGTTCTTAAACCACGTGGGAACTCCTCTCAGATGACCTCTTTCTCTTCAGCACCCACTCCCAAAGCCTTCAGAGTGCAATAAGTCAACCCAGGCTTCAGATTTCCACTACAGCCACTGACTGTCTTGCCAAGGGATGGATTTGCCTCCAGCAATTGATCAATAGTTACACCAGCTGTTACACATATTAATGGACAAGTAGTCTTTCCATCGTCCGTCTCAGAAACTTTGTACCAGGAAGAACATCTATCAATAGTACCTTCAGCTATTGTAGCATTCTCAGGAGCCGGTGTAGGAAGCCAGCCAGGGCGATCTGTTCCTGGTCGTGCAACACCTGTATCCGGCGCGGTTTCGTTAGAAACTCCATTTTGCGGCGTTAGACAGATCACACGTCCGTACGTTTGACTGGCGGTTAGTAGATTGCTGCAGGTTTTGTCGACCCAAGGATTATACAGGCTCACATCTCCATAACGAACACCCTCCTCATAGTGATCTCTCTCGATTCCAACACAAGTATCATTACCCTGAAGGGTGTAAATCTTCTCGCATGCCAGTGGAATGCATAATGAGATTTGAATGGGAATCGAATAACAATCGAATATTTTATTTTGATTGCCCATGAAGATAGCGGCTGATGCGACCGAGTACAGCAAGGCGATGCTATCACAGGTGTCATCAACCCGCGGCTGACGCCATGTATCAGAAAGGCATAATACCGATTTCTGGGGCTCTGGGATCGCCTGAGGTTGGGTTGTAGTTGATCCCTTTAGACCACACTTGCGGTAAATGTATTCGAGGCGGGCTCTATTCGCTTCATCGTATGTAGAATACGGTGTTGGGACCATCATTGCGTGTCTTTTCACATAACATGAGTTACAAAGCTCACTCTCTGGCATGGCCGTGTAGTTGTGAACAACGGTGAACTCGGAAATGATATCTAAAGCAAGCATTAGATTTGTCGAACATGAGTTTAGGTTGTCTTGAGATCTCACCGTTGCAGTATCTTCCAGTGCTCTCGTCCTTTAAGCATGTCTCGTTGTAGCCCGCATACATTCGTGCACCAAGCAGCACTGGCAACGCACCATTGTCCAGCTTGTATCCGCTGCAGGAACTTTCCACATTGTCATACCATGACTTGAGGCTTTTCCCACAGCCAGTTTGGCAGACCAAGTCTGTAAGAGTGTCGTTCCCAAGGGTCCCATGATGCGAAACCTTGGCAAAGCCTTCCACTGTCGACTCGCAGTCTATTCGTTGAGTGAGGGCAGTGTTGCAAATCTCTGGAAACTTGTTCCGCATTTCACCAACATCTGCGGCGTCGTAAACTTGGAATCCTTCAAATTCCCGCTCGCCGCTGGTTCTCCCGGCCCCTTGAAGCCAGGCCAAGATAGACGAAAGGAACCCATTCACATTATCTGCCGCCTTTGTAGCTACAGATCCTAGAGGGGATATCATTTCGACAATGGCAAAAGTGCAAAGATTGTATATCCAAATATCCGAGCTTTGCTCGACTTCGAATGCACGCTGCTGGCAGTTACGAGTATCTTCGCAGGTTTTGCTATAGTCATAGAACCAGCTATAGATACCCGCACCAAGCATGTATATGGCTGACGAATCAACAATTCTCACAGCCCATGAGGTGGCACAGCCTTTCTCGTTATTGTTTGCGCAGCTGGCGAATGTAGGGTCATTGGGGAAGAGGCCTGTCTTGAAGGGCTGTGGAGCGGGTGGTACAGGCTGGAAATACGGCGATTCGGTCTGTATCATGCCCAACAATATATTCTTTGCTTTTGAAAGCTGATATTGATAAAGCACCGCATGTTCCACGGATGTTCCCCAAAGCCAGGCATGAGTACTCTCAACCAATAGGCCACGGCCGACGAATACGTCGATCTGATCCTGGCTTTTTTTGCTGCGATATTTGCTATTAGTAACGCTAAGCATCCTGTGATTATGCGAAACTTACTCCAAGTCGTGATCAGCGACCCAGATCCAGATGTTTTCGAGATATGCCGATGATTCTGGAGTAAGGTGCATCATGAGACTCGCTCCCTTGCACCTGGGGTTGATACTGCCAGTCTTCTTAGGGCAGTCTTCCAGAAGCATCTTGGTCCCTATCGCTCCACCGACTCGGAAATGGGAGTCTGCTCACAGTTTGATTAGTTTAGTCTGCAAAACGGACGGTTTGCATCGATGGTTACATACCCCACATGCCAGCGGACCCTTGGGTCGAATCTTTCACATTCCACTCCATCATGATCAGCCCGGCAGTTGCTCCTGACTGACTGAACATCATGCCTTGAATCTCTACGATGCCCTGTTCTCCCGGTCTCCCGACCTGAATACCAACTTGAGGTTTTTCCTCGTTCAAGAAATTCGGGTCTCCACTCATCATAATCTGGGGCCAAGCTTGACCAATGATCCGGGAGCCGACAGGAACTCGGAGGGTGTCCTTGATAATGTACACGCCGTGAGGGAAATAGACGATGGATGATGTGTTTGCTGCGCCATCTAAAATGGCGTTGAGAACGGGTGTGTCATCGGTCTTGCCATCGCCTTTCGCGCCCAATGCCATGACATCCATGATCCTCTGCTGCGGGACATCGTAATATTTTGGACGACGCCTAGTGAAGATGTCTCTACCCATCTTGTCCTTTTGGCCGCCCAAAAGAACCTCGCTTCGGGCCATTGCCGGGATCTCGCCTCCGTGAATAAAAGATTCGCGGCCTACAACGTTGCCGTCGGCGTTTGTAGTAGCGTTGCTAATCTTACCAAAACCCCAGCTCTCGACAATAACTTCGTTGCCGCCAGGTAAAAGAACTGCATTATTCTTAAAACTGTCCTTGATTGCGGTCTGGACGTTGAAAAAGCCAACGTTTTGGAGTAAAAAGGACGTCGAGTTTTCTGCCACGAGGGAAGTAACGATGGCTTCTCCGGTATTGGCAATGATGCTATCGACCAATATAAGAGATCCCACACCTTGTCCAGTGCTCATAGGTCCTCCTGCCTGTGATGTGTATGTGTGTGAGTAATAGTACTTAGATGAATGAGAGGAAATTATAACCTACACCACCCACGATGACCAAACCCGTGCCGCAACTCTCAATCACGAAATCATGCATCGTCCATGCCCAGTCCCAATGTACTTGGACAGCAGTTTTGCAGTTTACAAATACGAGACGACTTGTTGTAAATTGCTGGTTTCCGAAATAAGCCCTAGGAGGAACTGTTAACTCATGGTATACGGGTTTAGGGTAGGCTTATAAATTACCCGAAATTACCACCCACAAACGTGAGATCTGCTAGGAAGCCTCCCGAGCCATTCTCCATATAAATTCCCTTGTAGATCTCGCGTCAGTAGCGGCTTTTATAAGTCAGTGATATAGGAAAGGTATACCTGTTGGGTATTTTGGGGCACCTCGCTGTTATACAGCATATAAAACTCAATATTTTCAAGGGAAGAGGCCTGGGCAACCTGTCCAGCCTCACTCGTCAGTATATTATCCATAAGCGTACCCGAGTTGAGGGGTACGAACCTGCCAATGGATACCGCATATATATGCCGTGGGATCCGTGTTCCTGATATCTATTTTGAAATTTCGAATGCTTCTTAAGAAATTGCTTGTATTTATATACCTTGGGTGGGCCAAATTAATATACTAGTTCCTATAATTTAGATAGGACGGATGCGCTCACCAGCTCTCATCATCACTGATATAGACATCACTAGTCATAACGCCTAATCCAACGAAACTTGAAGCAGCCAAGATTGTTGGAACATTGATCGGCTAGCGAATCAGTTAGGACATGTAAGCAAACCAACATCGAGTACCAGCTAATATCCGAAAACATACATCACCAAGAAACTCGGTATTATAGTACTGAATAATGGAACTGCTGACGAGATAGGTGCCCGGCGGAAAGTAGACAGTAGCGGGATATAACGAGCTTGAGCCGCAGTCTGGGCCACATCTGCCGCCGTCAGAGATTGCCTTGTTGATTGCTGCGGTGTCATCGGTTTTGCCATCACCCTTGGCGCCATAATCCTTGACGTTTCGCCACACCTATTTGATCATCACCTCCAGCGTTAGAAACTGAAGAATATCGGCTAATATGAGTCGAGGAGCTTACTTTATATCCGGAGGGTGCAAACGGGCTTTGACCTCGTTTGGCCATATCCACCATCCAATAGCCGCTGTCGCGCTCTGATACTTTGGAAGACATATTGGAGGTGCTGGTAGCCCATTGACCCAGCTTCCCATCGGGGGGCTCAAGAGGCTCAGGCGCATTGGTATCATTGTTGTTGGAGCGGTATTTCTGTTTTATCGCTGCTGCGACTTCACTATGATCGCCCTTGGGAATCTGGGGTGTCGACTCGGCAACCTTTCTTGCCGCTTCTCGGATCTCCTCTGGAATGGAGTATGGGGAAGTGGAATTCGATGCCAACTTGCCAGAAGAAAAGATACGAGCCGAAGAGGAGTTTTGACCATAATTTAGCGGAGGTGCAAGCTTGGGCTCCTTCTCAGCTGGTCTCATCTCTTGCTTATTAAAACTGGGATTCTCAATGCGACCTTTGTTCACTAGCCTCAATGTGGTGAGAGTGTGAGCAATCAAAGCAATCTCTTCCTGGACAGTAGTGTTCTCACTGCGGAGATCAAGGGTAGGGCGGTTTTCGGCCAACGCAGGCTGATGACCTGGGCGGTCATGATGCTCATGATGATGTCCATGACCAGCAGCCAGTAGGTGGAAATGGACAAGAACCAAGGCTATCAGTATAGCCCTTATGTTAAGAACACAGCGACTCCTCCCCATTGGCGAGCTGTCTGTAGGCATTTTGAGGGAATGAGCGATGAAACGAAGAGCACGAAGCCATAAGTGTCTAACGACTTGGAGCACTGGCCTGGGGATATCCGCATCATGAATGCTCTTTGAAACAATGAGAGACTTCTCTGCGTTGGTAAACACCTGGCTAAGCAACCGGTCCTTGTCTGGGGAACTGGCCAAGCGAGCCGGACGCCAAGGTGCTTGTAATTACAAACTTTTACCAGATGTCACTTTTTTGAACTTGTACCGCTAGTAGTCACCAGATATGTGGCTTGGCATCAGTCCGCACAGACGACTTGACCCATGGCATGGACCACTCTCTTTTCCGACTTGGCGTCGGATCATGGCACACACATTGCCTAAAATGGCTGCCTGGGAGAATTTAAGAAGCTCATAATTGTTCCTATTGGTCAATTAACGGATGTTGGTTCTCTCTCCCTTCACCATGACAACTCCGCCCCGGTTGCGACGTCGTTCTCACAGTTCCAGACTCTCTGGATGCTCCAAGTCACGCATTTCAGTAAGCATGCTGGCTTGGCTTGTTATCCGAGGGTCAGACATATGTACATCGAGAGCCCGTAGACAACGTAACCTAGTCACTTGGCAATGAACTATTGCCCTCTGCCATAACCCGAGGCTCCTTTGGACGACCAGAAAAGGAAGCTTCTGCCTAGCCCTGTAAGTCTTGTGAGGTAAAAGATACTTGTCCTAGAGGAATACCCAAGCCGTTGGGTATTCTGAGAGGAGGCATTGGGCAAGACGAAATCACACGGGCACCACAAAAGGGTGCCGCCAGGAAGAAATGCCTTTTTATCGTGATTTTCTTTCTCCCTCCCTTCAACTTCCTTGTCGAGCACCGTCCCAGTCAGCTCCCCAAACCAACGCGATGAGGAAGTTATCGCTCCTCCTATTCTTTATCCAACTTGCTTCAATCTTCTCAGCCACCATTGCGCAAGAAGCAGAATGCAGCAAGGACAAGGCCTGCAAGAAAGGATGCTGCAGCAAGTTCGGGTACTGCGGCCTTGGCAAGGACTGTGAGTGCTGTCCCCGCTGGGAGTAGTTTCTCCCAACCTCTGAGTTAACAACACGTTTGAATTAACAAACTGCAAGTCTGCGCCGTGGAAAACTGCCTCAATAACTGCGAGCGCAAGGCAGAGTGTGACCCTGGCAATTTTGGAAAGGAGTACGTCGAGGCGGAAAAATGCCCTCTCAACATCTGCTGCTCCAAGCACGGGTTCTGCGGCACTACAAAGGACTTCTGCGGTAGCCAGACAGTCAAGAAGCCCAGCGAATGCAACAGCCGAAGAAAGTTCAACCGGGTTGTGGGCTACTATGAGAGCTGGTCAATGACCCGCTCTTGCAATGCGTTTAACCCAGAGAAAATCCCCATTGGAGTGTACACGCACTTGAACTTCGCATTTGCTACCATCAACCCAACTACGTTCGAGGTGCAACCTGAGTCTGACCAAGATGTGTACATGTATAGACGTCTGGCCAGCTTGAAAAAGAGGGATCCGGATCTGAAAATCCTCATCGCTCTTGGCGGTTGGACCTTTAATGATCCAGGGCCAACTGCAACTACCTTCTCAGACATTGCATCAAGTGAAGTAAATCAGAAGAAGTTCCTCAAGTCTCTCATTAGTTTCATGTCGACGTATGGATTCGATGGCCTCGATCTGGATTGGGAGTACCCCGGCGCCAAGGATCGAAGTGGTCGTGATGTTGACTTCAAAAACTTCCCTCAACTTTTGGCCAACATCAAACAAGCTCTCAAAGCCTCCGGGAGAGACACACTGAGCATCACAATCCCTGCATCCCTCTGTGAGTTTTGATGAAAAGAAGTAGAGGAGAAAATACTTCAGGGTGCATTCCTAACGTCGCGGCAGGGTACCTTAAACATTTCGACATTCAAGCCATGCAACCCTCAGTGGACTTTTTCAACGTGTAAGTCTACCAAGACAAGTGCTAATTCCCCATCATACGCGTGCCGTCTAACGCTGCTCACATTAGTATGTCGTACGATCTGCATGGGACATGGGATTTGAAGAACGATTGGGTCGGGCCATATCTCAATGCCCACACAAATCTGACGGAGATTGATGATGCCCTTGATCTCCTCTGGAGAAACGACATTAGTCCTGACAAGGTCGTCATGGGCCTTGCCTTCTACGGTCGCGCCTTTCGAGTCGAAGACCCTTCTTGCACCGAGCCTGGTTGTAGATACGGGTCCGGCGCCCCGAAGCAACCGTGCAGTCAGGAAGTGAGTGTGATTCTGAACTCGGAAATCGCAGATGTCATGAATAGAACGGGGGCCAAGCCAAAATTATATAAGCAGGAAGCAGTCAAAGTCATTACCTGGGATAATAACTGGGTTGCCTACGATGACGAAGAGACACTTAAAATGAAGGCAGAGTTTGCAGCCAAAAGGTGCCTTGGCGGCGTCATGGTGTGGGCTGTCTCCCACGACACGAAGGATGCAAATTATTCGCTCGCACTGGCTCAGTTCGCACCCAGAGATCATGTCCTGATCGAAAAGCCCCAGGACGGGAACACAACAACTTATACCAGCCATGAGCAATGCAAGTGGACCAACTGTCGTGAGGGTACGTGTAGCAAACAACATATTCAAGGCCGAAGAAACCAACGCTGACATATCATGCAGGCTGTCCCTCGGGCTGGAGCACTATTAAGCGCTCTGACGACAATGCTCGACAAAACGAAATCATGCAGGATGGCCAAGGGTGTGATGGCTATGGCGTTCACACATTGTGTTGCCCGCCTGGCAACGGATTACCATTGTGTGGGTGGTATGGGCATCGCAACGGAGATTGTCATGGCGAGTGCCCTAGCAGTATGGTCTCTGTGGCTACCAACAACCAGCATTGTTATAGGGCGGGTATGATTGGGCTTAGGGGCTATCAAACAGCATGCTGTTCCACCGGATACGGTATTGGATCCCATGGCAAGGTATTCGACAACATGAAGCTCCATTCTCAGTGCGAATGGGGCGCGTGGCCTTATTGCGATGAAAAATGCACCAGTTCGGAGAAGAACGACCTTGTGTCAAAGTCACGCGAGGGCTCAGGAGGCGCTGTGTGCCTGGCTGGGAAGCAGGGCTACTGCTGCGACAACGACGACGTGAACTGGAAGTGGGACAGCTGCGAGTGGTACAAGGATTACGGCGACGGCCCTGAGGGGTCGAAAAACTGCAAGCCTGGCTGTCCGTCCAACAAGGTCCGGGTCTCGATGGAGTCGACCGACTGCAAGAATGGCGCGTGGGCTTATTGCTGTTCCGCCACAGCGAGGACACTGGAGAAGCGGTCGAACCCCATGCTCAAAGTCTACGAAGACTCTTTGAGGACGTATATGAAGGATCCCACCTGCCCAGCGAATTACACAGAAAGCGAGAGTGGACTGATGGCAGTCAAGGGTTTCCTTTTCGGGTCATTTCAAGGTAGGATCGAACTCCACTGCCGAAGAGTTTATGGCTCAAGAATCCTCTCTTTTCAGCAGAAGGTTTTAGCATAGAGAAGTGACTAACCAGTCATGATCTTATAGGGAATAGCACATCTAGCTCGGGATTGGTCCGACGGTCGTCCAGTACAGTTATCCTCGAAGGCGTAAAGGACGTGGTTGATATCCTTAGGGACGACTTTGTGAGCTTGGATATCACAAACCTTTGGAACGACGTTGTAGGATCCCGCTTCGCAAGTCTGACAGCCGCGAACGTCCACGAATACTTTAGGGATGACCCATACTCTCTGATAGCCATAGGAGGTTTTTCGATGGCCGTGACGTATTTCGTGTGCAACTTTGAATCAATGAATGTTTTGCTTGGGGGAGATACCAATAGTCCGTTCAGCTGCACCACGCCGACGAAGAACCCGTGCGACGAGGACGACGAAGAGACGTGGTCCATCTTTGCCAATGTACCCATTAAATGGGCTACAACGGACGAGAACGGTGTATCCTTCAGTGGCCAGTATACAAAGATTCGCGTGAGTATTCTTTTCAAATCTACACCAAAAAATGAAGGCAATTGAATTAATCATCTCACTAGCCATATAGCGGGAATGAGGTGAGCTCCCACGCTTTTCGCTCATGCAACTGAGTTCTGGAAATCTAACCCTCCGTGTCTAGTGGGATCCGACCGACCCTGTCCAGAGCGTCATGTATCAGAGCGTGTATACTTCGCCGGCGCGAAATTGCCAAGTCATCAACATGCGAAAAGAAGACATGTTGTCGAAGCGGTTGAACGGTCCCCTTTCCAACGTTGACAGTGATTCAAGCCCTGCCCAATGCTGAAAGTACATCCATCACATGCTGATATGCAGAATCTAGCTGAACATCCGATCGAGGGACAGACAGTAAAGCTGTTTTACCAGGACGGCATAGCAAGACGGCTCGCGAACGGCAAGAAATCGGTTCACAGTCTGCCAGGGGACTTCGTCACCAACACGCTCCAAGATACACAGATTGTGCTGCAGCTTAATCCGGTCCCCGACCCTCCACGCGGCCATACTTCTAATACAAATACTGATTATCATTCTCTTGAAAAGCGACTTCTCAATGCCCTCGGAAGTAGATTTAACACCGACGTTTTTGTGCTTGCAGACAAAGACCTCAACTGTATGAAAGAAAAGGTCAGTTCCGCCCACTACCCTTCGAAGGAATAGTCTGGTAGTCTGGTAGTTGTGATAGTGATTACTAGTTGTCTTCGGTTGCATTGGTGGTTCAACGCTGATAAACAATATCCTTAGCTTTGGGCGGGCGACGCCCCAGTAGGGAAAAAACTCATGGAGAGCTTGCTGACGCATGACACTGGCGATGCCGATATTGTTTTGACTTACATACGTAATGTATGAAATCCTCCTTGGAATGCAACATATAGGGACCGAGATTTAACGTGCTTTTCTATCCCGGGCTAGGTTATCGGAATCGTTTCTTATCTGAACGATGACACGCTCCACACCAAGATGAAGAACATCATCATGGAGTTTCGCAAACAGCTGCGCGTGGCCGAGCGAGCCCACCTGGCGCGCACGGGTGTCAAGGTCGAGGCCGTGGCCTTTTTCGACGAGTGGATGCCGACGCTTTTCGAGCGCATCCGGGGAGACATGATTTCCTTTGCCACGACATGGTGTGACAAGCTGGACGCCGCCTGGCAAAACGTTCCCCAGGCGCAGGGCATAATCCAACAGACGACGCACCTGAGAGCCTCTGCGACGGCGACGAGGACCATAATCAACCAGCGAAACTTTTACGATCCCGTATGAGCAGACACTTCTGGGACAGTTGGCTTGTGGCATGTCATGTTGACAATCAATCTGGATCTCCTTGCTGGATATGGCCTCAGACTAGGGCTGTCTCGTGTTCACTGTTTGCAGGAAGGAATCTTAGGTCTATTTGTCTTGAAAAGGAAGACAGAGTTTTTAATTACTGTATGTCTTTTACTATGCTACCTAGATATAGCTCCACCCTACAATCAGGCATAGAGGGAAAAGAATACTAGAGCAGTGACTGCTATGCCATGCTACAGGGTACTATAGGTCAAATCGGCGGAGGGAGCCACAATTTGCCTCGGCTGGTAGCGGTAGAGTCATGGGATGGCAGGGTTTCTCTCCTCCGCTAGAGCAAGTCGCAACATGTAGCGGTACAACTCTGGCACGATGGAGCCACCATCATCCATGTCTTGTTACTAATTGTCGCCTGCACCATCGTCCTTAAAACAAGCCCGTTGGTCTCGCCCTTTGACTCTTTCGTGGCACACACTCCTCGGCATACCCATCTGCCGCCTTCTTCAAGCTCTTCGCTGCACACATCCAACATGGTCGCTACTGGTGATAAACCAGACCCTGGCCCCTTCCCAGAAGAATTACTCCGTCCGCAAGGGCCGCCGTACCGCACTGACTATGATTCTCCCCTCGCTTTCGAAATCGCGAAAGCAGAATATTCCATGCGCGAAGACTGTGATCGAGTCGTCACTTGGGGCCAAGACACCCGCTTCAGGCCTCACACATGGGGCTTCACTCTCTATCGCGCCTGTTTCGGTCCCGGGACGGATGAGCGTTTCCCCGACGCTGTTCGGCGCCTCGACGCATGGGTTCGTCACCTCGTGCTGAGCGACCGGTACCGCGGGCTGGATGCAGACACACGTGAAGAATGCAGGTTGCTCGACTCAAGGCTCGACCCCCAGCGGCCTCTCCCGTCGCGAGAACTGGCAAAGAGGTTCCACCTGGAGGTCATCGAGGATTATCCTGGCAAGGAACATGTCGTAGCCGGCCACGCCACTGAAGACGGCGAGGAGGACTTCTCTCCAGTGGGAGAGTCCTTTACGAAATGGGTGAGCGAGCATGCCGTCACTCAAGACGACCTCTACGTGCGCAACGACCACTGCCTCATTGTAGATGAGAAAGCGCTGGAAGCTCTCGAACGACTCCCTCGGAGCACCCCAGAGCCAGGGCCAGAACCGGCAAACGCACCCCAGACAAAGCTTCTCTATGGGCACAACTCGGGGGCCTGGGTCTGGATGCTGGATCGGGAGTATTTCCACACGTTTACACATTCTGGCCCGGAGCACATTTGGATAAGCGACACATTCGGAGGTGGCCCACGTTACACTGACGGGCTCCCTGCTAGTCCGTGGATTCGCATCATGCCAAGTTCTATCCCAGAGGTGTGGTTCCATCGCCCCAGAAATTTTACTCCATCAAATTGGACCGCCGTGATACAGAGAGATAAACACAAGTTTGATAAAATTAGTTGGTGGAACCCCGTTCCATCGGCCTTCAACGAAGTCTACAGTCGGAAACGTAGGGAGCAGCTAGCATAGCAACAATCGGAACCAAAGGAGGAGACAGGGGGATGATATTGTATATCCTTATTCTATTACGCCTAATTGACTTCCACTGTGTTTTAAAAGCTTCAAAGCATTTCTATTGATGCTACCTCCTGGAACCCTTCCGTGTCATTCTTAAGTGTCACTTGTTCTTACCAGTAGCTGCAGAAGATTGCAGCGATCTGGCCTTGGGCACCAATGTAAGACGAGTGTACAAAGGAAGCCAGGTGAAAGAGATGGCATTAATAGTCATTCGAGCGGTCAGATGATCATAGCTGTGTTGAGAGACTGAGAGCCCTGAGGCCAGACTACGATTTATTAAGCTTACTAGCAAATCACATACAGCGAGGACATCGACGAGCGATTCGGAGCCCGGGTCGGGCTACTCTCTCGATAATAGGATATGGGAACTCCAGCTTAATAAGAGGGAGGCTAGCCGGTCAGGTAGTTGGAAGATAGACAACAACATCCTCAATTCAATCATTTCACCTGCCATACAATCTAGCTGCTGGTCCTAACACAAAGAGGTATTCTTAAATAAGAAGGGATCAAGAAACGGTATTGCATTTAGAAAGTGATCGCTGTTATTTTATTCAATAGACGTCAGACTGATTTCCACCCTCTGAAACAGAATTAAAAACGTGTCCTACTGCCCGTGGCATTTTAAAGAGGTTCATGCCATGGTGGGATCTGCAAGAGGGACTTATCTGCGTCTGGGCGCCGCTCTTCGCCATGCTTAGCCTTTGAGTATCGATTGCCATGCTTGCTATCATACTCAGGACCTAAAACAAATTTCTCTAGGATAGGTTCCATCTTCAAGAATATCCCTAGAGAAATATGGAGGTCTAGGACAGCTGGAAGATACTTTTTGATAGTGCGGGCAATATCTATATAGGCGGAATAAATACTTCGTGATAGTTCTTCTTCATCCTCATCATCAACAAGCCCAAGGATAAACTCCATATCGTTAGGTGCATCTACTAAAAGCAATAAAGTAGAAGGGTCACAATGACTACCAATAAAGGAGATGAGCGAATGCCACTCTTCTTGATGATCATCCCATTCAGAGGTCTGTTCAACTGCTAGTTCAAGCTTAATTCGTCTTATTTTCCTTAGAGACTGCACTGGGATAGCTTCAAGCATCCTCTGGCTGTCGGAAAAACGACCTTGGAAGCGGAATAGATTTGTTGAGTAGAAGATCTCAGAAGCATCCTTGTATATTTGTCGGTTTGTATAGAATAATTCCAAGGGAAGGAGCCGACATCGACACTGGGGGCTGTATGCATTGTAGTTTAAAGGGCAACAACAATGTAGCTTTGTAAAGGAGCAATCAAGACAGCAGGGACGCACAGCAGAATCATTTTGCATGCTAGCCAAGTGGTATCGCTGATCGAATCTCCCCTGCACAACTTGAATAGCGCTTAAGTCAGGGAGAAAATCGCCACCAGGACCGAGATTTGTATGCCAAAGAACCTGGAGACGAATCTCGCGGGGCAGATCAGCAAAACGAAAGCTTTTGGTTTCCTGCTTCCCTTGCACAGCGTTCCCTTGCACGAGTTTCCTGCTTGTGATCCGAGCGAGTGACCGGAGCTCCTGGCTCGTCTTTCTCCCAAGCCTTATCCTACATTCTTGGACGCGTGAGAGACAATTAAGCGGCTTTAGCACACGCTGAGCGGCCTCTAGGCTATCAACATCGCAGATGAATTCCAGATGAAGCCGCCCTGGGATGATTTTTGAGGTTAAGAGATGCCCACATGTGACCTCCCATTCTTTGATAAGAGATTCATCGGCAGTCGTTATCTCCGGATCACCTAATTCCAAGCTCGAAAGGCAAGTAGAGCAGGTCTTAGCCCGGCGCCAAGGCTGGCTATGCCCTTTGATGCAGGGCCAGCTATTCAGACGAACCAGGAGGTAACGTAATGACTGTATGGCTGCGGTAGAAAGTGTTCTTAGGACTCTAAGATCATCGGCTTCTCGGTGAATGCGGATAACGAATTTGTTTTCGCTGTATAAGATCTCCTCTACTTCTTTATGTAACTGCTTGCAAACAAGGAGCAGCTGCTTGGGAAATGAGGGACAGAGGCACTCCGGGATTTTCCCACGATGAACACAATCGGGCTTTCTCTCGCTGCGGAATTTGAAGGCACACCTGAAATCAGCGGGCACTTCTTGTTGAGGAGGGAGGGATGTTGTTGGCCTTCCAAATGGAACAATAGTGACAGGGCATTCTCGGACAAGATCAGAAAAAAAGTAAATTCTCTTGCGGATCCGAGGAGGGATAGATAGGAGTGATGGTGCTAATGCTGGATCCATGGCAGCTCTGTGTGGCTCCTTGTGTATCGATGCCTGTGCCTTTGTGCAGTGTTGGATCGGTATGGTTGAGTTAAATGAAGAGGCCCGACTCTGGAGGGGATTTAGTACTTAATAATATGTGCCAAGCCCAGCTACCCCTCCTCTGCCCAATGTGTGTGACAAAGCATCAGATGTTGGGTGTGTTGCATTGATTGGGTGTGTGCGGCTACCCGTGGACACACTCATTCCCATGTGGGCTGCGCCCCCGTTTTCTACGAGCGTTTATTTAGAGCAATAAGGTCAATCATAAGTAGCCCGACATGGAAGGCCCGTCCTGGCTATCATCAGAAGTACCTATCTCAGGTGAGAATATTGAATATGCTCCCTACAGGATCCGCAGGATCGGCTTACCCTGCGCTATTTTTACCGCTTCCGGCCTGGCGGGGTGCGGCTGAGACATTGAAATATAAGATTTGCCATGATTTGGTGTTCAGCCCTGTTTTGCATGCGCTTCCGGCCTGGCGGTGTGCGGCTGAAATGTAAGATTTGCCATGATTTGGTGTTCAGCCCTATTTTGCATGCGCATTCGAACCACCATGGTTAATTTTGGACAATCCAGAGCCTCGGGCGACATTTGCTTGCTCTATTTTAGGTAGCTGTTGCATACTTCTCTCGCATGGGCTGCATTACTCATGTGGGAGTTCTATAAAGGATTGCCAAAGTTCAAGCAAAACCTTTGATTCCTCGTTCTCTACATACAGTTGCAAACCTTTGGTTTATTTTTCATACTTTCATACTTTCTACATTCTCTTTTTCTTTCTTTGCTCTTCTTTCTCTCTATTATTACTAAGTCTCCATGTATAAAAAAGCAATCTTCTTCCTGCTGCTTTTGCAGCTTCTTCAGTCAACATGGGCGGCCCCATCCGATTCTCCTGGATCTGGAGCAGGGCAAGATCAAGGTGACGCAGACTTTCCGGATATGAAGAATGCGGAGCGAATAGTGCTCTCTGACGGCAGCTATTTCTGGCGCTCTGTCCAACACAATGTGCCCAAGCCCGATGATAGTGTTCACAGAGCAATGGTCAACAAGCAATTTGATGACATGAATGAGGATGCTAAAACCAATCATGAGCTTATTGGAGCCAGCAAAAGACCTGCCTTCATGGCTGCCACCTGGTGGAAACACCCAGAGGGCCACGAAGTGAAGGGCACGGTCCTGCCGCAGCACCAAGGCAAGGATCTTGGTACCCAAATCTTCCACTCCAATATCAAGGTACGTTGCACCGAGATAACGCGAACACAAATCCCTTGACACATGGCTGACTATAATACAATACTGATGAGTAGAAACCAGGCGGAGGCACGAGCGAATACACTAAGGACTACATGGAGCAGTTCAAGAAAGATCATCCAGAGCATGGGGAGCACCGGAGCGAAGGAAACTGCGCTGAGACGGCTACCATTGCCTATGTTAAAAACCCCGCCAACAACATCCCATCTGATGGAATACCCGATAATGCCAGATGGGCCGTTCGGGGAAAGCCCAGGGCTAACAAGCCTCATATCCACGAGCCTTGCCAGTACAATGATGAAAAGCTAAAACACGGGTGTCAACAACATATTCCTAACAGGGATTGTCTCGTGAAGCGAGATGGTGCATCTTGTAAGATTCCACAGGCCAAGTCAGGAAGCGGACCTGGCAAGAACCAGAAGGCGAATGGGGCCGGCACCAAAGACACGTCTGCCAAAAGCAAGAACATCGGCACGAAAGTCTCCACCAATAAGAAGAGTGCTTCCAAGAATACATCTGGCAAGAAAGCATCCTTCTCATCTAAAAAGAAGGGAGCATCCAACAGGAAGGGAGCATCCAGCAAGAAGGCAGCATCCAACAAGAAGACAGTATCCAACAAGAAGTCCAACAAGAAGGGAGCGTCTAATAAGAAGGCAACATTCAATAAGAAGGGAGCATCCAGCAAGAAGGGAGCATCCAGCAAGAAGGCAGCATCCAACAAGAAGACAGTATCCAACAAGAAGTCCAACAAGAAGGGAGCGTCTAATAAGAAGGCAACATTCAATAAGAAGGCAGCATCCAACAGGAAGGGAACTGCTAAACAATCTGGCTTACAGAAGTCTGCTGCCAAAAACACTGGTTCCAAGAAGGCTGTTCCGAAGAAAGCTGGTCCGAAGAAGGCTGGTCTGAAGAAGACTGGCCCTAAGAAAGCCCTTGCTGGTCTGAAGAAGACTGGCCCTAAGAAAGCCCCTGCTAAGAAGGCTGGTTCTAAGAAGGCTGGTCCGAAGAAGGCTGGTCTGAAGAAGACTGGCCCTAAGAAAGCCCCTGCTAAGAAGGCTGGTCTGAAGAAGGCTGGTCTGAAGAAGACTGGTCCGAAGAAGGCTGGTCTGAAGAAGACTGGCCCTAAGAAAGCCCCTGCTAAGAAGACTGGTTCTAAGAAAGCCTCTGCTAAGAAGGCTGGTTCTAAGAAAGCCCCTGCTAAGAAGACTGGTCCTAAGAAGGCTGGGCCTAAGAAAGCCTCTGCTAAGAAGGCTGGTTCTAAGAAAGCCCCTGCTAAGAAGACTGGTCCTAAGAAAGCTGGCCCTAAGAAAGCTCCTGCTAAGAAAGCTAGTTCTAAGAAGGCTAGTCCTAAGAAAGCCCCTGCTAAGAAGGCTGGTCCTAAGAAAGCCCCTTCTAAAAAGACTAGCCCTAAGACCGCTACTAAAAAGCCTCCCCCTAAGCCTACTACTAAGAAACCTTCTATTACTAAGAATTTAGTTAAGGGTAAAAAGAGAAAATAGAATATAAATAGTAACTTATCTTTTATATTAATTTTTATTAAGAACTTAGACCTAGTAAGGCCCTAGGCTTAGTCTGATAAGAGATAGCTATAATAAGCTAACTCTAGTTAGACTACTATAGATAGTATATAAGAGAAAGAGTAAGATCTTTTAGAAACTCTCTTTTTTTCTTTCTAAGAATATAGATACTAAAGTTAATACCTACTTATAATTACTATAGAGCTAGTTTATTATAATCTATTAAGTATTAATAGAACTTTCTAACTAATAATACTATAACTAAAGATTAAATAGGTTTATAATTATAATTTTAATATTAGTTAAAAAGAAGAAAAATCAGGCTATATATAACTAGATCTATTTATAATTTTATAATATTTCTTAATAAGATCTATTAAAATTTAATAAGTAAATTTTTATATTAATAAAAGATAGAAGATAGAATTTATTACTAAAGATTTATTAATTTATTAGTTAGAAATTTAAAATACTCTATAAAAATATATTTAATTAATATTTCTAA